ATTAGCACAATAATAAAACTTACAAGCAACAGGCACGGCTTCCGTCCATATCCTTACCATGTACTGTCCAAGTTTAAGGTCTTGCGCAAAGTCCATCCCATGCTTAACCGAGTTGTAGCCATAGCACTTGACCATCATGTTTGCAATAGGTTTACCTGGCCATGCGTAACCAGCGATGAGCTCGGTTATGATATTGAGGAAACTGTTTTCTGTTAGCCAGCATATTCCTAGCCGAGCATATCCAGTGGGGTAAATGCTCACATCCGTTGATTTGTGGTCCCCTCTAGAATACCCTCTGGTACGATCAGGAGTACGCCCATGCCGAAGCATACCACAATAAACCCCCAAACAGGTAACCCAGTCTCCCAGTAACGGATAGTCAGAATCCCCAGACCAAGTACAGATACAGTCAGCACACCGTACCACCAGTCAGGAACCTCCTTGTAGCTGTTCATGAGTCGTTTGTGGATATCTTCACCACCATGCCGCGCATTCTTGAATTTTGCGTATATTTCGCTGCCGTTGTACAGATACGTATATACGACGATGGAGGTGACTGCAGCAAAGGACAGCGCGTATGTGAGCGAGTATGACATGGAGATATACATGGGCGAATACTCTTCATATTTGCTGATAACAAAGTCGAGATTTTCGTTAACAACGCGTGTGATGTTGTACGTTTTACCCGTATTATCGTAAGTGGTAGATGAAAGGAGTGGAAGGCTGATGTACCGTTAGACCCTAGTTCTACTGGATGCGGATGCAGTTTTGCAGAAGTCCGGTACTCACTATGCGCTGTTCCACACATTTGCATAGTACAGTATTGGCGACAGAAACAAGTAAAACAACACCACTACGGCGAATGCGTTACAGGTGATATAAAACGGGGTCATCAATGGAGAGCCAGCAAAGTTGATCTGCGTCCAGTCAATGCTGAGCGGCAGCAGGCCGAGGCCAGAACTCATCTAATAAAACCGGGCGGGTGAGCATAATACAGCGACAGTTTATACGGCACTTGGAAAATGAGATACGTACCCCAAAAATTGTGTTCACCTTTTGGTTGTGAGGTGCAATCCATGTGACAAATGCAAATGTACCCAGACTCGTCCAGATGTAGTCCGGGAACCAAAAGAGGACAAATGCAAACAAACTGAACCAGCTGAAGAAGTGGTACCGAGAAAGAGTCCATCCATTTACAGGAGCATGCTCCTGGGGCTCGTGCAACGCTCTGAACAAGACCGTCGATGACAGGGTGGTAGGCCAAATAAGGGCGCCGGGGTAGACGAGCCACCGGCGGGCCAGGCCGGCGAGACCAAACCCCAGCATCTGGGATGTTAGTAGATAGAGAAAGCCAAAGCCAGCGCCGTAGTCCCGGTCCCAGTAAACAGGGCTAATGATAGCCACGAGTGACCCCGAGGCGTACGCAACACTGGCACTGATATTGACACACTGTTAACGTATTAGCACAACGAGCGGAGCCGGATGTATTTGACGCTGAAGTCTGAAAGTCCAAGGCGTACAATGACAATTAAAGCGTGCTCTTTGATTGTGAACCTGCCCGGGTTGATGTCAAAGGACAATCTTCCCAGTGGTAAGCGCCATCGTGGCAGATTCTCCCAAGCGCGTCCTACGGGAAAGACGAGAAGCTGGGCAACAACATAGCCGATCGTGAGAGACGGCTGTATGTCGAGATGAGACCGTTAGAGTTTGACGAAAGGTATTGTATTTTGAAACGCCATGACTCACATAGCGCAAACTAAAGAATTGATTGACACCTGCAAACAACATTACAAAAATCGTCGTAAGTGTCCAGGCGCGGAAAGCTGGCTTTTGTTAGCCAATGTAAACAGACCCTTAAAGAGGCACTTCGGCCACAAGACATACTACTGCATGCCTTTTCAGGATCATCTGTGTTTGGTACGCAAGCCGCAACCTCCGGAACTAGACAGAGCAGCAGTCAGAAACAGGTCACACAAATAGAAGGAATATTAGCTGGGCATACATGGAGACTGGTCGCCACTGACATCCCATCGGAAGGCTTCGTCCGGTGTCAGCTCCGTCTTTTCGACCCGCTGTCGTAAGGGCCGCGAGCTGTTGGTAGAAATCTCATCGCTAGCATCCTCGACGTCGAGGATATCCGTTCTAATGGCGACTTTGTTCTCTGTAATGTTTTCGGTATCGTTACCCTGGTCGCTCGGCGTCTGGCCGCCCCGACCCGTGAGCTCTATCCCGTATGCCATGTTTTATCAATACATATATGTGGAATAAAACTCTGTAATTCTCGAAAGAGTCGAAGGCAGCGACAAGCCAAAGCGCTGATTAGATATAAGCGGCAAAAGGTCAACCATGTTATCTCACCAGCAACGTCTGTTTATCGCGCCATTTACTTACCTGCTTTTGCCATTCGTTATGAGCCTCGTACCCTTGTTAAGTCATCATTGTTCAAGGCATAGCAATCAGGCTACTAAACTGTATCCAGCTTAAGACGCCTAAACATTCCAATGTCGGTGGTTCTTCGAGCGTGTTCAATCCTTCCTACGGTTGCTTCATGCAGCATCAAATGCAGCTAGTCGCCGATAAACGGCCGCATGGCCAACTCTAAAGCCATGTTCAGGCGGCATCAGTCCGACAACGTTTTAGATTTGCTGTTGCTGCCATTATCACATCATATGCAAACGACATGACGATGCGTACAAGGTTGGCGGGGTAAGAACATCGGCCTATCTCTGCCGAACATACCGGTCCACACATTTCGTGTCAGTAGTTTTCCTATAAGTGTTCTTAGATCTTTACCAGCTGAGTCTACATATTGTCAAAATACAATACACCCGTTTGAATCTCGTGACTTTAGAACGTTATACACGACGAAAAGTCCTCATCAACATGTTGTCAATCACAGCAATTACGCTCGCTGTCTGCGGTGCACAGGCCACACAAGTTGTCCTGTCGAGCTTACCCGCCGTTGGCAATATCGCCTACTCGCTACCAACTGATCGCACGTTTCTTCTTAATGTTCCAGTCGGATATACGCATGGAGAGCCACATCCTCTGGTGCTTTCCTTTCATGGAGGTGTGATTTTTTGTCTTCTTCTGTTTTGTGCTTGTAGTTTAAGGCAAAACGTTCTTACCATACTTGTATGCTAACTCATACAGCCGGTGGCTTCAGTGAGAAGCAGCAGCGTATCACGGAACTCTCGGATCCGTCGTTAACCATTTCCGGTCGGCCATTTTTGACGGTATATGCGCAGGGTGTGAATAATGCGGACTGGAACATGCATCACATCTGGAAGGGTGCCCCTTACGAGAACACAACTGTCGATGATATTGCCTATGTATATGATATCATCGCCACCGTTGCTGACGCTTACACTGTTGACCGCACACGCATATACGCTTGTGGAAAGTCAAATGGCGGTGGATTCACTGCACTTCTTGCCTGTCGCCCTGACACCTCGGCAATTATCGCGGCTTTTGCCCCTGTCTCTCCTGCGCTCTACCAAGGAACCTATTCCTTCTTCAACTGCACTCCCGCGCGCCCGGTACCGATCCTGCACTCTCATGGCATTGAGGACCGCGACACCGAGTTTCTAGGCCGCACGCCTCTAGGTGGTTCTTTCGGCCCCGAGCCTGATGTGCGTCTCTGGCGTCGCGAGTGGGCAGAACGTAATGGTTGTCGTGGGCCTTACGCCGGGGCCTGGCCGTTACCATCCGTCCGAGAGGTTCATCCAGGTGCATGGGAAGAGGTTTGGGACTGCCCAAAAGATGCTGAGGTGCGTGCCTTGACAGTTGAAGGGCTCGGTCATGCATGGCCATCGACTGTTGGGCTTGACCTGGCTGGCAGCCCCAACCAGACTGCCAACTTCAACTTCACCAGCCAGCACCTAGTGCAATTTTTTTCACGGCACCATTTGTGACCTCATTCTATTGTGCTACGAAGCAAATAGAATAAATACACCTGCCTCTGCTATGAGCCAGGTTAAGAACATTGAAAATCTGCGGCCTACAACCCTTCGCCTTCTACAAGCAGTGCCAAATCACGCTATTCAAAGTGATGCATCCATAAACCAACTATTCCATGCATTAATTCCCAATAATTAATGTTGTATGTACGGTGAAAACTACAAATATGGGTTTCAAATAAGTTAAAGGCATCCGTTGAACATTACAAACTCGACGTGGTTGTCTCGTTTACTCGTATGGAGTAGGTAGTTTCCCAGGCTCTCGAACTACAGCCCAATGCTGGCTTGCAATACGCCGTAACTAACCGAGGCTAGACTCCCGGCGGCGAGGGGCTATCCGTTATCGCTATTTGAAATCCAGCGTGATTGATAGCACTGTCGCCCCCTCGGCAAACTTTCACCGGTACTTCAGCACTTTATGGCCGCCCACGGGCCCGAATCGGCAGTGTCGATTTGGGTTTCAGCAAATGTAAGGCGTTGACTTTCGTACAAGCACAACTTTCCGTGGGCCCTTGAATACGGGTACTGCTGGTGTACTTAAACCGACAATATTTCCCAATCAGGTTCGTTCACATACACCCTTACAACAGTTTCGTACGATTTGATGGAGCACGAACGCCGTCTGAGTACGACACCCCGTACTAGCAAATCTGAAAAGATGCCCACTGTTTGTAAAAGCACCGAGCTCGGCCACTCGTCTTTGTAATGGGCCAGTAAGAGTTGCCAGTCGGCCACTAACTGCTTTTTAGTGTCGACTCTTGGCCGCTTTTTGACACGGCGCTGCACGTGATGACGTCGTCCACGGCTCTCCAGAGCCCCTTCTAGCTCAAAGTTCGGTAAAACCCCATATTTGGGAAAGGCAAGATTCTTACATATAACCGAGCTCATTGTTCCGCCCAACATTGTGCTATTTTCGCAGTAGGCAAAAGCGACAAGCACATCAAGCTACGATACATGAAATAATCGTCTCGATACCGATCGCTTATTTCATTTACCTGTCTCAGTCCGAACTTCACCTCTCTTTTCCACGCTACAACGACCATGCTGCGGCGAGCCGTTGGCCAAGCAGCCACTCGACGGACCACACCGGCTCTTCTCTCCTTGCCCCGGACGGTTGCGCCTTCTTTCAGCTATAGTGCCACACGCCTCCTCTCGACAACTGTCTCGCGCCGCATGGCGACCTCCTCCGCTCCTTCGACAGCCGTTCTCCCCACCGTTGAACCACCACTTTCCAAAGTCCTGGCCAGCGATGCCTTCCAGCTGCTGCCCGAGGCCGACAAGGCTGGTGCCTCCGAGGACGCACTGTACGAGTCGCAGCTGAAGGAGGTCGAGAAGTGGTGGGCATCCCCGCGCTTTGAGGGCATCAAGCGGCCCTATTCCGCTGCCGACGTTGTTTCTAAACGCGGCTCGCAGGTCCAATCGTATCCCAGCTCCACCATGGCCCGCAAGCTCTGGGAACTCATCCGGAAGCGCGCTGCGGCTGGCGAGCCCATCCACACTCTAGGTGCCATTGACCCTGTTCAGATGACTCAACAGGCACCCCACCAGGAGGTGCTCTATGTCTCCGGCTGGGCTTGTTCGTCTGTCCTGACGACCACGAACGAAGTGTCTCCTGATTTCGGCGATTACCCTTACAACACCGTGCCCAACCAAGTCCAGCGCATGGCCAAGGCACAGAGCATGCATGACCGCAAGCAGTGGGATTTGCGCCGTAAAATGACGCCTAAGCAGCGTGCTACCACGCCGTACGTCGACTACTTCCGCCCTATTGTTGCTGACGGCGACACCGGTCACGGTGGCCTGTCCGCTGTCCTCAAACTTGCTAAATTGTTCGCTGAGAATGGTGCTGCGGCGGTCCATTTTGAGGACCAGCTGCACGGCGGTAAGAAGTGCGGCCATTTAGCTGGCAAAGTCCTTGTCCCAACGGGCGATCACATCAACCGTCTCGTTGCTGCCCGCTTCCAGTGGGACGTGATGGGAACTGAGAACCTGGTGCTGGCACGCACAGACTCTGAGTCCGGTAAACTGATAAGCTCGGCTGTCGATGTCCGTGACCACGAGTTCATTCTTGGCGTCGCCGACCCCAGTGTGGAGCCGCTCGCAGAGACACTGCAATCGATGGAGGCGAACGGCGCGACGGGCGCCGAGATCGACGTCTTCGAGGCCGCCTGGGTCAAGAAGACCAAGATGGTAACCTTTGATGAAGCTGCTGTTGCCCACCTCAAGGCTGAGGGTGTGGCCGCCGCTGATATTACCGCTTACGAGTCCGCCGTGGCGGCAGACCGCGATCTCGGCATAACAAAGCGCCGCGCTCTCGCTAACCAGTACCTTAAACCAGGCCATGAGGTCTATTTCAACTGGGATACGCCACGGACCCGTGAAGGATTCTACCACTTCCGTAGTGGGATGTCTGCCGCCACCAAGCGTGCTCTCGCCTTTGCCCCATACGCGGATCTGTTGTGGGTTGAGACTGGCGATCCCAATGTTCAGGTCGCTCGGGACCTCGGTCGTGCAGTGCGTGCCAAATACCCGGGCAAGAGTCTTGTCTACAACCTGTCGCCGTCATTCAACTGGATGGCCCAGGGCTTCACCGAGGAGACGCTGCGCTCATTCATCTGGGACATCGCCAAAGAGGGCTTCATTTTGCAGCTGGTGTCCCTGGCCGGCATCCACACCTCTGCGACCGCTACGTGCCAACTGTCAAAGGAATTCAAGAAAGACGGCATGTTGGCTTATGTCAACCTCGTGCAGCGCCCTGAGAAAGAAATCGGTTGTGATGTCTTGACACACCAGAAGTGGAGCGGCGCAAGCTACATTGATGGCATCATTGGAGCTATTCAGAGTGGCAGTTCTAGCAACAAGAGCATGGGCGCGGGTAACACAGAAGGTCAGTTTGACTAAACGACGTACTGTGCCTAGCTTTTATTTTGAAAACTACCATGTATATAGATTACCGAAAAGAAATGTTTATAAATTGAAGGTTTGCGATGCCTCAGATTGGAAATATATACATTCGCAGTCGTTATTGATGTATTGTACTACTGGCCTTGCACCAGCAACGTCAAGGTAGCTTGACATATCAATATTCAAAGAGGAGACTACGTCCTCCTTTACGAAGTTTTGTTTCTCTGTAGAGAAACGCTCCTGCAAACAACGGAAAAAATCTTGTCAAACCCTGCATTCTCCTCTGGATCAATACAAACTCGTAGGCAATACCCGGCTTAAGATCCCGCCCCCCTCCACGCGATCTGTGCCGGTGTGTAAGCTTTGACGGGTGCCGTCATGTCCCGTAAGATGTCCACGAATTTTATTTAAGTATCAGTGCAAAACTGGAAAGTCATCCTGAGCGTTCTATCACTTCCACTTCAACGAAGATTTTTGAAAACATTGAATGCGGCCCGGCGCGTGCGCGTAACCTAAGATAAACGACGAAGGAAGCAATGGGCAAGCGACGTATTAAGAGAAACACATATACACGATACTTCGCTTACCACTTAGCTCATGGTTGTGTACAAATTACCGTGAAAATTGGTCATTTCACAATGTAGAAGGTACCTCTTGCCGGCTCCATACAGTCTCGTCTGCGAACCGCTCGTGTGACCTTCCAGTTGTTTTCCCGGTATCTACGTCTAGAGACTGAATGTCTCTAACCACGTAATATAGCAAATTCAACTTACAGGTCCCCAAAAACGGGTGTAGTTTCGAATACGTAGATGTTGACGCAGACCAGCTTCATCATTATGTTGGGCGTCGATCCAGTGTAAATACAAACTGAGTATGAAAAGGTGCCACTACAGTATCAATCTGTGGATCCGGAGGCCTTGAACGGGAACTGACCATGAATGTTAGATATGTGGAAGGGTCTTTTTCGTCACTTCCAGCACTTAAAGAGAAGTCATACGTAGCATGCATACTTACTTTCTCGTCCGTCAGGCCCATTACATGAATGTTAGCGCTCAAAAGAAATAAAGAGGTTCATATGAACTAATAACGCTATGTATTGATGGCATGCCAACATAAGCTCCTGTCCCGAATGTCTACAATAAAAAAGACTCTTGCTGCCATGCTACTACATGTCCCATACGCCCGTTAAACAATAAAATGAAGCACCCAGCATAAAAACAAAAAGAAAAGAAAGGAAAAGAAAAGAAAATCTGGCATTACCATGTCCCCAGCACGGGAAGGTCACGCGAACTCTGCCCCACATGGAAGCGGTATTGACCACCGGTCACCATGACCCAGTTTTGCTGCTGCACGTCCCAGTAGCTAAGATCACGCCGTGTGAGATTAAATGTCACAGTCTGTGTCTCGCCCTTCTTCAACATCGGCTTCTCAAAGCCCCGAAGAACTTTCACAGGGAAGTCAACGCCAGCAGCATCGGCAGCATCCTCGGGGTAGGACAAATACAGCTGCACCACTGCCTTGCCGTCGCGACTGCCAGTATTTTGCACGTCCACACTCACAGACACGTACGCCTGCCACAGATCTGGGTTGCCACCTTCGTCTCCACCCGCCCCGGATGGCGGCTGCACAGTATCGTAGCCATCCGGATACGGGTACTTGGTCGACACAAGGTCAAGGTCGTCCACAGTGTCGAGGTATGGGTAAATATACTTTTCGAGGCGGCGTATTTCTTTGGGAAAGAGAGCTTCCTTGATGTCGGGGACCTCGTTGCTATAGGTAGGCGGAGTGGCGGCAGGGGGTGGCCGGGCTGAAGGTAGAGAGCTCTTGGGAAGGACACCTTGGACAGACAAGTTGCCAACGACAAAGTCGGTGTAGGAAAGGCCGTAACCAAATTCAAAACGTGGCGTGATGTCGTATTTGTCAAAATGACGGTAGTCGATGTAAAGGCCTTCTGAAAAGTCCTGCTGAGGAACAACACCGTTGGGCAAGTACATGACCTTGCCTCCAGGACCGAAGTCCTCGAGGGTGCGTCCGATGGTGTACGGCAGCTTGCCACTTGGATTAACCCGGCCAAAGAGGACATCGGCAAGGGCATCTCCGCTTTCTTGGCCGGGCAAATTGGCATAGACAAGGGCCTTGACCTGCGGCAAGTCAATCCAGCGCTCCATGACAACTGGCCCGACAGAGTGAATTACCACAATTACATCACCCTTGCCATCGCCACAGCCAATAGCAACGCTGTAGACAAGATCATCGCCGCCTTTTTGCAACAAGAGATCATTCCGGTCGCCACCAATGCCACCCCAAGAAACAAAACCTTCGCCGGCATCTGCATTGGCAAACACAATGCAAACGTCCAGATCTTTAAGTGTCTCGGTATGCACACCATGGTTGGATAGGCGACGGCGAAGGTCAACCTTTCTTTCGTCGAAAACGGACGACAGCGCATCGACGGGTGAAGTGAGATACGGAAATTCAACAGCACCTGAACCCCATCCAGACCCCAGTGTACCTTGGTTGCAAGCCCTGTTCTCACAGTAGTTAGGACCCTGGCCCGGCCCAGCGTCTTCGCCGAAAATACCAATCTTGATCCTGGGAGTCGGGCTGGCGGTGGAATCTCTTTCGGATTGCGGTGCAGGGTGCTGTGTCTTGACGATGCGGTTCGGTTGGCCTGTAATGCCGTCGGTGCCAATGGGCAGAGTATTGTTGGTGTTCTTTAAGAGGACGATGCCTTCGGTAGCAACATGTCGAGCAATGTTGGCATGGTCACCCTGCACGTCGACAAACTGGTTCACAACAACGGTGTCTTGTGTAGACGGGCTGCCAGGCGCGAGCACGCCTGTACGATTGTGCGTCCACGAAGAAAAGTTGGGTCGCTCGCCGGCCCCATCAAATCCGTGGAAGAAGTTTGGATCGTCTTGTCCCATCTGGTACCAGGCAGCAACAATGCGTGTCGCCATGTCGTTTAAGCGCTCAAGAGGTACGGACCCGTTGAGCACGGAGCGTGTGAGTTCGGGGCCCCACAGAGAACGGCCATTCTGCCAGCGCAGACCGTCACCGGGCATGGTCATGTCCAGGCCAGCCAGCGCAGTACTGACACCGGATCGCTGGGCGAGCCTGAAAGAGTCAGCAAAGGCAATAGGTCTGCAAACGGAGTGAGTGTCCTTACCAGTCTGACATGACAAAGCCTTGGAAACCAAGCTCGTCCTTCAGAATGCCATTGAGGAGCTTCGAGTTGCCACATGAATAGCTGTTATTGACCATGTTGTAACTACACATGACACTGGCCACGCCTGCTTTCACAGCATCCCCAAACGGCCATGCATACAGCTCGTGCAGTGTACGGTCATCGATGTTGGAGCTCAATGCATGCGGTAGACCCCATTCATACGGCTGCCGGAAATGCTCCTGTTCATTTCCAACAAAGTGCTTGATCGTGGCCATGATGCCCTGGTCCTGGATGCCCCGGATGGTCTCAGCAGCCGCAATTCCCTGCAGGTATGGGTCCGATCCAAAGCCCTCCCAATTGCGGCCACCAGCCGGCATACGACCAAGAGGCCCAACACAGGGGCCTAACAGAGCATGCACACCTTTAGCACGGGCCTCTTCAGCGTGTGCTTTACCGTGTGCATACATCAGCGCGCGGTTCCATGTGGCGCCAACGGTGATGCCAGCCGGCAGGGCCGTGATGTTGTCGGCCATGCGGATGCCCAAAGGTCCATCTTGGAGGTTCAGTTGCGGGAATCCGACATGGACTGCAGGCCCGTTCGTACCGACGCTCAAGCCCATCTGCCAGCCCGTCCCCGTGGTTATGTTGACTTTTTCTGGGAGTGTCATGCGGCTCACCAACTTGGCAGCCTTTGTATAGCTGTCGGCCCACGTCTGCGCCGTGCCGCCCAGTGGTGCCGGATACCACGGTGGGGACTGGCCATAGAGAGGTTCCTCACCAAGCTTCTTGTAGACAAAGCCGCCGCTTGCCGCTGTCAGCAGCAAGATTGTGCCGCCAACGACCAGTGCTAGTATGCAGCACCGTGACCGCGACCATCGTTTACGAAAACGTGCTGGAACCAGCCAGCTAAAGGAGGCGCTGGATCCATGGGTCTTCTTATCGCCCTTTCCGTCTGAAACATCATTGCCATGTAAAGGATCGGTCGTCAGGAACTCCGTCGCGTCAATGTCCGAGTCGCGGTCGCTGTCGGAAAGATCGTAGGAACCACGCGCATTGCGGTTGTGTTCTGATCCTGATGACAACAGGCCACGCTTGGCCTGGTAATCGACGCTCATCTTGGAGAGGGATTTCGAGGGCAGGAGAATGTCGAGATTGTCGGTGGGTCGAATGAGTTGTGCTTGCAGAAAGGTCTGAGAGGAACGGCAAGTACGGAAGGGCCGGCCTCGAATTGATTAGGCCACTGCAGTCGACGGCATTCGCAGAGTGATGTTTTCAACCTCAATAGCCAAGGAAGAAGTATCGCAAAGGTACAAACAAGACTTGATCCCGCTTCAAAGAAGCCACACTAAGGGGTGCTCTAGGAAAGATGATTTAATTCCATAAAGATGGTGCTGTGATGGGAACCGCGTCGGTGCGCTAATGTCGGCTGCCCCTTCCCAAGGCCGAAACATTCAAAACGTGGGGGTTCAGGAGCCACAACAACAAAGCCACAAAAGGCGCCACAGTAGGTCCGAGGGTCAGCACCGAGTTTACAGTGTCTCCAGATGGCTCTTCAGGAAACAAAGGCCGTCAACAATTGAGATGTACCACATTCCTCCGAGTGATGGGATTTTTTTATTTTTTTTATTTTTGTTACTGTGTAGGAGCTTGACAATTATTTTCCCTTGTTTTATGCAATTTCCGTATGATTAATTTTGGAGAATTTTTTTTTATTCAATAATATATCTTCCGCAGAGGATTTTAGTACTTAAAATTGAATAGAACTTTGATACTTTTACATCAATCACGACCAATTAATAAATCCAAGTTGTTTTCTTCCTCCCGCCCTTGTATTTTGTATGACAAAGTCAAATAGCGAAGAATAAAATTGTCCCGGAGACTCGATTTTCCGGGATTCTGTTTAAAATCAACACCCGCATTTCGTCAACCTGTAAATTTTCCTCACCGGACAAAATGGCATCATTTCCCCACCAAGACATCCGAAGCTGAACAATGCACCTTTCTGAAAAAGCCATTCGACTATGGCATGCGAGGTGGCTTAATGTTTACGGATGACGACTCTCAAAATAAAGTACGGAAGTGTCTTGCCTTCTGTTTCGTACCTATCGAATTCACATGGCCCTCGCAGCTCAGCATGATATGACTGTTACCTGATGTGGAAAAAGGCGACATTGCAATGGTAATCCGTTAAGTAACTATGACCTTCTAAACTACAAACCGAAATCCACACCAAGGATTTGTGTGAAACACAGCCGGACGTCCAGATTAGCCGCCACGTCCGAGAAACTGGACACAGCTTATGCAGGAAAGCCTTAAGTGTTCTGAAAGTACGTCCCGTTACTATGTATCCCAGCATTACCTGACAATTGGCAGTAGGGTAGCGGCTTTAGAGCTGGTCTATCCCAGACGTGATACAGACTTGACTAGAAAAGAGAAATACAGATAACCAAGCAATTCTATTAACGCCCCGATTTCTGGAATTGACCCCGTCCGGTGATTGATACAGCGTCCTCCGCTTTTCTCCAACACCGTCCGGTGGCCACCTGTACAGTCTGTCTCGGAACAACGTCTCCTGAAAAACATAAATAGGGACAGATTCCCATAAAGATATAAAACATGGCTGCCAACCACACGCCGTCAGCTGCCGATCATTCATTCCATATACCTGGTAACCTGAACAAAAAAAAAAACCAGCCGCCGCGCTGGCCAAATTCGTCGAGTACCTCACCCAGGCCTTCTGAGCCTTTTCCAGCCCCTTTTCCGAGCTATTCGCCCTTTCTTTCTACCAACACATGCTTCAAGAGAAAGCAAAGCACCTACCTACTAAAATGGGGTCCACCGAACACACCGGCAGCAAGTACGACGCCATCCCTGGCCCTCTTGGTCTCCCTGCTGCATCCCTATCTGGCAAGGTCGCCTTGGTCACCGGTGCGGGTCGCGGTATTGGTCGCGAGATGGCTCTCGAGCTTGGACGTCGCGGTGCTAAGATCATTGTCAACTACGCCAACAGCGATGCTTCTGCACAGGAAGTTGTTGAGGCCATCAAGAAGAGCGGGTCAGATGCGAAGGCCATCAAGGCCAACGTTTCTGATGTTGAACAGATTGTGCGGCTATTCGAAGAGGCCGTGCAGGCATTTGGGAAGCTTGACATTGTATGCTCCAACAGTGGTGTTGTGAGCTTCGGTCATGTCAAGGACGTTACTCCTGAGGAATTTGACCGTGTCTTCAGCGTCAACACCCGGGGTCAGTTCTTTGTGGCGCGTGAGGCCTACAAGCATCTTGAGGTGGGCGGTCGCTTGATCCTGATGGGATCAATTACGGGCCAGGCCAAAATGGTGCCTCGTCATGCCGTATACTCGGCGAGTAAGGGTGCCATCGAGACATTTGTGCGGTGCATGGCTGTTGGTGAGTACCAATTTACGTTGAAGTGATACATGACGAGAGCCGTACTGACAAGCGTAGACTTTGGTGATAAAAAGATCACCGTCAATGCCGTTGCCCCTGGTGGCATTAAAAGTAAGTTCTTGGCTCCACACATGCATCGACTATTGAGGCTCGCAAGTGGTTTACTGACTGTGCACAATAGCCGACATGTACCATGCCGTTTGCCGTGAATACATTCCGAACGGCCTGGGCTTCACAGACGAAGAGACAGACGAATACGCTGCCGGTTGGTCGCCCATCCACCGCGTGGGCCTCCCTATCGACGTCGCTCGTGTTGTGGCTTTCCTCGCCTCTCAGGACGGCGAGTGGATCAATGGCAAGGTCTTGGGTGTGGATGGCGGAGCTTGCATGTAGAGAAATATATCGAAGTAGACCAAGGCCAGGGTGTCTTACGTGGTAGGCTAAATAGTGATCAGGCGAAATAAATTAGACGTGGTACAGGGCATGTGCTAAGAAATATTTACTGTGTGTGAGTGTCTAGGTGAGTATGCATTTATTATATTTTGAAAAATATAGAGGAAGGCCGTAACCCCAGCCGCTTTGGATTGTCTACTATGCACTAATTAACTGGAAGGCCGGAAATGTCGGCGATAAGTTTGTTTAGCGCTGTTAAAACAAGGGGTATGTCAACAAACAGCCTCCTTTGTGTGAAATTGGCGATGAGTCCATGTGTTCAATTTCAAGCAGAATTAAAATACGTATCTAGAATTCTGAGATCATTTTGGTTTTGCCATACTGTACGAGTATACTTCTACTCCGCATTCATTATCACGTGTTTGGCTAATATTTCGCGTATGTTTTGTAAATGCCATTGTTCCATTTCATCGATCTTAAAACTAAATACAAAGGGTAAAAATACACGAGCCTCCGTAGGCCCTCAATGAGAGCCAAAAAAGTAAACAATATGCGACGAACACAATTCTACACTCGGACATCTGTGGACCCACCCTCTACTTTGTGATACAAGGGAACTGCACAATAACGGTTCAGGCCGAGTCGTAGTCGTTCTTCCGTGAGCTGCGCGACGGACTTCTATGGAGATCTGACTTGCGCATTACCTGAAATCGGCCGCGATCACCAGGTGTGCGGACTATGACCAGGTCGTCTTTGTTGTTCTTCTTGCCTCCCTTTTTCGAGGCACCGCTGCCATTGCTGGTCACCGATCCGGCAACACCGGCGAGTTTGGCCCGCATTTTCGCCAACTGGTCTCGAAGGGCCATTCCTTCGGCCTCGGATGTGGCGTATGCAGCGCGTAACTCCTGTAGACTCTCTTTCTGAGCCGCAATTTCGGCAGCCAAATTGATATTTTGCTGCGTGATCTCTGGGAGCTGGGCAGCATGGGCAGCGGCTTCCGCCTTGGCAGCTGTGGTGGCATTCTGCGCGTCTGCTAGAGCGTTCCCGGCGTCTGTTTGGGCTTTGTCCAAAGCTGCAGCTGCAGCTTCTTTTTCAGAGGAAAGACTAGATTCCAGAGAAGTGATTTTTTCTTGCAGCTCAATGTGGGTGCTCTCAAGTTTTAAGTACTTCTCCTGAAGCTCGACATCAGGCGTCGTGGAGTCGATGTTGTCGCTGTCGGCAGTGGCCTGGATGTCGGTCGCTGCTTTGACCTTCAGTGCCTCACATTCTGCTGATAGAGCTGCGCGAGCTTCTTCTAGCTTTGAAATTGTTTCCCTGAGGGAATCTGAAGTCTCCGTCTCCACAGTGACGACTGCGCCTTCTGCCGCCTGGTGTGCTTTGTCCAAGTCGGCTTCATATCTGGTGATTGTTTCTTGGTGAGCAGTGTTCTCCTTCTTGACCTTCTCGAATTCTCCCATTAGTGCCTCAAGCTCAGTAGTTTTGGCTACCATGTTGGAATTCAGCGTTTTGATTTGGCCTTTCAGATCGTTCACCTCTTTTTCGACCACCTTTCGCTCGCTTTCCTGCGCAGTGCGTTTTGACTCTGATGCGGCTAGTCTCTCCTCAAGGGACGTCCTTTCATTGGCAAACTTGCTGGCACTCTCGGAAACTTTCTCTTCTGCCGCTGCAGCAGCGGCCACAGCTGCAGCTGTGGCTGTGACTCGATTAGCCTCTTCTTCTTCCAGAACACCAATGCGGACCTGAAGTGCATTCTTGGTTGCCTTTAGGTCCTCGATCTGTCCAGCCATGAGAAGATGCAGCTCTTTGTTGGCATCCCGCGCGGCAACGACCTGACTTTCGAGGCCTTCGCATTTCACTTCGAGATCGCTACAGCGTTCTTCAAAGGCAGCTTTGCCCTCACGAAAGAGGGCCGATTTGGTTTCTTCCTGGCGGAGCGAGTCGCGCAGTTGGGTCAGATTGACGTTGGCATCTGCCAGTGCTTGCTTTACTGCCGCAAGCGCTGCCTTGGTCTCCTCAAGAGCCATTTTGCTGGACTCCAGATCGGCACGGAGCTCGAGAAGTTCCTGTGTTTCGGTGTTCTTGCGCTGAAGGCTTTTGTCCATTTTCGCGTGCAGATCGTCAACTTCCTCTGCTAGGTTCTTGGCTCGCTGCCGGTGCTCGGCAGCTTCACGACGCAGGTCATTACGCTCGGCCTGGGCCTCACCGAGGGCAGTGATTGCCTCTTCGAGCTCGATAGCAAGTTTCCTCTGCTCGGATTCGAGGCTTTGTTGTCGCTGCTCAAACTGTGCCTCCAGGGCCACTTTGTGTGCCTCGAACTGCGCAAGGCTATTCATGTCACTGGCCTTACCACGAGACATGGTGCTCGAGGTGCCAGAGGGCACTGGTGTTTCTTTTGTGGCATCGAAAGTGTTGTGAGAATAGGAGTCTATCAAGGACCACCTTGTAGGAACATGTACAAGGCCTGACTCTGTGCGACGTAGTTCATGGTCAGTACAGCCATTGAAGGACCGTGAACGGCGACGTGTGGGTAAAGAGCGTGTTGGCGGCAACATTGTTGCAGTGGAGGATGTAGTAGACGACGGCGCACGCTGAGAACAATCGACAGTGGCGGTTGCCTGCAGGGTGTCGCGTATGGCCTTCTCTTTGGGCAGGTAGTCGTAATAGTCATAGTGCTCGCGTTCATCGACTGATGTTGCCTGTGTGCTGCTAGACAGGCACGAAAAGCTGTCTTCCGTCTCGGAAGAGTCGAACGTCACCGTCTTCCTGGTATTGGTGTTGGTTCCGTTGTGGTTTGTAGAGATTGAGCCTACTGTGCTTCCGTGCACAGAGCTGTAGATGGGGTGGGGTGGAAAGTGATTATCGGCCCCGAAAACTGGGACGGAGACTCGGTCTCCTGATCGCCGCGAAACAACCGTGCTCGTATGCGCGCTTGGAAATTCTGGGAATCGGTCGCCCATGTCGTGTGGCCGACGTGCTGCTGTCGCTGGTGTTGGTATCTCCCCTGGTGCAGGGAGAGTGAGCATGACCTCGGATCGACCCGACGAGAAGTGAACTGTCGGCCGAGAGTGATCTGCTGGACGCACAACACGGTTGCGAATCAAACCTCGGCGTGTTGCGGTCAACCCATTGCTGCGAATGGGTGTGGAGGCGGTACTCCGTCTAGCATCGTTGCGAGAGTGTGTTTGCAAGATGCGATCCGTCTCAGAATCATCATCGTTTGCAACAGGTGGCTTGTTTGTAGTGTCTGATGTGAGTGATAGACGGCGTCGGAGGCGCAGATGAGGCGCAGACCACTTGTTCGCGACAGGAGCGTTGTCGGTGTTTTTGCCCATGGCGACTGCCGTATCTGTTGGGCGATATGTGAGACGGGGCTTGTGGACACGAGTCGCACCCTCGCGGAGGTACGAGCTGCCAAATTGGTTGTTTCGGTCCATTTTGAAGAAGTTGTCGGCTCCGCGCTCGTTGTTTTTAACCCTATTTGTGATTTGATTTATTTTGGTTCCGCGTCTGTTTCCTTGTCTTTATTGTCGTTCTGGTTTCTGCGTGCAGACACACTAGAGCTTCGTTGAGAGCAGTGAGCCTGGCGAGTGAACCACGGTTAATTTGTTGGTGATGTTGAAATAGTCTCGGTGTTGTCCTTGAATATGATAAAGTTGTCGGTCATTGTCATTGAAAGACGTTGTATGATGGAGGTACTATTGTATTAATGTAACTCATGCCGAGAGACGTAAATATAAGTTATGGAGAAGATTGAAATGAAACTATGAAGAGGGATCTATTCGAAAATGAGTCCGGTTTTGTCATTCTATCATTGGCGGAAGTTTGAGGCGATACCTGTACGGCAAGAAAATGAAACTGCAGCAGTAAATAAAAGTACGACGTACCATCCCGAGCTACATACTCAAGCATTCCCTTCAGAAGTACATGTTCTACCGAGTACTGTGACTGATCTCACGAGGTACCGGCACGGATGGTTTGTACACAATCAGGCAGAAAATGCAGGGGATAGGGCGTCGTGGGCAACATAGGGCCACGACCTACTTGGCTATCTCGGACTGGACAGCGAGATGACAGAATTGGACAACAATGCCCGCCCCAGCCTCAATATCACCTGATTGGGTATCAATCAGAAAAGCCAGGCGAATTGGGGGATACGGGCGGAAAGGCAGCTGCGTAGGCAACAAAGTCAGTTGGTGAGATGGAGGCCTCGTACTATCTTATTGTTTTGCATTTCGTTTCTTTTTTGTGTCCGTGGGTATTCTTTCTACAAACAAACTTTCACGCCAAACTGTTGAAGTGACCGGACTGGTATCTAAATACGTCACTGAGGTCATGTACCAGCCACTCGGTCCAGAAACAGCCTCAAACGTGAAGGCCCAGTAAGGGGGCCTGGGCGACTGGTGCCAAAATGTGCTTTCCGTGAGCCCAATCTCCACCTTTGGGCGCCAAACCCCCAAACATCCGCCTTGGTGGCGAGAACAACAACAACAACAACAACATGCTTGCTCGTCATTAGACATCGCTGTTAGCTTGGGGATTTGGGATTCCTGTCCGTCGTGGAATATTCGCTGGTCAAGAACCGGGGCTGATGCAGTATCTTACTCCTGGACGGCACTATTGTCAGGGCAGCGGCGAAAGGATCTACCGGTTCTACCAGCATTCTTAATTTCTCGCACATTTGTTAGTCTTGGCTTGGTTTTCGTTTTCTTTCGTGTTTCGTTGTCTAACAACTACATGTTGTTTCCGTTTTTGGCTTGCGAATCGCACGGAGAGCGGTGATTCGATGCAGACAGCTGTATGTGCAGCCATGTTCGCTTTTCTGCCTCGTTTTCTTTCTGTTTTAATTTTTCATGTATTCCCTTCGCATATTCTCATAGACATTGTCCCTTTACGTGGTCAACTCTAATTCGGCTGTCTCTCTGCTTAAAATGGCACATCCAGTCGAGCCTCTGTTGGTCTGTTGGTCTGTTGGTCTGTTGGCTTCTGTCGTATCACATCCAGACTCCAGTCATCTGGCCCCTGTACAACCTCGAAAATGAAACACATCGTGACGAGTAGCTATGCTGTATGAAATATATTGTTTGGACTGAAAATGACGCAAAAGAATTGTTGGGAAACAAGATGGGGGCGCCAACCAAGCCAGATTTCCCAGACCGCAGCAGTGGATTGTGGTCTGAAAGCTGTTCTGAGTCACCCCGAGTGTTGACGACCGGAAGGTCCACGTCTCCACTTTTCGCATCGGCAAGTAAAGAAACGCATCGTAATGCACGGCATTACGATTAGGACCCTTTGGCGCGCCTAGTGTTGTGCATCGTGCCATTGAATGGGGCCGCACAGGAAGAACTCTATTGGAAATCCAATATGCCGAGAAACGAACACTTATGGACACGGTCAACCAGTGCAGCACTTTGCCAGTCTCATAAAATCAGCTCGTTGAGTCACATCAGCTTTTACCAACCAAGCGCCAAGCTGCACGGTGGTAAAGAAATTCTACAAAAATAGAAAAGTCAAAAGTTGGACAACTGGTCTCTCGTTCCAACCAAGATGCATGTGGTTGGCCATCTCCCTTAATAGAAAAGCTCAACAGAGCACGAGCAGTTGAGATCAAGCCAACCTAGTGCATGCAACATTAACACCTGATAACACAAGCTTCATGACTGACCACGTCCTCGGCTACGTCGACGTTTACCAGCAAAATGAAATGACGTAGCTTGTTCCGTGTTCAATTCACAAGCATGCGCACTTCTTCACTCTGGCGGTTCTCCACATGCTGCGGACCTTCAGGAGGGAAATGGACGGGATCAGACTGGTTTTCCCAAGTCCGCCGATTTTCCTATGGCCTTTCTTTGTATTCGCTACGATCTCATTGGGTGCAGGGGGCGCTAACTCGTCTGGCCGATCCATTTGCAGAAACACAAACCACAGTATGAATTTTCAATTCCCGAGTTCGGAGGCGAAAGGTCGGAAACAAGGCGATGGTGCAGCCAACCGCAATAGACTGCAGCTAACAGACATGTGCCGTGCATACGACATATTTGCAAACCGGCCTGCCCCTTATTTGGCCGCAGCAGACAACGGGACACCGGACCTGACCGATGTCAAGCTCTGCCCTCAAGTTTGTTTTTGAATTGCACTGTACGGAACATTCTCTCATCGTTTTAACCTCTTCCCTCTCATGCTTTATCGATTAAGAAACAGTCCACGGCGACCAAATGCGGCGAACTTCGGTGTATCCTAAAACAGCATCGGTGCATTTACACGCACCAGGCCTCTGACATATTGCTGCTCCAGTCGACGAATCCCGAACAACGATCGTTTGACAAAGCGATACCACGGCTTAATACACTCTCCCGTTACGTTCATAAAAAGCGGCATTATTTAATCACGTGAGACTGCCAGGATATGGTTACCATGTACTCTCTCTTCCCGCCACTGTGCCGTGTGTGTCTCCAATTAAGCGACGTCAATAAATCAGACTCTCGATTTTTCTTCCTCTACCAAGAATGGAGATGTGGGTGGGTGGCCCCAAGCGAGTGTGTTTCAGTACATGGTCGTCACCATCGTAATAGTGATGTTATGTTCTTGTTCGCAGGTGCACTTTTCAGCGAATTTGTAGGTGTTATATGCCAAAGCATGAAGAGAACACCGCCGCAGCCGGCCCTTGCCCATTCCTTTTACCTTACTTTACATCCCTGTAGGACATGCGTGGGGTAACTACGGAGTATGCAACAACTGTCGTATGCAATGGGAGTTCACAGTGCGGGGTTGTCCATCCCCTGCATTTAGCAACATGATCATTGATTGGTGGGAAGAAGACCCACAGCCGCATTGCCTGCCATCCGCAGCCGACCGCCTAAAAAATTGGCAGAAAAAAATTGGAAGTAAAAAAGGGTCCAGAAAAATTCTCATTGACCAATTGGGGTGAGTCACCCAATACTATTTTCCTCGATTCTGCAGGGCTTGCAGCGCTCATCGGAGGGCGAACCTGCGCGCCTTTAGTGTCAAGTCACCAACTACAAGCCCCTCCTCGCCGCTCTCGCCGCCCTCGCCGCCATCGAACAAGACAGAGAACTTTAAACCCACCCGCCGCTGTCAATTTTTCCAAGGATTCTGCTTTCTTCTGTCATTTTGCTCCTCCCGTCCCAGATCCATCAACGAAACAGTCATACTCACGATTCATCCGACCGAAGAAACTCTTTAAATACCCTCATTTTTGACCTTCTTCTCAATAATCCCTTTTCTTCAATCAACTTGACGCCTCCTCTCTTCTTTCGAACCCTCCCCCCACCCACGGTTCGTAACGACAGCCCTCGACACCATGTCTCCCTCTGCCGACGTCAGCGTAAGTTAAACCAGAGTCACCATCGTCTTGACAGAAATGCTAACCCTCTCATCAGGGCTCAAGCCTGCCCAGCTCGGGTCAACAAGCCCACACCACCCGCAACTCCAATCCCTACCAGCCTGTTGGCGACTTCCTATCCAATGTCTCCCGCTTTAAGCTGATCGAGTCGACGCTGCGGGAAGGCGAGCAGTTCGCCAACGCCTTTTTCGACACAGAGACCAAGATCAAGATCGCCAAGGCCCTCGATGAGTTCGGCGTCGACTACATTGAGCTGACCTCCCCTGCCGCTTCCGAGCAGTCCCGTATGGACTGCGAGGCCATCTGCAAGCTCGGCCTCAAGGCCAAGATCCTGACCCATGTCCGCTGCACCATGGAGGACGCCAAGATTGCTGTCGAGACCGGTGTTGACGGTCTGGACGTTGTCATCGGCACCTCGCACATGCTGCGTGAGTTCTCCCACGGCAAGGACATGGAGTACATCACCAAGAGCGCCATCGAGGTGATCAACTTTGTCAAGTCCAAGGGCCTCGAGGTTCGCTTCTCGTCTGAGGACTCCTTCCGGTCCGACCTAGTCGACCTGCTTGCCCTCTACCGCACCGTCGACAAGGTCGGTGTCAACCGTGTTGGCATTGCTGACACCGTTGGCTGCGCCTCGCCCCGCCAGGTGTATGAGCTGGTGCGCACTTTGCGCGGTGTTGTGTCTTGCGATATCGAGGTCCACATGCACAACGACACGGGCTGCGCCATCTCGAACGCGTTCTGCGCCCTCGAGGCAGGTGCGACTCACGTTGACGTCTCTGTCCTCGGCATTGGCGAGCGGAACGGCATCACCCCCCTGGGTGGCCTCATGGCCCGCATGATCGTCCAGGACCGCGAGTACGTCACCAAGAAGTACAAGCTGCACAAGCTCAAGGAGATTGAGGACATGGTCGCCGAAGCTGTGCAGGTCAACACCCCCTTCAACAACTACATCACCGGTTTCTGTGCCTTTACCCACAAGGCTGGCATCCATGCCAAGGCTATCCTCAACAACCCCAGCACGTACGAGATCATTGACCCCGCCGATTTCGGCATGACTCGTTACGTGCACTTCGCTTCGCGCCTGACTGGCTGGAACGCTGTCAAGACGCGTGTCGGCCAGCTTGGCCTGTCAATGACCGACGACCAGGTCAAGCTGGTCACTAGCAAGATCAAGGCTCTGGCCGACGTCCGGCCCATTGCGATTGACGATGCAGACTCAATTATCCGGAGCTTCCACCTGAGCTTGAACGGCAAGGACGCCGAGGGCAACGGTGCTGAGAGCAATGGCGCTGAGAGCAATGGTACTGAGAGCAATGGTGCTGCTGTTCCAGTAGAGGTGCAGTCCGAGGTTGCCGCGAACTAAACCAACCCGAAGGGAGAACAAAGATCACAGGCGAACCGCCGTCAACAAAATATATGGGAAGTGTCACAACATATTTGGAGTTTTTTCATTTATTTACTTACGTTTTGAGAGGACGGGCATTTTTGACATGGTGCTTGAATGTCCTTGCTAATGTTTTCTTGCTTGTATATTTTTGCTGTTTTTTTTTTTGGGCACCATATTTGGGCGTTTAGAGCACTGATAACATGCGTCATACGTATGTGGTAAATAAAATAATGGAAAGATACAGCGTACTTCCAAAAGACACCATGCATCGCAATCCAGATGACAAAATACATCCGATTGACTACATACAACTGCTGTATTGATGATTTGCGATTTTGCTAGTTTGATTGTCCATGACAAATTGTATTACGCCAGACTCGACAAGAACGCCCGCCTCTTCTTTTCTATTATCTTGACTTGCATCACGAAGAGCAAATTTCGGGTCCTGCTATGTTCTCGTCAGAGCTGCCATTGGCTGGTTTAATTTCTGCGGTACAATTTGTGACCAAGACAATGATATGAAACTTTCGACATCTAAACATTTCGTTTTCATTTGAAACGCAAGTAGCATTTCTGCATCCCAAGTTCACGAGCGAGTGCACCATCATTCACGATCCTTCCATTCCATTCCCGTCCTGCTGTCGATATATGGTTAAAAGTGGAATCATCTTAATATATGCCATTCTTTCTTGAATTTTTATTCGGCGGTTATGACGCTCTTTGTTACACGTTGTAAGCTACATGTGACAACTGAAAAGGTGTTACTGTTGTATTTCATACGTCGTCATCCCGTGGCTCCGCTCCGACAATCTGGGGCAACACCGTCAATTTCAACTACACCATGAGTTACGAAAGATTCATGCATAACATTCTCGCCATCTCTAAACCACACCACCTCCGACATTGGGCGGGCGGTATGCTTTAGTAGTGTGGAGGTACAGAAGAAAACTAAGATGTGTATGTGGTTCCACTATGAGCCAGCATGTGGTAACGAACCATTAACAACCTGCCGTTTGTATATTCCAACCAGTAGCCTTCTGCCGCCCGTCGTTTTGGCACATATTGATCTTTTGCGCATCATTTGTCTACTTCCAAACACGGTTTGCACCTTTAGATATGTCTTGGGACCCTTGTATCTAAAATCAGTTATCGAGCATGTGTGAACATCGCCATCAGTCAAGCGGCAAGTACCGACGCGTTATTTACGAAGGCATTTGATTTTGGCAAAGATTCTCATACCAATACGATGGACGGACTTGTGTCCAACCGTGCCTTGAGGGTGGCACATATTGTGCCGGCCAATTGGATGGACCGTTGCGTCATACCAGAATCAGTTGACACAAGTCAATTATTGACACATATGGTAACGAGTGAAGCTATGATATGACCTCGCTAATAAGTGGAATACACAGGGTCGTACAAAATGCATGCCTAACGCGGCACCAATAGAATAAGAGAACCTCCAACGCTGTTCCCCCGTACCAAACAATTCTGAAGTCACATTTTGTACGAGTGTAGGTACGGCGCACCTCAACCACGACGGACCTGCGATACGGAGAGAAAGGATCGGTAAAGTATCAAGGCCTACGAATTGACTAAGGATTGACTATCTCGACAGAGACCAGATTCGGCCTTAGCGAAAGGGTAAAATCAAACGCGATGAAATAAGAGCCAAAACTGCATAAAAACACTGAATAACTGCCATGTATCGTCGAAATGTGCGTTGTCGAGACCGTTAACGGTATTGTAAGGGCAATATTGCACAATGTCAAGGATGAATTTGGTTGTGCAAGAGTGCAGCTGCATCATCAGATGGGTGCATTTGCGGTGTTAGTAAGGGTCTCTTTGTTATGCAAGCGGATGAGAACCAGAATACCGCGAGGCTCTCAGTGTTTCGCCGTGAGTAGCAACTAATGTTACCGAACAGCGAGAGAGCAGCCAATGCTCTGTCCGTTACCAATATACTTTAGCGCCGTTGTTGATTCACATTCCTCTGCCCAACGCTCACCGGTTCTAGCTTTCAGCTGAAGAAAAAGCCGCGGACCCAATACGGACAAAATGCCAAATCCCTTGCTGATCTCCTCGCTTGCCACATTTTTGAGTTTTGATGCGCAGCTTGGCCTCGGTGTGTTCTACTTTGTGTATGGTGAATACCAACGACGCTACCTGTTGTGTGAGCGCCCAACGTTGTAACTAAAAAGGGACAGGCGGGCGAAAAAATAAATAAATAAAGATATGCAACTAGTTCGGCGTACTGCTACGACATCCTTACAGCCATGTGTAAGGTTATTTTCTAAGTGCAGATTCCATAGGGCAAGACAAGATCGGCGACCGGGATATCATAGTGGACCAAATCGTACACCCGCGCGGGAACACAAGCCGATGCAACTCAGCGATAACTGCACTTTGCTTTCAAAAATATGTTTACTTCCTGTGCCTTAATTTTTGCGTTTCTTAGTGGAACGCTCAATTATTACCGTGTGATCTAACTTTGATTAAATACAGAATTTTGGAGCTGGACCTCTTTGTACAAGTACATCGGTCAGTGTTTGAATGACAAGTTGGACGTTTCGCATTTTGCAGACTGGAGAAAGGGGTAACAACACGCTAGAAAATTGCAAAAATAAAATCATCGGATAAAAAAGAGGCGATCTAAACAATTAGTCGAGCTGATGGTGTCGTGGTCTGACTAGACACCGCGAACAGATCCCTTGCCAATCTTTCCTTACGATCTGGGGTTCCGCAGTAGCCTTTATTGGTCATTTGTCGCGGCTCGCCGTTTGTTTGAAAGCGTGTACCCAGTCCTCGTCTCTGCATTTCTCCTGCTTTAGCGACCGTGGCTCACTTGTGCTCTCCACCTCGCCCTGAACTCGATAGTCTAAGTAGTAGTGCGGCCGGTGCAGTAAGCAACCATTGACAACCAGTCCCGGACGTCGGTTACCAACAAGGGCTGGTCGATCGGGTGGTAGAGTTGAAAATATGTCCGTGCTGGCAAGACAGTTTACAATGAGACGCGACCATGGCCAAATACGTCTGAGAAAATACCATAACGGAACAAGAAGCAAGGTTACAAAAATACACAGGAAGAAATGTAAATAAATATGAGACCAGTTAACTGTAGAGCTTTGACAGTAGACAGTCAACAGCGTGACTCCCAGTGTCTTATAGCTAAACAACTCAGTCTACGTTCAGGGCGATATGCGATGCAGTCGGAGGTCACGTTCTCATTCTGGAACAGAGAAATTAGCCAACAATTGCCCGCATTATCGAACCACTGCAATATTTCTCGTGTCTCGATGGTGGACACCGTGAAAGGAGTTGACGATGAATCCGCGGCAGTCTTAGAAAAGGGAGGCGGGTGGATGGTTCTGATCCGAAGTATTGACCATGAAGGTATTATTTCCGGATACCAGAAGCCTGTACATCCACCTAATTTTTCAGTGTTTCGCAGCGCAGAAGACCAAGGCGATCTCCATGTATGCAACGTTTTGGTTGATCCCCTCCCCTTTTTGGCCCTGGGCACTTACAGTGCCTCTTGTATATTCTTTGTCTCATCTGCCTGACAGCAGGCCTCCTGACTAACGAGATCTACTTTCTTTCGTATTCACGCTCTTTAATTTGCCGTTTGTTTTTCAAGGCTTGGAATACAAGAACCGAATTTGTCATATTACATTGTAGTAGCCAGTCTCACTGTGTTTCTGTCTAGTCCATTTCGTCTTTTGCACACTCTGCTGGCCCTCACCTCCTTCATATCTGTCTTGGATTCACGGCATTCGCTTACTTTTGTTCCCCTCCCTCCCGCCAACCTCCGCGTGCCATTTCTGTTTTGTCCCTTGTAGTCCCTTCTCTGAATCACCAGAGATGTATATGTATATATATCACAGCCACTTCGGCTTGTTCCATCCTTTGAATTTTGTCGTCCTTCTCTCCTAGTCTACCTTTTCTACCTCCTTCTTGTCTTCCATACAAAAAAGTTGTTGTTGTGCTGATAAGAGTACAACAACCTCATTGTTTGGTAATTTCTTTATTTTTTTTCACCTCTCCCGTTTTCAACACCAACCTTCAATATGGCTCGCAAGAACGACGGTGAGCAGCTCACATTTGCTCGGAAGCTTCCGCAGGAAGGCAAAAACCTCTTCGTGGCTGGCATGGCCGAGTTCGTTGGCACGTTTCTCTTCCTGTTCTTCGCACTCGGCGGCACGACAGCTGTCAACACGGCCGGTCCCCAGGGTACAGTCCTGGCTGCCGATCCATCACAGCTTCTGTACATCTGCATCTGCTTCGGATTCTCACTCGCCGTCACTGTGTGGATGTTCTACCGCGTGTCTGGTGGCCTCTTCAACCCGGTTGTCACTCTCAGTCTGGTGCTGGTCGGTGCGGTGGGCCCGGTCCGTGGCGTCGTCGTCTTCATTGCCCAGTTGCTTGCTGGCATTTGCGCTGCGGCCGTCCTGTCTGCGCTGCTACCAGGTCCGTTGATGGCTAGCACCACGCTGCGTGACGATACCAGCATTGCCCGCGGTCTGTTCATCGAGATGTTTGCCACGTCCCTCCTTGTGCTGTCGATTCTTCTCATGGCCGTCGAGAAGCACCGTGCTACCTTTACAGCACCGCTCTGCATTGGCCTCGCCCTGTTCGTGGCCGAGTTGACCAGCATCCCCTACACAGGTGGTAGTGTCAACCCTGCGCGTTCGTTCGGCCCCTGTGTCGCCACGCGCTCGTTCACTCACTACCAATGGATCTACTGGGTCGGCCCCATTCTGGGTAGCCTGCTCGCCACTGTCTTTTACAAGATCATCAAGTTCCTCGAATACGAGACCTGCAACCCAGGCCAGGACGGATGCGGCTTCGACGACCGGCCGTGCAGCATGCAGTACGGCAACGGTGATGGTTCCAACCTGCGCCAACACAACGCGCACGGCAGCATGGGCGGCATGGGCGGTGCAATCGCTGGCGACAACACTGGCCTGGCAAGTAACCACCAACACTCGGGCAGCGACATGTCTGCGCAGCGCAACAAGCTCGACGGCAAGCTGAGCGGCGATACCCATTTCGGCCCAGATGGTACCTACCGCAGCTCGACTGCCACGGTCCCCAACGCGAACGTCAGGGGCACCAACGCCAACTTTGGCAATGTTGGTGGTGTCGACGCCACTGGGTACCGTAACGCCACCAATCTAGAGGCCGGCGTCGACGCGGCAGTCGACGGTTACAATAACGTCCGCGTGTAGTCCTGGTGAGGTATGCACAAGGATAATGGCTGGTTAGAAAGCAACTTACTTGTGTTTTTCTTTTAAGATTTTTGTATGCGTTTGTAATGAAGTTGTGAGAGGATTACGGGAATTTTCGAAATTGCAAAGGCGTGGTTTGGATATTGCTCTGTGTGGTTGTCGCTGGGAAACACCGGTGTGCTGGGGCAGGATGCCGGAACAAATACATCATTGAGAATAAAATAAAACAAAACCTTATCACGTACCCGCTGTATGTACTCCGTACCAATGTACCCTTTGTGATTGTCGTCACCACTGCATACGTCCCCTTTATGGTGTTGCTGATCCTGTGTTCTAGATGCCCTTTCAGTAAGTACGGGCGATGGATACGTACTGGTTCGGTTTGGGCTTCTGTATCTGTAAAAGAGGACCAGTTTAAGTTTGTCAAAAATAGGCGGAGAAAGGTGCCCATAGGGCTGCACCTAGTGCACCGAGTGCACGTTAGCGGCATGTTTCCTGTTTTACCAACCGCACAGCTGGTGTTGTAGAAGAGCCTCAAAAGCGTTCAATTGACAAAATTGGGATAATTGACATTATGCGGGCTTGACCACAAACGCCACGCTGCTATGGTCATACTTTCCGGATCGTGAAAACTGAAATTGGGTCAAAAAAGTGACGCAGTTTCTAACTCCGTTGAGCCTACAACGACATTACGTATTCGGGAAAACGAGATCCCTGGAGGTACAAATATTCCGCACAGTATTTCGTACTTCTGTAAATTACTCAGCAATTGCGTCGTTCTGTGCGGAGTAGTGCAAGAAGCCATGCGGGGCATTGCGACTTTTGGGCTTGTTCCGCTTGTTCCGACCAGCCTTTGACTAAACCAGTCTTGCCTAGCCAATGATCGCACAGTCGTGCCTTCTACTCCTGAAAGGATACGTGATTGCATAATATGCTTTGGATGTCTGCATTTCAAAGGATACTGACAAATGAAGAAATAGAGACCACCATAAGGAGAGGGGAACATCAGAAACAAACCTGAGCAGCGTTATATAACAATCAGTTTATGCACCAGCTCTTGCAGCATCTCAATCGACGAGACAGAACCATCCATCAACGTGGCGTTGCGCGAACAATATTCTCGAGTAGCCACAAGAAACGAAAGCACCTGCAAAACACTATTTATTTACTCACAATGGCCGACGCCTCATCACTCGCAACCAACGGCCCTATCAAACAAGAGCCTACCAACCGCCGCGTGCGCGCCCTTCTCGGCGGTCAGTGGATCTTTGACACGCTGGACGCGGTCTATGTCTGGGAACATAAGTACTGTAAGTGGATCCTGGACAGCCACCTAACCACCGAGTGCATACCTGAATCGTACGTCGTATTAACAACAACAAAACAAAAAACAGACCCTGTGTACTATGTCCCGGTAGCTGCCGTCCTGGCCGGGCCAGGCAAACTCGACAAGAATGACGGGCCCACTGACAATGGCGTTGTCCTTGCCACATTGCAGAGCAACAGCAAGGCTGCCACGGTGACCATTTTCGAAGCCGGTCCGCTGGCCGGGCTTGCTAAGGTCGCCAGCGAGACGCTCGAGTGGTATGCAGAAGACGAGAAACTGCTTGGATCACATCCCAAGGACCCCTATACTCGCATCGAGTGCCTCCCCTCGTCACGCCCTGTACGTATTGAACTGGGCGGCACAGTTCTCGCCGAGAGCCGCAACAGCATCTTCCTGCACGAGACGAATCTGCGCACGCGCTACTACCTGTCCCCGACGTCAGTCAAGGACTGGAGCGTTCTGAAGCCGAGCGAGACGACAAGTTTCTGTCCGTACAAGGGCCAGGCGCGTTACTACCACGTCGTGCTGCCGGACGGACGCGAGGTGAAGGATGGTGTGTGGTACTACCCGTTCCCGACACTGGAGTCAGCGGTCATTCAGAGCCGGTTGTCGTTTTACAACGAAAAGTTTGACGTCTTTGTGGACGGGGTCAAAGAGTAGGCCGCATAACGTATGGTTTTGACGACGAAAGTTCTACTTATGACATGCATATAGGCAAATAGTGTCAAGTCAACAGAATGGTATCGTGCTTCTTCTCAATAAACAAAAGTGGTATATTCGCTCTCGCAGTGTCTCTCCCAGTCACCTCTCCTTCCTGTCAAGCATCCGACGGCTGTCTACCATGTACCATCCCATACTGCTCCTTACTGTGGTGACACCAGTGTCTCACCAGCATGCGGCTCCTTCTTCTCAGTGGGCGTTGCATAGCCCGATGCACCAGCACCGTCGATAGCTTCAGCTTCGATGGCCGTGCGCCGCGTTTTGGGGCCCTTACCCACCAGATCACGGCCAATGGACTTCAATGTGTGCACCAGTGTCTGGCGACCCTCGAAGACAGGGTAGATGCCGACAGCACAGAGCGACAGGAATATCCAGATAATACCGATAGTGACCCAGCCGGTAAAGAAGGGCTTGGAAAAGACGTAACCCGAGCCATACATGGGCATCGGCCACAGCACCAAGAAAGAAACGGCCAAAAAGACCGTGCTTACCTTGCTGATCCTGCCAGCACGCGTGAGCTTCTTCTGCTCTTCCTCGAATTCGGGACCAGAAATTGCAGTGGCAGCACGCGGGGCGGGCACGCTGTCCTCCAGGTCGGCGTCGACAGCTACACCATCCACATCGACATCGGCGTCGTCTCCCTGGCGAATGTCCATCATAGACTTCCAGTCATACTTGTCTAGGCCGAAGATGAGCGTGAAGACCGGGATCAGGACGAGGGGCGAGAGCAGGGCCACGACATTGCCAGCCAGCATGGGTTCATTGGAGCCAGTACAGTCGACGTCAAGCACACCGCACTGCTTCTTGGCCGTGACGAGCCACGCAACAAGGGCCAGGGCCAAGCCCAGGACGGGCGTGAGTGAGGCAGCCCACTTGTTCTGGCCGGACCAGGTGAGGGTTAGCGTCACGGGCAGAACGGCCGACGAGACGATGACACCCATCATGAGGTACAGGTAGCCCATGCTGATGCCGGCATACCAGAGACCGACGGAGAAGCTGGCAATGAACAGGGCGTAGCCAACGACCATGCAGTGGCTCATCCACACAAGGCGACGACCGCTGGCAGCCGGGTTGATGTATGTGCGGTAGATATCGTAGGTAAAGATGGACGAAACAGCGATCAGCTCCGACGATGTGGCAGACGTCACGGCCATGAACACAATCAGCAGCGTCGCGGCAGCGCCTCCCTTCCCGAGCAGTGCAACGGCGGCATATGGCAGGACCAGACCGGCCGAGACCTCGGACTCAGCCATGCGGTTGGGGAAAGTTGGAAAAACAGGGTTGGACTCGAGGGCCAGTGCAGCCAGACCCAGGGTTGTGGAGGCCAGGAAGGGAATTGCGAACCAGCTCAGGCCGCCCATGATGTATCCGGGAAGGGCGTGGACGGGTGAGGCGGCAATGGCCTTGTTCCAGTAGCCGTTGTCGTTGAAGATGGTGGCAAAGTTGCCGGCAATGTTGATAACAAAAAAGATGGCGCCCTGCTTCGAGCGCATGGTGAGGTAGCTGCCGTGCGCGTTGCCGTCAATGGGGTGGTCGTTGGCCGCCTGGACAAGTAGGTCGTACACGGCCGCCGGCGAGCCAAGGAGATCGGAAGACGCGTAGGTCGTCAGCGCAAAGATAATGAGAATGATGAGCAAGATAAAGGTGTGGATCCAGTCCGTCAGGATCGTGGCCTTGAGGCCGCCCACGAGCGTGTACGCCACGACACCCAGTGGCAGCAGGTAAATGGCCGCGATTGTGTGCATTCCGGTCAGGGCATTGACAGTGGCTGAACCACCAATGATGAGCATCAGTGACACGAGGATGTTGGTGGCCAGGCCGAAGACGAGGAAGACCATGTGGGCCACGGTGCCGTAGCGCGCCTTGATGATTTCAAGAAAGGTGTGGGCATTGGGAGCACGGCGCTTTAGCTCAATAGCGAGGGTAGCAAATAGCAGCACCTGGACGGTGGCACCAGAGGCATACCAGAAAGGGCCAGAAACACCGTAGCGGTAGCAGACGGCTGTGCTCTGCAAAAGTGTGGCGGCCCAGGTCCACGACGAGACGACAGCAGAGCCGACCAGACCCGACTTGACGGTACGGCCAGCTGTTGTGAACATTTCTGACGTTTGCTGCTCTGCGTTGTAGCGCTTGAGAATGAATGTAACGAGGATCATGCCTGGACACGGGATCAAAAGTTAGTACGGCATCGGCTGGGAGCCACTGCATAGCTGGTCTGTGACAAGACTCACCAAGGGCAAAGGCGAGGCCGAGGCCCAGCACCACGCCATATCCGACGCCCTGGTCAAGGGCCGGAGCAACCATTTTGCAAGTTGTCTGAAGATCGAGACGGGATGTGACGAGGTGACAATAAGGGGAAAGTGGTATGATGGAAAAGAAATGTCAGAAATTTTGAAGCATACGAATTAAGGGACTGTGATTGGTACTCGTGTACAGTGTGAGTTCTTGAGACGAAGAGGCTTCGATGATGAAGCAAAATAACATTCGTCACAGACAGGCTGATCATCCCCTCTATATATAACTAGCGAGATAAGTGACGTTAAATATTCAAGAAAACATGGAATGGACGGCTTAGGCCATGTGAACAGAACTTTGAACTTGAGCTCCGATAGAGATAACGGTCTAAGTTCCATTCGATGGCACGGTGTTGCCATATTCAGCATCTTGATAACAATGCGATACTTTGAGTAAGTAAGATGGGACAAACGAACCACCAAAATAGTAAAGAAATTAAGAATATCGGACAAAACAAAAAGCCAAGATCCACGGCGGGGGGGTAGGACAATCTCTGGCAAATCAGGGCCCGCTTAGTGCGGTGTTAGCGGTCCTACTTTGTACTCGCAGTTAAGACCATCCCAAGAACGAAAGCAAGACACAAGGCACAACCAGGATTTCAAACAACAAGGACTGAACGATAGACCGAGTGGCAATAAGTACGAACGTCCGTTAATGGCCAAAGCTCTTTCGTAACCTCATAGCTGCCTTCTCGTTCACCGCCGCGTGCTAAGATCCAGGGCGCCAAACAACTAAAAGCGGCTTTCAGTTGGGACAGCCTAAACAGCTCCTGGTGGAAAATACAACGAAATCCTGGAGTACCACGCCCCATTACACGCTGTTCTTGTTCGCAGGATTTCAGGTCAAGGCTCTGATTTGTGATCGTGTGTCGTGTAATTCAAAAGCCACGAGAAGCTGTCTAGGTAGCGGGTAACGAGCGGGTCTATGAGCATCGACAGTGGGCTGAGGTGGATCATTGTCGCGATAATTCTGAGCAGATTATCATGGACAAATTCAATGAGGTACAACATGGCCTAACCTGTCTGCCAATCAAACGGCTTTGTCTAGCATCATTTACACAGTACTTTGGGCCAGGCCAAGCATCCTCCGATAAGCCCTGGGGAAAGACGAGATACGAACACAAGGGTAAGGAATAACTGAAAAATACACGGAGTTACAAATTCAGCTGAAAGGGACCAGTTTCTGCGACAGCCAATAGCGTGCAAGTGATAAGAAAACAACGGTTCACATTGTGTTTTAGGAAATGCTTAGCGCGGCCCGGTACCTGTCCAGCGAGCTTGTATGGCGGTATGGCATAGGCGATCTTGGCGTGCATGCTAAGGTGTGTATTTGGACTGCCGAAGGAACGACCACCTAGACCAGCCGCAGCATGGACAGTAAGATTTAGACTGCAAGAGTGACAAGTGGGAAGGCGACATAGAGTAGATATTCGGAAAGAGTGAGACAGAAGGGGGCATTGTAAAACGACAAAGATGCGAGGATATCAAGCGAGAAAAGGGACGCCGAAGGTGGTAAGAGACACATGCGATCTCGGAAGAGATACGCTATCGACATGTCGCGTGCTTTTCCAAAAGGACTTCGACGGGAAGGGGAGGGGTGGGGGGGGGGGGGGGGGTAATGGTCAGTCATAACTATTGCTCATTTTTGTAATTGCCTTTTGTCTCCCCACAAGAAAGCTTATCCCCACGTTAACTTCTCCATATTGACGGTTTCTTTTCGGGATTTTCAGCTTCTTCCTCGCTTCATTCAATCCCGCCACATCTAATTTTGTCATTCTCGCTGGGTTCGTCTTTAGATGTCTGATAAAGAATACCTGGAGTTGATTGGTCAACATAAGGGCCTCCAGTTAATCCCTGTTCCGGAGGTGGCCGTTCATCATTGTCGGACGAAAGGGTCTCAAGTGTTCAACTGGTACTCCGTATTACTTGGTTACATTTACAGTTTCATTTTCTGTGTTTCAATGAATTGTCAATAAAAAGCAGAACGTAAACGCCAAAGTACTTGACTAGTTTACCCACGTGCCTTACTGTCAAGATTTTCACCATAGTTATAAGCATTCTTCCACCTTCAGGTTCCACATGTACAGACGAACACCGCTACATTCCCTAGTCAATCATCAACCATGAAATCTATCCAAATATCCTTCCTATTTCCCCCACCCCGTTGTTGAGCTATTTTACCTGAGATCGTGGGGGAAATGCTTTGGCTAATGGCAAAGTCAACTGTCCGCCGCAAAATCAAGTCTGGATATCAAGACAGCGAGGCTCAAACAAGAGCTCATGAGATGGCACTGGTGTGGATTACAAGTCGGGTCTCCTCATACTGGATCCTCGCTTAATTTTGATAAGATGTTGTAAAATGGGGAAATAGTCACACATAATATGCAAGTACGATGCACACCATGAGCACGCTGCATCTCAAATGTCCAGGTATTACCAAAGTGTCAGCTGTCAGCTGCCAGACATCAGAACCGCGTGCTATTCCGTACAGGAAGTCGAGTTTAGATGCAAATAAATCATACGTTTGGGTATCCTCACATATCTGTTGACTAATATTGGAAGCCACATATATTTTATTTTGTTTTCCACTTTTGATTTTCGTCTTATTCTAGCGCTGTACTCCATTTGGAACAAAGAATTATTTGCTTGGCATCAAGTTACGTACAAAACTAACAGAATATCATATAAATATGTACCAAAAAAATGCACTACGTTTGAATCACACATCAACTGACCATTTTCTACTTTTTCCAAATTATGTGACCACTGGCAAGTATTGATATGGCCCGGGCTTAACTCGTCTATTGAAAATGAAGAATCTACGTTTTGCAGCGCCATACTTAACAGGTACATGATAATAATAGTTATGAATAGAAATGAGAGCAGAGAAAGGTGGTCGGAGGTTACTCCTGGGGTGGCTTATAACTCTTCATCACGTCTGCCAATCAGTTGGACTCTGCAAACATCGTGGCACGATTTTGCTGTTTCCGTAAAAACTGGCTGTTAAGATTCACGTACAGCTCAGCTTCAAGCAGCAATTATGCCTCTTTCTTCCTTGTGGCCAGAGTCATTGCTACTGGCCACTCGACTTCAATGGTACCGTTGGGTCCGGAGCAAACAATTGCCTCCAACTCTTTCCACTCCTCCGACGCCCAAGTTTTCTCATCAAATCCCATCTGTGAGCTGGCCAAGAAGCCACGCAACCACGCGACGTCCGCTCGACGTCCCCATGCTGCATCTTGGACATATTCCAATACGTCTGTTGGTGACACAAATGTCGGGGCCTCTTCCCATAGGGACGGATCGTTGTCAACAAAGTAGAGTGGCCGTTTCTCGTCCTTGGTCACATTGATGTATGTGCGGCGTACGCCCTCCTCGAAAAGATTTGAGGGGAATGCCACAAAGTCCAGGCCAGTCATGGCCCGTGCAAGACCGCGCGTTGCTGCAGGAAACAACTTTCCTTCACTCATGAGTCGCAGTGTTGCGCGGCTGGTGGTTTTGTACCAAAGCTCTTCAGCTCGTAGTTGACCAGGGAACAGTAGACGGAATCCGTAGGTAACGGCAGCAAATGTGCCGCCCGGCTTCAGGGTTTGAGCTACAGCACGCACGGTAGCAGCACTTTCCATGTAGTGGAACGCCATGCAGATGGATGTGAAGTCGACGGACGCTGGTGATAGCCACTCGGCTGTCTTCTCAGCAGGAATTCTGTGAAACGTGAATTTTTCGCGTGGTTTGAGACTGGCCTCAGCAGTCGCCAAGTTGGAGGCACCGGCGTCGGATACAAACACCATTTTGAAATGCGGACCGATGGCCGTGGCAGCCGTCCCGGGACCTGTACAGGAACATAAGCCATGGACTTGATCCATGCTCGAAAAGCGGGTGCCTTAACTCACCACATCCTGCGTCGTGTGCAATCTCAAATGCGCCACCATGGTTTCGATGGTAGTCGAACCATTGTTTCCACATAGACTCTGGATAGACTGGACGAAAGCGGTGGTATGCTTCCCAATCAAGGTTCTTGAATGCAAATACGTATTTGATATCACGTTTTCCGTCGGCATCGACTTCGGCCTCGTGTCGTTCCGCCAGGACGGATTGGACGGATTCGATCTTACTCGCCATGGTAGTAAGTGATTTGAATGAAGCCGAAGTCAGGAAGAGAGTAGCAAGTGCAACACCCAGGGCGAATCATTGGGGTATTTGAGGGAAAAGAGAAAGTGGAATAAATCAAAAGCTTTGAGCAAAAGCAGGAATGATCTGCTCCGTAACGAGCGGCACCAGTATTGAGAGCGATGGACGATGCTCCCTTTGGGAGATATTTGTGCTTTAGTTAGAGCACAAGTACGAGCTAGGCTAGAAAAGTAGAAAGAGAAGACGAAAACTGTAAAAGAAAAATACGATAGCGTCTAGCACATCACTTAGGAACGGAGCAAACAGAAATGCAAGGAGGCTAGTGAGGCCCGACCGTTTTTGAACGTGAAGGGCTCATGGGACAGGACGAGAACTGGACTATGAAGCTTGGCAATCGTCAAGGTCTTTTGCGGAGTAAGACTCACTTTAATATTTAGCAAGAGAGGCCCAGGAGAACTCGCAAAGCCAAGGACACCAGCGCTAACTCTGCGGCGGACGACGAAGCCGGTTTGGACGGGGACGGAGGGGGAGACGAAGAGCGCTTCGATATAAAAGCTGCTAGAAGAGCCCAACAAGAATCAGACTGAGTCTATGGCGCTCCACGGGGTTTAGTTCTACCTATGGGTGAGAGTGAAAGAATGCATGGAAAGGTGGGTATGAACAAGTAAAACATGTATCCCAAAAGTAAGCACGCCCAGAACTGGACGGTTTCTTGCTTGCCATGGCGACCTGTCCATTTATTGTTTCTGGTGTAGAAATTTCAAAAGGAGGAAAGCGATGGCGCTAGACGGCCGTCCACAAAGGGTAGAGAACAAAAATACAATAATACCCAAGTGAGAGGCTCGCCTGCATGGAGAGGGCCCGGTCCGTCGCCTGGCCCCTGCATTAAATTCGGTAACTACGCCGCTCAGTAATTAGGACTTGCTCCCAGTGTTGCGTATTTGAGTGATAAGGGCCGCGAAGTTTAGATGATTCTTTGACGAGGAGAAACAAAAAAAAAGAAGCAAGAGGTTTCAAACGCTTCTCATCCCCCAGTCCGTTTCCTTTGTCGCATGCTGAATAGATTTGTTGGTAACACTACATTTATGTGGCCCCCTACAAACGATATGATATGCACAAAAATGGCCCGCGCCGACGCGAAAAGCACATTGCATACAACCGTAAGCGCTTGGTTGTGTTTTGTTGTGCTGATGAGCTGGAGCGAATTCGCAGTTTGTACCGGTGACAGTGCGCCAGTAGATCAGGCCTAAAAGTGATAAGGGCAACGCCCTGCAGGGAGGAGCTGCACTTACAATAAATATGCAAGCCACTCCGTATTACAACATAATAGAGCAAATAAAGCAACTTGTGGGTAACAGTAGGAAAGCTGAACTGAAAGGAATCGTGGGCTTCGAAACACAACTGCATTGAGTCTTACGAGGAATGCATATTGATTTACACGGTATGAGAACTGAGTACTAGGTTTCTCTCTCTCTCTCTCTCTTCTCTACCCGCTCCCTTTAAAGATTAAGTAAAGGGAATAAAATAATGCGTTTCTTTGTCAAGCCACAGTCCAGATTCAGATATACGGGTCGATAGGGATATCAAATATAAAAAATGTGTGCATCTGGACCGTTCATTCAGTATCGTTCAATACGCTGTGTATTCTTATTCAGAGGCTGGAAACTGACCCCGTGATGCAGAGTACACACTGAAGTAGCCGGACGAAATGAACGTTGAGACTAGGTCGTACTACATAAGCGATCGCCAGGCCATCAGTTTTCGGGGCAGGAGCCCAATATCCCGTAGCTATGACCTACATCACGTCCGTCACTTGGAATCCCATCCTTTCCGCTGCGCTACGTCTGTCGGCCATTCGGCTGTAAAGGATACACAACATGTAAAGCAGTATGCGGAAGGCCTCCGCTCCGTAATTCGGAGGCCGCAACGCAGCCTTGGACTTTGCAGACAATATTGCAGTACGGTGAGGGCCAAGTAGCACGCGTTCTATGGGAGACTCTTATTTGAATGGTTCTTGCTTGGTTTCTCGCTGCAAAACGATAGAATAAAAATGACATGAAATGTCAAAGGCAATGTGTCTTCACGCTATGTATTACAGTGGCTTATCCAAAATATTCAAATCTCGTGTCAAACCGCTCTCGCAAGTTTGAAAAAAGGCATTCCAAGAGCCAAGTACTACACACAAAACTTCCGTGTTTTTGACTTACACGGTCTCTATGTAGCGTTTCATTTCCCTAACAAAAAATGGTCAGTAACAACGTCAACACTGCCAAACGAGAGAAGAAAACTAAGGGCAAACATACCAGTCGGTCACAGCCTCGTCCCACTGGCGTATCTCGTGGTTACGAGTCCCGCCGTAGTGGTCGACAAACTCGTCTCCCAGCACCTCGCGCGCAATGCTCTCCTTGTGCATAAAGCGGTCGTTGGCCTCTCGCAGGCTGCGTGCTAAGCGAATACCACCATCGGCCTCACTGCCCACGCCCTCGCCCTTGCCCAGAGGGGGACACGGGATCTTCAGCTTCCTCTCGACGCCGCGCCAGCCCAGCGCCAAAATGGCGGCGAGCACAAAATGCGGGTTGGCGTCGGCGCCAGCAACACGCACCTCAAAGCGCGTGGCGCCCGCCTTGGAGCCTGGCGGACCAATCAGTCGAATCGACGCTTGGCGGTGTTCGTATCCCCAGGAAACGGTAACGGGTGCCCAGAAGTTCTCGACGAGTCGCTTGTAACTGTTGATGGTGGGCGCAAGGAGCGGCATGACGTCCGGCAGCCCCTCGAGAATCCCGGCAAGGAATTGGCGACCCAATTCCGAAAGATTGGCAATATCGGGCCACGCGGCATCGTCATCGGGGGCGTCGCGTGCTAGCAGATTCTTGCCGGTCTTGGAGTCGACAAGCGAGATGTGGATGTGGCCACTGTTGCCTGGCAGGCCCTGCTTGGGCTTGGCCATGAAACAGGGGGTAATACCGTAGGGTATGGCGACGGACTTGACCACAAGCTTGAATAAACTGGCGCGGTCGGCCATCTCTTGGATGTCGCCAAACTGGAGCGCCGCTTCATAAACCCCCGGGCCACTCTCGGTGTGCCAGCCCTCGATGTTGCAGGCAAACTTTTCGCACGTCTCAAAAACTTCGTAGTAGTAGTCCTTGTTCGCAGCGGGGCGCGTTAGACTGTAGCCAAACATGCCTTCAGTCAGTGGTGGTAGGGTATGTGGCGGGTTGTTGGCCAGGTAGGCTGCAGTCGAGGGTTGGCGGGCAATTGCATTGTTGGGCGCCGAGTTTCCATCTGTCGGCGTCAAGAAGTGAAAGAATTCGTACTCAGCTGTCGAGAAAACTTGTCAGCCGTCGACCTCGGTATAAATCAGACACGACGTGGTACATACCGCCGGCCATGGCCCCGTAGCCTTGGCTGCTGATCTTGTCGACTTGAGTCTGAAGCAGGCCGCGCGGACACGCACATATGGGCTCCTTGCTGTCCGGGTCGAAGAAGCGCAAAAGCACAAACGGCACATTGTCCTCCCACGGTATCCGCCGAAACGTTTTGAGGTCGGGGACGGCCAACAGGTCGCGATAGCCGTTTTCTTTGTTGCTGACTTGGAGCTCCTGGAAGTACGTCTGATCGTGCATGTCCCAACCGAAGATAACGGAGCAGAAGCCAAAGCCGCTTGTTGCAATCGACAGAAACTTAGCCTTGGACACAATCTTGCCGCGTAGAATGCCGTCCACATCCACGCCAGCAACCTTGACTTTGGTGTCGTGCTCGAGAATGGCCGGCAGCCGCTCAGCCGTGACGTGTTCCGCAGCCATGGTGACGTGGCCCGGCAGAGAGACGACGGGCGAAGTGCTGTTGAGAGAAAGAAAAGAACATGTACAAATCACAAAAGCCAGAAACTCAAAAGCCAAAACCGCGGGGGAAGAAAGATAGCAAAAGAGTGTAGACGACACGAGTGTTGGAAACTTGGCAGTCTGTGAAGCTGACGATAAGATCGGTGAAAGGACAAGTGCGGGGCCAATCGTCAAGCTCCCTTGACAGCGCAAAATGACCATCTTCCTACGCCCTGTACTTTAGTGACAGACGCCGAAACGGGGTCTGGGGGGGTTCTGTAACGTTCCTGGTATCTTACTGGCGCCCTTAGCCTCACCGTTTCGCTGGCAAACAAAAGTGGTGAGCACGTAAAACGTACTTTGCGTGTCTGCACCTCGTAATGGGTAAGCGCCGACAAAAGGACGCCTTAAATTTGGGATCCATGCCAACAACCCCTTCCGTTGTTTGTCGTGTTAATGCTTTGAGGCCTTCCCGGAGCACAAGGTGCCAGCCTCCTGAATTGGTGCACACGACAAAACCGGGCGCATGTCGTGTGCTGTAGTGCTGATAGAGGCACGTGTATTTTTTCCTCTCGGACAAATGCACAGCGGGCGGCCACTGAAATCCGGACAGGTCTGGTCTAGACGTAACTAGCCTGGCTGGTCGTATTACCAGCGACCGAAATACGGGGAACAGCCAATGATTGCAAGCTCCAAAACTGCTGCAACAAAAAGCGAGCCACCGAGCCACTTAGGAGCACCCCTGTTCCTGCCATGGGTCGTGCCTGCCGCAGGATCTAATTACTGTGTCTGTCTGCCGTTGTCGGCGGACATTGGTCCGTGACGCATCCCAATGCGGAAGGGACAAGCGGCGCAAACACTGGGCATCCAACATCACCGTGCAAAGGCCATCAGTCCTTATCTGAGAACCTATCGAGGTAGTAATTGGAATTCGCCGTTAGAAAGGCGCATTCTGCCTCTCGTGCCATATTCTTCTCCTTGGCCTGTTTTAGTTTTGTCAAGTTGTGAGTTTTCTTTCATTTTCCCTTCTTTCAAATTCATCTTTTCTTGAACAAGATTTCCCCAGCGCGCCTTCTTCATTCGCTCCGCCGTCGCCGTTTCGAACTCGACCCCACCCACCGCCTGTCCACCCTTCTTGGCAACCTCCTTATCGTGAACAGTCTCCTGACTCGACACCCCCTCCACACCATCCGAAATTCTTGACATTCACATCCTCCACAAACCGCATTCTCTATATCTCATCAAACGTCACGACACGGTCCTCAAAAGCACCAAGAAAGACATCTACAGGCAGTTCAACCTCCCCTAGTCACTGTATAATGTCCTCGGCCGGCCGCCTCGCGGGCAAGAATGCCATTGTCACCGGTGCTGCTGGGTAAGTTGGCACTGCATCTCCTGGCGTGCACCGCATTTTCCGGCAATTTCCGTCTGGGTGTCTACTGACTCCACTTTGTTCACTTTGTCTGCAGTGGCATCGGCTTAGAAACAACAATCTTGTTCGTCAAGGAGGGCGCCAATGTCCTCATGTCGGACATCTCGGCCCCGGCACTCGAAAAGGCCCTCGCCAAGGTCAAGCAGCTGCTACCCGATACCACGGCCCGCGTCGAGACTGTGGTCTGCGACGTCTCCAAGGAAACCCAGGTGAAGGCCATGGTCGAGAGCCTCGACGCTTGGGGCGGCCTCGATGTGATCTTCAACAACGCGGGCATCATGCACGCGCACGACGACGACGCCGTGGAGACCCCCGAGGAGATCTGGGACCTGACCCACAATATCAACGTCAAGGGCGTGTGGTTCGGTAGCAAGCACGCAGTGCTGTCGTTGCGGCGCCACAAAAAGACCAAGGGCTCCATCATCAACACGGCGTCGGTGGTCGCACTCGTCGGCTCGGCCACCCCGCAGCTCGCCTACACGGCATCCAAGGGCGCGGTGTTGGCTATGACACGCGAGCTAGCGATTGTGCACGCGCGTGAGGGCTTCCGGTTCAACTCACTGTGCCCGGCGCCACTCAACACCCCGCTGTTGCAGGACTGGCTGGGCGACGACAAGCCGAAGCGGGCGCGGCGCGAGATCCACTTCCCGACAGGCCGGTTTGGCGAGGCCATTGAGCAGGCGCAGGCCGTTCTGTTCCTGGCGTCGGACGAGTCCAGCTTTGTCAACGGGCACGACATGGTGGTAGACGGTGGTATGACCAAGGCGTACGTGACGCCCGAGGGCCCAGCTGCCGGTGCGCCGGTCAACAACGCCCTGCGGGACTCTCTGTGATACCTAGGCTGCTGCCCCCGATTTTTATGAATAGTAATGCGACTGCAAATTGCGCAAATCGAATATGTTAAATCGCACAAAAAACGAACAGACGAACCGATGCGGTTTTCCTGCAGTACATGTACCCTCAATGTTCGGTTCTTGGCATATGATTTCACCGTCACGTGTTAATTTGCCGCGCCTACTAATGTGGTGGGGGGTGGGGAAAACAGCTGAGGGGCAAGTTGGCTTGTGACATTGGCCAATAGAAGACAACAACCCTGCCCAGGCGACTGTCAAATAACCGCACTGGTAGCCGTGGCGGCCAACCAAGGCCGCTGAACCGTGCCCGCTAAGGCGGCTTTCCTCGGTTCATTCTGGTTTGAGGAAAAGCAGCTCGGCTTGGATAAGAGGAACCGAGAAGCGCAAAGCACACCGGGGATGAGAACATGACGAAGGAGGGATGGTGCCGCAAACTGGTCCCTGATTCGGAAAGACGACGTTCTGCGTCGCGTATAATTTTTTTCTCTCCTCGTGTCCTGTTGTCTTACTTTCTCTTCCTCTCTTTCTTCTTCGTTATTTTTCTCCCCGCCTGTCTTTGTTCCTTTTCCAAGCAACAGAACAAAACTCCTGCTCCCCACCCACATCACTTCACGATGAGTGCCCGGACTACTACGAGAGCCTTCGGTGCTCTGCGCGTAAGTAACCATGTTGGCATCTGCATCGAAGCATCTTTGTCCATGTATTGAATGCACTACTAACCACCCCGTCAGCCCCTCGGCCGCACCTCGACGCCGCTGGCTTTCCGCCCCCGCCACTACTCTGCGTCTGCCGAGCCCGACCTGAAGGCCACACTTAAGGAAGTCATCCCGGCCAAGCGCGAACTGCTCAAGAAGGTCAAGGCCAATGGCAGCAAGGTCATTGGTGATGTCAAAGTTGAGAACACGCTTGGCGGAATGCGCGGCCTCAAGGCCATGCTGTGGGAGGCCAGCGTGGTCGACCCCGAGGAGGGCATCCGCTTTCACGGCCGTACCATCAAAGATTGCCAGCGCGAGCTTCCCAAGGGCACGACCGGCACGGAGATGCTGCCTGAGGCCATGTTCTGGCTGCTGCTGACGGGCCAGGTCCCTTCGACTGCCCAGATCCGCGCCTTCTCGCGCGAGCTAGCCGAGAAGTCCGAGCTGCCTGCCTTTGTCAACAAGATGCTCGACGATCTCCCGGCGGACGTGCACCCCATGACACAGTTCTCGATGGCCGTATCGGCGCTGAGCCACACTTCCAAGTTCGCTGCTGGCTACGCCGCCGGCCTGAACAAAGCCGACTACTGGGAGCCTACGTTCGATGACTGCATCAGTTTGCTGGCCAAGCTGCCCACCATCGCCGCCAAGATCTACCAGAACGCCTACAATGGCGGCGGAGCCCTGCCGGCCAAGGTCGACCCCAACCAGGATTGGTCATACAACTTCGCTGCGCTGCTCGGCAAGGGCGGCAAGGAGCACGAGGATTTCCAGGACCTGCTCCGTCTGTACCTCGCCCTCCACGGTGACCACGAGGGCGGCAACGTCTCGGCCCACGCCACCCACCTGGTCGGCAGTGCCCTCAGTGACCCCTTCCTGAGCTACAGCGCCGGTCTGCAGGGTCTGGCTGGCCCGCTGCACGGTCTGGCGGCCCAGGAGGTGCTCCGCTGGGTCCTCCAGATGAAGGACGCCATCCCCGCCAACTACACGCCCCAGGACGTCAAAGATTACCTATGGTCGACCCTCAACTCGGGCCGTGTCGTGCCTGGTTACGGCCACGGTGTGCTGCGCAAGCCCGACCCGCGCTTCGAGGCCCTCATGGACTACGCGGCCACCCGCCCCGCCATCTCGGCCAACCCCGTCTTCGCCATCGTCAGAGCCAACAGCGAGATCGCTCCTGGCGTCCTCAAGGAGCACGGCAAGACCAAGAACCCCTACCCCAACGTCGACTCGGCCTCGGGTGTCCTGTTCCATCACTATGGTTTCCACGAGACCCTCTACTACACGGCCACCTTCGGTGTCTCGCGCGGTCTGGGCCCTCTGGCCCAGCTCGTCTGGGACCGCGTCCTGGGCCTGCCCATTGAGCGCCCTAAGAGCATTGACCTCAAGGGCCTGCTTGAGCTGATCGAGAAGAACTAAGTCGGTATCTGTTTTTCTTCTTTGAACGAATGGGGGATTAAAAAAAAAGAACTCGAAGGGGATCTGCTTTTGGTTTATTTCTTAGTATGTTTTCACGTTATGTTTTACGTTTCAAATGATAAACTAGAGCCAAGACCAGGAACAACGAGCTTTCTGTACGACTTAAGCAATGAAATGATACAGCGAACGGTGAAATTCTTCAACAGACGCATGTCGCCACAAGCTACCTCGCAATGCTTCAACTCCACATAACACCGCGGAAATGCAACGGTAAATGGATCAGCTGTCAGGAAGTCGAAGACGGCTAATCAATTAACCGACATCATGCCCTCGGCTCTTTTACTGCACTTTATTGGGGGTTTGTGCTTATTTTAGGTTTTGTTTTACGTTTGGTTTTTTGGCATTGCTGAGTGATTTTATGCGTGGTTTAAAGCGTCTTTGACCGCCTTCTCCAAAATTTACCCCTGGCGCTTTCCCATACCCGCCCCTGTCCCTCTGAAAAAGTTACGCAGCAAACGTGCTCCATTTAGCTCAGTGGTTCGTGGGGAAATGGCAGTCTTTGCATTGCCGATGTAAGCTGAACCATGGAGATAGATCATTGAGCCTGAGATCAGTGGCGCTTTCGGCCTGCGCCTGGCCGCCGTTAGACCTGGCGATATGCATCATCATCCAGGAACAGACATCAGTCACTACGCAACGACGCCTGACTTTTTAAAAACAACAAGCAATGAAGAACCAGCGACGCACGGTTGTCATCGACTCCTTACTTATAAGAGGCTCTCCGTCCAGTGAAGGCAGATGCATTATAGCGGGAACGGGCTGTATGTCGGAAGACAGATACAAGGCGGCCCACCCCCGCTCGAGTATGCTGGCATTGCATATTTGGTTCTCTTCATGAACATCTATACGAGCGCCATGATATGGCGAGCCTGAGTATGGTCATTCCGGCTTCCCGGGCCAATTCAGTTGGTGGGACGGTCCATTCGGAGTATGCGTAGCCAAACACGTAAACAAAATGCGTAAACAAAATGCGTAAACAAATGCAGATTATAACAACGGTCCCTTTGAGCCAAGAGAGACAAATTGCAATGATCAATTAACTTCTCACCAAAGACGACGAGGATCAAAAGTCCACCAAGAGAACGGGGACAATCATCCTATGGATGATCAGTCGACTTTCTCAACTTAAGCTTATTTGAAGCAGTCACTAGCAATATAAAAATAAAAATGTATGTGTCCATCCGCGAGGTCCCATCCAGCCGTCCGTCTTAAAATAGCACTGTCTATAGCATCCACATAGGATCCCTTGTATATGTCGTGCATCCATGGTATTCCGGGCTACGGTGGTCAGGTGTTCGTCCTTGTTAATTTCGTCTACTTTTCGCCGCGTTTACTGAATTTAGAATTCCCCAGTCAAGTTCATTACGCGCCGCTCCAAGAAATGCACAATGAACACAATTCGTCTTGATACAATCATATGATCAACTCCACAGCGACAGGCCCGTCTTACCGTTCACTTCAATACCCATGAAAGACGCATCCCTCCGGTCCTTGGTCCGGTTTTCCACTAGCATGCCTTTGCTCGTCCCGCCGCCCAATAATTGTTATTGTTCGCCAAATTCGCTTTCGTGCCTCGTATACAAAATAGTTCCTGGAAGCAAACTCTTGGGTCGGCCGTCCGGTCTCCATCAAATCAAGGGAATAGATTGCATTGACGTAGCTTTGCTTGGTCCTTGTGTTGAGCAATTTTGGCCCTCTCGGCAAGAGACGGTCTAGACTTTAACCACAATCGTTTATTTGATAGCCGTAGCTCGTTGTCCGGTCGAGCCGCCAGTACGCAGTAATGCAGCATGGAACAGAGAACGACCAATAAGAGGAATCGCGGAGGTGTCATATCCCGCCCGTTCCAGGGTCACCACTTCGTATTGAGTCCGCCATGTTCTCTGTTGACCTCAAGATCTAGCTTGTCTTTTTAACTGAAGAGGTCGATGGCCTCTTTTTGTATTTTACTCTATACGTTATCCTTATTATTAAGTGAAAAAAGTGGTATGTTATTGATGTGTATAATAAAAATCGAAATCGTGAAATAACCGAATCTAAACCCAGAAAATGAAATAAAAATAATAAAAAAATAAAAATAAAACATTTTAGGTACAATATGTACGTCAAGAACGGAGTACTTTTCCAAATACATCTCAACTTATGATCCCTTCCCCCTAAAAATAAATAAACAAATAAATTACAGGTCTCAATATTCAGCATAGATCGACGCCAACGGAAAAACCAGTTGATCTGAATTTAGAATCTAGATGTCATGCTTCATCCTACGAGTTCGTGCCTGGTCAATCTAGACTTACCTCAACCACCCAACAAGGATAAGTGTGACTACACGATTCTCCAGAGTTATTGTTATTCCAAATTCGTCGCGGTTCCAGATCCTTGGACTGCGTACTTGAAAGCGTTTCTTCATAATTAACATATTAACTAAACGAAAAATTTTATATAATAAAGTAAGCGATGAAAATGTTCACGTAAGGAAAACAGACTGTGAGGTCCTTTATGAACCTAGCTTGATATATCGGCAGCGTCGTCACGACACCTGTGGTCTTTGTGTCTTTTCTGGCCATCCAGCCTTGGCCGTGCGTGCGTTCTCTCTCCACGGATGCTTTTGCAGGCCTCCCTGTTCTTTAACACTGCTTCCGCTCCAAATTAACAGGGGTAAAAAAGGGAACAGGCCGATCTTTTGTTTATCATTGTCCCGTGTCTTGGCTGCATGTATGCGGCGCAGTCTCTGTTATTTTCTAACTTCCGAGCTTAGAGGCGGGATGGGAGACAGAGCATTGCCAGCTCCAAAGAAGCACACCGACCGGAAAAACATGGAGAACAACACAAAGCAAATGGCCAAGACCCGGACAACTTGTAGCCAAGGCCATGGTTGCTCAGGCGGACAATGACTGCAATGGAGCTATTAGTCGCTCGAGCCCTTCCATTCTATGCATATTGCGGATGACGACGAGATGTGCTCCGCAAATACTAAGCGAATAGGCAACTGGGACAACAAGCGAGATGCAAATAATATGGAATGACCGACCGTCGTCTTTTCCGCCACGCTTGCACTTCGTCGTCCGGAACACCAGCCGTCTCTGTATGCATCGGGCAAGCATAGCCACAGACTTCGATATCGTGCGAAGATGAGCTGAATCGGAAGAACGAAAAGGATCCCTTTGAATTAATCTGGATAAAAAATATAATGGGAGAGTTAATATCTGATGCGCGAGCCAAGACGACACATCGTGACCCATGAATCGCTATATAAACACACCGCAAGCCCCCTCGAAAGAAATCAGATTTTGGGAATATCCAGCATCGTCCTTACTTTGAAGCCAATCCTCGAGCATCATCTCTCCTTACAATTAACTCGAATCCTCAAAGGTTTCCCTAACCAGTCCTTTCAAACGTGTACAATGCGTTCTTCTGCTCTTCTCTCTCTCCTCCCGGCTCTGGCTGCGGCCTCGCCCACCTTTGTGCTTGGCGATGGCAGCACGTCTCTTACTACGGCTGGCAACGGTGGTGAGTCCTCGGGGTTCACCGTGAACCCGGGCACCGACTCCGCCAGCGCCGACACGCCCGACCCGAGCCAGATCCAGGTTCAGAGCGTGAGCTTTTCGGGCAGCGGCTGTCCCCAGGGCTCGGTTTCGACGTCCATCTCGACGGACCGCACCGTTGTCACATTCGGTTTTGACAAGTTCCAAACCTTTATTGGCCCCGGCTACGATCTGGGTGACAAGACGAAGAACTGCCAGCTCCACCTGAACCTCAAGTACCCTGGAGGCTTCCAGTTTGCTGTGCTCGACAGCACGTACCACGGCTTCGCGCAGCTGGATTCCGGCGTGACGGGCTCGTTCTACAGCACGTACTACTTCTCGCAGGACGCGAGCGCCACGACGACGACACAAACGTCCATCTCCGGCGGCGGTGACTGGGAGGGTGGCCAGGTGTACACGAAGCACGACCAGATCCCGACGGCGAGTGTGATTTACGCACCGTGCGGCGCCAATGGCATCCTGAATGTCAACAACCGCATCGTGCTTGCAAGCACCGACAAGAAGGCGACCGGCCAGGTCACCGACGACGATGCGACCGTCGCCTTCACGCACCAGTTGCACCTGGCGTGGCGCGCATGCCGCAAGTAAGCGGCGGACAGGGAATGTTAAGAGCGCTCGGTGTTGCCGAGGAGCCTGTCGAGAGCTTGTGCTGTTGCTCGAGTTCTCGCTGTTGTGGCCTGTCATTCATTCAACATGCTTCTTGTATCTTGTCAATCAACCCGCACAGTACATAGTCCGTCAATATACTTTCAAAACACATAAACCAAATGAAAGAGGTGGAAATTGCAGTGACGATGTAAATGAATCAATTCCAAAAGCGCGATACATACGTGGATATTAACAGAAAGCGGTATTGTGACAAAAAAAGAGATAAAACATAGCAGAGAAAATTGGAACAGGATGAAAATGAAAGTGGACTGTTATGCATACGACTTCGTATCATAAACAGTTACATGAGTCCAGCATGCGTTAGCGTGGCCATCACCGGTCCAGGCAGACCCCTGGCAAAGGTGTGGTTGGTGCTACCCCCAGTAGTTGTTGTTGAAACCACCACCTTGGTGACCTGGGGCGCCCTGGTTGTATTGATCTCGGCCGCCGTACGGCGGGCCGTTCCTTGAATTGCCATAGCTACTGTCGGTGTTGTTGGTGTAATTGTTGTAGCCACTACTGCCGCTATAATCAGGGCCGGTGTTGGCACCTCGCCAGCCAGCATTAGCGGTGTAGCTGCGTTGTGGTGTTGGGGCGGCAAAAGCAGGGGATTGTGTCCGCACAATGCCGTTGTATCCTATGTTCGACGCGGGGCCCGGCGAGGCACGCATCTGAGCATTTGGTGCCGAGAAACTGCGTGTGGCCGTGCTGCTGGGGCCGAAGGTGGGCGATGTGGGCGATGGGAGGCCGGGAATTGGCGAGTGCAGGGGAGAGACCGGTGGCGCAGGGGAATGCATGCGGCTCTCATGGGGGCTGCGGCTGCCGTTGTTGTTGTACATGCTCCGGCTGTTGTAGTTGGCGCTCCGTGGTGTGCTGTTGTTGAAGCCGCGGTCATTCACCGGACTCTGGGCGCCGTTGTGCAGGAGCGGCATCGGGCTGCGCATGGCCGAAGCGGCGGTTACACCAGCGGCGCCACCGACAGCTGCTTCACCCCATGCGCGCTCCTTTTCGTCGGCAACGCTGTCAGGCGTCTGGGGCACACTGTAGGCGTTCGCACTAGCGTTGCCATTCTTGGCCATGTCACGGGCGTTGTAGTCGGTACCCTCGTGAGTCAGGCTGTCGGGGTCGATGCCAGCCTTCTTGAACTGATCCAGCTCCAGACGTTCTGCGGCAAGGCGTTGCTCGTACAGGCGGTTCTCCTCCCGTCCGCGTCTGCGCTGCTTGATGCAGTAGTATATACCGACAGCAACGATGATCGCTCCGAGAGCACCGGCGGACGAGTAGATGGCAATGTGGGCAACAGGGGAGAGCTCGTTCCATTTCTCAGCGATGGTTTTGGGTGGCTTGGCGTTGATCGTCTCGACAGCGGTGGAGTTGCCGGCCGCAATTTTAATACTTTGCCAGGAGCCTGAGTGGTCGCCGTACGAGTACTCCTTGCCTGTGTTGTAGTCGGTCACGCGGGCGCTCTTGACGTACATATGGAAGGGGCCCTTGGTGTAGTCCGTGGTGCCGCCGGCCCATTCACGGGTACCTTCAGGTAGCGTCGGGTCACCGCCAGCCCAGATACCAAGCGAGATGCGGACAGGCGTCTGCGGGTAGTTGGAGGTGTTGTTTGCATCCTTGGGAAGCAGCGTGCGCGCCTTGGTGCCGTCAATGTAATATGTGAGCGATTCGTTTGTCCAGACGGTGGTGTAGTTGTGGAAGTCGTTGCTGATGCCGCCGTTGACGGGGTAGTAGATTGCGTTATTGAAATCCTGGCGGCCCTTGCCAAAGTAGTTGGTCTCAACGTACGATTGGTTTCCGCCCATAAACTCGAGATCGATCTCATCAAGGTCGTCGCTGAGAAACATGACGGACGAGATAATACCGGTGCCACTGGCGGCTTTGATCATCATCTCAGTGCGGCCAAAGAAGATGTAAAACGATGAGCGAATGGTGGGCGAGTCGCCCTGCTTGTTGATGGTGAACTGCGCACCGTTCTCCGCAGAATAAGACACGGAACCGGCCGTGGGAACCCAGAAATCAGACGAGGGTGTCGAATTGAAGATGAACATGTGGTCGGTGCCGAAAGCCGGGTCGGCTGGACAGTTCGTAGTGTTGAGCGGCTGGCAGTCGGTTGTGACCTGAGCGGTGGTGCTGTGAGCAAAAAGCGAGAGGGCCGTGGCCACGAGGGCCAGCGGCGAGAATAGTCGCGTCATAGCGAATGAGTGTCGTGTGTATCTGGCCAGCAGGAAACGAGTGTATCAAAAGAAGGTGGTGATGATGTCTGATGGCGTCAAGCAGAGTGAGACGGTTCTCTCAGACTGAGGTGACTACCAGAGGTAGCAAGGGAGAGACTGGTGACAAAGGTCATGGAAAGAAGAAATACAAAAATGCAGACAACCAAAACGACTCGGTGCGTCGAGATCAAGAGTAGCAGGAGATCTCACAACACGGAGCGACCACGCAAGCAAAGCAGCGCGGCGCGATGAAAGAGGTCGAAGGCCAAAGAGGGAGAGACGAGACGCGCATAGCCATAAACATTAAGGTAGGAAGGAGAGGACGCTGGCGAGGCCAAGCAAGATATCTAGGGGAAGGAATGGAGCAAGACGTGGCGAGAGTCTCCCTTACACGACTGTTTGAGAGGGAAAAGTGAGGGAAAGAGCAATGCCCACATATCAAGGGCAGAAAAGAGCGAGCCAGAAAGGAGAGGTCAGGCGAGACTCAACAGACCAGGCCATGAGCCACTGGCACTTTCAAACAGGAAAGAACGAAGGGGCTACGAGGAAAGGGGCGCCGGGGTCGACAACGACGCCGCTAGGCCCATCTGGGGCACTACAGGGAGCGTCGATGCAACTTAAGCTCGAGGACACAAGAAATAAGAAACACACAACCAGAGCACAACGACGGTCAATACTCTATTTCGCGAGAGAGGCTTTGGGTCGCTCTCCATGCAACAGGCGCTGTGATTGGCTGTCACCGGAAGCGACGGCTCCTGGCTCGCTAGCCCACCTTTTTCGGGTAGTCAGGGGTAAAAAAGCGGACTTCTGCGACGAGAGCTAGGCAGGAGCGGCCTGTCGGGGCCTGCCTTTGCTTGGTTTTCGCTGCAGGGGCAGGTGGCAGGCCATTGGTCAGAGGAGCCACACCGGCCGTAACAACTGCCAAAACCAGGGAAGACTCGCTCCGTTCGAAGTAGCTCGAGTGGTTCAGCAAAGTAGCGATCATCACCCCAAAATTTGGTAAGTAGCGATCACGCCGTAGTAGTGCACTTTTTCCGTGTACTGAGTAAATTAATCTACGCAGGCTCCATGGTAGGATCGACTCTGTCCGTCTGTTGATTGCAGGCTGTCTGCCAAATACATAATGCTTGGCGGGCCTGGGAGGCGAGCATGTGGCTACACAAAAGATGCGCAAAATCAAGATTGTAATCTTTGCCTTCATGATGCAAAGCTCTTTGATAGCGACAAACACCCCAAGGCGCTTGTAACTACTCACTTAACCACATTAGTCTATCGACGCAACTGAAGCAGTGTTTCTGTCTCCCTGGTCCGGCCGTATCCTGTCCTTTATTGTATGCGACCACTTTGTGCATGTCTTCGAAGGCAAGACACAAATAAGTTGTTTCATGTTTCTAGTCTGGGCGCTTGACGCTGTGCGACGAGAGCCATTTGAATCACCGCCGGCCGAAGGCAGCCGTACAGAAAAGAGGCCGATGGACCTGGCCACTGCCCCTACAAGGTATTGATTAGCCCCCTCTTTTAATGTCGAACTACAAAACCACCACAGACGTTTCATCCCACATGCCGCCATACCGAACGAGGTCAACCAGTGATGAATTTCCGGGCCTGCTTCCTTGGCACCTTGGCTATCGGCTGCACGTTCTCAAAGTTCTCCGTAGACATGCACGCACTGCAAGGAGTGGATTAACAAAAAGAGGAATGAACCAGAAAACGACATGTTGAGGGGTAATACGGTGGACCATAAACATAAACCAAAACATTTTGTCTATTCCCAAATCAAACTTCTATCTACGTCGAGAAGTTTAACCTATCTATATGCGCTGTACGGAGCAAGGCCAAAGAAAGGGAAAAAAACGTGAAGCCTGCGGGGAAGCTGAAAAAGAAAAAACAATAAGAAAACAAAAGTGCAAGTGCAATGCAACAAAAGCAATAAAATCCGTCTATGCAACATTAAATAGCGTAAGGGACAAGGGCCAAGAGAGAAAGATCAAGAAACCAAGCAAAAGAGTCATTAAAAGGATGCCACAGTCAGCCATTTACTCCTCCTCGTCGTCCGTGTCAAGCGGCTTGGGAGTGCCCTTGGGCGAGTTGAGCCAGACAATCTCGCGCTGGCGACGGCGGTTCTCGCGTTCCTTGAGCTCCTTCTTGGTCATCTTTCTCTTCTTCTTGGCCTTGAACTTGAGCTCGCCCGTTGCGTTGTCCTCGACGCCGCTGTTGACGGCGCTGGATACGACACTGCTCGACAGTGCCGGGGTGGCAACACCAGCAGGTGTCATCATGCCGGGGGTCGTGCGGCCACTGCCGGGCCGGCTGCCGTCTTCGAACCGGTCGAGCGAGATGGTTGCGTGGCCACGATGGGTCATCCGACCGGCCTCGACATGCCACTGCTCCGAGGAAAGAGCGCCGACAAACTCTTCATTGTGAGAAATCATGACAACACCACCCTTGAAGTCGCGGATAGCGACGGCCAAGCCACCGAGGGAGTCCCGATCCAAGAAGTTAGTCGGCTCGTCAAGAACCAACAGATGGGGGTTGTTCCACATAGCGCCGGCAATGACGACCTTGACCTTTTGGCCACCGGACAGCGAGCCGATCTCATTGTGGTTGGCAATCTCCGGGTCGAGGCCGAGGTCCTCAAAGTGCTTGGAGATGACCGCTGGCTGCAGGTCACGGAAGCTGAGACCCTCACGAGATGACTCGTGGTCGTCGAACTCCTGGATGAGCTTGTCGAAACCGAGGTCAAGCAGCGTCTCGCGGGTGACCATCGTATTGTGCTTGGGCAGCATGAACCTCCATTTACTGAAACTTGTTAGTAGATGTTTGGGAGAAACACGACGAAAATGTGGGGATTGTCACTTACACTTCGTACTGGAATGTCTTCTTGTACTTTTGGCGACCGACTAGAGCCTCAATCTGGCGCTTGCCCATGCCCTCCCCGAGCTCGACGAACTTTTCCATCTGCTCGCGGTCTTTCTCGGACAACATGCGCGTTTGCTTCATGTGCACCTCGCGGTCGTCGCCGTGCTGGTAGCGCCACTGCAGGTACTGGTTGGGCGTCTTCTCGAGGTGCATCTCCACGTGCTCTAGCGCGTGCTGCTTGATGTAGCCAATGCGCAGGTTGGGGTGCTTCTCGACTTTGCCACTAGTGGGAATGACCTCGCCGGTCAGCAGCTTGATGAGTGTCGACTTGCCCGCACCGTTGGGCCCAATGACGGCAACACGCGACGACAGTGTCAGCTGGCACGAAGCATCGGTTAACGAAGGCTTGGGAGCGCCAGGGTAGGTAAACGACACGTTGGTCATGCGCACGATGGCCCGTGTCTGCGACTTAATACCCGACAGGATGCCCGGCGGTGGGAACTTGAACTGCACCATGCTAGAGGACAGCGTGTAGTAGCTCTTGGCCTCGGGGTGGATCTTGACAAACGTCGCCAGGTTGCCCTTGTAGTGAGCGAGCTTCTTGCCCGGCTCGTAGTGGTAGATGTCCGTGGTGACTTCGTCGAGGAAGCCCGAGTCGTGGGACACGATCAAACTCGTGATCTCGGTGTTGCTCTTTAGGTACTTCTCCAGCCATGCAATGTTCTCAACGTCCAAGTGGTTGGTCGGCTCGTCCAGGAGCAGGACGTCGGCCTTCTGCAGCATCGCACGCGCCAACGCCAGCTTCATCTTCCAACCACCGGACAGAGAGCCGACTTTCTGGGCCTGGCGGCCCTCCGGACCAGCCGTAAACCCGAATTCAGAAAGAACGGATGAGATGCGGTCCCGGCCCTCCTGTGCAATAGTAGGGTCCTTGGCAACAAACTCCAGGATGCTGATCTCGGCATCCTCACCCTGGTTGTGCTCGACGTAGCAGGTGCGCAAGACATCCTGGGGCGGGAAACCCTCAAGCTTACCGCCAGCAATGCTGCGCATGAGAGTGGACTTGCCGGCACCGTTGCGACCAACAAGGCCGTAGCGATGGCCCTTGAGCAGGCGCATGTTGGTGTGCGACAGCAGCAGCATACCACCGTAGCCGAGAGAGAAGTCGGCGTTGACAATCTCGACCTCGCCATCGTCCTCCTTTTCGGGAACACCGAACTTGCGCTGGTCCTCCTCGACATAGAAGGTCTCAACAGCCTGTGCGACGGCTGTATGGTTGGCGACCAGGCTAGTCAGGTAGGGGCTGACGAGGGAGGCGATGCGGTTAACATAGCGGAAGTTGACATCCTCAGAGACCATGGTCGTCAGGTACGGGCGCAGACCGTTGAAGAGATCCGAGTTGCCAGCCAGCAGACCGCCATCGTTCTTAATAGCCTTGTCCAAAACCTTGCCGACATCTTCGGCGGACGTCTTCTCAACAACGACAGCGGCGCCGCTCTTATCTGTAGCCATGGCAATGTCCATGACGTTGAGGGCGCGCGTCGCCATCTCGCGAACCTCGGGGAGCGAGGCACGGTCCTTGACGGCCTTCACACCGGGCTGCAGCTTGGGCAGGAATGTGCGGGCCTCGATGGGGTCGTGGACCAGCTTGGTCAGGTTCTCCGTGATGACGACAGTTTGACGCAGGACCTCCTGGGCGGTATTCGGGTTGTTAAGCGAGCGTTCGAGGAAGGGAGTCAAAAGGGCGAGAACGGGCGATGTGACAATGGCGACAAAGGTGGTGTGGGCCAGGGCGTGGATGGCCTTCTGGAGGGTCGCGGGGGAGGGGTGCTGCATAGTGTCGATGAGGAGGGGGATGCGCGGAGCGACGTCGTCGTTGGACAGCAGGGTAGTGAGCGAGGTCATGGTGACGACAGCCTGCTTCTCGACCTCGGACTTGAGATCGCTCATGGCGGCCTCTGCAATGGGAATGAGCGTGGCAAGCTTGGAGCCCATCAGGTCGCGCAGCACATCCTGCTCAATGGCCTCCTCCTTGGTTGTGCCGAGTGCAATCTTGGTCTTGTCGGCCATGCGCTGGAGCAGCTTCAGGGCGCCAACGGTACCCTGCCACTTACCGGTCTTCTTGCCAAGGTAGGTGACGAGGGCGGGTAGCAACCCGGTAACTAGAGACTCGGCACGCAGATGGGTGAAGAGAGCGTCGAGACCGTACTGGGCGGCATCGCGGACGACGCTGCCCTTGTCCGCAAGGGCGTCGAGAGCGCAAGCGACCATGCCGCCATCCTGCAGCAAGAAGTTGACCTCGCTTGCGGGCTGCTTGGCCGGGAAGCGCTCAAAGAGAGCGCCCAGCAGATTCTGGGCACTCTCGCGGCGGAGGCCGCTCTTCTTGTCGGCAGCAGCCTTGCGGACCTCAGCGAGGATGCCGTATGACGTTAGGCCGCGAACACCGACTGCCGGGTTCTCGAGGAGCACATCGCAGAGCTTGTAGGCGGCTTCGATAGAGGCGTTGGAGGTGGTCGCTGTAAAGACGGTATTGAGGATGGCGGTCACTTCGGCCTGCGATGACGCGCCGTCGACGGTAGCGGCTTTGGGGATGAAGGGGAGGGCGTTGTGGTTCATGGGAGGCGAGACGGGGTGAGGCATGGTAGATGTAGAAGGGGGAGTGAAGAGGACTAGGAAGAAAAGGAAAGTAAGGAGGAGAAAGCGAAGGAGGTTGGATGTCGAAGAAGGCGCGACTTGGTTTTGGAGGGGAGATGGTCGTCCAGCAAAATTGGAAAGTGGCAGAAAATGAGGCGGAAAGAGCGACCGCAGTCCCAAATCCACGCACGAGGCGATGGAGGGGAAGAGTGAGAAATAGGGAATCGCAAGGGTCGCGGACTTGCGTTGTCGGAGAGTTGACGAAGCAGCAGCGGAAAGTGATGTCAAAAAGAACGAAGACGAAAAAAACGAGAAGCAGGAAGGACGGGTTATGAGAGGCGCAACCCACTGTTAGTGAACTCTAAACGCAGCATATGAAAAAGTCTCGCCCCGCCAAAAAAATCTTAATACAATTTTTTCTTATCTTCCGGATACTGCCACGAGCAGCTTATCGTAACTATGATAGGCGGCCTGGGACCTGTGCTATAAGAGGTTAGAAGATTATATAAGCGGGGCTATTGCTCCTTGCCAACAGGCCGCTTATTAGTGGTGCAGCGACTCGTTTGTCAATGTGTTTGCTCCTTTACATGCTGTAGTGGGCCTCACACAAGTGGTAAGAACAGGAACTCTGGCCCGTACGTTGAGTTCTGCCAATAATATTCATTTCACTCACCACCATACAGAGTTGCACGCAGTGTACACATGTGACAAGCAATTACTACTAAAGAAGTTGGTATAACATGTACGTACAGAACCAACCACAACCAACCAACGCCATCAAGTCCAATGCTTTTCAACATGTCTTTCGCTTCAAACGACTTTTTCCATTGTGCTTTGCTTCTCTCCCTCTTACCAAGAGAATGTCATCAAAGCCGGGTTGAGAACCAGAGGCAGCAGGAAATGTGACACCGCCACGGTAGCCATCGGCAGAATGGCGACAAAGTCGGTGATTCGCCAGTCCACAGGCACGAAGGGAGCGACGGCCAAGATGACCATGCCAATAATGGAAACTGTTGCAAAAAGCATGGAGAACGCGAAGCGCTTCAACACCTTTGGCACCTCGATGAAGAAGTTGGAGAACTCGACCTCCTTGGCGGTGGACCCCCAGGTCATGTTGACTTCGAACATGTGCGCTAAGATGGCCTGCGAGACGTGCAGCGAGAGCCCGCCCAGGAAAATGGCGAGTAGCAGCGTCCACTTGAAGTTTTCGAACAACGAGTGCAGCAGACGACGCTCACCGGTGCGGTATCGCATGATGGCCAGCGCAATGTTGCCGAGGCCGTTGAACACGAGAATGATGGAGAACCAGACCTGCCACGAGTCGACATAGTACTTGTCGAGATAGCCGTTGAACCAGCCCATCACAAAGTAGTTGGCGGTGGTCATGAGCCAGGCAGCGCCAATGGCGTAGTACGTGCCGACGTACGAGATGATGGTGACCTTGGACGTGAAGCGGATGTTGGAGAACAAGAACTTGCGGAAAAGCGGCGTGAACGGGCCGCGCCACAGCCAAGTGCGCACGGGGTGGAAGAGCAGCTCGTTGCAGCCGTAGGCGTACTTTTCCCAGCGCGCCAGCTCGTCATACACCGTCAGGGACACGCCCTCCTTGAACCCATCGCCAGACCAGGCCGCCATGCGGATGATGTAGCCGTCGCACTGCAATCTCAAGGACATGTCAAAGTCTTCTGATACGTGGCTCTCGGACCAGAACTTTTCATACCCGTCGTCGTCAATGTACGACACCTGCTGGACAGCGCTCCAGCGCAGGATGGCGTTGTGGCCGACAAAGGGCGCGACGTCGCCGTTGGACACGGTGTATCGGATGGCCGTGTAGATGAGGTTTGTGAAGAAGGTGATGCCGTTTTCAAAGTAGTTGTGCACAACCTGCATAACGCTCGAGGAGAACTGCAGAATGCCGACGTCGGGGGACTGCTCCATCTCGCTCACGGCATCCAGCAAGCAGTCGGACGGTACGCGCGTGTCGGAGTCGATGATCAGGATGTAGTCGCCCACGCGAATGTTGCCGTCGGCCCATGCGCGGCCGTCCTCCTCAAGAACCTCGCGCAGGGCATGTTCATACGCCCGGGCTTCGTGCTGCTGCGTCCAGGCCGGTCCCCGCTTGTACACACGAAGCTTCTCCTCGACACGGTTCGAGATCATCAGTGCAAAGTTCATGTTGGACGCCTTCTTGAACTTGCCACGCCGTCTGAAGCCGTTCTCACCATCCTTGGGCCGCGCCACCCAGCCAATGCTGTGATCGGCATAGAAATCGATGCGTGCCTGACGGGCCTCGTCGTCAAGCAGCTGCAGGCCGTCGTCGTTGATGAACATGTTGGCGGAGCCGCCCTGCAGCTCATATGTCGATATGGCCTGCTTGATGGACTTGACGGTAGGCTCGATGACGGCACCAAGACCCTCTTTGTAGACGGGGCATTGCACGGTGACGTGTGGCAGGACGGACGTCTGCAGCCGTGGCGAGCGGCGGGCTGAGTAGAATTTAGAGTTGACGGTCAACTGGCGGACGGGGCCAAAGATTTGAGCCAGGCAACCAATAATCACCTGGGCAAAGAAGAGGGTGAAGAAGATTTGGACGGGAAACAGGGCCACCAGTGCCAGACGCGTGTAGCTGTGGTCGACCGACACTTCGATGGCCAGCTGGCGCCAGGCCGCGCCCAGAGACACAGTCACCAAAATAAGTGTCAGCGTCACAAGGCAAGAGTTGAGCAGGTGGATCGGGCGCTTCTCAGGGCGGATCTCTCCGTTTTCTTCGTCCAGGTCGTAGTCAGTGTAGCCGCCAGAGCCAAAGGCGTCGCCGCCGGCAGCCGCACTCCCAATACGCCCGCCGCTCTTTTCGTTGTCTTCGTCATCGCCACCTGACCGCCATACGAGACCCATAAGCTCGGCCTCGATGTCCTGGGCTCGCGTGACAATGTGCATGGCATCGTCGTCCCACACAACCAGAAGGCCCTCGGACGCCACAAAGGCAGCAAATTGGTGCTTGCGGGCACGAGCCAGGTCTTCAATAGCGGGCAAAATCTGGATGCGCAGGCCGTTGAGCAGCGGTACGTCCACGGCATCAGGCGCCCATTGCAAGAAGGTTTGGATGACTCGAGAGTTGACCGTCATGGCACACGGCACGTTGAGGGAGGCACACGCTTGAGCGAGGGGCGACTCCAGCAGCCGAGGCGGGCAGGCCATGTACTGTCCGCGTATCTTACGCAGCAAGACTCCCTCTACCGCCCCGGTACCATCGGCAACCCAGAGGCGGGAGCACTGCTGCTGGTAGAGGTAGTTGACCATGACCTCGTGCTTGATATCGTCAAGGAAGACGGAGCTGCCGGTGGAGCGAAACGAACTGGTGCCGGAGCGGACAGATCTCATGGACCGCCTAGAAACGACGGACGCGGGGCGGAAGGTGGCATTTTTGCTGCCTGTTCCCGGTGTGTCCACCGCTGTTTCATGCTCCGGTTTGCCCGGGATGTTGAGGTGGTTAAACGTCTCGGACGGCGTCCTGTCTACCAATGCTGGATGGACCCCGAGACCGTCCGTGGATCCGGGTGTGTGTGCCATGACTGGCGGCGTACAGAGTCGATATAAATGCGTGCTCAATGTGGTGGATGGATGTTAAGTGCAAGGCCGCAGGAAAGATTCTCTTGAGAACCGCCGCCTCGTAACGCGAGGCGTCGTCCGGCGTGATACCGTCGTGATGTGTGCTTCTTAATGCGAACATCAGAGTGCCAACATCCCACGACGTAGAATCTCATGCACGCCTATTCATAGTTGGATTGATGCTATGGTTGCAAAGAAGGATGAGAAGGGACCTTTGTGGAAAAAACAAGCACATGATCCGGCCGAAGTCAACTTCAGGAAGGCAAACAATACAGACAAGTGCTAGTAGAAGTACGGATGGACCGTAAACTTGCGGGTACGGCGTTGGTCGTTGAAGATATCAACGGGCCATGTTTTTGAGAAACAGATGCTTTTCCTTTCATTTTTATCCTGGATATGTAACAAACCAAGAAACTCTGGTCGGTAAATTAGCTGCTTCTGGCTTTCCCTGCTAAATGAGGAGAGAGCTCACTTTACTTTCTCTCGCTCCGTTCTCTCCATCGTTATCGTCCTTTCGAATTCAGGTGACACCGGAAGAATGAATCGGGAAGCTGGGCAAGTAGGTAAACCGGATGACAGGGGGTAGGGGAGGTCAATATACAGGCCGTGTCCCTTTCCGACTGTGCTTGTTTCTAATCCATGCTCCAATTCGCCATGCTTACCAGTCCGAGGGAACAACTCCGTCGCCGCAAGGCCAAATAGGAGAGGGCCAAGGGCCAGGCCTGTCCTTTTTATTTTTTTTCATCGTCTTCCTCACCAACCTTCAAACTATCCCAACACCAAGCCCGACCTGGCCACCGAGAAACTGGTTGTGCAGGTTGTTAAAAGGGACGATGTTCCTGTACATCGGCAACGGGTCCGAGAGAGGGGCCAGCTGAGTGGATAGAAAACGTGTCCGCCCGTTCCGTTTACTGGGAATTATGGCGGAGACGAGTGAGCAACCTGATAAAAGGACGCGTGAAGTCTCGACGAACCTGGCTGGTTGTGTAAGTTACAGGGTGCATTTCGACTGCGGCACTGCTACTGCGCTGCTACTGCAACTGTAAGCCTTGGTCAATTGTGGTGGGCCTGGACTTGGTGGGCCGTTTTACCCTCTGTAGGCACTAACAAGAACAAAAGGCCACCAACGTCAGCGGGCTAGTGCAGCGGGGTGACTTCGCTTTTGCAGCTGCACCCTGGTCCATGTCTGGCTTCTTTCTTACTTCTCGGATCTGGTCTTTCTGGCCCTTGGTGTTCTCTTCTGTCTGATTTCTTTGGGTGGGAAACAAAACGTCGGAGCGACTGCTCTCGATGTGTCGTTCCGGCCAGTTCGCAGTAAGTCGAATTAGCCGCTTCTTATTAGTGGACCAATACAAGAGCTGTAAGTCCCCCGTAGCTCTCCGGGCATTCCCTGCAAAATGCGGCACAATCTCAACTCCAAGCTCGCAATATTCTCGCACTGTGTCCAGCATGTCGACATTATTCTGGTCTGATGGGTGATGGCTCTACCCTTCTGCTGAGGAGTTACAATAATAGGAAACTTATGTGTGCCTTTTCGCTTAGTAGACATGACGTCCAACTCGGTTCGAAGCAGGGCAATGACAAAAAAAAGCCAACAACTTGTTCGTCAATATATTTGTGCACCGTCCGTGACCTCGTACTCGAGTCTTTGGCTTCCGTTCAGCACGGTTTTTTGCCGTAGAGAACAGGGGGAAGTGGTTCAGCTGGAGAAAGTTACGAGTCTTTGTGTGACTGTGGAGGTACTGGGCGGCCAGTTGAGCACATTTATAGAGCACGGTCAGTCTTTTCTTATCGTCGACGTCGTAGTCTTTGGTTATTTCCATCTCACCCGCCACGAGCGGCCTTCCATTATCGTGGCGGCAGCACAGCGTTTGTGCGAGTGTACTTGTGTGGTTGTGTTGGTCAAGGCTGTAAATGGAGTTGGGAATAGCATCCGTCAGTGGTGCATTTTATTTGAGCCTGCAGTCGCCCGAGCTGGTTCTGCAGACCTGAGCAAGCCACACTCATTTGTAATATGTCAATACGTCTTTTTCTTCAAGACGAAAATACTTTCATATAATATCAAGCCGAAGATCTGACGCAAGTTGTTCCGAGATTGACCTCCAAGAACGCCATCGTGACCACGTTAACCAAAAATAAGCAACATAAACAGCCCGATATTAAAGTCAAACATCAACAATCAAAGGAAAAAAGGCGAAACGAACCAAGCATTAGAGAAAGAAAACAGGGAGAAACAAAGAAAGAAAGAAAGAAAGAAAGATACTCAACCTCGTATCCGCTTATCACTCATCCTCCTCTCATCTCTTACAGCTCTTCACCGGCATCGCACTGCTGCCACATCTGTACCTTGCTTATTTCCATCTGCGGCTGCGTCCACGTCGGGTACCACTCGTGGCGTGCGTTCCAAAAGTCCAGCTTGGCATTGGGGCTGCCGTCGAACCAGGGCTTGCCGTCCGAGTTGTCCTTGAACCATCCATTGGTGCCGCCCACAGCGACATTCAGAATCAGGTAGAACGGCTGGTCGAACGGCGTGTTGGACCGCCCCGTCTGCGCCCACACAGTATTGACCTTGGTGTAGTTGGCCGCGGCCGAGTCCTGGGGGAAGTCGCCGCGCTGCCACATGGGCTGGTCAAAGTTGATGTACAGAGCCTGCATCAGACGCGAATTGATGTACATGAACATGTACTTTTCGGACCACTCGATGCCGAATGTGTTAAAGTCGTCACCAAAGGTCGTGTGCAGCGCCGAGCGCTTGCTGTTGGTGCGCCACCAGGCATCGTACGCCGGTGCAGGGCCCCAGTGCAGCGCCGACGACATGACATTGGCGCCGCCAAGCGAGTAGCTGTAGTTGTTGCCGCGGGCCTCCATAATGTCAATCTCGCCCGACGCCGGCCACGGTCCGTAGGTGTCGTTCATCGGCATCATCCAAATGGCCGGCCACAGCCAGTCGCCCTTGGGCAGGCGTGCCGTGACCTCGACGCGGCCGTACGCAATGGACGCGCTGTTTTTGGATGTGATCCGCCCCGACCGCGCCGGTGGCACAATGCTGCTGTTGCCCGACGTCGTGTTCGTGGCTGCCACGCAGTCTGTCCAGACCGTCGACGTGCACGTGTGGTTCGCCAGCAGGTCGATGATGCTGCTTTTCTCAATGAGGGTGGCGTCTTGCAGCGTCGGCTTGATCCATAGGTGGCCGTCCTTGACAAAGACGTTCTCGTCGTCGGCCGTCGTCTGCTCAAACTCGCCGTTGCCAAACCCGCCGACCTGCACCTCCTTGCTCCACAGGTCTGGCCGGAACCCTTGCGAGAAGTCGTCGCTCAGCACCAGGCAGTACTTGTGCTTGACCACACTCTTCAACCCGTCCCAGACGAGCAGGCCCGACAGGATCAAGCCAACAGCGATGCCAACAAGCGGCAGGATCGTCACCCATTTCTCTTTCGGGTCCTTGTAGCTCTTGGCTAGCCACGGCTTTTCCACCGAACCCTTGGGCACACGCCGGCTGTGGAAGTAACGGTGCGCCTGAGCCTCCATGCGGTGGTTGAGGATGAGCGCACTCTGGCCTGACAGGGACTGTGGGCGAGATGCCAAAGGGGTCCCGGCCGGGTTTGCAAACGGATCGATGCCGACATCTGCGGTGCCGGCCGTGTTGACACCTGTTTCCGGTCCATTATCGCCCTCTGAGTAGTGGGACACGGATTCGTCGCGAAACGGATCTTGGTTCTCGCCGCCTGCTATGAGTCTGCTGCCGTCACGCTGGGCCTGTTCTGCATCCCGATACCGTCCGCCTCCATAGTAACCGTTGTAGTCGCCATAGTTATGATCCATGGTGGCCTGGATCCCAAAATGTGGTAGTATGTGGTTGTGTGAGTGTGAATCAATAGGCCTTTTGAGTGATTCGTGCCGCTTGAAAGCCAATATGACGAGATGATATTACTTTAATCGTAAGGGATAAGAATGAGCATAGGAGACACATGAATTTCTGGCAAAATGCCCCTTCCGGCTTAATTCTCAATTCTCAATTCTGGTAGAAAAACAAGCTCAACTCAAAAAAAAAAGGAGTGGATGATTAGGCCACCGAGTTGAAAATGTAACGGAATAATTGAAAATGAGCGACTGCAGCTTATGTTATAGCAGAGAGGTTTTTTTTAAGTAGAGAGAGAGAGAGAGAGGGAGGTAGAGAGAATAAGGACTTCCGTGTTAGTGGCGTCTCTCGGTACTTTTAATTGCTGGTCTCATACAGCGCCTTGTTTCTGTTGGTTGGTAGACGAAGCAAACATGACAGAGAACTTGAAAGGAGAATCAGAGTAATGGGCTATCGCTGTATCCGTCATCTGCTCGATAAAACAATCAGAAATTCACACAATCTCTCATTCTTCATTCTATATCTTCCGTAGGAAGTGCTGGGACGGGAGAGACGGGCAAGAATATAAAAAGGCGCAGCCGTGTAATATTGAATTGCATATGCAAGGTATGTCGTCTTAGCTGCTTGAGGCACAACATTTTTAAAGTATCTTACATGCACTCGTGGGAAATTTACACAGTGCGATCTGGAAAACAGAACTCGTCCCGTATTTTTGTTGGTTGTTATTTTTCCGGTGCCTCTTTTCTAAAACTTCTCCCCTTTCCCACTTCTTTTAACTAGAAAGGAACACCTTAAATCCCACCTTGGATGACCCCTGACGAAAATGCCCACGTGTGAGCCAAAGTGTCTAACGAAAAGGTATCATTGGGTGGGTGGAAATCGGCAATGAGGCACAGGAAAGGCGCAAGCCAACCGTCGATCCCTGTGAACAGGCCAGCTTCCTGAAGTGGCAGGAGCACATGAGCACAAGAGCACAAGTACGGACTGGAAACGAGAATACTTTAATCATGACACCTTTAACGAAAAGATATTGACCCCAAGTTAGTCGACCGTCTTCCAAGAGAATTTGGCAGCTTAAATACGCGAAACCCATGCAGGAGGCCAAATTGACGCAAGCCAAAAATTAACACTGCCAACCTGAGTAACAAAGACAAAGCTCATGCGTTACAAGGCTACTTCTAGTCATCATTATGCCGCCCCTTCTTATTGATATTTTATATCTTTAACCTCTTCATTCTCGTAATTCTTTAATTTTGAAAACAGCATGTAATTGTCGCCTTCTTTCATAAATCCCTTCGTGTCAAAATTTGACAGAATTGGAATTCATGTATCAAGTAAAAATACCGTAAAAAATGCTGTTACTTTGACTGGAAATCAATAAAAACTCCACGTAACCAAAAACTTCTCTGCGCATCACACAGTAATGTTAGACTGTCTGCTATACAGAAAATTTTACCTAAACTGGATGGAATGCATCTTCAGCATCATTATTATTTAACATTTTGTTTCGACAGTACGTATCACCATAGCCCAAACTTGTGAAAACATGTTACCTTTCTACAATAGGCTCAACATTTCAAATGTAACAAATCAAAAGCCATATTGAAAGGGACATTTGCTATTTATTTTCATAGAAACAAATCTTAGTTATAATTTTATTGACAGCAGAAAACGAATCTTAAGAGAAACGTGCTTTCATGCTCTTGGCATAGACTGTGTCGTTACGGAGACGGAACATTTCCATTACTTTATTTGTAATCATAATAATGGTCTAATACATACATCAACTCAACTGCAAAACGACCTCTCAATAAAATACACTCATACTAACTATTCAGAACAATATAATAACGAAAAAAATACAGTCGCTCGAGGGCAACATGCTGTCTATCAATCTCATCTCACCAACGGCGTCTGTTCCCTCATCTGGTCCATCTGAGTCTTTATCATTTATGCCCACCAACTTGTCAACCATACTCCGATTGCAGCCTCGATGGCGTGTACCATTGCTGCACATTTCTCAAATTGTAAAGTGTGTATGTCGAATGGCTGTTGGCGACATGTTAGCCAACTGCGGCCATGCCTTGTAAGCGCCATAGCGCTTCTAGACGACCATGCAATGCAACAAACCGATGTTGGGGCGTTGGTGGTGGTGTCGGACCGCCCGATCCGCCACCACTAGGATTGATCGGGCCAGGGCGTGGACGAGGTGAGGGTGACGGTGGAGGGTTCGGCACCGGAAACGACATCAACGGTATGCACGTTGCGCCTTGCATAAATTTGTCGCCGCGGGTGTACATGGCTCGTCGTTGGGGGCCGGAAGGCTGTTGGTGATCACTGAGGCGGGGGAATGCAAGGCCGACCCAACGTCGTCTGTAAGTGGACCAAAAGTGGAAGTTGGGCAGGGCTTCTGTAATGGGATCAAAACATAATCCACGGAGAAAGAAACAAAAACACAAGTTCAAATTAACGTGAAAATGAATGGAAGTAACGAGCGGATTGTGGTCTGATGAGATATCGAAAAGGAATAAAAAGGACAGGAAAAACGCCGTGGCAGTTGATCGTGAAGAATTAGGACCGTGAGGTCAAGTAGTAATAGAGAAAAAGAATAAATGGGAGAACAGCATAAGAGACAAGGGCAGAATAAGATGTAATTGACACAGATAAACGAAAGAAGATGTGGTGATGAATTAAACACGAATCCAAGTACAGGATCAACAACGCTTTTTATACCACGGCCAGCTCCCAAACCTTGATTCTTCACAAACAGATTCATCCCTTTTCACCGGACGTCCCTTCGTTTTATCAGTCGCCTTTAACCCGTCCTGTCAAAGATCACTAAAGGAGAGAGAGAATAGAAGCTCCGTTTGCGTGCGTGCGTCGCCTTTGGAAAGGAGCAGGGAGGTTAACCATCACCAGACGCGGCTGTAACTCCGGTCGAGACACACACGCTGAGCGGCCCGTTTGTGACACCATGGGAAACAGAGACAGAAGGGAGCAGAGCCGCCGCCCCACCGAATTATGCAGGTGTGAGCATAAGATCTGCAGGTCCATGTGTTGGTAGGTCCAGGCAGACGCCCATGCAAGAGAAGCAAAAGAAGCCACGAAAGAACTTGAAATAAAATGGAAGATGCCACGAAATATGCAACTCAGGGTTGTTTTCTTAAGAAAATAAACTCGACAAGGACCAAAATTCACCCGACCTGTGACGAGATTCAATCTGCGTTGCATCGTTCCCACCAAAAACTTTAACACGGACAACCAACGCTGCACTGCCAACAAGCCGCAATACTAGGCCATTATGATTGGTTACGGTCGACTTACACTGGTTGCAGCCTTACATGCACACAACGCACGAGGCAATATTCTAGCAAAATTTCATGAGCTTTTACCTCACACCCTTTACTTCTTCTTCTTCTTTCTTCTTTTTTGCTCTTTTTTTTACGCTTTCATAAGTTTTTCTCATATCTTCCATTTAAGGTCAGTTAATGGAGAATGCAAATAAAAACTGCACATGCGTGAGAATCAGGGCTTATGACACTTCCCACTGACTCTTCATACATATTATGCCCTTCGCTCCTTTATTGTATAAGCTCCATGTAACGCCTTTCCTTCCCTGTCCTTATCGCTCTCCCCGATTCTGGCCCCCAACCGGTCCCTCCACAACACCGAAGACCCTGAAAAGGGGCTGAACAGAAAAAAGCATCGAAGAGAAGCAATAAAATGCAAAGATATGATCCGCCAACAGAATGAAGCGAATGTTGGCTGCAGACAAAAATACATACCCGGACGAAAGATATGCCTTTTTGACATCCACCAACAGGTCACCGTGGTGACACCGAGACGGAGTAGATGAGGGATAAACGAGCAAGGAGCAGTAGAGGTGACAGTTCGAAACGAAGTCAACCAAATGGTTAGACCTCAGCTGTTGCCATAGCTAAATATCGCGCTGCACATCGACCATTCTGCCGTTGTCTCTTTCGTTATCCCTGCCAGAGTTACCGCCGTTTTCGAAGCGATTGTTGGTCCATCTGCTATTCTTTTCGTTGCTACCACCACCACCACCACCACGGGCACCGCCGAATCCACCACCTCCGCGCCCTCCAATACTGCGTCGTCCCTTGCGTATTCTGTTTCGGCCACTGCGATGGTCAGCAGCCGGAGGAGGCGAGAGAGAGCGGGTTCTGGATCGCGAACGAGACCACGACCGTGAACGATAGGGAGACCTCGAGCGCGACCGGTTAGACCGCGGCGACCGACTGCGGTACCGATACTTTGGGCTGTCGCCATTGTCTGGCCCTGCTGCAGGCGACCGCGAGCGACGGCCGCCAGGGGACACGGACCGTGGGCGGTAGGTGTCAAAAACACGCGCATTGTTACCGCGGTCCCGGCGGCGTCCACCGCCGCCGCCACCACCACCGCCGCCAGTATTGCCTCCGTCAGCAGCGGCATTGTTGCCCAACTTCTTTTGGTTCCGACCACCGCCGCCGCCCCGCCGCGCTTGCTTGGGAGCGCGCGTCAGCTTGCGACGCGGCAAAACGACCGAAACGTTGACGATATTGCCGTCGAGCTGGGCCTCATGCATGTGGGCCGTTGCAGACTCGGCGTCGGCCTCGTTGCCATAGAGGATGTAGGCTGTACCGCGGTTGGTATGTGAAACATGGCTGATCGGCAGGTCAAGGTCGACAATGTGGCCGAACTCGCCGAAAATCTCGTAGAGATGGTCTTCGTTGACGTTCGTTGTCAGCTTTTCGACAACGACCTGTGTTTTGTTAGCGACGGTGTAGTATGACCCGATATTTGTAGTATAGGATACGGGCGCAATCTACCTTGGCAGTCCGGCTGGGAGGCGATCTCGTCCGGCTTCTGCTCCGACTCCGACTGTAGCTCCTGCTGCGGCTGCTGCTTCTTCCTCTGCTGTCACTACGGTCACGCGTCAGAGACCGTGACCGCGACCGCGATCGTGTTATGGACCGTGACCGATTGGACCCCGGTGAATAGGAGGGACGACCACTGCGGCCACGCGAATGCGACTGGGACCGGGATCTGGACCTGGAAATGGACCGCGACCGGGATCTCGACCGCTTGCTGGAAGCTGGGGACGGATCGCGGGAAGCCATTGTGTGATATGGCTGCGTTGGCGAGCCGCGTCTTGAGTATTTAAGTATGTGAAGTTCCTTTGTGAACTGTGTTTCGATACGGCCGCAATGGGTTCTTGTGCTTTCGTGGGACGGCCGAGGAATTGAATGGCTAAAAAATACTGCATTGAGGAACCAGATGCCGCATATGCCGCGTGAGGTTTTCGAGCTCTTTGTCGCCTTGTTTAGCTCTGGGAGCTGGGGCCGCCTTCTGTTTGCGACAGTCACGTGCAATCTATCAAATCTGCCCGCAATTCATTTAGCGCTAGTCCATTTATGGCTACTCATATTTCGCCAACCAGGCAGAGGTTCCTTGCGTGGGCTCCGTGCTGTTGTTGTTTGTGTTGGCTGTGTGCGTCGCTAAAGCCAGCCTCCACCACGTCCTTTCACGAGGTAGCCACTTCTTACACCTGTAGCCACACACTCTCGACTTCCCGACTACAACACATCTAACGAACCCCCGATTGCGACCGAGCTCAGTCCCTGAAGCGAGAACAGCTACCTTTCCGACATCTGTCTCCTTACCACCGGATCCTGATCTGCCGTTGCCACCATGTCGGACGGTGCGCTGAAGCCGGAGAAAGACTTCTCCAAGGAGACGGCCAAGGTCATTGGCGAGGCTGAGGAGCTTGCCAAGGTGCGTTTGACCTTGCAACAGACCGGGCGCGGCCTAGGATGCGCCTGGATATGCTTGCGCGTTGTTGTACCCCATGTGTAATGATGCTAACAGCTCGTCCCTCCACCTCAGACCGACATCAACGCTGCTATTGAGAAGCTCACGCTGCTCGAGAAGCAAACCCGCCAGGCATCGGACCTCGCATCGACATCCAAGATCCTCATCGCCATCGTCACAATATGCAAGGAGGCTGGAAACTGGAGCCTACTTAACGACCAGGTGCTCGTGCTGTCCAAGAAGCATGGCCAGCTCAAGCAGGCGATTACGCGCATGGTGCAGACGGTTATGACCTTTTTGGACGCCACGCCCAACTTGGAGACGAAGCTGTCCGTCATTGAGGCCGTGCGGACAGTGACAGAGGGCAAGATCTTTGTCGAGGTCGAGCGCGCGCGTGTTACGAAGATTCTGTCGGACATCAAGAAGAAACAGGGCGACCTCAAGGCAGCAACGGACATTCTGTGCGAGCTGCAGGTCGAGACGTTCGGTTCGATGAGCCGCCGCGAGAAGACCGAATTCATCCTGGCACAGGTTGCGTTGTGCATTGAGAGCGGCGACTGGACGCAGGCTGGCATTCTGAGCCGCAAGATCAGCGTCAAGTTCCTAGCACGCAAGCCGGCCAAGACGGCGGAGCAGCTGGAGAAGGAACGGAAAGAGAAGGAGAAGAAGGAGAAGGAGAACCCCGACGGAACGGATGAGCCCGACGAGAAGGAAGACGACGTGACCGACCTCAAGCTGCGCTACTACGAGCAGCAGGTCATTCTCGCCAAGCACGAGGACAAGTACCTGGACGTGTGCAAGCACTTCCGGCAGGTGTTGGATACGGAGGCTGTTGAGAATGACCCGGCCAAGCTGCACCCGGTGCTGCAGCGCATCATCTACTTTGTCATCCTCGCGCCTTACGACAACGAGCAACACGACCTGCTGGAGCGCATCGCACGTGACACGCGCAACAGCCAGGTGCCCAAGGACGCCGAGCTGCTCAAGTTGTTCACGGTGCAAGAGCTGATGCGTTGGCCCGAGGTGGCCAAGTTTTTCGGCCCGCACCTGTGCGAGAGTGACGTCTTTGACGCTAGCAAGGAGGAGGAGGACGACGACGAGGACGACCGCAAGGCCCGCCAGCGCTGGAAGGACCTCCGCAAGCGCGTCATCGAGCACAACGTGCGCGTGGTGTCCAAATACTACACACGCATCCGCATGAGCCGGCTGACGCAGCTACTGGACCTGACCAACGACGAGACGGAGAAGTACATTAGCGAGCTGGTGACATCCAAGACCATCTACGCCAAGATCGACCGACCGGCACGCATTGTCAACTTTGCCAAGCCGCGCGACGCCGACGACATCCTCAACGACTGGAGCTATGACATGAAGAGTCTGTTGAATCTGCTGGAGCGCATCGACCACCTGATTACCAAAGAAGAGATGATGGCGCGGATCCAACCGACAGGCAACGCGTCATCGGGTGGCAAGGGCAAGGGCACGACTGTGAAATAGAGACCTGACTAGATACTGGCAGCGTGAGATTTACGGGTGGGCCGAGTCGGCGTGTCATTGGAATGCCATTGTAACAATTACTTTTTTTGTTAAACATGCGGTCATGGTATATTCGCTTGCATGCCACATAGACTGAAGGACACGAAACAAAACAAAAATCAAATTACCGTCACTCTATGTAGACGTCTATTGGTGGTGATAAGCTATTTGCAAGAGGCCCGCCTTTTGTACACGAGCGCGAGACTCATTCCTCGTCTATATCTTGGAATCGGTAACGACGCTCCCTTCGGTATTTTCCGAATGCGTCTTCACAAATGACACCAGCGGCATCACCCACTCCTTGTTGATGGGCACATAATGGCCGCCAGGGTGCGTCAGTGCCACCGGCTCAATGCAACGATCCACTAGTGCTTGTGTCCGAGTCTCGTCGACCACTGTGTCCAGGCCGCCGATAAAGTGCAACGAAGGCGTCGTGATTGCTGGCTCGTACAGCCACCTGAGGTTTTCGGGCTGGGCAAAAAAGCCACTGTAGATGACGGCGAAACGCACGGCACGGTGGCCATTGGCGGCCCGCAAAGCCTCCACCCAGGACCACTCGGCCCCTTCTGGCGCCGGACGGTCCTCGAGAGCGGACGCCACGATCGCTGCCCCAGCACCGCCTTGGCTGAAGCCCAAAACACCGTCAACGCCGCCGGCCTCTGCAATGTACTTTGCCAAGTGGGTCATGCCCTCGTTTAGGAACCGGTACTCCCCGGTCGCATCGTCACGCCGCCACCATGCCCACGAGTCGGATGTGTCGTCCTCGTCGTTCTCGACAGAACCATCTTCGGGTGGCTCGTAGCCGGGCAAGTCCCGGGGCCGCAGACGATTGGGCCCCGTGGGGTAGAGCAAGACTGGTGAGAGGTGGAAGGGCGCGAGTGACTTTTGCAGCATCTTCTCGAGAGCGCGCGTCTTGGCACGGAATAGATTACCAGACTGTGTGAAGCCATGCAGCATCAGGATCTTGACATCACGCTTGGGCACTGCGGCGGGCTTTGGTGGCTGATTCGCCTGGGGATGTGGTTGGCTGGCCATTGTGCAGAAGCAGGACGTGAATGGCTGAGATGGAAAGACGGAACGAGACTGGCGGAATGAGCTGCTGGACGGGCTTCGTAAAACTCGCAAGGCCAGTGACGACGGGAAGACGAAAGGCAATTGCATGGGAGATGCAACTGCAGAGGTTTTGATGTTGTGTGTACGAATTAGTTCGGAGGTATTGATAATCAATGGGTCTTGGCCATGTGAGGCACTACATGCGGAAGGCTCAGGTACCTTCGTTAGCGCGAGGGGCAGGTTGCGGTAGCCGCGGTAGGCTGTTCCTAACTCAGCCCTGGATCGTAGCTTACACCACACATACTCACTGTGAAGTTCGACAAAAAGATTTTATGCTGTGCTGACTGCGTTGCAGCCGCTTGGTCTACAGCGTTGAAAGGCTGGTTATGTGTTTCCTTGTTATGATGAATGTCATCGTATCTGCGCCGGCACTGATATCGACAGGCTATGCGCACCATCTCCCAAGGCATGTGGCTTTACGAGAAGAGCACCGAGGAAAAATACAGCTGCAGAATCGCCGACGGCCACACCTAGTTGATATACAACTAGCATTTACCTTCAATTTGTTAGATCTCAAGCATGGTTGTTGTTGCCGCTACACGGCTGTAAGTCACCCTTGTGTCAATGTCGTCTTCCAGTCTGCTGCACCTCAGATACACCATTGCACATAAGCAACCAATATCACAGAAACAAACGCAATGTCGCAGTCGTTCAATGGATGCACTTTTGGGTTGTTGTTCTATGGTACAAATCTCACGCACGCGCGTAAAAACACATAGTCGTGGAGTGGATGATGGTCAAATGAAACGCGATCGGCCGTTCCCGAAGAAAGCCTATCTAGCTTTGCCCTCGATTCGTCTTTATATGCTTGCTATTCCAATTTTGCACATCGTCGTAGCTCGTATCGTCCACTACTTTCGTCGCCAGTTACCGCCTGCCCATGCTCGTCCGTTGGAAGGTTTAGTGCTTGTCGGCGGCGGCCTTGGCGTAGACGTTTCTCGGGTCGTTCTTCCACTCGTCGGCTGTGTCAAGAGAAAAAAGGAACAGTTAGCAACAGCATGGCCGTAGTATGGTATACAAGCGAGTAGTTTTATTCTAAGTTCGGCGACTCCCGATTCCGGAGGCATATGTACGTACACTTCATCGAGGCGTTCTGTGCGGCATTGACGCCGTAAGCAATGACCAGACCTAGAAGATGTCGTGTTAGCCGTTATATCATCGTAAGAATACATATGTAGGCTGCGTCGTGGCAAGGGAGCCCGTCGATAACCGGATGTCGCAGTGTCGGATATCGAACAACGGGGAAGTCGGCGCATCCGGTCGCGGTTTCGGCGGCCGGTGTGAAGAGACGGGCAATCCGGGTTGCTCTCATCGGGCGTAGAACGTACCAGCTACAAAAAAGGGAGCCATCGGCCGCACTGTATCAGGCGTTAGCATTATGATCATGGAACAATGCAACAATGGCGAATCGCGAACTGGACGGGGATGAGGCAAAAGAACTTACTGACGGGGCCCGGGAACTTCTTCAGGGGGGTGACGCCGAACCAAGACATGGTGCAAGGGGTATATGGGTGGAAGAAGATGGTGGGAGGATGAAGAGCGGTGAAATTGGCCGGTTGTGGTCGGTATGGCGAGGTGAGGTTCCTGTGCGAAGTGCGTTGACGAGTTGTTGTTCTCAACAGGAGAAGCGTTGTTTTCTGCCGAACCGTTTTTCCCTTGGTCCCGTCCTAGCCCGGTCCCGCCCATGTTGCTGTTGGCGCCTGAAAGGTGAGGCAAAGACAAATGAGTCACGTGCGCCTCCCAGCTCCACCAACCCATGGTGCCCACATTGGTCGAGCCCCGTTTTGCGGAGCCACGAGCTGTCCATGTGACATCACCGCCAACTGAGGGGGTTCCAAGCTGCTAAGAAGTGGGTTTACTTGTCTGTTGCTGTCTCTCTGAGTGGCCATCCCCATGTTTCCGCCGTTTACTCTGGGGCATATCAGGTCATTCCTGACGACAGCAGACGAGGACAGGGAAGGAGGAGCCGGAGGCAACGACAAATTGGGTGAGCAAATAAAAGGCAAAGCTCTCGACGTGTTCCGGGTTTGAGTTTACATCTGTCTTTCTCAACTTCGTTTTTCAATTGATCCATCCAGACAACTACCGTTTTTATAGTTGTTGCGGTTGACTGTTACGGAATTAGAACCTCCTTCCAGCAACCGTCAGTCAATCGCGCCTGCCGCCTCATTTTATTGCCGTTACTTTCCCTCTCGTCGACCTTTCACTATTTGCCATTCGAGGCTTTACGTTTTGAAAGCAGGAGTGTTCATCATTGCAGCTTCCCAGTCTCTCTCACAGCAGCCCTTCTACGCATTGCTGGTCCGCCAGCCAATTATCCTACGCCGCTGCACACCCTCTTTGTCTAAACCCCCGCTCTCGTCGCCCAGAGCTGTTGCCAGCGTACCTTTCTTTGTGCTGTCGTATTCTACGTCTGCAAAAATACATCGCCCAGATCACTCTTTTGCCTTGCTCCAACTGCCAAACTATCTCCGCAAACTGCTGACCTGAGCAGCCTTGTACCGTGTTTACCCTGCCATCCCGGTGCTACTCCAAGGAACAGCTGATTCGTCCCCTCTCAAACTTCCCCTCTCCCCTCCTGTGCCCTTCCTGCATGCTCCCAGACTTTGTACCCTCCATCCCACAAACAAAGCTGATACAACCAACCGCCACCACCGCCAACTCCTCTTTCATGTTCTCGTCCACGAAACCATTCCAGTTCTTGATTCTTGTCGCTTGCCACAGCCGCTTCTGCTGCTGAATACTTCTTACTCTGCTTGCTTGTCTGCCGTCCCTGGAAATACCCGTCTGCCGTCGGATTTGCAAACGCCAGCGCAGGACAAAAGGACAAACGTCTCTGCCACCCCAAGAAACTTTGCCAGACCCTGTTTCTGACTCTGTTTCTGTGACGTTTGTTCCTTGTTCGTGCTCGTTGGCTGCATGTGCGCACCCTAACTCGACCCCCCACTCGCCGTCAACGCCGCCACAACGACTGATTCGTTGTTTACGAAGCTTTCGACAGCTGTGACGACGACCTCGACATCTTCTACTCGCACGATCCCTCCCACTGTACTCCTCTCCTTCTCCTCCAAAATGCTTGCACTTCGTCGGGTGTCCGTGGCGACCGCTGGGTCTGCACCGCGCGTCGTTATGACCCGGACCATGAGCTCGACGGCACCCTCGCACGCAAAAAAAGTGCCTACCCTCTCAGACATTGTACCAGACAGTCAGGACGACTTCAACAGCAAGCAGAAAGAATTCCGGGAGAAGCTGGCCGAGGCGCAGAAAGCGCAAGATTCAAGTGCGTCGTCCCCCCCTCTCTTTAACTCCAGACGCCCTGTGGATCCGGTGCCGGCCGACGGTGCCGAGGACCCCAATGCGCCACCTATGTTGCAGGGCCTGGGCTCACTTAGTATTACCGGTGGTAAAGGATCACGGGCCGAAGCGTCGTCCAAGACACCAGAGCGCAAGTCCGGTCCCATCGCCAACCTGATCTACGGCACCAAAGAGGGCCGCGAGCTCGACGCACAGATCGAGGCCAGCTTTAGCCAAGTCCTGGCACGCGGCAAATACGTGCACTCGATCGTGACACACGAAGTCAAACCCGACAAGGTTGCCGAGTACGTGGACCTAGTCGGCAAGTGGTACCCACGCATGGCGAGCATTCCAGAGAATAAGGTGCACCTGGTGGGCAGCTGGCGCACCGAAGTCGGCGACTGCGACACATTTGGTAGGTTCCGGCTTCTGCGAATTCCATCGTGCGACGTACAAAATTTTATCTAATCCTTATTTTCTTCGTAGTTCACATCTGGGAGTATCAGCGGTACGAAGGCTACCATACGTCCATCAACGCCGTCGCAAACCACCCCGAGTACGCCGAGTTCGACAGCAAGCTACGGTCGCTCATCAACAACAAGCATGTCTCTCTTATGCAAGAGTTCTCATTCTGGCCCACGACACCGCCGCGCCAGCTTGGCGGTCTTTTTGAACTGCGTTCGTACACACTGCACCCAGGCAACTTGCTCGAGTGGGAGACGCACTGGCGGCGCGGGCTCAAGGCACGGCGCGAAGTCATGGAGGGCGTGGGTGCGTGGTTCGTCCAGGTGGGCGAACTCAACACGGTGCACCACCTGTGGCAGTTTGCCAACCTGGAGGAACGCAAGGTCCGTCGCGAGCAGAGCTGGGGCATAGAAGGCTGGAGCGACACGGTGCACAAGACGGTCCCGCTCATCCAGTTCATGAAGTCACGCATCCTGGTTCCTATGCCGTGGTCTCCCGTGGCGTAGGTGTAGAGGGCATGGGCGACGCTCTTGCGTTTTTATATTAAGAGATTGGATTGGGATGGCCGCGTATGGTTGGTATTTTCTGTGGGTTGAGATTTGGTTTCGATCGCATTGTATTGAACGCCTTCGTATTGGTTGCATTTTTTGTGGCAGCTGAGGCTCTCATCTCGCGCCACTGTGTCTTAACTGCGAAGCTTATTTCCCCTGTTACATTGTAAATGAAAATACATCTCTCTTAACCGAAAGTGCCTACGCAGTTGTATGTACAAGATTTGTGCACTCTCTCTCAAACGCCACCAACGTCGGGATACCCAGAATCACGTAACATCAGTGGTATATGCAAACAATTCCCACCATGTACTTAGTCCCTATTCGTCAATTTCCTCGTCCATCACAGCAGCCAGATTTCTTCGTATATGTACAAGGGCGTGGCTCAAGGCGTTCAATTTGGCGCTCAGGCTAAGCAAACTCGGGTCGGCACTCTCGACGCGGATCTTTTCCCGCACGTATATGCGCGCAGGACCTTCGGGTGTGGCGGAGCCGGTGCCCGTACCACTGTCATGTCCGGAATCAGAACCAGCAGCACCGGTAGGTGGGGGGCCATGCAGACCCTTGGCGCTGCCGTCCTCACAGCAGTAGTTGAAGACGCGATCGGCCTCGTCATGTTCAATACGTCGCGCCGTGCCTAGCGCCAGTGCAAACTTCATGCCGAGGTTGACCGGCATGTCTGCCGGTTCGAGAGCGCGCAACCACAAGACGAGCTGACTCTCCTGGAGGCCAATATAGAAGCTGATGCCCGGAGGTAGTTGGGGCAGGAAGTGGGAGAGGGCGGCGGAGCGGGAGGACCACGCGGAGTCGGACGTCGTGAGTGCTGGCCCGCGCAAGATGGCCGAGGCGTCCTGAAGAGCTTGGGCAAGGACGCGCAGCTGTGCAGCCAAAAATGTGCCGATTTTAGGAGCAGGGCCAAGGGCGTGGGCCGATTCCGAGGAGGATGTCGACGATTTCTCTGGATAAGCGTGTGTGAGGGTGATGTTGAGCAGTTCGATGGAGCGGGCGAGTAGGATGCTGAGGTCGTCCAGCGGAGCAATGGTTATAGGATGGTGGGGATCGATAGAGAGAGTCTGCGGAGGCAGGGTACGCATCTTGAGGTTGACAATGCCTTTCGTGATGCGTGTGCCGAGGCGGGTGATGTGGCCTTTGACGGCCTCGGTCCGTGGCGTGGTCACAACAAGCGTGTTGCCTTGGTCGGCGGGCTCGAGTAGCTGATAGCAGTCTTCAAGGCTGACCTTGAGACCGCGCAGGTCGTCACCCATCTCGTTGAGAAGCCATTCCAGCTCGCGAGCCTTTTTATCGTGTGAGCCATCTGTTAGTAACGAGGTCCGCTGTGGTGACAAAGACTTTTGCTCGCTCTGTGGCTCAAGCATCATATGCGCTTGCGAAATCTCTGCTTCCGGTGTCTCTTCCGCCGGTGGCCTTGATTTGATTGTCTTCAACAGCTGCGCCCTCCCGCAATCCCGTTTGAAAGTCTTCGACTTGAGCTTCTCCTGGTCGACGAGCCTCTTGAAGGGGTTATCGTTTTCAAGACTTCGCACCATGTGTCTTGGTCGCGGCGATTCTTTAAGGAAGCCTACGTCAAAAGCAGGTGAGGGCTCGGGCGCCGATCGCAGAGCAGAGCCCGGCAATGGGCAAACAATGACCCAATCGGACGACATGGCGAGACGTTCGAGGAGAGCCAGACTGGTGGGCCGGCGTTGAAGAAGCAGCAAGGAGCAAAGATGCTGGACGCAAGACGACGCACAAGGAGCAAGAGTGAGGATCAATCCGAAATCGAGGGGGAAACGAGCTCACCTGTGTCGTCTCGATCGCATCTTTTAACTCCTCCGGCGGCAGACTTGGCCAGATCGCCACAGACATGTTTGTTTGTCTGAACGGATGCGCGTGTATGTGTTCTCGTTCGTTTCGAAGCTGCCTAGGCCAGTTCCAAGGCCGCCGTCAAGTCGTGATCGTGTCCTTTGCCCAGCGTCCTCTCTGCGCTTTCCATTAATGGCTTTGCTTGCCAGCAGAAACCGATCATGAACAGGCATCCATATTTCGCTGCTTGGAGCTAAGGGTCGATTGGCGACATGGCCAGGCCACCAAATAAATTAATATCCCGTTGGCTGATGAGGAGATCAAAGGTGTCGGCAGAGGGAGGTCGGGGTCGACACGAAGAGGAGCTATTATGGAGAATCAGAAATGCATCTGCCTGCACAAGGTTTGGGAGAGCAAAGTTGGTGATGTGTCTGGGGGAGGATGGAGGCAGCTAATCAATGGTTCAGTGGAGAGCTACGCCGACAGGCCCCCGGGGGTGCTATAGAACGCGAGCAAATTTTAGTCATCCGAGCTCCACTAAAACCCAGCCTATGCCTAGATTCATTTGAGCGATGCAAAGCAACAACTTCTTTTGTCAAAGATCCCTTCTAATTCGGCAGCCTGGTCGAGAATGGACGCAGCCTTTCCACATCTTTGGCGAAAGGGTCCTGGTGTTCAATATGGCAACCTCAAAGTCGGCAAACAGTGAAGTGGCACCATCCTCACCAGGCAAGGCCCAGTCTCAAGGGACGAATCAACGCACATCAGCAAAGGGTGAGTTGGAGCGAGATTTTCCGAAAAGGTTTCTTGTCGTTTGAAGACTTAACGCCGGCCCTAACAACCACCACCAGGACACGTTATTACGCGTAAGAGAGCCATACTGGGCCGTGGTCAGCCCGCATCGGCTGCCGTCAAGCCGCTCGGCGTGCTGTTCGTCGGAACCAAGGCGCCGTTCATGTCAGTCGTGAAACGGGCTATCAAGACACTTGACAAGGGCCCAGGCGGTGCACGGTGGTCATCGACGAAAGTCAAGACACTCCCCGAGCGCATTGCGTTGGCGCAGGAGGCGCCCATCCACGCGGCGACGACGGCCGCTACCGGCACCGGCACTGGCTCCATCTACAAGGCAGCGCGACAGAGGGAGGTGGTCATTCTCGGCACAAGCCACGCCATTTCCAAGCTCGCACTGGTGGCTGCATGGTTCCAACGCCAGCAAAACTACGTGGTGACCGTGCGGACGCGGTCTGCTGTGTCGATTGACGACGTGTATACGTTTGTGGGGGGGGAAGCGGAGGACGGCGACAATGGCGACAACGACGGCGGAGGTGCCGATGCCGACGATGCCGACGGTCCCGCAGACACAATGGATATCGACGCTCCGGCGAGGACGGCCACGACAGCCACGACGACAGCAGCCACCCAGCCACACAAGTCAACACGGCTGCGGAATATGAGCTGTCTTGAGGTGGCTGTACGTTTAAAGTGAGGTCGCGATTTTGGAGCCTTCTTCACACACTTGTTTTCGTCTCTCTGCGGATCTGCATTGGCGTTCCGGTATACACAAATTCGCTAGCGTTCAATCATTCAGGTTGCTATTTACATCTTTTGTCTGGGCTGTGTGCCTTCTGTACTCTGTCTTTATTCATACAGTCTCGCCGACCTCCGCTAGACGAGCTCGTCCGCCCATCCTACACAGAGGCCTTGATCTCCTGCACCTCGAAGAGGGTGCTGTCAACATCCTCCTTGGAACGAGATGCCTTGCGGGGATTCTTGGCCTCAAAGATGTCGTTCAGCTCCTCAAGCGTGCGGCCACGGGTTTCGACCATGACAAAGTAATAGTACAGCGCCATGGCCGAGCAGGTGGCCAGGTAGATGAAGTAGGTCTTCCAGGTAATCTTCTCGAGGGCGACGGGCAGCGCAAACTGGTTGACGAGGCCGGCCGCCGAGCCGGCCATGTTCTGCAGGGCCATGCCTTTGGCGCGCTGCTCAAAAGACAGCACCTCGGCCGGGTAGAGGGCCTGGAACGGTGTGTAGACGGCGGAGAAGGCAATGGCAATCAGGAAAATAAAAACAATGGAGGCCTTGGCCGAGCTCGTGTTGCCAAGAGTGTAGTAGGCGCCGGTGCCGCCGAGCATGCCGCCCCACAGCAGGGCCATGCAGACACAGCAGGAGATGAGCATCTTGCGGCGGCCGAACCGGTCGACGAGACTGGCGCCCGTGCAAGCGGCAACAGCGCTGGCAATGGTGATGCCCAGGTTGATGTTGAGCACCGTCGTGGTGTCGGTGATGCCAGTCGTCGACAGCATCGCAGGCAGGAAATAGGACACGCCGTTCTGGCCGGTCCACTGGCTGAAGACGGACACGGCAACGGCGCACAGGATGGCTCGGTACAGCGCTGCCTTGGAGTTGAAGAGGACGCGGTAGTCCCACCAGCGCTTGTCCGCGCCGTCCAGCTCGAGCTCCTCGGCGAACTCGCGCATCTCGAGCTCGACGTACAGTGAGTTGGGGTTGTCGTTTCCGTGGTATTTGACGAGCAGCTCCCGACACTTGTCGACTTTGCCGTGCACGAACAACCACCGCGGCGACTCGGGCGCGATGATGGCGCCGGCCAGAAGGATGGCCGAAAAGACGATCTGAACCCACGTCGGAATCAGCCACGACCGGTTGTCTTTGTACTCGACACAGCCGCGCAGAGTGGCTGCCGCCAGGATGGCACCGAGGAAGTAGCAGCAGTTATAGAGGCCCGTAATAACGCCGCGGAACGCCGGGTGGGCAAACTCGACGACGTAGGACGGACAGGCGGCGTTGCCGATGCAGCCACCAAACCCGAGGAAGAACCGGCCGGCCAGGTATTGAGGGAGGGCGTGCGACGTGCCCTGCACTATGGTGCCCATAATGACAATCAGGCAGCCGACGGCAATTCCGAAACGGCGGCCCCAGGTGTCAGAGAGGGGGCCGATAAAGGGAAGGGCGGACACGGAACCAATGGAGTACATGCTGGAAATGAGACCGGCCTTGATGCCGAGGATGGAGGCGCCAAACTGCTGCTGGAAGGACGGCATGTCGAGCAGGTTGCCCATCAGCGAGCCGTCGAAACCGCCCGTGGTTGAGCCCAGGAACATGACAGCGCAAATGGCATACAGCTGGATCATGCGCTTGCTCGTCTTGTCGACGGGCTCGAGACGGCGGACAACTTCGAGCGCAGCCACGCCACGATGGTCACGGAGGACGTCGACAGCGGCCTGGGCCACGGACTCGACATGTTGCCGCGTCTCGCTTGCCTTGGTTTCTGGAGACGTCATAAAGATGGTAATGGTGTGGTAGTGTAAAACAGTTGTGTTCTTGACGATATAGTGGCTGTCGTGTAAGGTTGTGTGTACGGGACAATGATGGTAAATTACAGAAATATTGGATAGGGAATATGATCAGATAAAAGAAGGATGCGAATGCCGGCAGTGGTTTGATGTACACGATGTATGGTCACAACAAAACCAGGAGTAGACGTCCTAAGGCCTCGGTATTTATGCTTCGTGATGTATGAGGAAGATGTCGAGGCTCCTTGTGGATTTGGGCTCGTCGTGCAATGGTGCAAGGCAATTGCCGCGGTGTGATTGTCGATAAAACACGACAACAAGCGAGCTTCCAACTAGATGAAGGTCTGAGCCAGCCCCAGTCTGGGGAAACGAAAGTCGCAAAAAACGGGTGAGGAGATGGGGAGAGATGAGCAGGAAGGCGACGAGAGGTGAGCCCGAATGGACGCAACGCTCTTTCGTATTCCGACGATATTTCCGCTCTGCAACCACAAACGACGAGCCACTCGCCAGCCTCTTTACATAATAGGCCACTGTGAGGGGGCAGGAGGGACGTCCGTGTGGTAGAAAGAAGCTGGAAAGGAGGCGTCGAGCCGTTGTCGACTTCGTCCCTAGGAGGCGCAATTCGAATATCTTTTTGCCTTCAGTTTTTTCAGTAATTTTTGGCCCGCTGTTTCTCTTGCAGTTAGCCTGTTGAGCAGGCCTTATTAGTTTTTTGCAGCGGTGGGAGGGTTAGCTATGGTAAGCCCAGCGGTCTAACATCGGCGGACACAAAGGTGTTCTTGTCTACACTACTTACCAGCAGTGTGACACCAACATTTGTCGCCGCTTTGCCTTCCTAAAATGGGACTGCCCTTGCACATTTTGGGGGACTTACACCAGGGGACCCTGACAGCAACGACATCTCATTGGCCAAACCACACTGTGTGCCGCTTGATAAACGGAGCCTCCGCAATTGCTCTTTAGGAAGGATTTGTCCCGCAACACCTGCGCTTTGGAAACAAGGCACATAACCGGAATTTTGAGCGGAAATCCTGGTATGCCGTTGGGATGGTCTCGATTTTGGCTTTCCCCGCGTTTTGGCTCGTGTTGTTGCGGAGATGGACTGCAGATATTCGGCTGTCATTACTTTCTAGACAGGGGGAGGCAACATGTTAGCATTTTCCGATCTTTTTTCCGACGTCAGGTGGCTCTAGGTGCCAACTGCGAATGGGGCGGCGAAGTCGCTGTGGGGAGACGAGGGGAAATCGAGGAGACAGATTCTTGTATTCAATGATTCTGCAAGGATGGAGAAGATGGAGTAGGCTTGTTTGAGTTGTGGAGACAAGTCGATGAGGAGGGCGGAAATTTCGTAGGAATTATTAGAGTTATCTAACGAGACTGAGAATAAAAAGTAAAACCAAATAAATAAATAAAAAGAATACAATAACAAGTCTGAGATAAGACATATTGTTCTTTACGGACTCTTCGGGGGTCAGATGTGCGTCAGAGCATATATAATGAATGTCCCCTTATGGAAGTGAAGCTGTGAATTGTAAACATCACTCGTCGTCGTCGAACAACCTCTAACTCTTCCCCTCTACGTGTCTACTTGTCCTTGTGCCACCGACGCACCGCAATGCCGTCTAATGCTTATTCCTCCACGCCGCCGGTCATCACGACCGCGTCGGTCGAGGGCGATGTCAACTACCAGCCACCAACGTTCCCGCTCGGACCGTTCACCAAGTACGCCGGGAATCCACTGCTGGTCCCCAACCCGGACAATATGTTTGAGTCGGCCTACATCTACAACGCCACGGCCATTGTGCTCGACAACCGGGTATTTCTGCTGTACCGTGCGCAGACGGCCGCCCTCTGCTCGAGCATTGGCCTGGCATGGTCGGACGACGGCTACGACTTTACGCGCCTCGACCGACCGGTCCTCGAGGCTTCAGAGCCCTGGGAGGCCGGCGGTGGCGTCGAGGATCCGCGCATCACGCGCTCCGAGGACGGCCAGTTTGTCATGACGTACACGTCGTGGGACTTCAAGGTGCCGCGCCTGTGCCTGGCGACGTCCACAGACCTGGTGAACTGGACCAAACAGCCGCCGCTGTTCCCGGACCTGGAGGATGTCGAGTACTGCGAGCACACCGGCCGCACTCTGATCCGCAAGGGCCACTCCAAGTCGGGTGCCATTTTCCCCGAGAAGGACAAGAACGGCAAGTACCAGATGATCTTTGGCGATTCTCTGTTGTTGAGAGCAGAGAGCGACGACCTCGTGCACTGGACGGCCAAGCCGTACAACGAGTACTTTGCGGAGCCCGTGCACCCGTGGGAGTCGCGCTTGCTCGAGCCCGGCCCAGCACCGATCAAGACGCGCGACGGCAAGTACATTCTGGTGTACAATGCCGCGACGTTGGGCTGTGCGGGCTACCGCAACAACCAGTACTCCATCAGCCAATTTTTGATCGACTATGACAACCTGGAGAACGGCCCATTGGCCCGACTGGACAAGCCGTCGCTGGTAGTATCGACAAAAAACGAGAGGGAGGGCCTGGTGAATGAGGTAGTCTTCTGCGAAGGCCTGGTACAGTTCAAGGGCAAGTGGTTCTTGTACTACGGCCAGGCAGACAGCGAGCTGGGGGTGGCGACGGCGGATATATGAGGCGTGGGTTTGGTTTGCTTCTTCTGTTTTTATGTACAACTTTTTATGATTAAATTGTTCTAGACTGCGCCAAATGTAAATGACTAAAACTTTAAACATCATCTACCGTCATGAAAATTGGGTATCAGGTTACTATTTTGATTTATGTGTCTCGCATTCTCGGGCGCTTATCGCATACCGGGGTCTCCAACAATCAGCTCCAGAGTCAGTGCCCTCAAGTCCCGATATGTCCAAAACACCGAGTAGCCGTCAATCTCGTCCACGGTCCATGGGCCCGTTCCGATTTCCTCACGGACCTGAGCTGCAAACGCCGCATGCCTCTCCTCCACATCCGTCCACATATCCAGGATGGCTCGGCAGTTTTCAAAATGTGTCTGGTGCCACAGCTGCAGCATGATGCGCGCCGTCGTCGCGCGGATGTCCACAATCAGATCCCATCGGTCGAGAACAGCGCGAGGGCAGATGAATACACTGCGGGCCAATGCGCACATAAAGTAGAGCACGCCAGGCACAGGACGAAGAGCAATAAGACCTCCCAGCGTGTCGGCGCGGTTGAGGATATAGCTGTACAGGGAGAGCAGGACCAGGCTGGAGAGCTGGTGCATCACGAGAGACTCGGGTGTGGCCGGCAGCTCGTCTCGAAGGTCCAGAAGATGGGGTGGCAGGCGGACTTGCCACAAGAGGCATTCGTACTCGAGCTTGGCCCAAGCGATGCGCGTAATTTGTGTTTGCGTGGCGTCATTGGCGTCGCTGATGCCGTCCAGCTCGGTGCGGATGCATTGTTGGTTGAACCGCGCTCCAATGTCGGCAAGCAGCAGATAGTGTCGTGCGAAAGTGCGCTCGCCCAGCGACATTGCATATCCATGCAGCATGTTTGTCGGTAGACGGAGCAAAGTGGTCGGCCGGCCGACGAGTTGCCTCCACGTGTACGCACTGACAGCTCCCGCCATGACGCACGCTGGGATACCAAAAGAGCGAGGTATCGATGTATGCTGCTGCTGCTCCTCTTCCTGCCTTCGTATGCTGGTGGCCTCGACCGTTTTGAGAATACGCTCGATTGTTGCTTCAGAAAAATGCATGCAGGGCATCAGCAACAGAACGCCGGCAGCATCGGCCAAGGAGAGATCGTGTTGCCGTGCAATTGCGTCGTCGAGTGCAGAACCGTCGCCAGAGCGTTGTGCATGCATCAAGTGAAGAGACAGGGCGCAGGCCCGTGACAAACAGTCGGCGAGAATGCCGCTCTCATCAAAAACGTCGTCAGCAAGCATCTCGACTGCGACGAATGGCAGGAAGGGCTGGACATCATGCACATAACGGTCATACAGCGAGTTTCGTAGTACACCGCCGCCTTCTGAGTACCTGCGCTGTTCGTTGCTCGCCGTGCTTCCATCTGAACCGCCTGCTGCTCGCCTCTCCAGCAGCGTTTTGTTGATCTTGCCGGTCAGGCTGTCGACCTTCACCCTTCGCCGGCCAGCGTCAGAAAAAACACCGTCGTCCGGAACGGCCAGTCCGCTCGCAACTGGTGGCACGTCTGTCGGTCTACTGTCTTCACCTCCCAGTCCCAGCCGTGCAGCAATGTTCCGCGACGTCTGTCGCCGCTTGAGGCTCGGCCGTCGCTGGCTAAACTCGCATGGCAGATCCAAATGCTCGCAGTCCGTGCAGCGCGAGCCCGCCCCATCTACCACGCATCGCTTTTTGCGGTGCCGGCAGTAGTCGCACGACTTAAACATAAAAGTAAGCGTGTAAATCGGTCAAGCGGGAATCTGCGGTCGTAACGGGGGGTTGCATGAGCCGCTGTTTCGCCTTGGTGATGTCAGAGCTGCTACTCATGCGGCGAAAAGAGCGGCAAAAAAGGCGGCCGACAGCGAGGCAGCGACGGATGACAGCATTTATGGCGGCGAAGGGGTTGGGGCGATTGGGGGTGGCAGGCAGTGATCGTGCGGCTTAAGGGAGAAGGTACGCTTTCCTCTGTCGCTCCTTCCACTTGCACACACCGTCATCCGATTGATTTCCCCAGAGGTAATACCTCTCTTCCCCTAGCGCAACCATCTCTTCTCTCCATTTTCTCACCATCCCATCCCTCCTCACCCTCTGCATGACTGCATTGTCTCCATCTCGAGCCAAGTTAGTGTGATGGCGGAATGGTGGTGGACAAGGCACTTACCGGAATCGCGGTTAGTTGACTGTTAATTGGTCTGTGGGACCTTTCGGAGGTCGGAAAAATCGTCGGGTGTTTTGAGAGCTTCACTGTCCCAGAGCTTCTTTGCTTGATACAACAGCAAAATCGATTATCATGTGCCAATACAAGACCGTATATATGGAAGCGCGCTTTCATGTTCATACGACAACATCACGAAATGGCTTTCATTGGCATCCACTGGACGGTTCACTAACTTCCAGAACTTGATCTCCGGCTTCCTCCTCCTTCTCCCGCGGCCACCGAACATCACAATGGCTGTCATTGCCATTCACCAAGCCGAGCAAGGGCAAGGGCACGTTCCAAAAGTAGCTTTATAATTTGATTTTTGGCCACTGTTTGCTAACCAAGTCTCCTACCGCAGTCCCCATGCTTTTGCCTCTCAGACCCTCTCTGGCTGGAAGTGGCGCCAGCTTGACAAGCAGCAAGAGTGGACAGCCTGCGCACACGACAAGCCCACAACCGAGATCTTCACAGACCTGATCGATGCCGGTCGTATCCCAGACCCGTTCTTGGACGAGAACGAGAAGCTGGTGCAGTGGGTCGGCGAGGCCGACTGGGAGTACGAGTGCAGCTTCAAGGCGGTCGCCGGCTCAGCTCGCCAGGTGCTCGTCTTCGACGGCCTCGACACGTTTGCCGCGGTCTACCTCAACGACCAGCTGATCCTCGAGTCTGACAACATGTTTCACACACACCGCGTGGACGTCCATGGCACCCTCCGTGACGGCGCAAACAGCCTGCGCATTGTGTTCCGCAGCGCGCTGAACCAGGGCAAGGCCATCGAGGCTGAGCTAGGCAAGCTGACGTGCTTCAACGGCGACAGCTCGCGGGTTTATGTGCGCAAAGCCCAGTACCACTACGGCTGGGACTGGGGCCCGACGTTCCTGACGTGTGGTCCGTATCGGGAGATCCGTCTCGAGACGTACGACGCTGCAGTCCTCTACGACGTCTTTGCAAATGCCGTGGTATCGGATGACCTGCAGCAGGCCAAGTTGGACATCACCTTTGCGGCGGACGTTCCCAAATCTGTGATAGTCCAGGCCACAGTCACTTCACCTAGCGGTAAAACTGTACCGCTGGCAACATCCTTGGTCGCTGGTGCGACAAATGGATCTGTGTCCACGGCCATTGCCCAGCCAGAGCTGTGGTACCCCATCAATCATGGTCCCCAAGCGTTCTACACTGTCAAACTTGAGGTCTATGCCGCTGGTAACGACAACGACACAGCCTCTTCACCGACTGTCCTGGCTACATCTAGGACTCGCATTGGCATCCGCCGCGCGCGCCTTGTCCAGGAGCCGCTTCTTGACGCCCCGGGCACGAGCTTCTACTTTGAGGTCAACAACGAGGCTGTTTACGTCTCTGGCTCCAACTGGATTCCCCGCCACTCCTTCTTGACAGCCTTGACGGACGCCGACTACCGCCAGTCGGTCGACGAGTGCGTCGCTAGCAACCAAAACATGCTGCGTGTATGGGGTGGCGGTCTCTATGAGCACGACGCCTTTTACGACCAGTGTGATGAACGCGGTGTTCTTGTGTGGCAGGATTTTATGTTTGCCTGTGGCCAGTACCCGTGCCACGACATCTTTGAACAGAGCGTTAGGCGCGAGGCCGAGGATCAGGTGCGTCGCATGCGTCGGTTCTGCTCGATTGTGCTGTACGCCGGCAACAACGAGGACTACCAGGTGGCGGAACAGATCAGCCTCGACTGGGACCAGGACGATAACAGCGGCAACTGGACCACCACCAACTTCCCTGCCCGCTATCTGTACGAGCGCACCCTGCCTGCCGTGGTGGCTGTCCTCAACGCCCAGGTGCCGTACCATCCTGGCTCACCATGGGGCGGCATCAACACCGAGGATGCCACCATGGGTGATATTCACATGTGGCATGTGTGGCACGGCACTCAGGAGCCGTACCAGAACTGGCCGAAACTGACGGGTCGTTTCGTCTCCGAGTTTGGTATGCTGGCGTTCCCGCCTCGCCGGTCCGTCGAGCGTTATGTCACCGATCCTGCCCAACGCTACCCACAGAGCGCTGTCCTGGATCTGCACAACAAGGCCGGCGGTGGTGAGCGGCGACTGGGCTCGTACATACTGGAAAATCTGCGCCTCAAGAGCGTCGATCTCGATGCCTGGATCTATGCGTCGCAGCTCGTGCAGGCCGAATGCTTGGCATCGGCAATCCGCAGCTGCCGGCGTCAGTGGAAAGGCCGGCGGCGCGAGTACTGCGGCGGACAGCTGGTGTGGCAGATCAACGACTGCTGGCCGGTGTCGAGCTGGGCGCTGATTGACTTCTACGGCGAGCGCAAGCTGGCCTTTTATGCTGTGAAGCGCCGCTCGGCGCCGCTCGTGGTCGACCTTGGCCGCACATATGTGTCTGTCGAGGAGGGCAAGAACACGCTCGAGGCACTGAAGCCGCGCCGTGCACACATTGACGTCTGGGCGGCCAACGCGAGCCTGTCCCAGTATGTGTCTGACGTGACGGTCACCATGTTTGACATTGTGTCAGGCACGGTCGTCTCTACACGGAAGCTGAAGTCGGAAAGCCTGGCAGCCAACGAGACGACCGAGCTGCTGCATGGCCTGGCTGTCGACGACAAGACGGCCGTGCAAGCGGTGGTTCGTGACGCAGCGACTGGTGCCGTTCTGAGCCGCGCGTCCGACTGGCCTCAGCCGCTGAAACACGTGGCGCTGGCAACCTCACAGGACAGCGGCGTCCAAGTGACGGTGTTTGATAACCGCGTGGAGATTACGAGCAAGGTGCCCATCAAGGGCCTGGAGCTTTCTCTGTCGGCTGACAAGGCCGTTACATGGTCAGACAATGGCGTAGACGTGTTCCCGGGCGATGTGTACTGCATAGACGCGCCGGGGCTGTCGCGGACGGACACTGTAGATGTGCGGTACTACGGGCTTCAGTAAGGTAATTTCAAATGGACAGTCGACGATGATGTAGATATAGGTACTAGTAAATTTGGAAGTCTAGATTACTTAATGAGTTCGCTGTCAAGGCCCTGCGTGCCGTCCAATGGCCCAATGTACATGATGTCGTGGAAGACTTGAATCCAGTCGCCATCCGCTGCGTCCTTGCTCTGGTCTCTTGCCCACCAGTACTGGACTTTGATCAAGGTTCCCTGCGACAATCCGTCGGCAGTTTTCTCCCCGTCCTCCTCCTCCTCCCACAAGTCGACATGCATGCCCACCCAGCCGCGTTGCTCGGCGTGTCGTTTCAGGTCGTCCACGGTTGCAAAGCCTGCATGCTGGACCAGCTCGTCATTCCCAAAGTCAAACTCCTCGGGCCGCAGAGGTCGAATGGTGGCAAAGCTCTTCTTCTTCTTGCTCGCCTCTTCCTCCGTGACAGAGGCGCCGTTGATGCTCAGACCAGACGACTCGTGGAGGTAGCGCACGATGGTCGCCCGATTTTGGGCCGCATAGGTGGGCTTCGGCCGGCAGATCTGGCGGCAGTCGGCGGCAAAGAAGCGGCCCCGGGCATCGATGTCGGCCGTGTTGCGATAGTCCGCGTAGAGCTTCTTGAGGCGATTGGTGATTTCGGGCGAAGAAGTAGCCATAATGTTTTGGTCCTCTCCTTTTTGACGCTTTCATAGATGTGACGGATTCTAGAAGTTCTATTGTAGATATGGATATACGTAAAGTGTCAATATTGTTATGTCGAATGCAGTATGAAGTGACAATGGAATAATGAGATCTGTTCTTTACAAAATAACTGCTTTAGGGCGTGCGTCACCGAGCGTGAAGACGGAGACTCGGGCCGTTAGCACAAGAGTCCTGCTTTCTGAGCAAACATTCAGCGATGTCATGGCACTGGCACAGCCAAAGAAGCAGACGTTGCAAGATACTTCATTAAAGTCAGATATCATTTAATGATTGCTCTTTTTGAATTATTTTCTTTTGCTCTTTTCCTAACCTTTCCAAAACACCGTGCTGTTATGCCTGCTACTTGCCAACCACGTCAAACAGGATGCCGTTGCTGCCAACCCTGCCAGGGAAGACAACACACGGCAACCACTGGCTCGTCCCGTCCCACCACCAGTGCTCGTCAGATATATCTTACAGCGGCATGGAACTGGGTGTGCCCGTTGCGACCATCATGACGTGCGGCGCGCCCACCGGCCAGGCCAAAACGGGGGCGGGCGAAGTCGCGGCCATGGCCAAGCGCGACGGCGAGGGCGCCGACGTGACATACGGGAAACTGATGCCGGTGGCCGACTCGATTGAAAAGGGTCTGCCCATTGGTCTGGCACACGGTATTGTGCTGAAGCGCAACGTCAAGAAGACCTTATCGCGGTTCGTAGTAATATACAGCGGCGCCAAAGCTGGCGTCATGTGCTGTATAACGTCTCGTCCAGGCCAAGCCTACTCTTTTCAGCGGTCTAGACGCACTCCTCGCACTGAAAATGACTAAATATAGGGGAGTTCGCATAGAAGTTTACTGAAGCGTTGATGTTCCAGACCCCAAACCAGGGACCGTCGGTCGCACAATTCTACCCATTCGAGATTATCGCGCGTAAATGTTATATAATACTTGCGGCGTCCCATCTGTTAATACATTAATAGGCCATCTTTGCGCTCCAATGAATACTTCCTCGTTCGTCGTGAGCCTCTTTCAGCCGTCTGCGTGGGGGTTGCTAGCTTGGCCAGGCCAGATCGCGGAGCTCTTCCCGCTAGCATGGCCGAGGAAAGTCCCAGTGCGTAAGATACCTCGCCGTCCTTAAGCCAGACTCGGGGTGTTGTCCACCAATCAGCATCGCGCTTGTGTGTGCTGAGTCTGCGAAGTTTGCCATGGATCGCCGGCCGCCACAGCCGCCATTGTCTCGTTTTTTTTTATCAGTGTTGCCAATTTTGTGATCGTTCCGCCGTCTATTCTACAGTGCAATGACATTAAGGCATCAGCAGAGCCGATAGAGATTTTTCATCTCGATCCTTTTGCTTCCTCTTCTACCCTTCTCGTCATCTCTCCCTTTTTTCTTGGTCTCAAATCCGCTCCCCTTTTTCTCTCTTTTCTCCTCTCTTTGCCCAGGATGTCGTCATCCACGTAAGGTAGCAGCATCGCCAACTTTGGCGCTTTTTGGCACTCAGTTCGCGCTCGCTTCTTCCTCCCTTTCCCTGCACACCTTCCTGTCGGGTACGATACGCCTTATATCCACCGTTCCCTTGGCACCTTCTAGCTCTTGCACCTGCCAATCCAACCCTGTCCTGCCTCCTGTCCCCATACACAGCGCCCCACTCTTCCAGACAAGCTTCTGCCACCAAAGTAAACTGTCTTCCTGCGAACATTGACATCGACATCCCAGTCCGCCCGCCCACCACATCGACTCGTTCACTCCAATCCGCCACCATGGTGCAGCCGAGTGTGGTGAGCGCTGCGGCGGCTGGCACGTCCCGCCCACGGCAGTCATCCTCGTCTGCCTTCCGTCCGCGCATGATGTCGCGGAGCTCCCAAGGCTCGTTTCACGCCGGCGATATTTTCCCATCTTTTGACACAGCCGGCAGCCGCAACAACGCGACTTCCACACGACGAGCATCAGTTGGCACAAAATACCGCACGCTCCCAGCACCAGCCACCGGTGACGAAAACACGTCGCTCCTTAAGAAACAGAAACAAGCGGTGGCAGCACCGACAACACTTTCACCACCAAACGAACGCGGCGGTGAAGGCGATGGTCACCATGCCGCCCAACGAGACCACGATACCCGGTCGACTTCCCGCCCGCCCTCTGACCGCTCGCCTTCTCATAGTCCCGGCGCACAACATGACGCGACTCCACTACCCGTCCGCCAGCTCGGCCTCCTCGCCCTCCTGAGTCTAGCCGAGCAGACAGCCCTCAACTCCATTGGTCCCTACCTACCCACCATGGTTGAGTCCTTTGACGAGGTGCCCGAAAACGAGATGGGGCTGTACGTCGGCATACTCGCCTCGACGTTTGCGCTCGCCCAGCTGGCCACAAACCTGTTCTGGGGCTACCTGTCGGATGCCATTGGCCGCAAACCCGTGATGCTCTTGGGCTCGTTCCTGCTCATGCTCTGCTTCTGCGCGTTTGGTTTCTGCACCCGCTACTGGCAGGTCGTCGTCGTCCACGTCGCCATGGGCCTGCTGAACGGCAATGCGGCTGTGGTGCCGACATGCCTGGGCGAGGTCACTGACCGCACGAACCAGAGCAGCGCCTTCACGTGGCTGCCCGTCGTATACTCACTAGGCTCGATCACAGGTCCCGCGCTGGGTGGCCTGTTGGTGGGTGTGCTGCCTGGCGACTCCTACCCCTTCTTGGCGCCCAACCTCATGAGTGCCGTCCTGCTGGGACTAGCCGTTGTGGTGCTGGCCATCTGGTTTGACGAGACACTGGACAGGTGCGACCGGCGCACGCTGCCGGCGGGGCTGATGTGGATCGACGAGCTGTGGTCGTGGTGCTGCTCCTTGACGTCGCCGGAGAATGGCAAGTCGTCGGAGGCCAGTACGCCTGCGAGTGCCAGCGCCGGTTCTCCCGACAACTCTTCCAACAACGAGACAAGCCCACTGCTCGGGAGCAGTGGCCGCGGCTCGGAGGACGCGACACAGGGCGGCGACGACAGCGACGACAACAGCAACACGGTCGCCAAGCTGCCGCTCAGCAGCAAAAAGACAGACCTCCTCAAGCAGCTGCTCAACCACAAGACCGTGCTGCTGCTCCTGACGTACCTCGTCTTCCAGCTGTCCAACATTAGCTTCAACAGCTTGTACCCCATATTCTCGTCTGCACCGCTGCCTACGGGCCGAGACCTGCCCCCCGGCATGATCGGTCTGCTGTTGTCCTTTGCCGGCGCTGCCACCATTGTCTTCCAGATCACCGCGTTTCAGCCTCTGAAAGTCAAGCTTGGCAACCTCGGCACCTATCGTGGGGCCCTTTTTGGTCTAGCTGTGAGCATGCTCGTCATGCCGTGGGTGCCGCCCGGTCACGACGGCAAGGAGTGGCAGCTGCACGTCCAAATCGGCGCCGTACTTGTCTTCAAGAACATTTGCGCCGTCGGCGGCCTGTCCAGCGTCATGCTGCTCATCAACAACTCGGCGCCGTCGCATGAGACTCTGGGCACCCTCAACGGCATTGCCCAGACCCTCTCGGCTGCCGGCCGCAGCATCGGCCCGTTCTTGTCGGGCGCCTTGTTCTCGCTCTCCACACGCATCCAGCGCCCTGCACGCGGCGAGCTGTTGGCATGGTATATTTTTGGCGGTGTGGCCGGTCTCGGCTGGCTGCTGAGTCTGGTGATCAGTGGTCGCGGGCTGGAGAGTGCCGACTGGGAGGGCCACGCGGAGAATGGGGACGATGACAACGATGACAATGAGGCCGACGAAGAGTCGGCATGACGTGAAAAAATAATAATGATATAATGAAGTTTTGGATATTTTACCACCATATAATTCGCATTCATATTTTGCAACGGCTCCTTTCTTTGATACATCTATGTTATGCAACTCTCCACAAGACCGCAGGGGTCGCGAGAGTCAACTTATTCGACAGAGGTGGTGCATGATGGTCGATACGTTGTACACGCCCAGAATTACATCGCCCAAACTCCGGGTCGTGCCCCAAACTCCACCATCTCCACTTCTTGTTCTTCAATTTGCCAAATTTTTTGTCGTTGTCTTGTTGTCCCGCCTTTAAGAACTCGTCTAAGCACGCTCGCCGCCACAAGCAAGACAGGCCCTGTTCTTCCACCTGCCGGACGTGTAGCTCAGTGGTAGAGCGAGGGATTGCAGATCCCTAGGTCGGGGTTTCGAATACCCCCGGGTCCTAAAAGAGGCTGAACAGTAGTCCTTTTTTGCTGCTGACAGTAGTAGATGCGTATTAATTGTCGTTTTTTTTAAAAAAATTGCAAGTTACCAATCAACCAAGTTCATATCATAGTGTTGACTTCGATTATACTGTTGTTTTTAACAGTTTAGCTGTTGTTTAATTTTCATAACGTAACCTTAATCCGATACATGTAATAATAAGTTTTTTTGTTCTATTAAAAAATCGTTATGTTTTTTTTCCTCTCTCGTATTAAAAGAAACCAAAACCTTTCACATTAAATTTCGTCGTACTACCTCGGGTTCCGTTTTGCATTACCTCCCAAGTATTTAATTTCTAAAGAGCAAATTGTAATTGAATGTTCCTAGGACAATCCTTTCCAAACAATGGCAAGCCGTCGCCTTATTCCAACCAGAGCATATCGTTCATTGTTTCTCACCTCCACTTCTTGATCTTACCACCCCTTTTGGTTGCCATATTTCGCCCCGTTTTCAGCCTCTCGTAGTTAACAAAGACTCGTACATGCAAGAGACGTATATGCACCCGCGGAAGAAGACGTCGATGCAACGAGAGGCGTCTACTAAGTGACTTTGTTGGATCGCTCCCGATCCGTCCCATATGCTGCGGGTAGGGTAATTATGCGCTGCTCACAGCCTGCGTCCCCCTTGGCCCTTTTCCGTCGTCGCCTGATCCTTGATCTTCCCACTTTTGTTCCTGCATCGCGGCACTTCCGTTCAGCCTCATGGTATCGAACATCCAACCAGAAGCGTAAAAGGCACGATCTTGGAGCGCGCTGCGCTTCTGACACGTTTAGATCCCTCGTTTAGCTGCCTCGTGTTTCTGACGGCTCTTGCATCTCTATTTGGTGCGGTTTCGAGGTTCTCGCAATTAGTCCCACCCGACAAAGTATATATTTCCTCAGGGGAAATACGAAAATGCATGTGATCGTGCATGGGATCTCATCACGGCTGCAAAATCAGCCTTTTGCTCTGACAGGAATCGCAGGAACTTGGCCTCTCCTGGGCATGCTGACAGCCCTTTGCATATGAATTACTAACTATCGTGTGGTTGTCGTACTGTAGCAGTGGCGGCTCTCGGCAGGTAATTACGCTGTCTTGCCCACTGGATCACGATCTCGTCAAGCGCTGAATTTGACTCATGCTCCCCTGCTGTCGCTGGGAATGCCCTGGCCCCTGGCTGAGCCTCGTGCCAATGTCAGGGTCTCCTTCTGTTTCCTCGACACGACACAACCCCCCCCCCGGGCCATCTTCCTATTTCTTGGCTTTCCGGGCTCCCTCCTTCCTTCCCCAGGTAGTATCTTACCTTTGATCCCGTTCTATTGGCTCTGCCGGTGCCGCACCTCCTGCACACTTCTGCACTCTCTTGCTGCAAGGCTGTCCTGCAGCATTTTGTCTTTTTGTTTTAATTTCCCTGTCTCCGTCGTCCCCGTGTCTCGCATTCCTTCCACTTGTCCTTCCTTTCCTGTTTTGTCCTCGTCCATCAGAAGCTAGATTCAGCCCTACGTAGGGCTGACCTGCGAACGGAAATGATGCCCGTGATGGTAGCAACTCGTTTGGCCAAGATGGATTGGTCAAGATGGATTGGTCTCGACCTCGATCTCGACATAAGTCTCGTGTTGATAGTTTCCCGTGTCTCCGTTTCCTTGTTGGGCTCCGTTTTGACATGCTGCAATTGACGCCTTCGCATTCCTCGGCCGGCGGCCACGTCGTTTAGCCGTACCGGCGTATCATGGCCGTTCGTAACCTTCGCTCTGCTCCGGGCACCGCCTCACGTGCTGACCTTGTGGCCGTGCTCTTTCTATTTTCTGTCCGGCTCTTCGCTTTTCCGTAGCTGTTCTTCTGTTCCCCTGCCTTCCACTGTATCTTTTCCAGTTAGAGTCATGGCTTTGCGCTCACACTTCCTGGCATCATCACTAAAATCTCACTGCAGGGTCTTTTTGTCGCCTGCCGGCCAATTTCTGCCTTCTTTCCTCTCTCCCCTCTTGCTTATCCCGCAGTTCCGGTCCTTTTCTTGTCATCCTTCTTCTATTGTTTGTTTTACTGCCAGTGTCTATCCCTGCTAGTGTTTTGCTGTAGATTTCGCATCGCCACTTTCCTGTCAACAAGCATCGTGATGATTTACTTTTCTGCCAGTTCAATTGTTTTTTTATTATTTTTGCTTCGGAATTGACATGTTCCGAGCCCTGCGACTGCCTGCGCCGCACTGGATCCCAGCAAGTCGGTACGCTGTGGCGCTTCCCCATGTCCGCGGAAGGATTTCTACTGCGTCCTTGACTTCCGCATTACCCTTGCGCCTTGTTAAGGCAGCCCAAAACGCGAGCCAAAAGAAACGGAAACAAAACGAACGGAGTTGTGCTCCGAGCGCCGTAATACGTCTATTAAATACAACATCCGTCTTGAAAGAACAACGTACAGTAGTTACATCGGCGGAGCGCGCCCAGTGTCTTGGAATCACCAGATCTAGCGGGACGGCATGCCCGTAGTTCTTCACCTAGAAATTTTGAATACCTAACGAACGCTCAAGGACGTATTTCGTACTTCCGTCGGTTAATGACAAATTCAATTGCCACTCAACTTACACAGATATCCGTCAAGCACTCATTTTTGTATCTTAGCTCACCCGTAGCCTAATAAAGTCACATCCGAAGTCACCGAAAGCCGCCCAATGACCCCTAAAATGTCTAGAACATGATGATTACAGAAGATGGTGACTGTCCCCCAAACAGTCAATACGCTGTTCCAGGCTGTTATATACATTGCTCAGCAAACGCGGTGATAACGCAGAAACAAATCACGACGAGACTGTAGAAGACCATCCTCGCCCGACACTGGTGAATGCAGCTTCGTAAACCAGTAGAAAACTAGCTAAGGTTTACTGGAATCTAACAAAGCCAAGACCAGAAAGAGAGATAGGTCTCAACCTTAACAGAACCGCCATTGTTTTTTATCACCGTCCTTCCAGCGTATTCTGTTCAAGGCCGATCGTTTAAACGCCGTTCTGGCAAGGTGACCCTTTGCACGTCATTGTCAGCAAAGGGAAACGGCATTTGACAGGTGACAACCGAAATCGAGGGAGAGAAACGGAGAGGCGAGAGAGAGAGAGCGGAAATCCCACTTTTTTACCACACCTTCTCTCTACTCCGTGCCCCTTGTACCTGCGCGTTGCTTTTAAGCCACGGCGTTTCTGGGGCGCTCCCAACCTCTTTTCTTCGACTGTTTCTCTTACTGATGACCGCTCGCTCACCAAAATCTCGTGTAAGATCAGAGAAAGGCTCTGATTGGCCCATACACGCGACCGTTAGATACATGCAACCCTCTCCAACGGCACCTTTTCGTGCCTCGTCGCTCATGCTTACCGTCTTCGAGGAAACATACGAATATGGATCACCCTCCCACCCCTGCTTTACCACGTACCTGGGATAAAGATGGAGGTGAGAATCGGTATTTCGTTTTTTTTTTTTTTTTTTTTTTATATGTGGATTTGTTGTCTTAGCTGATATTCGTCCATCCCAAATTTTTGCATACATACCCTTCTTTGCCCTACTGAACCTGCTTTTGATTTTAAAACAAGGTGCTTCTTTTCCATGTTTATTTTTAAAAGAAGAAGAAGAAGAAGGCGAGAGAAACTGCCTTGACAATTCAGCCCTTTCCCTCTCATCCTTCTACTCCATATTACTCTTCTGCCGTGAGCATAATCACAACGTCAACGCCCCTCCTCCTTCGCCCCTCCAAGGCACCTTCTTCTTCGTCGTCCTTACGAGAGGCATCGTCAAAACGTCACCTAAAAGGAAACATATAACAATGGACAAGGTCTCCTTCCCCAGCGTCGGACTTGTGTTCGAGTATTGCCAGCACGTCTTCCGTTTCCTGACACAGTCCATCGCTACTTCTTTTGCTTCGGCTCGCTCTTTCTGTTCCTTTTTGGTTCTTGCCGTTTTTCATTCTCTCAACTTCGTATAATATCCATTCTTCAGTTTCATTCTCTTCGTTCGTCCCTCTAGTTTCTGTTTCCTCTTTATTATTGCGGCCTGCCTTTTCCATGCTGCACCCTTGTTTCCTTGCAGTCGAAGTACACGTTGGGCTTTCTCACGGTATCGACAGATCCTTCATCCAGTCATTGCTTCCTTATTTCTTCAGATGCTATTACTTTTCATCTTATTGTCCTTTATCTACATCCATAAGCCCTGTCGTCCGGTCGTTTGAGGCCAAGCTACTCAGATCACGGCGGACCACGATCGAAGTCCGTGCCGCTTGGTTCTCGCGTGGACCCCATAGACGACCACAAGATCCCGTTACACTACCGTCACGACCAGCACGCTCTTCCAAACCCGGTCCAAGGCCATGTCTTCTTCGAGGTCTAGCAAGTCCGGTGGCTCTGGCAGCTCCGCAAGCTGCAAGTTCAGAACATCGCATGTATGTCTGTCACCTCGTGCTCGCTTGGCTTGTTCTGTTTGCTAACGCGGAGCCTTCTTTAGAAAACAATGAAACAGCTCATAGACTCCCTCACCACCCACCGCGTCAACACTCTCACCGAGCTCCGCCGCATCGAACAGATCGCCGCCGCCTGTGAAAATGAGGCCGACGCCCGTGCCTTCCAGGAACCGATGACCAGTGCCTGGCTCTACTATGTGAACAGCAACCAGTTCTTGACCGAACTGCGCGGGCTGACGCCCAACTACCCGTTTAGCGGAGACGTTCTGGCCGACGCCCAGCAGCGCGTGCTCAGTGACCCCCTGAGCAACCGAAGCTGGAACATGGCGTGGCTGTGTCTGTCCAAGATTCGCAACGACGGGCTGATTCCGCTGTACGCCGTGGCCGAGGCCAACAAACCGGAGATGTGGGGTTCCTATGACGCCTGCGGCGAGTCTGATGATGGTAGCTGCCAGGTCTACCAGCCACAGCCGGAAGAGCTCGCGCAGCTGGCACAGTGTTTCGAGTACGAGTGGACAAAGGCCGTGACGACGTTGCTGCGGCACTGGTCAACGCCACCGACGTGGTATTGACAGGCAAAAGGGATGAAGTGGGTGAAAAAAAAAATAAGAAGACGTCGACACGGTAACATGTCGGATGTTGATCGGTTACAATGTAACGTAGCCTTTGTGCTCTGCGTCGGTGAGCAATCGCGTCTCTGTGGCATCTCTTCCGTCTCTTCTTCGGCTCTTTTCCCAATAGTCTTGGCATCAGCGCGGTCGTGGTTTGTCGTGGGCCGGCCTCTTTCGGTATCATGGCGTAGGTGGGAGGACTGCTTTTCATACAGCCGGAGTTGTGTCGTTCAGCGTGGAGCTTTGGGTATTGATATCATCTTGGTTCGTTGTTAGATTTGCATTATTCCATGTTTCTGAGTGTTTTTCATCTCAGTTTGTTTTTGCTTTTTTGTTCTGTTCTCCATGACTTTGACAGCAGCATATAGATTTGAGGTTGGGATCAGAACTATTGGGGAAGGAAGGCCACATAATGTAGGCAGACGTGGTGGGCGGGACCTACCACAAACACACAATAAGATAATGCAGAGCTTCACACACCGATAGAATGTAATGTGGTCATGTCGAAAGACGTAGTAAATGCGAAGCTGACAACTGCGGCCCCACTGACCTTCTATTACCTTCTAGAGTCAGGTGATAGTTTGATATGCTGCCTTTTGTTCCATTTCGAAGGTGTTTTCGCCTATATATCAATATAATATTAGGCACGAAATACTCAATGTTAACCGTTAGACAGATATTGCAAGAACCACGTCGTTAAACCATATTTCAATGTCGAAAGTCTGTTTCCTCTGTGGACATCACCATGCCGTAGATTGTTTGTCGCTTTCATTGTTTTCATTGTTGAGAATTCTCCCCATTTTACCAGACTACAGATGCATGATTCAGTCAATATGGTTTTGAGTTAGTTCACGTCGAGGACAATGCACGTCCTTCCCCACAGTCAAACGGATGCCGGCGAGTAGCAACAAGTCAAGTATTCCGGGTCGAGGCTTGGTTTGCAGTCGAGTACTTTGACGCTTAGTTTTGTCTCGGCACATTGAATATGGCAGTGAATGCAAGTAAACTCTCGAGATGACTTTCACGTACAGTTTCGACGCACAACCGCCTGTCAACAGGAGAACTTGGCCATATTGGTGTTAAAGATTTTGAAGGAAGTCGAGAGCGCTTCGAAATGTCTCTATATTAATACCTGGTCTATTTGGAAAGCAAAAGGGGAATCTATGCATATAATGCGTCTAAATGTCTAACCACCTGAAACATGTACTGCCACCGTCTACGGTATTATTTTATTAGTATATGATGGAACAAACAACCGCCTACAACTCTCGGCACTTGTGGCACACAATTGTTATACGCAACGGCCCATATGTCTCCTACGCAGTATCTGCCTTCTTGGCTGGCCAGACCAGCCAGGCGACAGCAATGGCCACCTTCAGGGCAGCAGCAATCCACAGGGCGCCCGGCATGCCCGCACTGCTGCGCTGCAGCCAGCCACCGGCAATGCCGCCCACGAGAGTCAAGACGGCCGCGGCGATGCGGCGGTTGCGCTTCGCGTTGGCGCGGACGGACACGAACAACTTTGGGTCCGAGAAGAGGTCGCAGTAGAGCGAGGTCAGGACGTTGGTGGGGACCTCGCCGTAGCCGAGGACGCGGCTGGTGTAGATCTGGCCGCCAAACTGGAACGCCAGCAGCGCAACGGGGCACAAGATGACGTAGTCGTTGGCCTGGGCTTCGCGGAGGGCCGACTCGGAGACGGTGCTGAGGCGGGAGTCGGCGAACGCAGGGATGACGGAGGCCTGGGCGAGGGCGGCGGCGAGGATCACAAAGATGGCCTGGAGGAGGCAGGTGACAAAGAGGATGACCTTGCGCTGCTGCGAGCCCAGGCGGCGGAACTGCGAGAAGGCCAACGCGCCCAGCTGGAAGCAGGCGATGGACACAAGGGCCTTGAGCCAGAGACGCGGCTGGCCGGCCGGTAAGTGCGAGGCGCCGAGGGCCAAAAAGATGGTGTTGCCGGTCTGCATGCTGACAAAGACGCCGGCGGCGTTGAAGGCGACGCTGTCGGACAGGCCAGACACGAGGCAGTAGAGGAGGAGAGAAACATAAGCGTAGGAGAGGTCGATCTCGTCGGCGAGGGATGACTTGGTCGAGGGAGGTTCGCTGGCCTTCTGGGCCTCGGTCGGGGAATGCGCCTCGAGGTCGGAGGAGGCAATTGCGTTTGAGTTTGAGTCAGGCGCCGTCGCGGGCGCCGGCAGCTTGTCGCCCATCGTGTGTGTATGACGAGACAAAAGAAGGAATTTGTGTATGGCAAGATTTGAGGTATTGCAGATGGCGCAGAAGAGTGGCACGTGTCTTTGGCACACAATGGGCGCCGTCAAACACGACCTACAGTACTCGCGAAGAAAGGAGGGTGGGCGTTTAAAGGATGCTGGGATATGAAAATATGTCGTAGAATCAGCAAGATTAAAGGAGCGAAATAATTACCGAGGAACATAAGAATCTACAAAATGTCGCAAGGAGTCACGATTTTTTTCTTCTTTTTTTCTGTTTGGTCGCATTTCGGAGTACTCCGAACAAGTCAGGTCGTTCTTGCGCTTTGCGGAGAGTCACATGACATGACGTGACGATCTTGACTGTTTTGTTCATTGGGACTCCATTGCAGCTCCGTTCAGCGGCCGCTAGCGCTGTCATGTTTGCTAATGCCAACCCCAAAGTCGCTAAACTTAATTTTTGCCGAATTTGGTTCCGTTGGCCACTCTGACACCAACACGATTGTAATACATGTCAACAAAACGAAATGCCAACATTGTCTTGGCCCTATTTTCCCACCTCCCAGTCTGCGAGGAAACGCGCCTTGACCTCCCTCCCATTCAAGCCTGACACACCAACTGTGATTGCCTGTCCCGGCATCAGGTCGAACATGTTGTCCTCCCAGCGCGGATCAAAGGAGCCGTGGGCCTCCTTGCCATCATAGACGGGCTCAATCCAGACGCCCTTTAGAGGCTGGTTGGCGACGACAGTGACGTGGGCGTCGACTTGGCCTTTATTCTTGCCATTCTTGGCATCCTTGACATGCGCCACCTTGACGTCCAAATTGGTGTCGTTGGGCCACTCGAGGTAGCGGTACGGCTCGGGCCAGTCGACATAGCGGGCGACGACATTGCCTTTGGCGTCCTTGAGCGACAGCTCCAGAATGATCAGACTGTCCTTGTTCCACGACGGCGGAGCAGCGAGGGTGCCGAGTTCGTTGTTCTGGCCGGGAAGGAGAGCGACCTTGCGGTCGGCGTCGGCCGTGGGGAGCGGGGACCACTCGTCTGCCCAAAAGTCGTACGCCTGGAGTGCGAGCGTCAACTCAGCGGCGGAGGCGGCCGTGTTGTGCGCAAAGAGGGCAAACGAGGGCGGCGCGGACGCCGCGAGGGGGTTGTTCTCGTCCACGAAACGCGAACCGGGCGTGCGCTCCGACGCGACCGAGATGGGCGCATAGAGGCGGCGGACCACGTGTACTACGCGGGCTTGGGGCGCACAAAGTAGTCGACGAGCGACCACGAGGTGCAGGGGTAGTCGTCGTTGAGCTGCCAGATGATGGAGCCGGCACAGCGTGCCTTGCTGACCCCCGACGGGGACCGCCCGCCAAACATCCGCTTCCAGTCCCGCAGCGCATACTGGTACGCCTCGGCCTGCATGAGCTGCGATGCGTAGGCAAAGTTTCTCGAGCGTGGACGTGTCGTACCGGACGTTCTCGGCCAGGTAGCGCGCGATGCGCGCGTGCGCGCCGTGGCCCTTGTTGTGGAAGTCGATGAGGCGCGACTGCGCGTGGCGGCCCTCGCCCTTTTTGCCCGTGCGCGGCGCAAAGTAGTCAATGGTGCTCTGGGCGGGGAAGCCCTGCATGCCAAACTCGGAGACGAAGCGGCCGGCCAGCTGCTTGTACTCCTGATACGGCTTTTGGTTGCCGTGCCAGACATCCCATTGATGAACGTCGCCTCTCGTCAGGTCGTTGGCCGCGAGGCCGCCCGGGCTCCACGGCGAGTTGGCCCAGTAAAACGTCTCGGGGCACAGACGAGCGGCCCGCTTGGGCAGAATGTCGAGGTAGATGGTGCGCTGCGGAAAGGAGCCGCCCGCCGGATAGGGCCCGCGGACGTCGCTGTGGTCGTACGCGACCTTTTCCCAGTCGAGCAGCATAAAGTCTTCGTTGCCGCCGCATAGAATGGCGAGCGACGCGCGGCTGCGGAAGCGCATCGTCTGGGCTTCAGCTTCTTCTGTGAAACTCTTGAGGAACGACCCGTGGACCGGCAGGTTCGTGCACGCAAAGCCGTAGTCGTGCCACACCAGCAGGCCCAGCTCGTCACAGGCATCAAAAAAGCTGTCGGACTCGTAGATGCCGCCGCCCCAGACGCGCAGCATGTTCATGTGCGCGTCGCGGGCGTTCTGCACCCAGTCAAAGTAGCGCTGGCGCGTGATGGTCGGCAGCAGTGTGTCGGCGGGGATCCAGTTGCCGCCCTGGGCGAAAATGTTGCGGTCGTTGACGCGGACCATAAACGTCGAGCCGGGCTCGCCGTCTGCCAGCGGTTCCTGCTGGACCGTGATGGTGGGGACGCCGAAGCGGGTTTTGTGCGTGCATTGGTTGCCACCAAGCGTCACCTCCAACACGTGCAGGTGCTGCTCGCCTTGGCCGTTGGGCCACCACAGCTGCGGGTCTTTGAGGTCGAATGTGGCCGTGGCCGACTGCAGGTTGCTGGAGAAGGTGACGGTCGACTTGGCCAATTTCTTGCCAGCCGGGTCGACGACACGGACATTGGCCGTCTCCTCGCTGCCTTCACCCACGACAGAGACGGTGACGGCCACCGTGGCTGACGTGTGGTCCGCAACAAGGCTGGTCGTGCGCACATAGACGCTGTCAATGCGGTTTTTGTAGGTGTCCAGATACACAGGCAAGTACGGGCCCGCCGTCACCACGATCGGGCCCCAGTCCCAGCCCCAGTGGTACTGCGCCTTGGTGTCTTGTCCAAGACGGAAACGGCCTCACCATGGTCGTTTGTGCTGGCCAGGCGCCACTGCCACGCCGTAACGCCGGTTCTGGTACGAGTCATGATGCGGCGGCGGTTGCGTTCTTGTTCTGGTGATGTTGTGATAGCGTGAAATTGAGCAACACCTTCGAGCAAGATGAAGCTTGAATTTCGTTGAAACAAGGCGTAGTGTGCGGTTGGAATTCTATATTTAAGGAAACAGAGAGCTGTCTGGGTAGACCACGGGACGAATTGGCAGGATAGGAAAGCAGACGAGAACTGAAATAGCTCCCCCGATCACCGCTGTTACAAATCAGGACATTCGTTTATCGTATCACATTTTGTCCCATCGTCTTTCAGTAAGCTCTGCGTCACAGAAAGGGATCTTGCGGCGTAGCTCCGAGGATCTTCCTTGCTAGAGTTGGCGACGTTGTCAAACGGTCTTTACTTCGTTTTCAAAACAAACGGAAGTCCAACCGACGAGGGGCAATCATTGTGGTCCACGGACTCGATGTGATCCGAATTGCATCGGGTTGTCGGTTCCGCTGAACCGATGTAAGACACTACAGCCCGCCGTAAAGTAGCGCAATCGCAGTGGGTTCCGAACGAAAGGGGAAATTCCCGTGTAAGTCGGCAAAAACGTCGGAAAGAGATGCACATCAGACTTCAAATCCAACCGACATGTCGTCTCACACACTTGTGCACTTCATTCTTGTATCTTGACTCGTGAATTCTAGCCGGTCTATCTACCTCCGGCCTCTTCTACTCCACTGCCAGCGGTGCACCGCCTTGGTCGGCCGAGGCCAACAGAGCCTCCAGAATAGCAAGATCCTTCAATGCCTTCTCGGCGCTCTGGCGCGGGTCGACGGCACCTTTGGCGAGGCTGGCACCAAAGGCCACAACTTCGGGCTTGACGCCGGAGGAGAGGGAGAAGTCCTTCTTGTCCTCCTTTTTGTCACCACCCGCAACCTCCACCCACGTGCTCGTCACTGTAGTGGGCGTCAGTGTCACGGCACCCTTTGTCGTGACGACCTCAATTTCAGAGGCCGACTTGAACTCCGTCCCAAAGGACACACAGAACGTGCCGTTGGTGTCTTTGTCCGTCGTCAAGATGGACTGCACTGTGTCGACCGGGGCCAGCTTCGGTTGGAGCAGCGTCGTAAAGGCGGACACCTTGCAAGAGGTGCCGCAGGCCAGCGATAAAGTGCACACCGCCGTCCAGCAGGAAGCCGCCCTGGTACCCAGGCACCTTGCGCCACTCTGTATTAAAGAATTTGTCATCGTCGCCAATCAGCGTGTTCATCTTCATGTGGAACGTCGTGACCTCGCCGCCCATCTGGCCGACGCGCTCAGCGGCGTACTGAATCACCTCCAAGAAGCGAAAGTTTTGGGCGACAGCCCCCAGTGCCTGGCTGATCACGGCTGGCTGCACCAAAATGGGCAGGCAGACAATAACGGCGCCAATGTCGGCGCGCGCCAGCAGGTCAGTCAACGACTTGCCTGTGGTGACCGGGCTGTCGTAGTAGACGTCGGGCTTCGGGCCCTACGTGGCCGCCGCAGCCAAAGCTTCTGCCGACACCTTCGATCGAGAGTAGACGGCGCCGAGTGTTAGGCTTTCGGCGGCCTCGACGGCAGGGAGGTGCTCTGCACTGGATTAGTGGGAGGCGAGGACCTACAAGCAAAAGGCTGGGTTCTGAAGATTTCTTGCTTACCGTCCTTGACAAAGATGCCGGCTCCAAGCAACGCGACAACAGTCATGGTGAAGCACGGTGTGATGAAGTGAAAGTCTCCTGTCGAAGTTGTTAGGGATGGTAAAGCTGTTCAGGCCGTCGAGGCTGAGTCTCTGGCTGAACTTGGAGAAAATAGGAAGACGATGGAAAAATTGAGAATGAAGGCAAAGGCAAACTGCAATGCTCCAGTACAAATGCAGCCCCGGCCGCCTGCTACCGAAGCTCTGGGACGTAATGATGTTGTACTTTCCAATATTCTGGTTTCGGCTTCGTCTGTCCCGCATTTCGGTCGCGCCAACACGCCATTCCCACGGCCATCTGCCGCCTGTCTCCAAAATAAACCGATGTCGGTTCCTTGACGTTCGTGCGGCCGTAACTGATAACTGAACCCTGAAGGTGGCACGCGACAGACAGATCATTCATTGCCTCTGTACAGCTATACGTACCCAGATACCTTAGCTACCATCCGTCTCGTGCGTCTTGCCTCATCCGAAGTGCGGAGCATCGACGGCATCTGGCCACAGGTTTGTGCATAAAGACAATGGTGTCATCCAGTCCGTGTCTCGGTTTATCGCTTCGGAGTGTCGCTTCGGGGGACATGCGACGCTATTCTGGGGTGGCCAGCGCGTCCTTGATGGCCGTCTACAGCGGACTTGACACGCTAGTTTTGTAAGTCTTTAGCGTCATACCTACCTTCCAAGAGAAGTAAACACCCCTGAATCCATGGCCTTCGGAGTATCGCGTCCGCCTGCCGACGATTCGTTGTTGACGACACAACCTGCATCGTCTCTACCGAGTCAGTTGACAATGATCCACCTCCATCTCCACTCGACCGCGGGAGCTGCGGGATGGACAGGGTGGAAGGCCGACACGGCCATGACTGGGAAAGTATGGTGATTTGGCCACCTCTCTTGTCTTGTTGATCTGACTTTTGCTCCATCCTGTCATTGCTTAAGAGGTCATCAACAACATAAGCAACAAGGAATCGCACTGCAGGTCTCACTCTATCGCCACGTCGAGTAACATAAATACAAACGGCGTCGCGGGCAGTCATCGTGTCAAGTTGGTTCGGACTTCAGCGACATCAGACAGCTTAGTAAAATAATACACAAATACACAGCACCACTAAAACTCCACCAACCTCCACGCCGCATCGTCTGCATCTACCTACTACCGTCATGCCTTCCGCTTCCGCCCCGTTTGATTTCCAGGAGCCGACCGTGGTCCGGCTCTCCGACGAAGAGCGCACAACCGGCCGTATCACTCTCGAGAACATTGACATTGCCGTGTCCGCAATACACCGTGACGGTCTCGTCGTACCTGAAAATGCCGTCAACACAGCCCACATGGACGCCATCAACGCCATTCTCGTGAAAGACGCCGAAGAAATGGCCAAGATGGACTCAACTCACTTTAATGGGGTTTGTACTCCCACCTGCATCTGTATTCATTTTTTTTTCTTTTTGAATGTGCAACCCCACATACTGATCTGCCCCCTTGAGGACCAGAACTCCGTCGACGGCCGCCCGACTGGCAACATGTCCCAGGGTCCCCCACTCGAGCCCGAGCTGCTCTTTGGCGACATCTGGGCTAACGTGCCCGCAGCGGCCGTTCTCTCCGCTGTCTTCGGCCCCAAGCCGCATGTCAACTATGTCAATGGAAATACGGCGCTCGGCGGCTTTGACGACGCCCGCCAGCGCGTGCATGCCGACTTGTTCTTCAACCATGCCCAGTTCCCGTTTGCCGTCGTGGCCAACTACTATTTGGAGCATGTGTCCCCGGCGAACGGCTCCACCGAACTGTGGCTCGGCTCGCACCGCGACACCTCGTTCCTCGACCACCGCAACTGCCACCCCGAGCGCGCCGACACGCCGCCGAGCGACACAGACACAGGTGCCAAAACGAAGGAGGGGGCGGCCGCTAAGGGCGCAGACTTTGGCATCCGCGACGAGCGCCTCGATGCCCGCCGCAAGCACGCCCCACCCATGCAGCCGACCATCAAGAAAGGCTCGGTCGTGCTGCGCGACCTGCGCCTGTGGCACGCCGGACCGGCCAACCCGGCCACCGACCCGCGCATCATGCTGGCCTTTGTGCCCACGCCCTGGTGGTATGCCTGTCCCGCGCGGGTTGTGCTGCCGGCGTCGTGCCAGGCCACGGTCGACAGCTGGGCGGCCCGTTTGCTGCATCCGGTGCAGTACGACGCGCACTTTGTGCCGGCCAGCCTCGACCACCGAAAGGTCAATTTCGTCCCCAACTTTAGCAGCGCCAACAAGGGCTACCTGTCGATGCTGCCGCCGCATCTAGGCTCGGGCTTTGTCGATGACGTGAGCAAGTATTAGGCATTGGTGCTGAGTGTGGACTGATGTAGTGGTACGGATTGTCGGAATGCCAGGTGGTATCAATTTACTGAATATATACATGCATTTATTTTGCGTCGACGCCTTACGCCAACGCAATTCCTTTTAATGCCATTAACTGTTCCACCTTGGTCACATACGTCTGCACCGCCGGGTTTGCCTGCCACGCTTGGATGCACCGGACCGCCATCACAATCGCCTCGCGCGCCCGCGGGTGCTGGATGGCTTCGAGACCCGGCTCTGCATACGAGCACAGCAAAAAGCATGCGTTGCACGGCGGCCCCACCAAGTTTGGCACCAGCAACAAATGCCGCCCCTGGAGCAGCGACTCGACCGCAAAGACATGCACCACCGAATACCGCAGTGACAGTGCCGCCGCTTCCACTGTCCGCTGGTCGCTCTGTCCGTGCTGCGGCTGGGACAGCATCTGCACCACGTACTGCCAGTACAGGGCCGCGTGCACCGCGTAGCACTGCGCCCGCTGAAACACCTTGATCGGGTCTAGCAGCGGCCGCACATCCATCGTGTCCACGCCCGGTCCCATTCCCAGTCCCATTCCAGATCCAGATCCAGTTCCAGTTCCAACAGGCGTGTTGCCGTGGCCCGTCGCCTCTGAACTCGCTACTTCGTCCAGGTCAAACTGAACTGGTGCCGGCAGGTTGCTGTGCCACTGTGCCATCTGCAGCGCAATCTCGCCGACCACTACAGGGTCAAACAGCGTATGTCCGTTCCACCCGCGGCCGCCCCGTTGTCTGGCAAAGATCCGCCGCAAAGCAATCTCGGACAAAAACCAGTAGATGCCGGGCTCCTCATAGTCGCTCATCGGGAGCGGCACCACGTCCTCAAAGTCTCGCAACAAATTGGCGCTGTATGACACATACGCCTGTAGCTCGTGCTCGATTAGATAGCAGGCCCAATAGCTGCGGCAGAGTGCCTGGTAACTGGGGTCGGCTGTGGTGTCCGGGAGTGTGTCTAGCACGCCCACAACGGGGTGGCCGCTTCGGCGAGGCCGCTGCAACAATAGAATAACCTTTTCAGAGGCCCGTCGAATGAGTTCAAACGCCTGTATGGGTCGGATCGCATACAGCAAGTAGAACGCCATCATAATATGGCACTGCACATGCGCCACCGTGTTGCGGAATGTGGCTTGCCGTGGGCTGTCGACGAGGGCACATGCTGCCCGAAAGTAGGCCCGACCGGGAAACACCCGCGCGTCGTCTTCCCTGTGCTGATGGCCCTCGGCAAATGCTCTCAGCGCCAGCACCAGTAATGTCAGACTGGTCTCCACGTGTTCCGGTTGGAAGCGCAATTCGACCGTCCGTGTCACTATCTCCGAGCATACCTGTTGATCGATGATGGAACACCATGGCAGCACGTCCCGGTAGAAGATCTGCTGGAGCTGCCAGCACCGCCGGGGGGTGACATTCAACCATGCTGGCAGGTTGCACATGTCGAAGTCGGCGGCGTCGGTGCCGGCGTCCCCGTTTCCACTCCCATCAGCCGACGTTGACGCTGGTCCTGCCATCAGCGCCTCGCCCTGCAGAAACTCAGTCTCAATGTCGTCGTCGCTGCCGATGCGCGCCATGGGAATCAAGGCTGGCGGGCATGGGTGACCATCAAGGCGTGCAATACCCTCAAAGGAAAGGTTCCCGACACGGGGCTGGATCCGCAGCGGTAGGCGAGGCACATGATCGTAGGAGGGGGAATAGGAGGTGTCGGCTGTGGTCATGACAGTGGCGGCCGTGTCTGTAGACTGGGGAACGATCGGTGCTGACGGCCTTGTCGATGCATGCACTTGCACGGCGGCTTGGATGCTGTCCTCTTGTCGATTCTTTCTCGTTCAGCAGACCCTCGATGCGGTGCAGACACGAAAGCACTTCGCCGGTGTCTGCTGCCACAGCGGTATGGCCACTCACATTCACGTCTCTCCGCGTTGCGGCTGCAGCCCTCTTCTCCTCGGGAGGCTCGACCGTTCGGTAGATGCACTGGGCCCCGATCTGCGCACAGAACGAGCACGCCGGCCGGCCGGCATCGCAGCGCGTCTTGCGTGTTCGGCACACCTCGCAGGCTACCGACACGCGCTTCTTGGGGTAGTTTGTCTGCACCGTGGGGATGGGGATGGTGGGTGGGGGTGGGTTTGCTGTGGGTTGGACTGCGGACTGCTTGTGCTGCAGACTCTGCGTGTGTACTCAAGGTACTGCCAGTGCTTTCGGTGCGGACACGCTTCCTCGGTCCACCGTCGCCACAGCAAAACGACGAGGCCTCGGAAAAGTCAGAAGCCGGTGTTCGTGGCGTGTGACCCATGGCGGAACGGTGAATGTGGACGTCGTGGCCGGACTGTCGGATGCTGTGCCTAAGAATGGTGAAATGGGACTGGAGAAAGGATACAGATGAAAAGGAAAGCGATCCACCACAGATGCCTTCCCTTTTTATCACGCCCGACTCCCCGAACAAGAAAGAGACATGGCAGAAGGAACGATCATGGTAGGAGTCGCAGCAATGTGACCAAAATATGGGGAAGGTGCGCTAGCCATACCAGCTGCAGCATACTACCCCAGACTTGGCTTGTTGACGGCGTGCCTTCCCCAGATGGAATGCACCAACGTCTAGCGTCGGTACTAATTACCCGCAGAACAAGTTCTCTCATCGCTCCAATGTAGACACAGAATTGACCGTCGTTTTGGGGTCTTGTGATTTTGCTTCTCGCCCACCAGTCGACACACCCCATTACACCGCCCCGCGTCGTGGCTTCTCGGCGTCGGATCACGGCTCGGATGCGCGTTAGCCCTGCGGGCGCAATGGCCTGTGGAGACATGGGGCCGGTCGAGGCACGCACACTGTTTGCCGGCCACGGCTTTCAAAGGTGTGCAGGAGCTTTTGGGTTTCTTCTGTTGATGGATGGCTGTGTCGACGCAGATCGGCGTGCCCAAACTCGGTATTGCTCTTCTTTCCCCAGATTCGCGTTCGCTATTCCCATGTCGATACCCCGGATTATCGCTTGATTCGAGCCCCAGTTCACCAATCAAATGTCTTGCGTTGACATTTCGACGTCCATGGCTTGGGGGAAAGGGGCATGGGAACACACATTCGCTGATGCATGCACCCGAAAAGCAAACGTTGGTTTTGTGTTGGGTGCTGGGCCATGTCTACCTGCCCGCCTCGAAGCGCAAGATATACATATATCCGCCTGCATGACCCTGGACCGGCATCCCGTTGCGGTTCGTCCTTTGGCCTTTGGCATCTGTTTGCGTTGTCACATTTACCGTATCTCCCACTTGTCATCGTCACAATCTTCTCCATTGCGTCTCCACCATGGCTGCCACGGACTGGGATTGGGCCGAGTCCCATCCAGAGAAGTGATGGGCTATGATCATGAAGCTCAAGCGTTTCACATTGTGGTCGCTCTACATTTCCATCGGGTCGATGATGCTGGGTTGATCATGGACCGTATCGGCCGCAAGCACACCATCTCCTTGGGCATTGTCTTCACGTCCGTCGGCATCGGCATGCAGATTGCCTCGCACGAGTGGACACTCTTCCTGGGCGACCGTCTTGTCAATGCCGTCGGATTTGGCGTCGTTTACGTCGTCTGCCCCGTGTGGATCGGTGAGAACGCGCGGCCTGAATTGCGTGGCTTGTTCTTGCGCTTCACCAATGGCCCCATCATTCTAGGACAGTTTATTTGTTGGCGTTGGGGATGTTGTCACAGTTCTAACTTTTCTTCCTTGACTTTAGTACACATCTGACGACTGATACTCGACGTCGTAGCTGCTTGTGGCCGTCGCCACCTTGGCTACCGTGGCTTGCAGCGATTTGTACACATCCGACTGCCGGAACGCCGCCGCTGTCGCTGCATCCTTGTGGCCCGTCAGCGTCACGAGCACGTTGGCATCCTCACGCTAGGGGGCCACAGCAAGAAAGTCAAAGTGAGCCGGCGGCTTGATAAACTCGGCGTAGGCCGCGGCTGCAGCGGCCTGGTCGGCCTGGGGCACGGTTGCGTGCGAGACAATGTAGGAAGCCGCCTGGGGCGTCTTGTCGGAGCCAGTGGGCAGGACGATGTGGTGGCAGGCAAAGCTCGGGTTGGCGCCGTCAATGATCTTACCAAAGCCCGGCTTCACGGACTGGTACTGCTCACCCGGCTCAAACTGATCCTTCTCGGCGGCCGAGGTCCAGTCGGCGAGCATGGCCACAACCTGGTGGTCGGCCGTTTGAACCCCCACGATGCCCTGGCGAGAGATTGGGAACTTGGCTACGGACGTTGCAATCTCGCTGTATATGGAGGAGAACTAGGATGGTAAGACCTGTCAGCGTGCGTCCCTCTTTCTTTTTTTTTTCACGCAAGCAGTCGTTGCACATGTCTTGGCGTGTTCTTGCCTCTTCCTCTGAAATAGCCGACCTGAGGAAGGTGCAGATCTCGGTCAGGCGGCCAGACCCGTCGACGACGGGGTAGCTGATTGGGAATGCCATGCTGGGCAGATGTGTGGATTAAATGTGGTGAGGCTGAGTAGATGGGACTTTCATGAACTTGACTCGACTCGTACAGCCCTTGAGAGACAACATCTATCAGTTGTATTCTGGGTATTGCTCAGTTTTGTTCTATTTTATTCGATCTGCTCCTTCATTGTTTAAATGTCATAAACTCGATCGGTTCCTAAACCAAACGCTGGCAGCTGATCACGGCCGTTGCAGGTGAAATTTGGATGAAGCTTCACTTACACGAGAGGAGAAAGTGGAGCGGCCGTGGAGAAGAGAGAGTGCGCTGCTGGGCACAACGCTAGAGTGTCATGGAGGTGATGGTAGAAATGTCTGGGGCTAGTAGCGGAAGATCGGTTCGCTTGTTCAACTCCGAACCGGTCAGAGTCGACGTCTGTAAGGAGTAGGATCCAAGTCAGTCATTTCCATTTTATTTCTTTAGAAATAACAAGAATGAAAATAATTAAACAAATAAACCGCATTGAAAATACTCAATTTAAGAAAGCAGTCAATTGACAATTCGAATATTTGACCACATATCCTTCTTACGTTCTTCGAGTCTGGTGTCCCAGTCCCTTCTCCTACTAGTCCGCTCGCACGTTTGTCTACTAGTGCTAGTGGATATGTTGCAAGCTGTGGCCTTTTTCTCACGCGTCCTTTTGGTTCGGACATTGGACGTGTTGAGTGCTTCGTGTCCTTTGTGCGTTTCACTGTTGGTTTTCCTGGGGTTTCCAAAGGCCGCGTTATCCGTTTCCGCTTGTTGTGCGCCACCACGGCCTGTGTTGTTCTTGGGAAACGAGTCCATATTTCTATCCTCTTCCGGCTACTTGACGCTACCGAGTTCATCCGGTTTGCGGTCGTAGGGATCGGGGGACATTCTTCTCAGGGTACACAAGTGAGTCGACATGCACACAGCTGGAAACCTGCCCGTCTCCCTCGAATTACACCTCGCCATCCAAATGATCGCAAATGAGCCCGATCGACGACCTGAAGCCTCTGAGTGCGTGATACACCCCTTTCTGCAAGCCGATGATTCTCTACAGGATAAAGGAGCAGGCCTAGGTTCGTCAGCTCCTACCGGTACTAACAGTCGACCATTGCCGCCACCCGCGTTGTGCGATTACTACCAATGCGAATCAAAACAAAGTTTGTTCGCCGTCGTCTCTTTATGCTGTGTGAATTCCAGTTGCTCCATTACTTTTTCAGTTCTCTCTCTCTCTGTGATTTCTTCTTGGTTTTCTTTCTTGTTTTTTTTTTTTTTTCTTTTTTCTTTTCTTTTTTTGTCGAATTTCATTCGTTCAGCTACTGCGTTCCAAGTATTTGGTGGCATTCGTCTTCTGTGTTTTGCTGATTTGGAGCGCCTTCCAGGCAACCAAGCAAACCTCCTCCACGTGATTTGCCAACCTGGTCGATAAGTTCATGTGCTGCGACGTATTCCCAGTTGCATGCCACTTGGAAAACATCACTGTTATCATCAGCACTCGCGTCAGGACATGTTGGCGAGGCGGAATCTAACCCACTAATTGTTCATGGAAATGTCGCGAGACAATACCTTTTCGCCCATGGAGGATGAGAGTGCGTCGAGAGTTACTTCGCTTCACACCGACCGAGCCTTTGATGCCGAGACGAGACGCCGCCAGAATGCAGCACGTCATCTCGAAGTCCTGAAGAAAGAGCACGAGACCTATGCGCACTGTCATGAGATCCTGGTCGCGGCCGACGTCGACGCCGAAGCCCAACCGGTGCACGTCACTCTGTACGACTGGACTTGCCTCCAGCCCTCCCCAACGTCATGGCCGACGTCGCCAGAGCCAACAATGTCAACACCGTCGCCATCGGCGACCTTTCTCGTCAAAGACCCAGGGTCGGTACTGGCGGCCGTGAAGGGCTACCTAGACTTGGGCACCATTCGTCTGCCGGTCACCGCGACGTCTATCGCCGACCTCTTAGTCGACGAGGCACAAGACCATGACTACGACTTCTGCGATGACGAGGACACCCGCAGAGACTCTGCCGCTGCATCGTCTGGCAAGACGCCATCGCTACCGGACCTGCTTCAACGCTTGCGACAGCGTTTGGCTCGCCAAAGGATGGCAGCAAGAGGGCAGCTGGTGCAGCTCTGGACGTTCCCTGTGCAGACCCTGACCTCTGACGATCTGTTTGCAGACAGTGCCAAGAAGTATGTTTGGCACTGGTACAAGCCCTCGAGTCCGTACGTGCAGAAGGGTGCCTGGGAGTCGCAGTTGGATGCTGTTCTCGAAAACGGGTCGTGGATGGCTGGGAAGGACTTGACGTTGGTCGTGCGCCGTGTATCGCAGCAGCTGTGGCAGAGCTTGGAAGACGGCTATATGCCAATGGACCCGTTTTCGTCAGAGAATGGCAAGGTATAGGCGTGGTCTCTGGTGATGCAACAGATGTATTTGTTAGCAACGGAAAGCCCCCTAAGGATGGTATGGATGCAGTTGGGCTTTCTCGCCTCACGTCACGTCATGCCGACAGCCAAGGGCGGTCATATGACATTCGTGGAAGTTGATCGGGGCTCTGCTTAGGCTGGGCACATTTGTGACAACAGACTCATGCTGCAGCTTAACGGAGGCCAATCAGCTGGGAAGGGACACGATTTGCTGACAAGCTATTGGGAGGCAGGCCAAATTGGAGAGATCAGTGGTATGGGGAAGGTGGTGTGGGCACCAGACCGGTTCAGATGGCCGGTCGTTCCTTCCTCTCGATGCAGGTACAGTAGCTTAGTGAATGTCGTCCACAACCCCCATGGAAACCAAAAGGGAAGCTGCAGAGGGAAAGATTTACTTGGCAGCGGCAGGTGCCGTGCAAAAGGGGGATGAGGATGGTGGAAAGAGGTTTACATGGATCATGTTCTGCCATTCTCCGCTGCTGGATGAGCTCCCAAAATCAATGAGAGGATGGAGAGAAAGTGTAGTCCTTTGATAGTCTTTTATTTAACAGCCACTGTTGCTTTGGCCCCAATGTACCTGATTATTGTCGTACGTGGGTGCTCCTTCCGTACCTGGCGAAGACTTCTTGTGTGTTCCGATTAGGAAATAGCAACCAGCTGACCTCCTCTTCCTCCTTCCTGATAACGACGCAGCAGAGGCAAGAAAACGCCAAAGGAATACATCGGACGCGGGGAAGCAAACAGACAAAATGCCAATATAGGAAAGAGCTGAAAGAAACGAAACACCGTGTGGCAAATGCGACATGGCACTCTCTCGTTGTGTTTACCTGCTCTTTCCTGTTTTGTACTTGTCGTCTCCCACGTCTCTCCTTCTCTTTCCTATTTTAATCCCCTTCGTCTCCCTCTCTCTCTCTCTTTCGCTCCCTCCTCTTTCTTCTTCCCTTTTTTTGTATTTTCAACCGCTTCTACACACGCTCCCTCAACACACCTACACTCGCTCACAACCACTTGCTTACCAGCACACTGAAGCTCTATTGAAGAAGATCAGAACTGCTCCTTCACTTTCTCAGCGTCCCTTCTTTGTCACAAGGATACACCATCGAGAAGTCCACGGTAAGCGCGGATATGTCTTCTCGCCCAGCCCTTATATTTGCACATTCGACTGACGATGTTGTCGGCAGTCTAGCTTGTTGCTTCATAGCTCTCCCTCCTTTTACCTTTGCTCCCACGATACTTCTTCGTCACCATGCACGCCAACCTCCCGAAGAAGCTTTGTAGCGCTTTGCTGCTCTCAACTATCCCGGCTGCTACGGCTGTGGCCAGCGCCAATACCAGCCTGGACGGCAAGCGTGCCAAAGGCGACAAAAATGACCCCATTGCGTCCTTTGAGCCGAATGACGCAGTGTTCAAAGACTTGATTGAAATGCATGAGAAGGTTAACGTCTCTACGTTCACATGGTACAGTTCCTTCCTGAGCCCGGTTTTGTCCTCTGTTTTGAAAAACGTCCCTTCCCACATCACACGCTGGTCTTTATTTGTCTCCACTGCCCGCTAATTTATCCTCTCAGCTGCCACTTTGGCAATACCGACACCTGCTCGGACCAGTCCTGGTATCATCGCGTTACCGGCAAACTCTAGGCGAGTCCGCTGCAGCTGAATGAGACCAAGCCTAAGACAGGCTCCAACATGACTCTCGAGACCGGGTTCAACGCGACCTGCGACGAAGGTGGACTCCCTGTTGAGGTTGAAGTTCACCTCGAGTAAACAACACCGAAGTGAACCGCCCGGACGGCGGCTTGTGAGCGCTTGGATTTGCAAGCGCAGCCTTGTTCGACGCGTCCAAGGACGCTCGTTACACACGACATATTGTTTTTGTCTATGGTCTGGCATGTTTTACATTCAATCTGATTGCAGTCTGGCAGAGGGCATTTTACCTGCACATTTTACTTTTGTTTCACTTTCACCAAGCATTCTTCGACCTGGATTCCTGAGAGGCCTTTGTGAGCCACGAGCTGCCAGCTGTGGTCCACTTCTTCCAGTATGCTTGTCGTCGATATGGCGTTATCACGGATAGGATTACGGATACCATGGATATGACTTGGCCAGCGGGGTATATTACAGGCCGGAAACACAAAAATTCACAAAACGACAAAAAAAAAATGAAAACCACCTACGGACGGATGTATGCGAGGAACGAGAAGGATCCCAGTTTTTATGATTTGTTATGTATCTGAGAAAAAACACACAAAAACAGTCCACCAATCTACCTCCATTACATCAATAAATCTAGACGGGTTGTCACCTCTGTCTTTCGCTATGCTTGCTGGCCACGTATTCCTTGTGACGCATTCCGTCATTCTTCATTCATTTGCTTAGACCGACCTACGCCGCCGCCTTTTTGACGATGAGCACGACGCCGAGTGCCACGCCGCGGACGGTCTCCTTGCCCTTCTCCACGCCTGTGTCCTGGATGAGACGCTCGACCTCGCGGCGTAGCTTGCGCAGGACGTTGTCCTCGCCTTCGAGCCGGTCCGGGTTCGCCTCAGCCCAGCGCGTGTAGATGCTGCTGGTGGACATGACCTTCTCGAGGACGTCCATGTTGACGGCCACGTCGGCCACATCCATGAAGCGCTCCGACATGGTCCAGTCGCGGCGCACAAGCTCGCTCTGGGGAAAGGCCGCGACGGGCTCGGGCGCGGTCCACGGCATCAGCAGGTCCCGGTACCCGTTGCGCACAATGTGGTTGCCCTCGTTGAAGTAGGGCTTGAGCTCGTGGTCGTGGAGGTGGTCGATGGCGGCCTGGACGGCGTCGGCAGCGGGCGAATCGGGATGGATGCGCAGATCGCCAGTGGTCCAGAGGGCCACCGAGCCGCCCGGTTTCAGGACCTGGGCCGCGCGCTTCCAAAACTGCTGCATGTCGAACCAGTGGGCGGCGTTGCCGACCGCGACGAGGTCCACGGTGCCGTCCTCCAAGGCCACGTCGGCGTCGCCGCCCGCCGCGCCAAAGTCGTTGGCCCCGCCCTGGCCATAGCGAATGGCCTCGCCGGACGCCGATGTGCCGCCGAGCTCTTTGGCGGTGGCAAGCATGCCCGGGGCCGGGTCGATGCCATAAGCGTGAGCGAACTGCGGGGCCAGGGAGCGAGCGACGTTGCCCGGCCCGCAGCCGAGATCGACGACGATGTCAAACTGGCCGCCGGTGGTTTTGTGAGTGGTGGTGATGAAGTCGTAGACGGACGGGTGGTAGTCTGGGCGCACATTGGCATAGTGCTGGCCCTGCTTGGCGTTGTACTTGCTAAAGGTCGTTTCCTGTGGAGCAGACGACATGGTGGGCGACGTGCACTGGCGGCTTGGCGCTGTTACAAGGAGGGGGTCTTTGGGTCTCTTGGTGTTGAGTGTAAAAAATGGAAAGAAAAGAAAGCGAGGCAATTGGGAGGGGGGGAAACGGAAGGAACTGGTCTTGGCGGGGAGATGCTGTCACCGACATTTAAGTAGCCAGCCTGCCCCGTCTGTCTGTCCCAGTACAGCTGAAGTCCATGTCTTGGCGAGTTTGGAAGGCCCTGCGTTGAGGAGTCTTGGATGCCTGTCCGTTTCCGTACCTTTTGCAGCTTTTGTCCCTGAGCAAAGTACGAGCGGCGGGATTGTGTGCCCGTTGCCGGTCTGCAATCTGCCGGCACGTCTGATTTGACAGGTCTCTTGGTATTGTGCCCCTCTCCCATCGACCTACTCGGCCAGTCCATATCAACAAAAGACACGACATGCATGGGGCTGTTACATCTCTATGCCCCTCAACAAGGGCCCAGAGCGTTGTTGCCAAACCCCTTCCACGGCCACGTCGCGCAGCTATTGGCCCGGTCTTATTGTCGAACCGTTGTTGGGCCTGTCTGACCCTGTGCCTGATCCTTTGTGCATGTCGCTCCTGGAGACTCTGTTTCCTGGGTTTTAGCGTCTGGCGGCGCTTATGGCAAAAGACCGATTTCCAACTCGCTTGGACCATTGCAAGTACCTGCGAGCCCAACTCCATTTGCGCCTCGCCTCTGTAACCCCTTCTGATTTTTAAATTTTTCTGTCGAACAAATTAATGCCTTAGGCCGAAATCTTTACGTAAGCTTTTCGCTACCGTATCCAGCCTGCGGTTTTTCCCTGTCCTGGTGAGTTTGTCTACTGCTGGTTCGATTACTCTTTTTATGCCGGGGTTTGTTATCTGTACGTTTCACCTTCCATGCTAGCCCGACCGACGCCCGACAATTGCATGGAAATTGACGCCGTCACGTCTGTGCAGACCATGGCACCGCCAAGCTTTGCGCCTGCCACCGAAGGCAATCGCACGCATCACGGCCGTATCCTGCCGCCATTTGTCTTGCCGCCGCCACTTGCTTTTGACCTAAAAAATGGACGTAGACCAGCTACACGTACATTGGGCGGAAGGCTCGGTTTTGACATAACACCCCGGGGCTTGCATGAGGTTTACATTGCAGCTTGTTCCAACCAGCATCTACTGCCGTTCTTATCCCAAACAACGAATATCGTCGAACTCGAGCGCGACGGCCAAGACATCTACAAACTTCAGAGATCACATAAAATCTACGGCGATTACTGCATCTTCTTCACAAAAAAAGAGATAGAGGGTAAGGAAGTTGTCGGTATAGAGAGTACACGGATGTCGTGGCTGCTTCGTCACTTAACGCTGCGTTTGAAGTTGGCATAGCAAAGTCCGTGGTTGCGCGCAACCTAGGATGCACTGTGGTCAACAAGGATACGTACGTGATCTGGAAACAACCGCGCATCTTGGTCTATTTAAAGAAATGCTCCGAGTTTCGAGGCTTGCGGTTGTTGGATTTGATTATAATGTCTTAGTAGTCTATAATACGCTTGTGATTAATATAGTACTACAAAACTCCCCCTCTTCGTCTCTCGTTTCGCTTTCCGATAGCCTTCGTCACCCAGGCACAGACCCGGAGCTTCGTCAAACTTGATCATTCGTACTACGCAAACCGTATGTGTTCTGAATTTCAAATGGAACTATGACATAGTCGAAATATGGTACTGACAGGTTAGTGGAATACTGCTTTCCGGAAGATGAGGTACGTTGCCGTTTCTTTTAGAATTCCCTGATTCATTAGAAATTATTGGCTAATTATATGTAAATAGAAACACCAGGAGTATTTGGAGAAGCAACACTATACGTCCTCGCTTTTAGTTTTGTAAGCGAGAGGTCGAATAACGCTGACGATCCACAGCCGTCTACCATCGCAGTTCCCGACGACTTCACTATTGCCCAGAGCAAAATGGGGCACACCGCGTGTTGGACCTGGGTACAGGCACAGGTTCCTGGGCAATAAACTATGGTACGTTGCGCTCTTCTTCACCTTGTCCTTTCCTTTGTATACGCTTTGAAAGAGAAACACAACTGACATTTAACAGTCGATACCTATCCGGCCGCTCATGTCATCGGAGTAGACATCAGCCCAATTCAACCTCTATAGTACGTTTGATTTTTCTGTCTTTTCGCACTTCCTATATCTAATCTGCGTACAACAGCGTGCCGGAAAACTGCTGCTTTGAAATTGACAATGTCGAGCAAGATTGGACTTGGTCGCCACATTTTGATTTCATCTATTGGCGGTTTCTGTATTGCTGTTTTGCCAACGTTCTAGGGATGATTCAAAAGTGCTTTAAGTATGTTTTTTTTTCTTTTTTTTTTGTCGTTTTGCCCACAAAAGCTAACCCACAAAGCAATATCAACCCGGGGGGGGGGGGATATCTTGAGATGTTCGACGGGTTGTAACTTATGTGCGACGACGGCACGTTACCGACTGACTGTGCACTTCACCGACTGGTTTCTTTAGTAACGAACGCATCGACAAAACGGGGCCGTCCTATCGATAAATCGTCGCACTATGCTCAGATGATGCAAGACACAGGCTTTGTGGATATTGTCCATAAAGAAGTCAAGTGTCCCATCAACGGGTGGTCATCGTCGGAACTAGGTCCCTTCGTGTTGAAATTGTTTGAATCTGATCTAGAGGGTCTCTTTATAGCACTTCTTTACAGCTATTGTGGCATGACGCGCGCAGAGGCGATTGTACTTTGTGCTGGTGCCCGGCAGGATTTACGCAACACAAGCATACACGCGTACTGGGGTTTGTACGTCTTCCCCTCGTTACTTAATTTATATAACAACACAATGTCTAACATTTTACAGCTATTATTCCTACGGCAGAAAGCCAGACGAGAAAGCCTCTAAGAGGGTGGCCACAATCTTCAAGCCTATGGTTGTCGAGAGAGGGGGGAACCATCTTCGCCACATTTGTTCGTCTATTCGTCATGGTGTTCTTCATAACCGTTTTGAATACCTTCACTCCTACCATTTGACATCTATTATTTTCCTAGCTTTTGTTTTTCTTTTCTCCTTCACCTCATTTGTTCTTCAAAGTTTGATTTCGTTGTTGTAAAGAGTACAGATATGATAGTTTACATTACTCGCTGGAAATACCTCCTAGATCTTCAAACTGAGTCACTCCACTATGCTCGCTCCCATACTCCGAATCCGAAAACAAAGATCCGTTATCGCTTGTATCTGAAGACTATCCTGGTCCACAAAGCCATTTTTCAAAGGAAGCACAAATTCATCCTCCTGGCTCTCCTTTTCATCGTCGGCTTCATAACCCGCGTCTTCTGGAGGTTGAAAAGACCGAGCGGGGGAATCTAGCAAAATATTAGCACTAACCAATTTATGTCTTGTGATTTAGGCAGTAGGATACCTTGAATCTGGATGGTCCTGTGCGCCATCGGAGAAGAAAAAGTTCGTTGAGAAGGCGTTCAAGATGGGAGAGATAGGAATGTGGTGTACATGCTGATGTCGAGAAAAGAAATCAGAAAAGGAAAAGGAGAGGAAAGAATACTCTTTCTCTCGTACTTATCTTGAAGAAACTGCTCTTTTCTGGCGGCTGTGGCCGATGCAATCCCACTTGAATTCATTTCACGCACCGCGCTCGTTGCTGTGTGGCGGCGGTGTGCTTAGACATGCACCTTTGGCGCTTGTCTTGACAAGGCTACGAAAGAGGACATGATACCCCTGTTCTTGCGTGAGGGATGTGGCATAGTGTTACTCGGAAGACAGGACGGAAGTCGACCCTCTACTCGACGTAACCCACCGAGGGGGAGGGGGTGGTGCGAAGGGGTGCATATTAAAACTTCATGCCCCGAACCTTTTCTTTTTTTGCTTTTCTTTTCTCGGCAAACCCTCTTCCAACTGCTGCTACTACAAGAATCACTTTTGCTGTTCAAATGAAAGCTATTTATTGGTGCTTTTAAGTGAAACCCTTTTGAGGCATTCCCATAGGGCTCTTTCTACCTTTGTTGTAACACACAGCTTCGACGCATCGCCGGAAAACCAACACGATTGAGTCTCTGTCTCTAGCTTTTTTTTGTCTGAGGTGCTTTCTCGGAGCAAGCCTTAAATTTATAGGGGTGTAACAAACCTATCAAAAAGCGTTCCTAAAGCAAGTGATAGGACAAAATGAGAAGGACATCGGAGGAGCAAACGAAAACAAGTGAAAAGAGACATTCCAGGCGTCTGTTTTGACCGTCGACTATGACGGATCCCCCATTATCGCCGGGCTTTGTCATCCAGATCTCGTGTTGGTAAGATGGGGGATATAAATACAGCGATAAAAAGTAAAAAGGAGACCTGAAATGACAAGGTGAAAAAAGGGGGCCGTGGGGGGGGGGGGGGACAGATGGCTCGCCCTTTCTCCCTGCTTCGTACGGTAATTTGCGAACCAGCTCCAGGCATTAAAGCTCGCCGTATGCAGAGAGATGGAGGAATTGGGAGCTCCTGTACCCCGACAAAGTGTGGTTCGCACTTGGCGGAACTTTGAAACTTTGAGCCTCAAATTGGGAGCGTCTTCTTTCCAGCCTTTACACCACCGCAGTTTTTCAGCTTCCGTCAGGCTGTGTATAAAAGGGTCCGGAATTGCCAAAGATTAGTCGTTTTGTCTGCCGACTTCAATACTAGCTACACCAGTTCTCGCTGCATTCTTGTTCTATACAACGTGGTTGTTCCTGACACGGCGAAGCAGGCGCGGCCTTCTCCTCCCCGGCCATATCTACGGCTGGGCCTGGCGTTTCTCCTCAACGAAAGAGCTCAGTTTCTATACCTCCCACTCAGAGTAAGCCGACAGAGAGATGACGGTGGCTAGACACCGTGGCGGAAAACATACGTCTTGGATTGGAAAAGGTAGAGAGCAAATGCATCGAAATTGATCTCGAGCTGATCGCGAACAACGATCCACGAAATACACCCGATGCTAACGAATGGCAAGCGTTCCTAGCCCTGCACAAGGCATTGCTCTATAAGTATCTTACTTTATTCATTTGTCTCTGTACCCATCGGCCTCGTCGGCGCTTCGTTGCGCCGCACGGAAGTATGACATGCCCGCTCGTATGTGGCGGCACGGCATGTACAGCTTTCTCGAGCTGTTGCGCCACGGCCTGCCTGCGTCGCGCGAGTACATTGTTGCTTTTATTTCCTTCGCATACAATATTGTCGGGTCCCCGTACAAAACCGCACCCGCGTTCAAGGTTACAGGGATAGAATGTCTGGGCGATCTGAGCCGGTACCGTATGGCGATTGAAGACGATGACCAGCGTGTCTGCGGCAATTGGATCAGTGTTTCGCGCAACTGGCATACCATGGCCTCGAATCCAGCGTCTAGAACAGGTCGACTTTGCCACCGTCGTGTGATTCTCGCATGGCCAAATGTGGTCAACCAGCTGTGCAACTACGTCAAGAGCCTCTGTGTGCCGATTCCTTTCGTCTCTACACGTGCATCTTAACATGACGCTTCTGGATACCACTCTCAACGGCGAGACCAAGCATATCCGGCCTGTCGAGGGTCATTTCGTCAAGGCCCATGTCATTTTATTTACGAACTGTATGCGGCCAAATAAAGAGATTGCGCTCACCGTGACCAGCCTTCTTGACGGCCTGGATACGCACATTGCCGAGTCTGCGCAGGCCTGGACCGAGGCTGTCGTTTCTATGGCTATTGTGAACCGCTGCGCGCCGCTCACCTACGGCGGCGATGACTATGTTCTGATGAAGTGCCGCCGTGCTATGAACCGTATTACCAAAAACATCGACGGTAGTGGCATCCTTGGCGTGGACAAGCCGTCCTCTACTACTTTTGCCCGGTTTTCTAAAGACGAACTGACAAGCAATGATCCCAACATCCTCAGCGTCTGCGCCCGCCCAAACGACGGAGGGTAATCAGAACGACCAAGAGCAATCGTTTCCACAGCGGCCCGTGGCAGATCTCCAGGTCTTCAAACATCTTAACCTAGCCCAACGTCTTGTAACCGAGATGGACCGGGTGATTTTCGCCCTCTTTAAAGACGTTAAATATCACGGGTACGTTTATACGCGCCTCATCTGGTTACTCGGCATGGTTCGCCTTACTGAAGGGATGGTCTACGTTGAACAAGGGTTTCCTTGGAGAGAGCTCGTTGTCTCACTTAACCACATTCTCTTGTCCAGGAAAGAAGAAGAGAAAAAGAGGATCCAAGGGAGCCAATTCAAGCAGCACCAGAAACAGCAGGCCGCGGTGGCCGCCGATAACAACAGTCCCTTTATGCCTGCCGAGCCATTTAATGTGGACATGCCGCTACCGCGATCAACGCAGCGGCGACGAAAGCTACCGGAAAATTGGTTGCTGTGGGGGCTTCTATGGGCGGAGTACTACTATCCGCAAGAATGTTTTGCCGAGATGGACTCTACCGAACACGCCGAGAAGCTGATAGAGAGCGGTAAGACGGGGCCGGTACGTGAGAGGCTGACACGCGAGGACCGTATTTTGCGGATAGCGCGCCGTCTGGCTGAATACAACACCTGGATCTTGTACGATGCTAAAGCACACAAGTTTTCTGTCAACGCGTCGTTTCGCAGTGTAGCCTATTTCGGTGCCGAGGTCAGTTTGGCGTTTCGCTTGTTTTTGTTTTCGTTTTGTTATTTGATATTCTTTGTGGGCGTTTTTTTTCTTGTTTAATCAACCTCGCCAGTTTTTCTCTACTCGCTAAAAAGGGAATGAGCGTCGTCGACTGTCCTATTTCTGTATCTAGACAGCAATGTATTTACATAGTCAAGTTCTGATAAAACATCAGAATTACGCCGCCTCGATCGATCCTTATCTCGTGTCCCTGTGATAAATCGGGGGGATATGAGCTGGTCGTGCCATTTAGGTCGTTGGAAGATGGTAGAAATCGTCGGGTAAAAGACAATTTTATCCAAAATCTTCGCGTCACCTCAGCCTCTTTCAGCCCTTACATGTCGCGTATGAGTCTCTTGGATTGTTAGCTAGACTCGGCCGAGATCGTCTTGCAAGCAGGAGGCCGGGACAGTCTTCGATAGGGCGTATGATAGATTATTGGCTAGGCGAGCATGGGCCGGGGCTGGCCTGTCCGCCGTTAAACTCCCGACAGTACGTCACCATTACCCGTTAAGCGAGTCGGGTCGCCTACCTCGTTGATTTAGAAATACGCTAAACTAAAAAGGGTAATTAATACATAAAAACCCCTGAATTAAACATCGCCTACGTAAAGAAATCTCGATGCGTCCTAGTCTAATGTTAAGTGTTAATGATAACTATTTACGGGTTTATACTTGTCATACCCAAGATATCTTGTAGACAATTTGTTTTTATACGACCAATTTCTATCATCACGGAATTTTAATAGGCGTGCCGGGAAAAGAGTAAAACAAGGAACAAAATGAAAAAACAGACTAACCCAGCAGTTCGAATCTTAATTTCTTACTCATCCGTTTCTTCGCTAGCGACTCCCCTCAAAATCGGAAACTCACCAAGGGCGTCAACGACGCGAGCGATTCTGACGATGTGTGGCCTTTCTGTATTTAAAAAGAAGAGACCTACCGAAGTCAGCTAGACCTACACAGCACCCATTTGCACGATGGAAACGAGTTCATCTAACGTTGAAAAAAGCTGGTTACCATTTAACAAAGATGGGCGAGTATTCCATTGGAACAGCCAGGGCCATTACTGGGACGATCATCTGGGAATCTATTCAACAGAACCGTTTTCTTTTAATCTAGTAAATTCGGGCTTCTAAATCAAAGCACGATCAACCGCAATCAGGGATCCGATCGAGATTTCATGGAACGCTAAGTAAGAGAAGTTTACAGGCATAGATGTGATGAATGGAAAGGTTCTTCAAATGAGCAAGGTAGTGGTACGAAAACTACTATCAGATCCAGAAACAAGCCAGATGGTGCGTTCTGCACCTCTATGCCACAGACAATAGCAGACTCTCTTTCTTTTCGTTTGAAGATATATGTATTTAGTTTTTGAGAGACCCTTGCCCCGTCCTTTATTCAAGAGACTTTCCTTTCCGCGGGCTACCGAGGCTGACCTCAAGTCCTCTAGCAAGGTCAACCTCATCCTCGCTTTGAAAATGCCGCGGGGGTCTCATTTTCACACTATCGGCCCCCACACCCTGGATGGAAACCCGGCGCCCGCCTCCAAGCCGGTGATGACTGGAACACGGTGCGGAGCGGGCCGCCGCTACCCACCCTAAGGCCCGACTAACCCCAGTTCACCCCATGCGGCAGTTGTAGTGGTTCGTGGCCCAGTTTTTTCTTTCGTGTTTTTCTGTGTTTGCTTGTTGGTCGCTGCGTATTTTGCTTCTCGAGGCTGGCCCTCTTAGCTCTTATTCGTGTTGCTTCTTTTCGGTCAGCCGTCGGCCAAAGCTCTTTATTCTCTCGTGTTGTTTAGTCCTAATACACCGTGCATAAAACAATGTGTTTAGATAACTAGTAGATGTGACAAAACAAAGAAACCATTTTATCGGCTGTCGTCAAAAGCCGACACGGGCTTTTTGTAATTATGAAATCCTGGCAACATATTACTAGTAAACGGTTGGTCGGGGTTTCCCCGGGGACGTGCAGGATGTACTGGTAAAAGGTCGTCGGGACTTTACTAGTAGATTTGCGGGACATTTTACTGGTCAGCGGTCGTTCGGCGGTTACTAGCTGAAGATGAAGATTTCGGTTGTAGGATGTTTTACCGGAAACTAGTTGTCGGATTTACTGGTAAACGATTGACGGGTTGATAGGATCGTACTGGGTGTTTGCGAAAGATTTTACTGGTACTGGTGTGCGAGAATTTTACCAGGATTGTCAGGATTGTCAGGATTTTACCGGTAGGATTTCGAGGTTGGCCAGGATTAGGCAGTAGGAAGATTTATCAGTAGATCCATCCTGACACCGTTTGCCGTTGCATCGAAAATATTTACTGACGGGATTGGCAGCCTCCACCCTCAGATCCAGCTTCGAGTCCATCGACTTTACGTCGATGTCAACGTATCGCAGGAACCTGCTGCCGCCGTGACAGGCTTGCAAGGCCGACAGGGGCACCAGGGTGTACCCGGTGAACTTGCCGTTGTTGCCACGGTAATGAAACTGTTCATTCTGCCGCCGGAGCCTGGCCAAGAGGGTAAACAGTGGCGGGCCCGTCTGCAGGCGGCACTGTTATATAACATACTTTTCGTATATCTTTCCTTATTAAACGGAGAGCTTACTCGCCTTGGTTCCACGGTGCAATAGAAGCTCGTAACACATCCTCGGCGAAAGATTCTAATAATTCAAGATGCGTAATTGTAGATCTTTCATCCTTTCCTCGCAGATACGTGTTAAAGCAACGTGTGTCAACGGCCTCCTTCTGTTGCAGCCATTCTTTCACGGCAGGGGGCAGCGTACCAGCGACAAAGAGGTCGTGGTCTTTCAGGTACTGTATATACCGATCTTCTCTCTCCAGTCGCATGCGCACCGCTGCGGAGAGAGCACCACCTTTGCTGCCGTCCAGCGTAAAGAACTCTGCCAAGTAGTCTCGCGGTAATAGGAACGGTTGGAAGAATTTGGGAAAGATGGAAAAGAAGTATGTTTGGACGAGGTGGTAGTGGTGCCGCAGGATCACCGCAATAGGGAAGTCGAGGCGTTCGGGAAGATCGGGACCCCATTCGTCGGCGAGCATCTGGTATACGTTGCGCACGCTCAGCGTTGGTTTTGTTGTTGTTGGTGGAGTTAAAGTTGAAGAGGCCGCAGCCACCTCCGCGGCCATAGATGACAGCACGGCGTAAAATTCGCGGTATTCTTTGCGGTAACTCTGCGAGGCGACGAAGCTGGGCGACCCCTCCGCCAGCCAGGTGGGTGGCATGAAAAACTGTTGCGGAATGGCGCCGCTCCATTCCCAGTCGATGACGCCTTGTATGTTGAGGTCGTCGTCCACAAGGATGTTGTACCACCGAAAGTCGGTATGCGCGAGGACAAAGAAGTTGTAGTTTGTACGCGTGTCGACGACGTCGAGGATCCTGGCCTTGATGTCGTGCAGCGCAAACACTTCCATCTGCGCCCCGAGCAATGTGCGCTGGGCGACGGGCACTTGGTATGCTTCGGCAAGGATGCTGTATTGGTAGAACGCGTACTCGATGGTGGACCGAAAGGTGGCCGGTCGGACGGATGCTCTGCGTCGTGTCATTTTCTGCAACTCGTTGTACTCGATGCAAAGGAGGTCGCCCATAACAGGCTTAGATTCGAGAAGGCTGCCTTGAGGGTTGTCCTGGGGACCTGGATACAAAGAGCCCGAGAAGTCAAATTCGAGCGCGCGGAGCTGAGCGATAATGTCAATTATCTGCGCGTACAGGTGCGTCTTCCTCTCGCGTGTATCGGCGACAAACTTGACCAGGTCGATGGGCTGGCCTTGGATGTAGTCGAGGATCATGTAGACGCAGCGCGTCGGGTCGGCATCCTGCCGGCTGAGGTCCTCGTCACATCCATACGTATGGACGCGGGCCACGGGAATCGTAGTCTGTTGGCGTACGTAGCTGCAAGGGAAAGCCGGTCAGACACTCTCTACCGCCCCCCATCCCCCCAGTGCAAAGGAGACCGGCCTGACTTACCGCATCGTCGCCACTTCGCTCTGCACCTTGGCCCACGCATCATCGAGAGCTGGCTCGATGGCGACCCGCACGTTCCATTGTGTGCTGTGATCGTCGGCGAATTCGACAAAAAAGCACGCGTTGAAGGAACCGCACGCCGTGTCCCTGAAGACGCGGCATGGCTTCGACGCGCTGTGGTGGCGCGACGCTAGGCGGCAGACGGCCTCGGGGTCGATAGCGTCGACGAATGCCTTTTTCGCGGCCTCGAGCTGCTCGAGCGTGGGCGGCCACTCCTGGTCTGTCTTTGGCTGCTGGGCCATTCTCTGCCACTGCCAGAAAGACAAGGGACGAAGGAGGAAATGCAAGAAGACTTGTGTGTTATGATTTGAACAGTGGTAGCAAAGCGCCAGGGGCGAGACTGGAAAACGTCGCTAGGGTCCTAGGTGCATTCGGCAGTTGGGTTGGCTTATCAGGGGCGAAACGAGCGAATTAAAATCGGCCCGTGATTTGAGGGGAGAACGAGGGGGCAGATAAGAGAATTTATTCCCTCCCGGAAGTCTACAGGGCCCTTTTGGCGCCCCATAGGAGCACAAAGCGTATGGGGTGCCGCCCATCCGCTTTTCTTATGGAATAGTGGCCGTTTTCCTAGATGCATTTTTCTTTCAAGGCGATAGAAACTGTATTACTGCGCAACTACAAGACTAGGTTGGTATCGCTACTTGTTCTATCTTATTCATGCAATCCCGTAGCTGACCGTGACATCACGCCGTCGTGCCTGTCTAGGGCAAGTCCTCTGCAACGCCGGCTAAGGTTGTCCAAGGCCGGTGCCTCGTTCAACGGCGGTCTACGCGGCAAACAAGCGCAGCAATACCGCGCCATCCATCGAAACTACGCTGCCGCCAGAGTCTTGAAACGATGCGTTTTGGAGTCGGTGACGCAGATGCTATCGCCCCGCCTGCGTTTTTGATGATGATCCTTGGCTTGAGCGAAATGTTGTGCTGATGATAGACGTGGGCCTTGAACAGCTCTCGTTGCCGAGGACTTCACCGCGCGTCTTGCGCTGGGCGAAAGGGCATGGCACCGGTCCCCCCCTCTCTGGCTTTGAGGTGTGCGCTCTCGACATGCTTCCACATCGACGCCGTCCTCGTAAATCTCCGGCCACAGAAAATACATGGCGGCGGACGCTTTCTCGTCTTCTATTGAAGTCGTGACCCGGCTGTGTCGGGTGCAAGGCTAGAAGCGGTCTCTATGTGGCTGGAATTGGCAGAAGCTGAGGCTGGTATTTCAAGAACTCCGTTTAGAATGGGGCGAGGAGCGGAGGATGGCTCTGTGAGAGGCATTGGCGTGGCTTTCACTTCCCGGAAGTGTTGTGGCTTTGTGTATGGTACTGGTTCGTCGGATGGATCTCTGATCTGGTCCTGCCAGGGCTTTGCTGTCTCATCTGGAAAATGATTTTGCTGCGGAGTAGGCGTTTCTTTCACCTCTTCCTTCCAAGCAAGGTCGACCAACGCATTAATTGCATCGATTTTCCTGTGAACGGCCGCCTTTCCGGAAGTTGGTCATTCAAATCGCCAAAGATGTCAGCAACTCGTCTCCGTTCAGGAAGCGTAAACGCGACTGTGCGGACGAGCTCTTGACGATGCTCGTTAAGCAGCTGCAGGTCGAGCTCTTTGTCGTTCTTCAGGTCAACATACTGTTGGCGAACGACTTTTTCAATCTGCCTGTGGTGCTTCTTTCTCGCGGCTAGCAAGGTCTTTTGAAGAGCTGCGAAGTTTGCCGTGTCGCAGTCTGTAGCTAGATCTTCGCGGTCATGATGCTGCTGAAGCACGAGAACGGACATCTTTTCCCTCAAGACATTGAACTTCGGCACTAGGTCCAATGGCACGCATCATCTCATCCGTGACGCTGGCAGGGGCGTTTTCGTACTTTTTGGTACCGAACGTGTAATTGCATGTTGAATGAGACAGGAGTCCCGGCCAGTTTCGAGGGCGACTGGAGGTGCCCGTTTTCATTTGCTGTGTTTGCACCATCGTTTACTCTCTCCCCCTCTTTTGGTGGCCGTTTTGGGAAAGTTCAAATCACGTGTACTGCAACCACACACAGCAAAAGCATGTGAAGGTGTGCTACCTCGCATTTGCTCGTTCCTTTTCTCACCCACCCCGAAGTTCCCCCTATTTTGTTTGATGTTGGGGATACGATACTTCGCTGTGGAGAAGTCCCATGGGCGCCATTTTGTCGGTCTTCCTTCCGGGGACAACCAGGAAAGCTTCAACAATCCATCACAATCCGTAAATGCCGGCAACTCCACGACTGTTTATCTAAATACCCTCATACATTGTCGACAAAACATGGCTGGTCTCAGTCTCGACATCATCAAACGGGCCGCGGCCGACGCTGTGCAGGCAGCCAACTCGCCATCCGGCCGCTCGACGCTGGCTACGACGGCGGCCGTCGTTCTGGGGCTGGCCACCATCCCGTGCGTCAACCGGCTAGCGAGCAACTACAGCCTGGGCAACACCCTATTTGCCAGCACCCCTTTGGCCAGCACATCGCCGGAATGGTCTGACTGGTCCAAGGAGATTGTGCTGATCACGGGCGGCAGCAGCGGCATTGGGCGGATCATGGTGCACGAATTTGCGCGGCGCGGCGTCAAACTGGTCGTGCTGGACCGGCAGCGGCCGCTCGAGAGCGGCGCCGACGGCGGCCGGTTCCCGGGCCCAGACCAGGGTGTGCACTTCTACGAGTTTGATCTGACGGCGCCGGACAGCGCGCTGGAGACGCTGGCGGCGCGGATCCGGCGCGAGGTGGGCGAGCCGACGGTGGTCATCAACAACGCGGGCATCGGCCACGGCCTGTCGCTGCTGGAGGCGACCAACGACCAGATGCGGCTGGTGTTTGCCATCAATGCCGTTGCGCCGATCCGCATCACGCGCGAATTTTTGCCGAGCATGATCCGCAAGAAGCACGGGCACATTGTCAACGTGGCCAGCATGGCCAGCTTTGTGACGATTGCCAGCAACGTCGACTACAGCTGCACCAAGGCCGGGCTGCTGGCGTTCCACGAGGGCCTGACGCAGGAGCTCAAGCACCGGTACAGCGCGCCCGAGATCCGCACCACCATTGTGCATCCGCACTTTGTCAAGACGCCGCTGCTGGGCGAGGCCACGACCGACTCGGACGCGACCAACTCCGCGCGGTTCCAGGGCGGGCTGCTGGACGCGAACACGGTGGCCCTTGGCGTCGTGGACCAGGTGCTCGCAGGACGCAGCGGCCAGCTGTTCTACCCGCCCAAGTTCGCCTCGGGCACGCTGATCCGGGCGATGCCGACGTGGCTGCAGGAGCACATCCGTGGCACCTTTGCGACCGTCTTTGTGCGGCCGATGGCCATGGGCGAGAAGAAGTAGGAAGCATGTTGTATGTGTGGGAAAGTGCGGCTTGGACATCTACTTTGTATATTTGAATAACACTATTTATGGACGCAATTTACTGTTTGGATTTTGTGGTTTCATGTTTGACTCGAGAGTTTGTTGAGTGTGGTGGTCCAATGCTCATAAACAGTCGATGCCGAGGCCTGGAGGCTTTTGAGCCTCCGAGCCACAGGTGATCGTCGGTACCATTGTCCATTGTGGGGAATTCTCTCGAGGTTATTACCCATGTACCTATGGGGGAAGACTTGCCAAGTTGGGAGGTTTTTCCACTTTGAGACCTTTGATTGGGATGGCATATTATTTAGAACTTTCTTTGTCCACATTTGCCATTGAATACGGGTTGGTCCACACACAAAGCATCTATCTTTCCACCTCGTCTTTCTCCATCCACACCATCACACTTCTGTGGATGTGAGGTAGTCCCAGACGGCTGACGCGTGGACTTTGATGACATGCAAGTACTCACGAATGGACGCCGACTCGTTGACTTGGGCCACTCTTTCGGTCAGCATACTACAGTACACATAATGTTTATGGTCGCATATGCGGTCCAGCGGCCTTTCGTGCAACACAATTACTTACTTGTCTTGGGGCTGCCGCCGTAGATGTAGGCAGGAATGCCGGCATAGCGGTAGTGCTTGCAGTCGGTGGCGCCCATCGACGGAATGGCAAGCGGTGCTGGGTCGCCCGGGGCCAAGCCATGGGCATTGCGAATCAGCAAGTCCAGCACCGGATGGCCCAGCGGCGACACGCTGGCCGGGTTGCTCGCTGGCTCGACGACCGACAGCACAAACGACGCGGCCGGCTTGTACTTTTCCGTGGCCTTCTCGATGACGGGCAGCACGTCGTCTCGCGTCAGGCCGACCGGCATGCGAATGTCCAGCGAGAACCGACACGTGTCCGGGATCATGTTGATGGCCGAGCCAACGCCGCCCTCGATGGTGCCAATGTTGACCGTGGGCTTGGCAATCACGTCGGCCGTGCCAGGGCCCATGATGTCGTCGATGCGCTGCCGCACGTCGGGGCGCCGCAGCTGGTCGACAATGCTGGGCGGCAGCCGTGCCGCGGCGTCCAGGCCCTCGACAGCGGCGACAACGTCGCCCAGGAACGCGGCGGCCGTCCGCACGGCACCCTGGCTCAGGTTCGTGTAGGCGCCATGGGCGCCCGCCGTCGCGCACACACAGCGCATCCGCAGCGTGCCCTTTTCCGAGAAGCGCACGCTGCCGACGCCCACGGGCTCGGCACCGAGCATGACATCGCCGCCCCAGCGCTGCCGGTTCGACCGGACCAAGTACGACGTGCCCCATTGGCCGCCCGTCTCCTCGTCCGACACGCCGCAAAAGGCGACGCTGCCGCGCAACAGATGCCGCCGCTCGTGCAGAAAGACGTACGCCACGAGCAGCGCCGCCGTCCCCAGCTTCATGTCCACGACGCCGCGGCCATGGATGCGGTCGCCCTCAATGGCGCCCGACCACGGGTCGTGGGTCCACTGGCCGCGCGACGCCGGGTCTACGGGGAAGACGTCAATGTGGCCGTTCAAGACGAGGCGGGGACCGGGGCCGGCCCCGCCCGCAAAGTCGCTGACAATATTGGGGTACCGCACCTCGTCGTTCGCCCCGTTGTCTCGGCTGGGGGTGACAATCTCGTATGGCACGCCGTGGTTGTCCAGAAAGGCCGTCAGCACGGCGGCGGCGGCGCGCGTGTCGCCCGGCGGGTTTGGCGACGGGGTCTGCACAAAGGTCTGCAAGAGACGGATGTGCGCGTCAGCCGCAGCGTCGAGTGCCTGCAGAAGCAGAGCCTTTTGGTCCGGGGCGGGCATTGTCGTGGTGATGCCGGGGGGGACGATGGCAAGGGAGTAGAGTGAGTGTCGTTGGTATTGGTGCTGCGTAGGACAGACTTGGAGATATGTATCAAATTGGACCCAAGTCAGCACTTACTATGTAAGCCGTACTTGTGGTCTGAAATACGCAATGATCACGACAAATTGCCATATTCAAAGTCCTCACTAGTGACTCATCCGGCGATGCGATGCAACATGCAGACAGTTGTCCAGACGTATGGAAAGAGAGGATAAAAAGACAAGTGAATTTAGTCCGGATGGACCATATTTATGCCGTCGGCGAGCATCACCGATCAGTTATCCTTTGTCGAAGCACTACTACCAGGTTATGCATTGTTGATCCTTGCCTTTTAGTTCAACCAATTGCGTCCTAATGTGTTTTAACGCAATACCTGTTCTACTCCCATCCGCTGTTTGGTAACTGAAAGTCGTTCTGACCATCACCTCACTCACTGCTATTTATTCACGCCAGTTGACGAGACATTTCCTGCCGGGCGCAACGATGCACATTCCCGGACACGTGGCCAGCACTGGCTATTTAACAAGGCAGGACGATGCATCGATTCAATTCAGACACAGCATGACTACTACCTCGGGTTTCGTCGACATATCTGACACCAACGGCAGAGCCACCGCGATTTAGCGCAGTGGTCGGTTACAAAGCCGTGATTTAGCTAGGGGCCGCAGCGCAGAACACCGAGAGAAGGCAAAACGCGGGCAACCCTTCGTTGCGATGATAATCAATACGAGGCTGTAATTCTCGTCGATCCAAGGACATGCAATTCTTGTAATAAGATGGTCTGGCCGTCCTGTTTGGCGCAGGGTAGCAGCACCAAGACAATCTAAAACAAGGATATCGCATAGATCAAAACGACCGACGACGATATGGCCAACGACAAGACGACGTCTTCTGACCCCCGCGAGGTCATCCGCACCCTCTTCCGCTTTCTCGATGCACAGGGCCAGGGCGACTACATGGGTGAGGCCGTCTCGCAGCTGCAGCACTCGCTGCAAGCGGCAAACAGGGCCGTCGAGCACGGCGCCGACGAGCCCACGGTGCTGGCGGCGCTGCTGCACGATGTCGGCCGCTTTATCCCAGAGGCCGCGTCTCTTCCACAGCTGATTGCCCCCGACGGCACGGCCTTTGGCACGGAAGCCCATGAGCGCGTCGGCGAGCAGTACTTGCAGCGGCTTGGCTTCCCACCGTCTGTCTACGCCGTTGTTGGTGCGCACGTCTGGGCGAAGCGGTACCTGTGTGCCACGGAGCCGCAGTACTGGGCGTCTTTGAGCAAGCTCAGCAAAGTCACGCTGGAGCTGCAGGTACGTGTCTCCGCCCCCCCCCCCCCCCCGGTCGTCTTCTTCAGTCCGATAACGTATGCGGCGTACCTGTTAACAAAACAGGGCGGTACATTTACACACGACGAGGTGGCAGAGGCCCGCAAGGACCCGCTGCTCGAAAACAAGCTCAACGTCCGGCGATGGGACGACCTGGCCAAGGTGGCGGGCAAGGTCGTGCCGGGATTGGATGCGTACGAGGACATGGCTGTGCACTGCCTTGCCGGCGCGAGGATGAACGAAGCTTGATTTGTGGAAGCAAATACTGATGTGCAAACGCCGTGTACTCATTACTCATTATCTTAATCCACTCTCTCTCGCGCTCTCAGTTGAACACCCGTGAATAATGGTACGGATTCTTGCCACGCGGCAGCGGCACGTCGACATGGCGGCTCACACCCTGGGCCCAGGCATAGCAGCACCACACGGCGACGAGAGCGTCACGCTGGTCGCGCCGCATAGGCGCTGTGACGAGGAGGCGCGGCGTGTCTGTCGGCTGGGGCGGCGGCGGCGGTGCCACCACCGCCGCATCCTTTCCCCGGTCCACGCTAGCTTGCACGGCGATGCTCCGCGCCTCCATCGTCTCGTACATGAGCGCCACCTCGTGTCCCGTGGCGTCGAGCCACGACAGCACCCCTTGCCGCGTGGGGCGGTGCTGCGCCCGGAAAACGGGTGCCGGGTGCGCCTGGTCCCACCCGAGGCCCTTGACGCCGTCCTTGCTGTTGAACTCCATCAGGACCGGCTCCGCCGACCACGAGGCAAAGCTGCGGCCCCGCAGGCCCAAGTGGCCCAGCGGCGCCGCCCGCGCGTTGGTGGCGCGCATGTAAAACTCGGGTCGGCTGCCGCCCAGGGCGCCGCCGAGGCCGACGACGTAGTCAAAGGCGCGCGAGCGGTGCAGCGTGTACATGTTGCGGGGGCGCAGGACCATGGGAGCTTCGTCGCACCGCTGCTCCAGGCGGTCCAGCTCGACGGCCTTGGTGGCTGGGCCGAGCGTAGCGAGACCGCGGTTCACACGATACAGAGGAGTGCTGGGCGCGTGCTCGGCAACAATGGTCTGGCCGTCCAGCAAAAGCGCGGCAGCGGCAACAATCTCGGCGTTGTAGGCATACACGTCAAACATGGCCGTGTCGACTGCCGCATCTTTGCCCTTTCCTGCTGTCCAGCCAACCTCAAGCATCGATGGTTGGTAGGCAGGCGGGGCGGCGCCGGGTGAAGGGCCGGACGCAGGGCCAGGAGACGGGCGGGACGTTTCCTCGTAGGGAGGGAGGATGGACTGTGCATCGGATGCATCCTCGATAGCCGCATCCGGCGGGAGAGTTGATTTTGAGTCGGCTGAAGCCATGGTGACTTTGGTTGTGAGGCGGCAGAGACGAGGAGAGACGACAGGTCCGCGGCGAGAATAAATAGCTTCTACGGCGTAATTCAGGCGAAGAAGGTCAACACGATAAAATCCGACACGTCAACAAGGGTCAACGGCCAAGACATGAACAGCCACCATCGGCAACGCCAAGACGCGATAGACCGGATGCAGTTGTCAGAGTTGACGGAGTTGCAGAATGATGTCAGTGGGCAAATAACGGCGAGGATGAGGAGAATGAATGCAAAACATGGCGGACGACAGAAAATGATGCAAAAATGAAAATCAAACAAAATTATATAAACACTAGGACGCAGCAACGAAAATGCACAGGATAACGAAACAACGAGCAGAGGGATTTACGAAAATGAAAAGGATCCTTGTGACGAGAGGGGGACTGAATGCAGCTGTTGGATGGAAGCGACCGGACTGCAACAATACGGCGAACGAGGCTGTGTCTCGGTCACAAGATGGCATGAATTGGAGAGTCGCTACTTTAGTCATTTTTACAGCAGCCAACCACCAGTCTTAGCATTGTTTGACCTCCCCACAGCTTCTCTACAGAATGTGATGGCGTCCAGCTGCCAGTTTTGGTGGCCGCTTTAAGCTTCAAGGGCGGAACGACCTACTTACCAATGTCTATGTGAAGTTGAGGAAACAACAAGAGGCAAAACTGAACCTCGTTGTATTCGAAGAAAGATATAATAAAGTCGACAGATTCGTATTCCTGACGGGAGACGGTACCTGAAGTAACAAATGCTCTGGAACTGGCCGATGTTTGACAGTGGATGCCATGTAAGAAGGATAACTGCATCACGATATCAGAATATCTCCTGACCACGGTGTTGTTCGTGCCCCCGACGGAGTGGTGAACCCGGTACTATCCGGTAAGACTACAGAACAGAACACTTCAAGGCACTGACAAGAGGAAACGAAGACAAAAATGGATAGGCGAGTCCATGCCGAGACGACCCGATCTTTTACAAGTAGTGGTGACTTGTTCGTCTAACCCCGTTTCGACCGACAACTGCGTCTGTCCCATTCTGCGTGCGGCAATGAGAATTCATACCGTTACTGCCTCTCCTGGTGAAAATGGAGCGGCTGTCTGGACTAAGAAAACGGAGGGTGCCGTGCGCAAAGCACATATAGCTCAATATATCGAAAGATGGTACCTTTGTATAAATCAGGCACGGTCAGCTTCCGTTCCCCTTTAGGCACGTTGTGGCTCATGCAGGTCTGTCTACGATTTAGCCTGTATGGACAAGTTGTGGACCCAGCACCGGCGCATTCCAATATCGACACAGTCAGCACGGCTGTCCCAGTGATATGCTGAATATTGACGTACGTTTTCGATGGCCAATGTATGATGCGACCCGCTATGTACACGATGCTCTATTTAGATCGCCACTATCCCCACGGCCTGGGCCTCGGCCTCGGCCACGCCTCCGCACCTCTCTGCCGTACAATGTATGTAAGATTAAGACGAAGACGGCGCTGCCGTCGCGGCCGCCTTGCTGTCGCAGCCGACGCGCGTGCCGCTGATGGCCACGTCGTCGTACCAGAACGTGTTGGTGTCGCCGCCGTACGACTCCCAGCCAAAGTACACGCCCGTGATCTTGGGCTTGAGCGCGCTGCGCTGCCACTGCGCCGCGTTGGCGTTGGCCGTGCCCGCCTTGCTGGTCAGGCCGGCAATCGCCTTGCCGTTGAGCCACGTCTCAATCGTGCCGTCCGCGCCGACGTGGTACTCGAAGCACTGCCAGCTGCCCGTCGGCAGCGCCGTCGAGGCGGCAATGCCCTGCGGCGACAGGTCCGGCAGCGTCGCGTCGTCCGACTCGCGGTTGTACATGAGGATCTGGCTCTGGCCGCCGATGCGCAGGTGCTTGTCGGCGCCCTGCGACGCGTCCGACATGGTGATGAACGACACGTGCGACGCCGTCAGCGCCTTGGACGCCTTGAGCCACGTGCGCACGTAGAGGTCGCCGCTGGGCACCTTGGTCGTGCCAAAGAAGACGTGTCCGCAGAACCCGCCGGCGCCGTCGACGCGGAGCGAGTTCTTGCCGCTGTGCGCGGTCGTCGTGTCGAGCGTGACTTTGCCGCCCTGGTTGCACGAGGGCGCGTAGATGGGCCAGGCCGTCTGGTCCCAGCCGCTCTCAAAGTCGTTTGACACCTGGCCGAGCGTCAGGCCCGGGAGCAGGGCCAGCGCGGCGAGGGCAGCAGTCTTGGCGTACATGGTGATGAATGCTGTGTGGTAGCGGAAGACGAGAGTGCGTTGTCAAGGTAGATGCCGTCGCTGAGGGAGAGCCAGCTGCGCAGATCCAGAAACATCGTGAGCCTTATATACGCTGACCCAACGTCTCCCGCCCGGAAGCCAGACCTCCTTTCCAATGAACGTCCCCCGCATGGGGCGGGACAGCATGCCGAAATTCATCAATTTAAAGTACACGAAGTCTTAAAGCGTCACATAGGACGCATTGGATGCATTGGATGCATGGGAGACGGGGCATGTCGTCCGCAAAAGGCGGCAAGCGCATACACAGTGAAGGCGGTCTGCCATTTGCAAGCCGCGTTGACCTCGGAAGGTCTCCCGTGAAAGAGATGAGACCAAAGGGGAAATTGGGAAGATGGGGGGCTAGAACCTGGACGGGCTAAGCACAAAAGTCGTACAGTTTCCGTTTTCCCGGGAGAATGCCACCGTCAGGGGAAAGTCTGTACCGAGTACGGAAGCAGATAAAGCACGTGGTCATGCAGCTGACAAAGTCGACTATGGCTGCGAAAGAATTCATTTGATTCAAAATGCAAGGTAGCTGACTGTCAAAGTATCGCAGTCTCCGTGGACACACTTGGCTTTCAAAAATAATATGCCGCATGGCTCGATTTTCTTGATTTGAGAATCGCCAGGACGGCCCGTAAGACAAATGTCGACGTGCTGCTGTCATTGGACAGTGTTTGGTATTTTGGGTTAGAGTCGCATCCACCAAAACAGGTTGACGCAACGACGTCATTTCGCATCACACGTTAGAACCTCCAAAATCGGAGCTCACCTGTCCGCTCCGAAAATAGTGATGACAGACGATTTGTTCCTTTTTTTCGTGTATGAAAGTCATATTTTTTCGCTTTCTATTTTCGAAATAATATAATAGGAGAAAATAAAAATAAAACGCAATGAAAAGCATAGGCATGACTCTCAAAGTCACAATTTAGATATAAATTATCAAGATCGCTGCTGATCATAAACAAAAGTCCCTCTCAAGTCAACACCTGGTATAACACAGGAAAGGAACTGAAGCGCATGACCATGTGGCTATGCTAAGCAAAAGCTTGTTTATCTTGTCGAGCTTATTTTCTGCCCTCTCTTCAAGTGTCTGCGGTTTCCATTCGATGGCCTTCAACGAAAGCATGAAACGCACCAAATTGCGTCACAGCCTTGCTCTCATTGGGCCTTGCAGGCCACGACAGTTACAGGGGTCATGAACTCTCCAATACTGTGCCTGAGCGACCAAAAACAGGATTCGAACACCCATACTCGATCCCTATCTTGAGAGATTTCATGTACGACGTAATGCTTCAATGTATATGAGAATACGTCAGTGGGAAGCTACCGGACGATGGTGCTATTTATGTGTGCCCTTTAAACATGTATATATGCCCGTCTCATCGTCCTCTTGATCTCTCTCGCAAGTAAAGCACGCCAGGCCAAACAAACTTTCATATCATCTTTTTTACCAACACTGCAAAATCACACAAAAGCAGACAAACCCGCCACAATGCCTTTCTTTTCACGCAGCAACATGGAGCCCGAGGAGGAGATCATTCCGACGCACCAGGAGACTGAGCTCAAGCACCAGCGCGGCGGTCTCTTTGGCAGCCTCCGCCGTGACCGTGATCCCTCGCCGGTCCCCTCGGCCAACCCGTCCGTTGCCACAAACGGCTCGCGGGTCTCGACCGCCGGCTTTTCCCACTCTCGCAACTCAGACGCCGGCAGTATCGTGAGTGGAACCGGCAGCCACCGCTCGTTCCTGCACCGGTCTTTCGGCCACGGCAACAACAGCGACAGCAACCTCGACCCCAGCATCCTGCAGGCACGTGAACGAGTACTCGGCGCGGAAAATGCCGAGCGGGAGGCCGACAGGGCCCTCGACATTGCCCGGCGCGAAGTGCGCGAGGCACGCGACCACGTGAAGCGGCTGGAGCTGGAGGCCAAGGAGGAGGCGCGGCGGGCCAAGGTCAAGCAGTTCCATGCACGCGAGGTGTCGAAGCGGGCGAAGCCGCTGGGCCGTATGTTGACTTCCTCTCCTAATACAAGTTACAATTGCAGTGACACAAATGTACTAACAACAAGTATAGGTCACGACCTCTAAACGCTTCGATAATGACAAATAATGCGTCTTTTGTTTATGAAATTTTACGTCACTTTATATCCTCGTCGTTGCCTTTACTTGCTTTATCAAACACTATACTGTACACTACCAATCGTTTGATTTTATGATTCTGACTTTCTTTTGTTAGCTGGCTCGTTTTGTACAATAGAATATCATCTACATGTGTTACGTATAACGTTTCTATGTTTGCAACTACCAACTAAGCATATACACGCCAATGGACGTAATTACGCATTTATGTACGTCGGCAACCAACAAGCTGACTGTTCCAACCTTATGGTGACTGGTCGTTGCTAGACGACGGCCTGCAATGACTTTTCCTCCTCTCTTTAAGCATGTTACAATTTGAACTGAATAAATGAAAGCCACCCTTCTCTTATCAAAGGGATGCAAAGAGAACATCGCCGGCAGCCGACCGAGCTCCTTGGAAATGTGAAGGAACGAATCATCTCTGTCGTGGCACACAACTTCGTTAGGTATCACGAATGCTCAACGGCAGGATCACAATGGCTGGACTTTGACGATAAAATGCCCGTGGTCCTATGAAAGGAACACAGCGTGGCGCGACATTTTTCCAAGAGATTTTTCATCCCAATTTACTTGCTACAAGAGTGTTTCACAGCAATGCCGTCGTGCGCAAAACTACGGATTGCGCATTGTGGTGCAGCATCCGGCACTTCATCCGTAGCTGTTGTTCATTGTGCGAGGGACTGCGGCAGTGAAAATCACAAAACAACGAGCAAAGCAATGAAACCATCCAGCCCGCAAGCGGGCTTCGCGACTGGCTGGATCACGAGGAAGCCCAACCATGGCGACCATTGAACGAGAACTACGTGGAAAATCTCTTTGCAGAATTTTCTTTTCTTGCATAGGTGTGATGGTTCACGATTGGAGGAGAAACTGCGGTGGATCAGATGAGAACCGAATGGTGGCGACGGGCCGTTTTCCAGCTGCAGACTGCGGCAGTTTGCCTTGCAGGCGGAGAATATGGAACAAAAGAAACCCAGAAAGGAAGCCAAAACGTCCGCGACAAACCGGAGTCCGCTCACAAACTAACAAATGTTGTGAGGTGAGGTAAAGGCAGCAAGCGCAAGGGACTGACACGGGGTCCTTCACTTCGGTCATGATCATCGTGTCGTACAATTACGACTTATGATTTGCGGCGGACGGGCCCTCTGATGTACAGATTTACGTGCGGCAAGGGATGCTTAAAACGACCATAAGCCCCGGGAACAAATGAGCAGGCCTCAAACATCCGGATTGCCCTTGGGTTGCCCTTACGTCCGCTGCCACGTTTGAGGAAGGGATGGTGAGGTGGCATAATCCTACAATGTAAACTTTTCTACTTTTGGGTGGCAACATGCAGCCCAACAAGCCAAGACTGCCTACCATCGTACTGCATATGCATATGCAGGTCCGCCTCACACACACCGTAAGGGCATCTCTGTGCAAGGGCACTTCACTTTCGCGACAACTCTTATTGCTTCGCCGCCCTGGCCTTTTTTGTCAGATTTTCACTGCGGCTTTTTTTCTTTTCTTTTCTTTTCTTTTCTTTGTTTTTTTGGCTGCCTTGTGCGGTGATCTTCTCGTAAACTGCCCTGAGACCGCTGTTGGGCCGAGATTCTGATTTCGTGTGACCGGGACACGAGATGAAAGAAATACTCGAAGGGAGGGAGACAGGTGGTCTGGAACATGAGCAGGTAACAATACCTGATTGGAAGAAGGAAATTTCTCACATTCAAGTAATACCCTTTGTTTTGTCCTTTACGGAGTAAATCTCCATCGTTTTCTTCCCACTTTACTTCTTTGTCCATTTATTGATTGTTTTTCAGGGTTGAAACCGACATTGTTTTTGAGGAGACAAAGAAATAACGAAAGCCGGCGTCCAAGTAACACGAGCCACAAATGAAAGAGGGACAAAGGGAAATGAAAGATGAAAGTATTTTTCACCTTCCAGTCGCCACGATGGTACATTATCATACGTAACAAATTGACAATTTGGCTCTTTTGGCTCGTTTGGTTAGCACCTCCACTTGAAAGTGTGGCGGACCTGGAAGTGACGAAGAGAAAATGGGCGCAAAAGATGTGGCGCTGTTTTTGCTCACCGTCGCAGGTTGCTCAGGGCTTGTCTGCCTTGGGCTTAGCGCCAGGAACAGAGGTGGGAACTAGGGAAGTGCCTGCAGGAACCGCCAGACATAACGGTGTAGCAGTACATAATCATACACATATCATGCGTGACGATGGAGGTACATGTACATCTTGTAGGTAATTACAAAATTCGCATTACTACGATGTATGGTCGTGTGTCCTTTGGTACGAATGTACAGATGTCCGGTAGATAGAACACAAGCGGGGAAGAGAACACAGAGAACCAGAGAAAACGAAAAGTAAGAACTCCGTGCGACGAAGGTCAATAAGACCAGGGAGGGTCGCAACGGTTTTGTGTCGCGCGACCTCCTCAAAGCATGGCATGTCTGCCGATGGCGCCTGCCCTCCGCTCCAATTCCTTTTTGAGGGGGAAATTGCGGTCCATCGCGCAATGGTAGCGCTGGGGGGAGGACCACTCCGATGGTTGGACCGGCGCCAGATGGGCGAAATTATGTGAAATTACGGAATACAGAGAACCCGCCGAAGAAGGAAAGAGATAGTCTCAAAGTAAAGTTAGGGAAGAGGGGCAATGGGCCTGGACCGGACAGGAAACTGCGATCATCGTCGTTCTGAGATGAGGAAAGCGCGACCCAAATGGTAGTCTGTTGTTGTGCTTCTCGGAGAGGAAGGTGCGCCCTCGTGGACATTCGTATCGCAACCCCCCACTGTTCTGACAAAGACGCCTGCTCAGGTTGCAGTCAACGGAGTTTCACGACCGTGCCAGCATACGACGACATGCTGCGATGGCGCAGTGCTAGGAAGAGAAACCGAGGCGAGGCGAGGGGAGAGCGGTCTCACGATATGACCTCAGACGGCCATTTTCGGCGACAAATGCGACATGGCTGCGTGAAATGAGAAAGGGAAAGAGTGAAAGGCGAGAGGACCAGCAAAACAAACGGAAAACAACGGAAAATGGGCAAGTGCAGGGGTCGCTTTGGAGCAGGCCGAAAGAGACAGGTCTCCCCGTGCCTGCAATTTGCCAGAAACCGCCTCTGCCCTTGCCAACCAGGTCGCAAGTACTTCTGAGAGGACGGGTCGCAGCGGCTAATTTGGGCCAAATTTCCCTGCAGCGCCTTGTAGCATTGACCCCGGGCTCTTGATTTGCCCACAGACGTCTGTTTGGGTTTTAGAGGCGGCAGGGGTCTCGACACTCTATTACCGCGTTGCTTGCGCCGCAATATGGCGACAACGCCACTGTTTTGAGGTGGTTTGCACCATTTTCTCTTATTTTTTTCAGTTAGCTGGCCCGTCGCATAACAGGGGCCTGCCTGGCCACGACAAATGGATACCCGCTGTGAAGGCCCGGTTTACTGGCCGACCCACAATTTTAATGGCGGTCTCTTTCTTATTTCTCTGTGTCTTCTTTGTGGTGCGTTTGTCCCATCAGCCAACAAAGACCAGCGCGGTGTTATTGCGCCAAACCGACAATGTGGACCCCTGCCACAATATCCACACTCCACACACACCCACACCCACTTTCAGGCACATTCAGAGACCCCCCCCTGCGAGCGATGGGCAGGTGCGATCGTGGAAAGAATCTGAGGTGCTCCTTCCAATTCCCATGTCGTTCGACGTGCATCAGTTTTGCTGGGGTTCCGCTCTTTTATTCCTTCGCTCCCCCGTTCTCCACAAACGTTCTGACTTCTTTCCTCTTTCTCTCTCTTTTCGCAGTTTTTGCTTCGTCACCTCCATCCACATCCATATTCTCACATATTCGGGCTTCGTTGGCAAAGTCCTCTTCCACTCACTTACACAATCGAACGTTCAGCCGTGTTTACACGCAGACTCTCCACCACCACGCCAGTCGTCGGATTCTCCCACCTCTCTCACACAGCCTCTCCGAACATCACGATCTCTCACGAAAACCTTCACCTTCTCTCTGCGCTTGCTCCGGAAGCACAAAACTTCGTCACGCTCACGCCTTGACCGCAATAGCTGAAAATCAATATAAATCAAAATGCGCTTCTCTACGCTCACCTCGGCCCTCCTGCTGGCTGCTGCCTCCGGTGTGTCTGCTGATGCCGCCGCTGCCGCCACCGACGCGGAATCGACGACGACCACTTTGGTGTCCACAAGCACGCTGTACAAGACAATCACGCTGAAGCGTGTCGTCGCGACCACGACGTCCACCTGGCACAACGCCACGACCAGCTATCAGGCAACTGGCACAGGCTCTTTCCGCGTGTCGTCGGCGACGCACGCCGCTACGACCTCCGGTACTGCCCCGATTGCGACCGCGACCACGAGCGGCAGCAGTGCTGGTCTACGGAATGCGGCCGGTGTTGCTTTCGTCGGTGTCGCCGGTATGGTTGTTGCCGCGATTCTGTAAACTGTCAGCTTCAAATCAACGCTCCCTGGACTCCGACACTCGTCGATGCACACAGCCACCAGCTACATTTCCTTTGTCTCTACCCCCTTTCGACACGATCAACACGCTGCGAGGCCTTGGTTCCTCGCGCGATTGTCTCTCATGAGAATTCACGACACGCCACCATCACCGTCTTCACCTTTATCATCGTCCTTCAGCATTGTTTTGAGCGTTCAACATCGGCGGCCTGCCTTGCCTATTTTCTTATGAACTAAACAAGCTCTTACAACAACACCGACATCCGGCGACGTCAACAACGCAGTCTGGGAAATTCAAACCTCTCCCGTTCTATCATCTCGACTGAAGTGGATGAGCGGCCACCACCTCAATTTTCCGCCGGACTGGTTGACGCCTCTCAAACTCCTCCTTTTTATTCTTCGCTTCTACCATTGCATGTGATTGCGGCCGAGCCTTGACTTATTCACAGTAAGAGGCCTGGGGCGTTTTCAAGTCTTAAACCAAACCACTTTACCATCTTCTCTGCTTTGTCACTCTGTTGCGATTCTTTTCAAGCTGTGGCAAACCTCGGTCTTCAAAAAAACTTCAAAATCTAAGAATCGAAACAAGCCCTTTTACAAAACAAAACAGCTCCCGCTAGACAATCTCTTTTTTTGCTCCTACCTGCCCCCCATTTACTTTCATTCTATTTTTGCCACCTTTTCGATTCACGCCAAACGCAGCCTTTTCCCTTCCTTTACAAAGCGAAGGCGAGGCGAAACCCCTTTTTCCGATACCCCCTTTCCAACCTTTTATTCTTGGTTCCAAGTTTTGGTTTGGAACAATTTTTTTTTACCCATATCTCTTTTTACCTTTTTCTTATCTTATGAGTTGTTTTTCTTCCCTTCTAGTTGCATACATTTTCTTTTATTGACTCGACTGGGCGTGCGAGTCACAAATGGGACAAGGTGCAGGGAGCAATGGAAAAACACGGTTGCTGTTTTGTGTTGTTTGGAGAACTGGATCTCGAGAATCTGCTTGTTAATATTTTTCTTTTTGACAATCGTTCTTTGCCATTTCCACAGAACAAAGTTCACAAATTTTACTCTTTTACCAATTTTGATGATCTTCTACAGTTGTCTATACGTGACGGCGTTCTCTGTAATACGTGTACATGAGTTACGAAGTGGCTCTGACTATGGTGTTAAATCCAAACATTCAACCCCTATTTTGATTTGTTTTGTTTACGAAGCAAGGCGGGGGAGCGGGCTGGCATCCCTGGCGCATCGCATTTTGAACTTTCGCAAGGGAGACACGTTTGCAATTAAAGGGGCACTTTCCCACAATTTGAGTACAAAAGGTGCGATCACCAAGGTGTCTGTGAAGGAATGAACATTTGACAGTTGACATCTGATATCAGAAATCTCGTCTTTAAAACCTGTCTTGTCCCGTCGCTCGCTTAACAGTAAATAAATAAGTTTTGCCCTTTTTCAGCGACGCGCCCGTTGGGCCCCGTCGCCTGCAAGTCGCTTTTTTGTCTTGCATGCCACATGACACGTCAAGCGACGCGAAGCCGTTCCTTTCTGTCCCCAGATCTATTCCAGCGCGAAAAGTAGCGGCAACTGCCAGGAACTTTGGCAGGTCGTGAAGCACGCAACCTTTCTCGCGGTGCCGATTAGTTCGAAGCGGGAGGCGCCGAGTTCTCGATTCGACACTGTTGCAATGCGGAAGGAGAAAAGGCAAACGCAAAAAATGCACAAGCAGCACGGGTATGGCTGATCTGGTCGGTGCCTTGAACCTGATGCGCGACGGCGCTGAAGTCGATGAATGCCATGGAGAGCACGAAACGTCCGCGTTTGTTGACATGCAGGGTCGCCTGGAATGTGCGCCGCGGTAGTCGTGTGCAACGCTCTGATGGGCGCCATAGCGTATTACTGAACAAAGGCTAGTGGAGCTGAGGCGTTGAAGGGCGTTTCTCTCCCAAGCATTTACAGTGGGTGCATACGCCGCATCACCACCAAATGCGGCCATTAAAGCCACTGACACAACCGAGGTCGCCACTGGAACCACGGAAAAGCAACCCTGCATACGCCAAATGCCAAGACTTAGATGGAGCGCAACCCCAGAGTTGTGGCGTGCTCGAGGCTGTTTGAAATCCACTAAACACAATTTGGCTCGATCGCTAATCTCAAATCCTCTCCACTAACAAATTTAAGTTAATAGCCCCATTTTCAACGCACACCACCTCAAAGCTTACGTTTCTTACATCCCAGCATCACGCTCGTCTTGGTTACGCAATGTGCCTGTCACCCAGCAAGGCTCCCCACAAACCACGACGACAATCGAGATCGTCAACGGGTCAACAAAATTTTTAAATTTTAATGAAATTATACTGCACGGAGTAAACAAAAGTGTCAACACTCGTATTGACCTCGGGGTGCATTCCCGCACTTTAATCGACTTGTCCTCACATCCGATTACGCGCATCGAGATTTGCAGTGCAATGCAAAGAAAGAATGGACTTTGATACAGAGAAGATTTTGAGAAAAGCGCATCGATTGATTATGTTTGCATGTCATCCGCATCGTGCCCCATCTAATGAGTATCACCCAACTCATAAGGCTGCTTCATATGGCTCAAATTTGTCCAACTTAACATGCACCCCGATAGCCTCGTCCACATCCACGTCCGCTTGATACTTGAACGTATCAACACATTAAAGCAAGCTCGTTCGGGACAGATTCCGCGTCCTATTAGTGCAGTCATGTGGAAACCCGACGTAAATGTTTCTCTCCGAACACATTCTCTTACCAAGCATAATCAGAGCTGCAGTCCGTTTGCGATGGCACCGGCAAAGGAAAACTCACACTCAAAGTCGGCAGCAGGGTCGTCACAAAGGTCGATGAGATGCTGGTAGGGGAAGTGATGTTGTTCGCTGGTGGCCTCATGATAGACCTCGTCGCCTCAACAGTCAGAGCACTCAGCGTACTGAGCGAGCCTTCGGCGCCCAGGTTCCGTCCCGCCCGGAACCGTCCCGTCGAAGTAGTAGTCGAGCCCAAAGAAGCTACCGAAGTTGGCGCCTTGCAACTACCGCTGCCTCCACATCTAAAATCGATTTCTAGCGAGCCTTGGTTCCGCTAGAACTTGAACAACGCAACGCAGGCGGTGTAGCCGGCAATGTTGTCACTGTACAGCGCCACATCGGTGCCCTGTCGGTTGATCATGCTCACAGATCCGATTGTGTTGAGGTTGTACATCTCGATGCCAACAACGTCGGAGGAGGAGTTGCTGTGAATAGCGGCCGGTGACGGTGACGGTGAGGCTGGCAATGAGGACGACGTTGAATCGCTCACGGTGGCATTATTCACTTCGCTTGCCAAGACACCCGTGTACACCATACGTGCCTGGCATAGTTCGCCGTTGCCAGGGGCGCTGCAAGACGTATCGTAGTTGTTGAAGAAAGAGTAAAGGCCTGCTCCGTAAACACTCACATTTTGGGAGTTGACAATTCGTAGACCCCACGCCATGGCACACGGAGGGTTCCCGGGAAGCTGACCTTGGCTGTTGACCACAGCGGGATTGCAGTCCTTGTCAAAGTCAGGATCATGGATTGTAGTGTTTACCGGATTAAACGGCGCCGGTGCCGGCGGGTTAGGCTGGTAGTAGGGTGTCTCTGTCTGGATCATGCCCATCCAGATGTTGCGCGTATTGGCAAGCTGGTACTGGTACTTCACGTGGTGCTCTGCGCAGGTGGCCACCATCCAGACGCGTCCTTGTTCCGACTCCACCAGAATACCGCGTCCACTGAAGATGGAGATCTGCGAGCTGAGAGGATCCTCAATATCGTGGTCTGCGGTCCAGATCCAGTTGTTCTCCAAGTACACATTCGAAGCCGATCTGGTTATATGCAGACCAAGATACGCGGCCACACAGGCTGGGTTGACATAGTTGGTGAGCTGCGGCGTCTTGCCACATTGTGCCAGTTGCAATTGGGATCCGGCAAACCCGCCTACACGCACATGTACATCCCACATGCCGGAAGGTGGGTTCAATGCTGTGCATGGACCGATGGGCGTTTCAAGGTTGAACTCGATGAGCACAGCGCCTGCCATGGGACCTTGTGTCGAAACAATCATGTCGGACCACTCGACATAGCCAACTTCGCCAGGCCCACCAACTTGTACCACTGGGTACGGTGCATTCATGTCTTGAAATTTGGGTCCGGTCCCCATGATCACAGAGGACAGCGCCTCACCAACAATGCGCACATTGGGCGGAATACGGATGGTATCAGTGACCAGGTAGTATCCCGCGTCGACAAATGCAACCGAGTCGGTGAATTCATTGGATGCTTCGTGGAACAGAGCATTCAGTGCTACTGTGTCGTCTGTGACGCCATCACCCTTGGCTCCGAACTGTCGTGCTGTCAAAAAACTAGAGACTGGAACGTCGTCGTACTGCGGCTTCGACCGTTCAAAGTATTTGTTGCCCAGTCTCAGCTCGTCCAGCTCGGGGAAATATGCATCGTTAAAAGCCTCGTACACGTTTGGACCGTTTGGAACGTAGATGTTCCCCTATGAAAAGGTAACGTGTGTCGTTGTTAGTCGAATCCATACAGGAGGACGGGAAATGGGACGGAAACGGAGGGACGAGAATACAAACATATGCGAACCCCTTTTTCACAAGAGTGCCTGACGCATCGCTGTCCACGACAGCACCTTGTGGCCCCATGACTGCCACGTTGACCTGCCGAAATGCGACGTTCTCCATGATGAGAGAGCCTGCGCCTGGCTCTGTTCGGTTGCTTGGTGCACGGCCCGAAATGATGCCCACGGGTGTGTTGTAGAACAGCGAGTCAAGAAGCGTCACGGAGCCAATGATGGGACCGGTCATGTTGATGCCAATTTGACAGTCATAGACGTAGATAGACTTGTACGTCCATGCCCAGTTCCAGATTTGGAGGATAGCGGTGTTGGAGTTGAAAAACGTCATGTTGCGCATGGTGTACTGCTGGTTGCCCAGCTGGCAGCCGTATGTGCCGCCGTAAAACACCAGGTCGTTCAGTAAGCCACCGCTTCCCTCCTCCATGAAAATTCCAGTATGTTGCCTGCCCGGATCGGGAGACATGACGAAGACGCAATTTTGAATTGACGTGGCTTGGGCCGAAGGCCAATGAACTGCAGTCACGGCGCCCGGAACTTCTGTAGTATCAAACCGAATGTTGCGCAGCTGGCGAAAGAAGACATTGGTCGAAGTGTACTTGAGCTTGCCTGTCACGTACACGTCACCGTCGAGCATACCGATAATGTTGGGAACAAAGCTTGCCATGGCCTTGATGGTGGGCATGTTGCGGGGGTCGCCGATGATTTGGGTGTAGTAGTAGTCGACAATGGACGAGGAGATCATATAGGTCCTGTCTGAGTCAGTCGTGGCTCGCCGCAGCATTTGCATACGTCTCGGCGTCCAAATATCTCTTACCCGGTTGGAAAGTACACGACCGCAGGCGTTGTAGTCGACCCGACGCATGCTGTGAGTCCGCCGCAGCGGTTGCCGGCGCTGATTGCAGCATTGATCGCGGCCGTGTCGTCGGTCACTAGAAGCGGTCAGATATTTTTGCAGGGTCGGTTTGAGCATCGACAAGGAAAGACAGAAGGGCAAGCAAAGAAACACACCTCCGTCACCGACTGCTCCGTAGTCCTTCACGTTTCGAAAGATCGTGTAGCTCTTGTCCGGGTTAAACGACGCGATGCCGTTATGGGCTATGGCGTCCATCCAGTACGGCGTAGCGCCGGGATCCTGGGCAACTGTCGCCCCGACAAAGGAGGCGGCGAGTAGCGCAAGGACGCTCGTGAATTTCATGATGGAGATGAGGATGTCAGCATAAGCTTCAAAGAATTCCAGAGTTGGCTGTTAATTCTGTCTCAGGCTGTGATGTGATGCGGTAAATACAGAGTTGGGAGCTTAATGTAAGATAAAGTGCTGACTCGTGCCTCAGAAAGACGTCAAAGTAAATCAGACACCGGAGTAAACACTTCAGAAGTGGTATCTCAAGGGGAGCTTAGATGTAGACGGAAGAGATGGAGCACAAAGAGAAGGGGTGCAGATATTTATTGTGATGTATAAGGGGTGTTCGAGGGACGTGTTTTTAATTTATTTTTATGTTTATTTTTTTGTGCCAAGATTTTACCTTGTTATCAAATAGCGACATGAGGAAGGAGCGACACAGAACACGCTCTTCAAGCGTGCACAACCACGCATAAAGGGAAGGAGCGAAGGTGACAAGAGCCTCATGGCACAGTTTGCCTAACGGGGCCATGACGTCGGCTCTGTATCTTTGGAACCTACTTCTGTCACAAGGAAGACAAAAGTAGGCACCACATCTAAGAACATGACCTCATTTGGCTGAGAAGCGAAGCGAATATGCGTCACATGGGCAAAATACATATGCGATGCGGAGTCTGTGAACTTCATGTCGGTTTCTGGTCGGTGAGACCTCGCTTTGTATTCTCCGAAGTCATTTCTCACTTGCACACGAGGAAAAACGAGCGAATAGTAAATGAAATGAGACTTAAAAACATAAAGAAAAGTCACGTTTTGGCTTCGGCGTAAAGACAAAGCGGCCACGGTCGTGTTGTCCAGGATCCATTTTGGTCAAAACGATCGTTCTGGTGAAGCACCCAAACAAAGAAGTCACCACAAAGGCGGCAACAATGAATATTTTGTTCACAGCCACTTCACTGGCATACCGCATTAAGAGTTTTAGAAATATAAATAAGGTAAACTTACTGTCCAATTTACTAAAGTTTCCAAATGGCTATTTTTAAAGAGCAAAACCACAATTCAGAATACAACCCCCACAATACCATTACGATGCCGATGCCCATTAACGAGTTCATCTATATCCCACCACAGGACCGGGAGCTCCTGAGACGGCTGGTAGAGCTGCTCCAAGAATACCCCGATGTCGCAGCATTGTCAGCTCTGTCACCATCGTCACCGCCGCCCGCTACGATAGAGGGCTCCACAACGACTGCGAAGACTGCGGCCAAGGGCATGCCCACGAACAAGCCCCTGGCAAATCCGCCTTCTGAATGTGTGGCCGCCCTCAAACTCCCGATACAGGACTTGCAGCGACCGGAAGCAACGCGACACAGAATGCATGCGACCCACTATGGCAGAGGGGGAATCAAGTGGACGTCACTGGGGCACGGGTTCAGGTACACGCCGGGTCCGTCCGTGGCGACGCCGTGGCAGCAGTGGACATGGTGCGACGCAGTCGGGCAGCTGGTACGGTGTATCCTTGCGCTCGTTGTGCTATGTGCTGCATACATGCTGCGGAGTATGGTTCACCAGTGAAGAGAGGAGAAGCAGGAACGAATGATTGGATAACAAAACGATACAATAGAACAGAATCTATGTCTATCGCATAATTTAGAAATCGCGATCTAGGGTTGCGAGTAAGGAGCGAATGGGGAATGCATAAAGAAAGAGCGACAAATTCAAGAAAAGGCAGAAAAGAATATAACTCCTAGCCATGCCTCCCAATACCCAAAAAATGCTTATATATAAACAATGCAATGCAAATAAAAGACTCCGAGATGAAGAATGAACGAATAACCAGAATAAAGGAGCGCCAGAACAACCAAAGTAAGAAAACACGCTCGAAGGCGCCAACATAGGTACTTTGTATAAATCCGATTCTTGTTCGTCGCCAACCCTTAGTGGGTCGGTTCGAAGAAAGTGTTCATCGACAGGCAAACAATCATGACGCAGATGCCATAAATGGCCAGGGCCAAGGCCATCTTGCGCAGGAGGCCCTCGCTGAGATGCTCCAGGTCCCAGCGCCACTTACGGCGCAGACGCAGCCGGCGGGAGAGCGACGCAGACGCCGCGGCAATGCTCGGCACACGGCCACCGGCCGACAGCAGTGACGCCTCGTCGGCGTTGAGGTCAGTCTCGTTGTCATTGTCGCTGACGTCGGACTGGAAAGCATCGTCGTCTTCTTTCAGCAGACGCTGGTGGTGGCTGCTGTTCGGGTCGCTGATCTTGTAGTAAAACAGGCCCGGCAGGATAAAGGAGATGGACGTCGAGCCGGTGCTGCCGACATAGGCGAGGACGGTGTCGAGGCTGGAGACGCCGAGGGCGGTGGCATAGCTGCCGACAATGATGAGTGTGGTCAAGAGAGCGAAACGCATGTCGGACATGGGCGAGACGGGGGCGCCGTGGCTGTCGGTGGCCTGAGCGGCACTGGCCATGGAGGACGCGACGGACGCACCCGAACTACCGCCGGGCAGAAGAGACGCCGCCGACGACGACAACGGCTTGTTCGGGCGCCACTTGAGCACAGCATCGAGCGAGGCACGGCACGGGTGGATTTGCAGCGGAACGCTAAACATAACGAGGACCACAATGGCGGCCTTGCCGACAGTGGACGCAAAGTTGGCGGGATCTAAACAGGCAGTTGCAGTTAGTAGAGAACTCCCAATAAGAAAGACGCAGAGGACGGGGCACGACATACACATGGACACAATGTTGCCGACGACGTTGCTGCCAAAGGTCAGGTAGCCCGTGACGGCGACCAGAATATAAATGGACGCAGCCGAGCCGATGCTCGACGACACCACGCCCATGACGTTGGCGGGCGAGTTATCCTTGAGCTCGTTGAGGATGGAAAACATGTTCTGGTGGCACGTGTACGCAAAGACGACGACGGGGAGACTGCTGAGCAGTGCCACAGGGCCGTGCCAGCGGATCAGGTGCACGTCGCCGCGCTCCGCAGGCGAGTCCGAGGCAAAGTGGTAGACAACGAGCACAATCAGGTAGCCAATGGACACGAGAGCGATGACGCTGGTGTACTTGAGCGAGTCGAGGCGGCGCAAAAACGCCAGCGGGATGATGACGAGCATAAACGCCGTGATCCAAAAGTGGCGGTCCAGCAAGAAGGGCACAGCGCCCGCCTCCCCATTGAACCCGAGCACGACGCCCGGCATCAGATCGCCAATGATGATCAGGTACGAGACGCCGACGCCGAAACACTTGACAGCAATGGCCGTGTCAAAGACGACGGCGGCGTTGGGGTAGGTGATTTGGGACAGCGCAAAGAAGGACGCCGTGCCGCGGTCGAGATAGCGGGAGCAGCGCGACTGCAGGTACAGCCCAAACGCAGACGTCAGGCCCGACCACAGGATCACGAGCGTGCCGAGGCCGACGCTCATATGCGACATGGCGGCCGGCATGGCGAGTGTGCCGGCGCCGACAATGGTGTTGAGGAGGTTGATGACGCTGCTGATCATGGTGGCCTGGCCACCGCCGGCGCCACCGTGCTTGGGGCTGCGTCCCCGTCGCCGTCGCGCCATGTCGTCGCTATTGCTGCTGGAGGCGCGCAGGTCCGGGCTAGATCGACCGGAATCGGAAGAAATGGTAGAGTAATTCGGCATCGCGCGGCGGGCGCACGGCTCGTCGCGAGGATGTCGTTGGGAGAAGAGTAGACGAGTATAGCGAATGCAAGGAGGCAGGCGAGAGAGCAAAAGACGCCGTCAGGCTGGGGCGCTCTTTCTACTCGACCGCTGCTGATCAGAGCCCACGCAGTAACTTGTCTCGACGGGGCAGGTCGACTCACGGCGAGTGCATCGACGAGGGCAGATCGAGGTCGTCGGAAGTTCGATGTGGATTAAATGCTGTTCTTCCAGTCAAGGGCTCAGCAAATCGCTGAAAAAGGTCGCTGTTGCTGTGGGACGTTCCGCTGGTATATTGTAGTCTGTTGGTGTGTAGTGTGTGCCGCGTTGTGGTGTGTACGGAATAAGGTGAAGATGGTAAGTCAGATGTGGTGACGCTTTTTGTGTGGTTTCTTTTTTATTTTTTACTTTCCTTGATGTGTCGTTCTTTGTTCTTGCCCCCGTTGGCACTTCCCCAAAAGAGCTGTAGCACGTAATACCACACCATGGGGAATGGCAAAGGCGGCTCAGCGGGTCCTCCAAACGCAAGCCAAGCCTTGACCAAGGCCAGGGCGTCGCATTTTGGCTCGCTTTTAGTGGCTGGCGGAGCCTGGCATTTCCCACACTGTGCCGCTGTTGCACCGCTCCTCGCACCCTCCCCCACCAAATGCCTCTGCTGGCTGCCTTAGTCACCCGCCAAATCCACTACGTACGCCTACAAAGTGTTGGCCGACTTCGCCATTCACCATTGCATGTCGAAATACCAGCTTCATAAGGCGATCATGTCAAATCCACCGCAGACATAAGACGATGGTCTCGTATGCGGCGTCAAAAGAGACCTATTGTGAGAGTCGCCCCGTCGCTCGTCAGGCCGCACGCAAAGTGTCCTGAGAGCCTTGAGCGTTTCCTTACTGCAATCTCTCCTGAATTAAATTAGGTAATTCTTCTCTGTTTGAAATTACGCCTTTGCACCCCTTTCCCAGAAATACAGGGGAACATGCGCTAACGCCAAGCGGCCAAGAACAATATTACGCAACAGACAACAGCGCTGAGGGTACCCAGAAACGCCTAGAAATCAGACCAATTCCAGCGGTATTTGGCTGGCAAAACTCACTGAATTAGGTAGCAACACCAAAACAGAGCGCAGCCAATCATAGAGCTTTCCCAAGGTCGGTTTCCCTGCGATGTGAGCTTCGCCGAACCGAACCCGAATCATCAACGACATACGGCCACTCCATACCACCGCCTCGACCGCTTCTCAGAGCCTACACACCCTCAACGCCACTTGTCTACACTCTCAACTCGCGACAAGGACGCCACAACTATGGAACAGACCAGCCAGGCCACGCTCGAGCTGCTCGAGTCGCGTGTCCGCCGCGTCGAGCACTTGTTGTACGGCGACGACGGCAACACGCCCAAAGACGCCGACTCCCTGCCGGCCAAGCCCGCCGTCGACGCCCTGGCCGATCTCGAGCGGCGCTTCTCGTCCTTGGTCTCCAACGTCCGCGTCTACGCCGAGTTGCTGAAAATTTGTAAGCCGGACCGGCCCACCACCTATCGGACCGACGATGCTGCTGTGGCTATGTGGTTGCTGACAAGACAGACAAATCCCACCCCTCGCTCTTCCAGGCACCGCCCGCCGATGTGCCGCCCACCCAGCTCGACCGCGACGCTCTCCGTGCCGTCGTCCTCAGCTACGCCAGTGCCTTCCCCGCCACCGCGTCGGCCCTCAATGCCGCCCTCGTCGACACGCCCGTGCCGGAAGCAGCACTGAGCGCACAGCTCGTGGGACTTGTCCCCCGGATGGAGGCCCTGGCACAGTCACAGAAGCAGCTGGATGCCGAGGTGGCTGGCCTCCGCGGCCGCAGCGAGCGCCTCGTGCGGCAGTACTACGAGCGGCAGGCGCTGGGGGCGTCCAACATGGTTGCAAGCGTAGAGGCTCGCGTGGAGCGGGCCGAGGGCCAGATACGGCGATTGGAGACGGCGGCGCGGAAGGCCGAGCAGGAAGGTGTGTGAAGACGGCCGAGACTGGAAGGTCGTGACCAGAGGCCCATGGCCAACACTATCGGACACACCATCGCCCGCTCATTCGTCGTCTGGCCTCTCTGCCCTGCAAGTCCATTTTGCAACGTTTCCGATTCCAGTCATGTTTCAGCAGAGACGTGATCGCGTCGTCCGGTCCAGTCTCGTCTCTGAGACTTTGTTGCCATTCTAAGCCCGTTCGCTGTATCAGACACGGCAACGTCACGGCACCCGGACATCAACGTATCATTGCATCGAACTTGCAATGGCGAGCATACTTCGTTTCCAGGAACAGGAAGAGAACTTTCTCTTCGCGAGACCTTTACCGGGGCGACTCGGTAGCAACGTTTAATCTCCGTAACTGGAATTAGGGTTGAACTACAGAACTTCCAAGGCCCACAGATGTACGAACGTCGAGGCAGGACGTCATGATGGCCGATGGATTTCATTTGAGACGCCAAGGCCAGTGAGGCTCGGTCACCGACGTCATACTTTTGAGAAATGGCATGCACAAAGCTGTGCTTCGTCCATAGCGTTACCTGATACCACGATACTATCTGAAATCTATCTGCCCTGTTGGCCAGTCGCATTCAACATTTTGTCCCTCAACACATCTTGTTAATCGTTAATTTTTAACCGTGGGTTACTTCACATTCTCCTCTTTTTTGTCCCCCGGAAAACCTAATCTATGACGAAAGACGCGAATCGTTCTTGATAAAGCAATGTGCAAAAGCGCCGGACGGGGTGTTGCCGTTCCGTGTTTCAGCTTTGCTTCCTTTTAACCTGGGCCCATTCTGCGACAGGAAAGTGCGGCGAAAGCGCATTTGCAAGAATTGATTGCCGGGAGGCAGTGAATAAATCGCAGGCCAATGGAAAGCGTGTTCTTTCAGAACACGCTCCGTATTGCAGGAAGAGAAACAACGAATATCGTCGACCCCTGACAGGAAAGTAAATACGGTGAATGAAGACTGAAGTCAGAAGCGACGACAAGACGCTATGACGAACAAGACCCATGGGACGACAGTGGATCGTCAATGGCCAGTTGGAGTAAGGCGTGTCATCGCCGTCAGAGACGAAGCAAAGGAGGCCATGGTGTAGACACGAAGAAAACGGCGAGCCGAGCGGCCATCCGGATTGCATCAAAAGCCCGTCCGTCGACGGTCACGATGTATATTGTATGCGAGTAACTGAGCAATGTTGGCGTTGTCGTGACCAGCCCTAGAGCAATTCATAAGAGTACGGAGAATGTACTCGGCCTTCTCGATCTCAGGTCGACGTCGTGCACGCCCTGGGCGTTCCTTCGTGTGCTAGTTTGAACGCGAGGCAAGGACATGGAGGAGGTTGATGATAGGCACAGCACGGTACACGCAGGAGAGGAAAAGGGGCCAGATCGACAACGGCATCGACGACTCAAGACAACTGGTCCGGAAGCTTGTCGATTTGCTATTGTCTCGACGAGTCTTGTTCAACGTCGCCATCGCATGCCTGTTAATTCGACCATCGGTATGTCCAGACCGTACTCTGGCTACGTAATTCATGGGTCGTTTCAAAAGCGGCCAATAGACCAAGAAAAACTAGAGGCCAATCACTATGCTTCTCTCTCGAACAGAAACCGTTTTCTCGAGTGCTCGTCTCTGCCCTTTTTCGACTAGTTTGCTCCGTGCTGCAGCATGTTTGAAAAGTGTGCTGTGCCGAGGAAAGGGGTTCCCACGGACGTTTGATATGTCACCTGTGCGTCGAGACTACGGGGATTCGAGCGCTGCCTTTATCCATTACGGACCGTACGGCGTCTTCACCGTTCGAAAGACGGAGCTGTCTTTGATGTCTCCTTCGGCGACCAACGTCAACGGATGTCGCATGAACATGCAATAAAAAAGAACAGATATTGCGTCGTGTTCCGCGCTCTTTGTTTAAGTTTGCCCAACTTGGTCTGCTCCTCCACTCTTTCACCGTGATCACTGCCGAAACGGGGCTTCGCTGCGACCTTCCAAGCCGAACGGAGGCTGTCAAGTTATCCAGTTGTTGTCCCAAGATCCATGGAAAAGGTCTGGCCATGGAAGTTCCCGTTTCTATGCAGAGAAGAAGCGCAGAGGGAACACGAGAAGTACGGTTAAAAAAGAGGCACAGCAGGTATCGTCCGCCTTCCGAGTGCAACCCCCCCGTCACTCCATGCTCACCACATTGCCTCTTTGATGAAGCCAATCTGCTGGCCATTATGCCATCGGAGCAGCACACGAACACGGCCTGGGCCCTCCGTCAACCTGGTCTCGTTCTCACGTCTCGGTGCCTCTGGCCTCTGGTTTCTTTTGTTCTTGATTTGCCGTCAGCTGTTCCTCCACTCGTCGGGCTTTGTTGCTCCCTTGCAGGTGCCCATCTTGAAATCGTTGCGCATCGAAGGCACGAGGCCAATGATTTCCTCCCTTTCGTTCTTCCACGTCCAGCCCAATCGGTAGCGCGCCATCCGACAAATCATGCAGCCCAGGCGAAGCTTCGAGCCCCTGCATACCTAAGGAAAGGAGTGGTGAGGAGGACAGACATCTTGCATCTCACCGCATTCGTATTTGCAGTGCAGGCATGGATGCGCCTATACCACAGGTACTTGTCTCTCCACTCGGCCTGTAAAGTGAAAGGACACTTGGTGGAGCCTTGTGAATACGTGGAAGAACGCGTCAGTGGCAATGCGTCTGTAAGTACGAATGTACTGTTTTCTTCAAGGCGACGTCTCACGCTGATGTCGGTGTCGCTAAAAAGTATGGGGGTTTCCACACTGACATGGCCCACTGGAACCACTAGAACCACTGGAATAACTGGAATAACTGGAACCAGTTAGGCCCTTGCACCGGAGGCACCACCAAATGGTCTTGGCACCAACTAAAGAACTCCTGTCGAACCGTTGCACTCAATCGAGTCTGTTTCTCAAAAGAAGATGATATCCGAAACTTCGACTGGCGATGGCGATACGGGAAAGCAAGCAACATTACGAAGTACGAATTGGCAAGTAAAAAACGGCTTCTCACAGCCAGTCCCAACCACTAGCTTTTGGGTGGAGAGAAGGATGGCGGCCTCGATCCAGGAACACTGTTCGTCGTTTCACTGGAGCTAAACGGGCTCCATAAGGAAAGGGAGCCCCAGCCAGACTCCCAGATAGGGTCGAAAGGTGAGGGACGCTAGTATCAAAAACGGTAAAATTCAAGGGGACGCGTTTTGCACCAAGCGTTTCCAGCGTTTCCATCGTTTCCAGCACTTCGCTAGCGTCCCCTTTTTCCCTTTCCCATTTTCTGCCCGCTTTCGTGCCAGCGACAGCCAATGATGTTGCATGCGGCCGGACCACGCATGTGTGCCTCGCAACTGCGCACTCCTCTCTGCCCCTGGCCTGCGCAGCATCCCTGCATCCAGCGAACAAACAATACCGTCTCCCGTATTTGCCACGTTCAGTATCACGACTGCTCCTACGCGGCGAGGCGACTCGCTGCCCTTTGCTCTTTCCACTTTTTGCATTCCCCCACCTACCCACCTGCCACATTCACGTGTAAGCTGCTTCTCAGCAACGCTTTGCAAACACTCACCGTCCAGTCTCCTGGGCCGCTAAACCACTCTAACAATTCATCGTGCTTCGTACATCCTATACCGCATACCGTTTTGGAACGAAACACCTCTCATCCAGTAAGATTTTCATTCTCTTTTTTTTCTTTCTGGTAAACATATTCTTTCCCGCATATTCTTTCCCGCATCTTGGAATTTCTTGATTATCTTGCCCGTCCTTACTCGGGCTCTGTTCCTTCCTTCTTTTTGCCGTACACCCCTGTCTATTTGCTCCCTCGCTCCTTCTTTATCTCGCATGGTCTTGTTCCGTAGTCACGGTCGAAGGGTTGTTCTTTCTCGTTCCGGCAACTATCTCGACTTTGCCATATGAGGCCTTCGTTCCCAGCTTTTCTGTCCTTTGTTGATGTTTGTTTCGTTGATCCTCTACTTCCCCTTTTCTAAATCCTCATTTTGCATCTCCACGTCGTATTTCTCTTCTCTGTCACCATTTCGATACATCCAAATAAGGGAGCCTGCTGTGCAGATATCGCCCTCGTTCCATCCATTAAAAACCAATTGCAGCCTTTTCATCGTCCCAACAGACACAATAAAGTCCCACACACAAAGCCAATCGCGACGACAAACAGGCTCACAGGGCACAAATATCCCTTTCCGTCGCCATCTTTCGAACGGACATCCATTTCTGCTACACGGTTTTGTGGTCTTCTGGCCCTCTGCGTGCTCGACCGCGTGGCCTTGTCCGTCATTCAGTGGCCTCCACAACCGCAACATCTTCAGCGGCGATCGCCATTACACTCCGACGTCCGACGTGCGACATCCTGACTCGTCTGTCCCATAGACTTGGCTAGTATTTTCGCAACCATCACACAAAACTTTTTTGCTCTCTTTCCTGATTATCGCGATCTCGCCACTTCATGGGATATTCTCTTGGCCCCCGTCCGTCTTTGACATCGCCACGTAAACTCGAGACATCTAGGCATTGATTGGCATCCCGCGACATTCCGGACACGCCCTCCTCTCACGTCACGTTCACATTACTGCGAAGAAAACGTTTTATCGTGTGCGACATATGAATTACAGCCGTGTGTTGACTTCCCCACTCTTTGTTTTCTTTCCCTCTCCGTATTCCCAACGCACCTCATTGTGCCAGTCCGGAACGGTAAGACACACTGGTACCACCAGAGGACGCCTCACTCCCATGGCTCTCAACGATCCCGTACCCCTGCCTCTTGTCCCCCGTCTATTACAACATATTTGGAACGGAGTCGACTGACGGCGAAAACAGCAGCAACGGCTCAAACGCTCAACCACACCAGACGCCAAAACGCTAAAAACGCCCCTACCTTCTTTTTGCCCCGTCCCATTCCTGGAACACTGCCACACTTTGGGCATTTTCTCTTTTTGCTGCCATCCACCGCCGCCCGCTATCCACTCTGCAGCACACCCTCTCCACCAAAGCCCACTTTATTCGATCTCCCGCGCTTGGTTTCCACTCGCTCCCTCACCCTTCGTCGCCCTTTTTTCTTCACTCACACCCCAGCCAGCAAACAAGGCCGCCCACAGCCTCTCCTCGACGAGTCCAGCCTCCGCATCCAACAGTCCTTTTCCTCCCGCTGGGTCTTCTAACCCCTTTCTGGCCTCTTCTCTCATTCTTTCTTTTCTCTCCCTCTCCTGTGTCTTTGCGATTGGTTTTCTCCCCCCATTGTCTGATTAGTTTTTTTTTTTTTTCTTTCTTGTTGCCTCTTATTTTGTTCTTTTTCTTTTCTTTCCGTCGCTCTTGCCCATCATCTAGCTCTCGCTCTTCCGCCAACTCTCTCGCCTTTTCGTCGACCGAAACAGACGTTCCTTATGCCCTCCTACGGCTCGCTTCGTTCACCGTCTCTGCGCAAAATGGAACAGTCTCGCGTCCAGTACGGACGCCGAAACGGCTTCAACTTCGGCAACATCATCGGCGACCCTTTTGCTCTGGCCACCATCTCCATCTCTGCAGTACGTTCAGTTGCCATTTCTTCGCTCTCCACCTCTTCAATCCCTTCTCTCGAGTAGCAGAGCGACAGTGACCGTCAGGTCGCATGCACAATGCCAAATGCTAACCGGACTTCAGCTTGCGTGGATCATTTCCTTCATCTCCTCCATCGTCGCCCAGGTCCAGACCGGGTCCACCTTCCCGACCTACACTTGGTGGACCGTCGTCTACTACTTCTTCGTCGTTGCCGGCGTCTTGGTCGTCGTCGCCTCCGACACCTCTCAGACCTACCATGTCGCTGTCGTTGGCTACCTGGCCTGTGGCCTCGTCCTGGCTACCTCGTCCGTCAACGGCCTCGTGTACTCCAGCAACGGTGCTAAAGAAGCCGCGGCTGCTGGTTTTATTCTCCTGTCCATGGTGACGGTATGTCGCAGTCCCTAACTCTTCCCTGCTGTCTTGCGCACCGCTAATTCGTTTCAGATCGTCTGGATATTCTACTTCGGCTCAGCACCGTCTGCCGTGCCCCGCGCCTATCTCGACTCGTTCGCCCTCAGCAAGGAATCCAACACCAACAGACAGAACATGGTTGGTGCCTACGGCGTTGGCCGCCCCGAGACCTCGACGTCCGCCGCTCCGCCGCAGATGTACACCTCCGCACAGCTCAACGGCTTCGAGAACTCATCGCCTGTCACCGGTATGCCCACCGCCCAGCGCAACTCGACATTGAACGGCGGTGGCTTTGGCGCACCGGCTGGCAAGACCGCTGGTGCACCGGGCGGCACGGAGGGCGAGATAGTGCCCCCGACCGAATACCCGTACCGCGCCAAGGCTATCTACAGCTACGAGGCCAACCCCGACGACGCAAACGAGATTAGCTTCTCCAAGCACGAGATCCTCGAGGTGTCCGACGTCAGCGGCCGCTGGTGGCAGGCAAGGAAAGAGAGTGGCGAGACGGGTATTGCACCAAGCAACTACCTGATTCTGTTATAAGGAGAATAAAAATGAATGCAATGGGCTCGATGGTCGACTGTCCGATGACAGCACTACATGACATTACACGATCGATGTTCTGCCGCCGCGATAATCGACTCGGCCAGCGCGTTCACTCCTTACGCTCTTCTTTCCTTCGTTTTTGTTCATATTATATATACCCACATCTACGCCACCCCCGTGCCCTCTCTTTCTCGCCTCTTCTTCGGTCTATAAAATATCGAGATATCACACGTCTAGCTCGAAATTACAAACGCAGGGGCTCGGAGACAAAAACATGGACACGCCTGGCTGCCAGGTATGCACAGGTGTTTCAGGTTCCAAAGCCCAGCTGCTTATTGCTTTCTTACGTATTTGCCTTTTCTGCGTTCTTTTTGGCGACACATTTCTTTTGTTATTTTTACTTTCGACTATTGCGCATCCAGTCCTCTTTGCCGTCACTTTGACATTTTGCCTTAACACAACGGGGTTGTTTCCAACTTTTTTTTGTCGTTTTTTCATATTACCACTTCTTTTTGGCAACTGTCGCTGTCGCGTGAAATGGGTCGAGTTTTGTGTCCTCTATCCACCATTTTGGACATACCGCCGCTCTTTTCATCTCACCTGGCAGAGCTGAACACTGTATTTTTCAACCACCGTTTTACTGCACCGTTCGCTTCCATGTACCTCTCTTGAGAGGCCCTTTGTTCGTCTGATCATTTATGCTGTGTCTTTTACTTGACGTATTTTTTTTCCTTTGACGAGATGAGTTCACGGCTACGGGAAACAAAGCAAAACCTGAGGTCAGGTTCTTGATAGGTTGAATCGAAATAAAACTTTGTTAAACACAGGCTACTATTCTATGCTGACGGTGCTATTGTAACTGGATAACTGTGAAAGCATGTCAAAAATATGTTCTCGCACTGACATAGATTTGCACCACACGCTTCATCCAGGTGCGTCCATCCAGTTTTTGCTTCTCCTCTGTTTGCCTCTAGATATGACGCACGAGCGCGCAAGACACACATCCAAACCAAAAAAAGAAAGTACGCCCTGACGCCGAGGAAAACGACTTTGTATGGCAGTATCAAAATGTCTCAGGATTGGCCTATACTTCGAGCGGCAACGTAGGCCGCACGACAGCAAAGGCTTCAACATTTTGAGAAAGGTTTTGCGTGGCCACATGCCACTTGCTGTGCTCACAACCTCGGTCTTGCATTCCACCTAGTCGGCGAAGTCGGTTGTCGGCCGTCCATTGTCTGCAGTCCCTGGTCCGAGGTCCATAGTCCGCATTGCTGTAGTCAGCTAGTGGCCTCTTCTCAGCCCAGACTCACGCGATGCAGGAGTCGCGATGTCAAGCAATCTTGGCCTTGCAGTGCCGTCTCTAGCCCGTCTATGTCGTGTCATCCCCGTCAGTGCGCAGCCAGGATCCGTCTGCCTGGCCGCTCGTCACGGCGCCAGCGGCCCAGATGTATAGGTATCGTATCCTGGTAGCAAAATTGCATCGCTGTTCACTGCCCCACGGTCGACTGGCGCAGCCGCTGCCGCAGCTCCCGCTCTTTCTGCGCAACTTCCCGCTCCAGACGCTCCACGCTGTACTTGAGCTGCTCCTTGCGCTGCCGCACCATGCGGGCACGGAGGGGGTCGACGGACGCCGCTTTCGTTGCCCGGCCTGCGGCCGCCGGCCCCCCCTTGCTCAGCTTCGCCGGCTCCGCATCCCCTTCGAGACGCCCTGCCTGCAGCGCCGCCCGCGCCTGCAGCGTGTCAATCCGGCGTGCTTGGCGCGCCAGCTGGTGCGACGCGCGGTCCAGCAGCCGGGCGACAGCCGGGCCAATCTCGCTCTGGAGGGAGGCCTCTGCGGCGGCGAGGGTCGGCTGGGGAACGAGTTCGTAGTGGCGGACGGTCTTGAGGACGCCGGCGAGGCGGGGCATGTCGGCCACGGCGCCCGTGCTGCCGCTGCCGCTGCCGCTGCCGCCGTTTGGGCCGTTCGTTGTCTCGGCGGCGAGGGTAGCAACGGACGATTCGAGGTAGGCGAGCGAGGTGCGGAGGGACGCGACGCAGTCGCCGTAGAGGGCGAGGGTCTGCGATGGCCCGGCGGACGAGGCGTAGAGGGACATTGTTTCGTTGGTGAAGAGCCGACGCGTATGTCGAAGCGTCTCGGTGGTGTGAGGAGGTTGTCAACGTGCGATTGTATTTGCGGGGTTGACGTACGAATGTCGATGGCAAATGGTGGAGGTGACGGCTTGCGCTCGAGAGAGACGCGCACAGGCCCCGCTTAGCCGTTGGTGAAAGTAAACAACATGCTCCACTTTTACGTCCCATACAAAACGATCCACACAGCACAATGTGCGCCTACACCAATGCTCGTGTATGATTCAAGCCCACGAATAGATGGTAAATGGTGTATTTTTTCTTGAAAATGCAAATGCTTCGGCCCGTTATGTATCAACCCCAGATCTCTAGATCTATGCGTCAAAAACAAGGACAACGCCGTCGTCGCCGGCAGTGGTAATGCGCTCGCCTGTGTCGCCCTGCACGAAACCCAGCACACCACCGCCCTCGCCGTCGCCGCGATGCCCGCGCCACTCCTTGACCATGCCGTTGTCGCCGGGCTTATCGGGTGTCACGTTCTTGCGCAGATCCCACCGCCGCACCACGCCGTCCATGCCGATGCTCGTCAGCAGCCACTGTGCAGGGCCGCCCACACCGGCGGCCACGCCGCCCGTCAGCGACGCCGGCGCCGACTTGACCCATTCGACCTTGACCACGGAAAAGTCGTCGTGGGCCAGGCGAATGTGCCGGCGCAGCGCAAACGACCGCGTGACGTCAAAGACGGCGATGCTGCCGTCGACCGAGCCAGCAGCCAGCAACGTCATGGGCGGCGGTGCAAAGGCCAGCGTCTCGATGCCGTCGCTCTGCACCTCGAGCGACGCCAGGATGGTGCCAAACTGTGCCGGGTCCGTGGCTGCTGCGCCGCTGCCCTGGCCTGCCGGTGTTGGCCGTGCCGCACCCTTTTGCTTGGCGCCGCCGCCCGCCGCGCCCTTCTTGGCCGTGCCCGCCGCCTGCGCACCCGTTAACCGTGGCAGCGTCACCACCTTGATCACACCGCCCGCGCCGCCAACGGCCACCAGCGTGCCACCGGGCGACACGGCCACCGAGTACAGACCGCCGGGCACCTCGAACCGCTGGTCCTCGCCCGTCAGCGACAGCAGCGCCTGTGCGCCGCCCGGGACCAGGCCGCGGCCGGCCGCCACGCCCCACACGTCCCACACCTGCAGCGAGCTGTCCTCGCTGACCGTGGCCAGCAGGTTGCCGTCGGCGGTCCACGTGCCGGCCGTGCAGGCGGCCGTGTGCGAGAAGAAGGACTGGACGATCTGGATGGGGCTGGCCGGGTCGGCCGACGGGTCGATGGACAGCACCCAGACAGAGCCGTCGGACGCGCCGAGCGCCACGGTGTTGGGGTAGTCGCGGCCCGGGCAGGGCGCCAGCCAGTTGATCTCGGGCACCTCCTGCGACTCGCCGACAAACTGGAACTGCACCGAGCCGCCGCCCACGGCCACGCTGTACACGCGCATGCGCCCGTCCATGCCGCCCGACACGAGGAAATCGCCGTTGGGCAGCGTAAACGTCAGCGCGTTGATCGAGTCCGTGTGCCCGGTCATCTCAAACAGGGGCGCCAGCTCCGTGCTACTGGGCTGGTTGGCCGCCGCCGAGGGGTCTGAGCTGTAGCTGGCCGGCAGCAGCGGGCGGTCCGCGGCCGCCGACGTGTCAATCACATAGCCCTTGCCGGGCGCCGTCTCGCCCTCGCCCTCACTGCCGCCGGTCGCCACCAGCGACGGGTACTTGGGGTGCTGCGCAATCGCAAACACCGAGTCCTTGTGGAGGTCAAAGTACGCAATCGAGTCGTTGACGAGCACGAGCTCCTCGTCGTCGTCGTCGTCGCCGCTGTCCATGGCAACATCGTCGCCGCCGTCAGCGCCGTCGTCGCCGTCAATCTCCTCGGCAGCATCGTCCATGTCGAGCATCTCCGGGCCGGAGTCGTCGCCGTCATCTTCTGTCGGGTGCTCATCGCGCGCGTTGTGCGACATTGTGTCTTTGTTAGGGGGTTGTCGGGGAGGAGGGATGTTCGTAGAGGCTGGAACGGAATGGCTGTCGTACGAAGTCGTCGTAGTTGTAGAAGCCGATTGTAAGAGGCTGTAGTTGGAAGACGCTCTGCACAAGGGTCCGCAGAGACAATGAGTGACCGCCAATGGTATATATATGGACGGTCGCCGAAATATAAGAAAACTCGTTTGAGGCGGGCGTCAGTTCGTCGAGGTTCTTTCCTCGCGTCCCAGCTTGCTTTCTAAGCGAAGAAAATTACGGAAGGAACTATGGAGGCCAAACAGCGACCAACTTTTGTATTTTCTGCCGCCTTCCTTCGCGGGGCAGTCCAAAGCATGCGCTGTTGCTACCCCACTAGCCAGAGAAAGAGTCATTGCCCGTAGGCGGTGAGGCGCTGTAGGCTGGCCACTATGGGAAGGTCGGGCAAAGGCGCCACCCGAGCTTACAAACGATGAATGTGCACTCGCCGCAAACTCGGAATAATATCATAATAAGTCTTGGATGCGAGTCATTTCTGTGTTTATGGAAAAGAAAAATTATATACGCATGCCCACAACATTAATAGTATTTTTTAAAGTTTTTTTTTTTTTTTTTTTTTTTTTTTTTTTTTGGTAAACAACAACGATATACAAAGAAAAACGGTTTGTTCGGGAAAATAAGATAAAAAAGACTTCATTGAATTTTGTTTAATCAAGGAGGAAAACACTGTTTAACTTCTCGACTCTATGATGTCCCTAACAATAGTGAATGTAAATATTTGGGGGTTGAAAATATAAAATAAATAGCGGAGAAGTAACGGCTGAAACAAAAAACTCCAGTAACTCAAACCCCTCAGAATCCCGATGACATAACTCCTCTCTTCATTCGAGACACGTCGACACATGACCAATGCACACCCTTCAACTACTCGCCTCGACGTTCACTACCAAGTCGGCCGGCGACGCCTTCTCCCACTTGCCATCCTTCAGCACGTACGAGTACGAGCTGCTGCTGTCCTTTGCAGCGGTCTCCTTTGTAGGGAGGTCGACGAGACTCGGATTGCGGCCAAGTAGCCACGAAGCTGTTGTCGTCTCTTTGCCGTTGCCTGCACCACCGTCCACATAGACCAGGCTCCTCAGGCCGGCACGCGGTCGCTGGAAGTACTCAGCCACCACGGGATCCGAGGCCGAGGGACCAGCGGCCAGTGCGGCCACCTGCGGACCGCCGAGGCGTGCCGCCACAATTTGCGAGAGCAGGCCGGGGAACAGCCACGAGTGCTGCAGCATCTCGACCTCAAAGGCGTGAATTGTCTCGCGTGCGAGGTGCGTGTAGGTGTTGTCGTTCAGAATGCTGCCGAGGCGGAACAGGTTGGACGCCGCCACGGCATTGGTCGCTGGCAGTGTCGTGTCCATACCGTCCTTGAGGCGCAGCAGGTCGACGTCGTTTCCGGACTCCTGCGTGCGATAGAAACCGCCGCTGGACGAGTGCGTTTGCGTCGAGGGCACACCGGGGCTGTCGTAGAACAGCTTGATTTGTTGCTCTGCATGGTGTTAGTATGACTTTCAGTGTCGCACAGAGCAGAGGCAGACGTTGACGTACCCTGCAGCTCATCGGCCCACTCCAGCCACTCGGCCTCGCCCGTGGCCTCGTACAGCTCCAAAAGACCCTCAATCAGGTAGGCGTAGTCTTCCGCAAACGCGTGCACGTCCTCCCGCTTGCCGTTCACAAACACGCGGTACAGCTTCTTGTCCTTTGCAACCCACAGGTTTTCCTGAATAAACTTGGCAGCGTCTCGCGCAGCCGTGATGTACTTATCGCCCTTCTCCGCGCTGTGGCCACCGAACTTGAGCGCGGCGCCGGTGCGTGCAAGCGAACCGATGACGATGCCGTTGCCGGCCACCACCACCTTGTCGTCTAGTGCGGGCCGCACACGCTCCTTTTCGCGGTGCGCAGCCAGCTTTGTCCGTGCCTCGGTCGTGATGCGCTCGACGTTCTCACGCGGGATGTTGAACTGTCTCGCCAGCTCGGCCGTGTCCTTGCTCACATAGAGAGCATTCTGGTTGATAAACTCGTCAAACGGATCATTGTCGCGGTCCACGTTGCCGTCCTGCAGCACGTTCCAGTACGCCGCCGCCACGCGTGCGTCCATGTCGTTGTGGCCGTTGCCTCCGCCGACCACTGTGTCAAACTCTCGTCGTGTCCAGACATAGTACGCGCCCTCCCGCACGTGGCGGTCGCCTTTCCGGTAGTACGAGTCGGCGGATTCGCTGCTGGCAAAACCGCCTCCCTCAAGACGCACGGGTGCGCTCGAGAGGTAGTCGGCGAGCGAGTAGATTACGTCAAGGAACTCAGGTTGTGTCTCAGCAGCTGAGCTACTGGAAAGGTCCGACCTGGGTGCGCGCAGAGTGTACAGCCACGCGTCGAGGTACAGGCTCAGCAACAGGCCGTTGTCGGGGATGAGCTTCTCGAAATGCGGCAGGGACCAGTTGATGGTGTGGCTGGCCCGGCCAAAGCCACCAGACAGGTGGTCATGCAGAGCGCTATTGCGCAGTTTCCGAAGCGTGAACAGCGCCATCTGGACAATGCTGGAAACCTCGGCATCACCAACAATGTCCTGCACAACGGAAGGGAAGCTGCCGAGCTGTAGCAGGAACGAATATTTTGCGGGCGTGACGAACTTGGGAACAACACCAAAACCACCGTTCACAGGGTCGAACGTCTGCCTCAACTTGCTATAGGCTTCATCAAGCTGGTCGATATCAAGATCGAGCTCACTCGACAGGTTTGCCTCATTTGTTTTAGACTCGCCCGGCTTGAGCAAACCCCGAGGACCAAGCGTGCCCTCGGCAGCAAATTTCCGCAGCTGTACGACTGTCTCCTGGGCCTCCGTCCGGCATTGCGCCTCGCGCTCGGTCCAAGATTGGCGCAGCTTCTCCAGCACGCCGAGGAAGCCAATCAGCTCCTCCTCTCCGTCCTCGCTTCCGCTCTGCTTGTCACGTCCGCTTGCTTCCGCACCCGGGCCAGGCCAGTAGCTGCCGCCAAACACAGGCTCCAGGTCGGGCGTGAGGAACACGTTGATGGGCCAGCCCGCGCTGCTGTTGACCAGTTGCAGATAGTTCCAGTACACAGCGTCGATGTCCGGGCGCTCTTCGCGGTCGACGATGATAGGGATAAAAGACTCGTTGAGTATGGACGCGATGGAAGGATTCGAGAAAGAGTCTTGTGTCGTCAGGTGACAGTCTAGAATGAGACAACAGGTTAGAGACAATGTACAGATTTAGAGCGCAAAGTATGGGAACACCATACAGTGGCAGGCGAGAAAGCCAATGTGCAGGAAGATGGGCTTGTTCTCCTGCTTGGCACGGTCAAGTGCATCTTTTCCAAACAGCTGCCAGTTGACGGGCGTGTCTGCTTGCGCACGCACATACGGGCTGTTGCTTTCGCCGGCGCGGTTGCGGAGGGGAGTGGCTTCGGTGACTGGAGCTGTCGCCGGCGGCACGGCTGGCGCAGCAGCAGCGGCTCCGAGAGACGTCGCCTCGCTTGACGATCCCGAAGAAGCCCCGCTGGCTTTCTGGAGCTGTGCGGCCATCATCTGGAACGGTTGTTGGGTGGGTTGTCCCCTCTTTCTCGAGCCGTGACGTCGGTTGAGGGGTAGTGGGTTATTCGGCACGCGACTATCGTGTGCGCAAGATCGTTACGGAGCAAATCTGACGTTGCGAATGTGACGAGCAGGTGATACAACTCCAAAAATCAGATAAGCGATCTCACTGTTTGGTGCAGCCTCGCTTTCCGTCGGGCTGGCGGCAGGTATTATGCAACCCCTCCAACCTCCAGATAACAAACAAAAAGTGTTATCGCAATTATGCGCAGTGTCGGGATGCAATGTATCGTGCAGCAAAGGCGAATGAGAGATGCGCAAAGGAGTTTCCAGTACAGAAAAGGGAGGTCCAAAAATGGTAAAGAAGATAGAGAGAAGACGATCGGTGTAAATCCAACGAGTAAACGGTGCAGAGAACAAAGGAGAATCAGGAAATAGTGAAATGCATTAAGACGGAAGGAGGGGAGGGGCATAAATGATGACGGTGGTAGATTGCCAGGCAAGCGCAGCCCAGCAGCCCCAAACAAACCGCTGGCGCACCTGCTTGCCCCACCACTTAAGTTGAATATGCCCCTGTCGACGACCTCGGTTTTGTAACGCGGCCCAAGTTGGTCGCTCTTTCCTTTCAGTATTTCGTTCTGTATGCCTGAGTCAGCCGCGTAAAAACATGTACCCAGTTGTTCTTTTCACTTTAAGTCATAAAATGCCATGTGAAACGATGCTGACTTTCCTACGGTGCAAACCAATGTAGGACGGAGGAAAGAGCGACTCTGAAAGTTGCATCCTATGGACTCCCAGACTGCCCCAGGAATGTCATTCGCGTGACTATTGGGCAGTGTGTAATTACTGGCATCCCTAGCAGGGTGGTTAACGACTCCGTTTATCTTACAGGCGAATTGGTCGCCCTATGCCCCGCCCAAGGCCGCAGAGTTCCAGGCGGATTGCACTGTCTTGATCGCCTGCTATTTTCAGGCGACAGTGTCAGCGACTTTCTGCATCTGGTAATTGGGCAAACAGTTCTAAACCGTGAAACTGTGAATGTTGCATATAAAGCATGAGTTACCACAACTGTCCAGGTACAGAAACCTCTTGCTGATGTAGCCTTCAATAGCAACTGCAGCCTTGTGGTAGTCACGTGATACCGCATTACAATGTCAAAATCGCGGCTCTGGAAAAGCTTCACATCCAACCTCTCTGAAAACTGTCAGCTTTGTCTGTACAGATGAACAAGCGAAGGAACCATTAATCTGCCGCTACTATGAACAAGATTCGGCAAATACAGGAGCTCAACAAGAAAGAGCTAGAGCAGGGAATGTAAGTTTCCAATGTCTGCGACAGTGCCTGCCGAGAAAGCTTGTACTTCTCAAAGAAGCATGTTACTTACTGTGCTTCTATTTACAGCTCCCCGAATGCCTCTTGGCACACCGACTACCGCGACACTGCTTTTGTCTACTTTGGTGGCCTCCCCTATGACCTGAGCGAAGGAGACATCATCACCATCTTCTCGCAATATGGCGAGCCCGTCTTCCTGAAACTTGCGCGCGACCAGGAGACAGGCAAGAGCAAGGGCTTTGGCTGGCTGAAATACGAGGACCAGCGCAGCACCGACCTGGCCGTGGACAACTTGGGCGGAGCACAGATTGGCGGGCGCATGATCTCGGTCGACCATGCACGCTACAAGGCACGCGACGACGAGGACGCGGACGAGTTCAAGGTCGGCTGGGCAGATATGCAGAGACGGCTAGGTGCTGGTGCTACTGGCGGCGGAGGCGGCGACAACAGCGACACGGATATGGGCGAGGCAACACCGAGCGAAGGCGAACGCAAGCAAAAGAAGAAGAGCATCCGCAGCCGAGGCGACGGGCACCAGCCTCTACTACGCGAGGAGCGCGAACTACAGAAGTTAATCGACGAGCACGATGACGAAGACCCCATGAAGGACTTTTTGGTGGAGGAAAAGAAGAGGGAGGTCGACGAAGCAAGGAGGCTACGCGACTCGAAGGGTGACGGCGAACGTAGGCACCGGCACCGCTCGCACCGGTCACACCGCTCGCATCGAGATGATGATGAGGCCTCGTCAAGGAGAGATGACAAGGACGGCGACCGCCGAGAGCACCGTCACAGGCGGCGGGATGATGATGGAGACACTCGGCGGGACAGGAGCGATAGAGACAGGGAACGAGATCGCAATCGCGACCGCGACCGGAGGCGGGATGAGCTTGACGATGACGAAAGTCATGACCGGAGACGAGAGCATGACCGAGGACAGGAACGCTATCGGGATCGGAATCGGGATCTGACGAGAGACGCCGGCAAGGATTCTTCGCATCGGAGACGGGACAGAGATAGGAAAGACGACCGCGACGACCAGGATCGGGATCGGGAGCGGAGGCACTGAGGTACAATCACGAGGGCGATAGTTGTTCATGTCCATTTCAAGCATTTCTAACAATGTTTCTGACCTATATACCCCGATCCGTAGCGTTCAAAGCACCAAATAAACTCCGGTGAATGCCAAAGTATCCCGCGAAACGCCACGCCACAGCTGTGCAGATAAACAATTCTAAAAAACGTATTCGTCAATAAACGCAATAACGCCACTCGGTGCCTAGGAAAAAAAAAAACAGGAAAGAACAGCGAAAAGAACAACACCCAAGGACACATCCTAGCGCACGAGGCGCGGTTTTTCCTAGACCTCTCAAGATAGTTCCATGTTGAGGTAGTTGGCCCATGCCTGGCGAACACAGACGCGCTGGCCTTCGTTACCGGTCGATATCACGAATCGTTCATACTTGGGCTCCAAACCAGTCCCGAGAACGACCACTGTATTGTCGTTCCGCCAGCCAATAATACCGAGGGGTAAGCGCGATCGCCTCATAGCCGATGCTTCGTCTGCCTCGCGGATTCGGTTGGCCGCAGGCCCGTCGTCCATAGCGAACTCGGCGCTTGCAAACGATACGGTGTCCCGGAAATACTTGGGCATAAACGGAATCTTGCCGAGAACGCCCCAGCGGCCGCTACGGCTGTCTCCGCTGCGCGTCGGATCTGCTCTCTGGTCCGACGAGAAGGACACGCCGCCGTCGGACTCTTCATAGGCCCACTCGCCGCCAACATCAGAGGGGACGCCGCCAGATTGCCTGCTTCCGCCCGCCGGCCCGGGGCCATCACTTGTCGTCTGGTGCGGGATGTCGAATATATGCAGGGTGCCCTTGTCCGATGTGCAGGCCAGAAGCGTTCCTGATGGGTTGAAACCGAGCGAGAAGATACTGACTTGGTCGACGCCACGGCGGAGCTCAGCGACGCGGCCGTTGTTAGCGGTAAGGAATACGCGGATGAGTGTACCCTTCTCGCTCGCCGTTGCCAATAGCGAGCCATCGCGACTCAGAGCGATCGCGGCCAGCTCGGAGGAGTGTGCTGGGATGATGCTGACTTCGTGCGTCTCGTTGTGGACGATCTTGACGTGCCCAGGGATCTGGCCCAGAATGGCAAAATGGGTCCGCGACACGGCGCAAAGGCCGGCCGGGTTGGGCGTGGTGGTGAAAGAGTGCACACGCACTGGCTGGTGGTCGATGTTGTAGATAGACACCTCTTCGTCGAGGACCACAACGAGCTTCTGCCCAAGCACATGCAAGCCCCGGATGGGCCGTTCGCAAGGCACTTCCCGCGTGAACTTCTGACGCTTCTCGTCCCATACGACAACCTTGAGTGGATTGTGCACGGGCACGCGGCCGCCGCCCACGAGGGGGATGATGTTGGTGCGTCCGACGATTTGGATGAGGCCCACGCCGCCTTCTTTGAACGGCCGCTTAGCTAGGAGCTTGCAATTTCCCGCATCAAAGACTGTCGGTTGACGCTGTTAGCGTTCGTTTAACTACAGGGAAGGGACGTATGCCGTACCTCGTATACCAGAGTTGGTGCCGACGACAAAACAGTCGCAGTTGAGATTGAACGATGCCGCCAGTGCGATGACATTGCTAGAACCCTCGATAGGCGTGCGGGCGTCCATTTTGTCGCGCAGATGTCCGCCTCGATGGACGAGATGAACGGAAGTCGGTCTGTGTATAGTGAACCCGGCCAGAGTAGGTCGACGTCATGGAAATGTAAACCGTTAGGTGTGGGGCCGTACCGCGTACATTCGATGGGCGCAAAGTGGCGGCTCCAGAATTCGAGAAGAGGACTTCCAGCTGCCTGGCTTGACGCCCGAAATGGCGGCACCTTGAACGTGCAGTAACGAATAGTAGCAAGGCCTTGAGCAGTGATTCGCAAAACTAAATTGGCACGACGGTCCGTCTGAACGAGCGGGAGATAGATAGAAGAGCTGGTCGTAGGTAGAAGCCTCCCCTCCTTCAAGTGGGTATCAGTGTCCTAACGGTATTCGGAGGTTGCAAATCGCGCCTATCCATATCGACGCATGCTCCGCTGCAGGACGGTTGGGAAGTACGCCGGGAAGAACCTGAAGCTCGATATTGAGCAAGGACGACAATGTACAAGCCGATCCGGCGAGAGTGATGGAAAATGATGAAGGAGAGTTGGAATAATTGTTCAGGACAAATGGTGGACAGAGGTCGGTTGGAGCTCTGTCACGCGTCACCAAAACGGAGTCGAGCTAGCTCATGCGCGCTGTGGCAGGTGCCGTCAAATGGCCAGCGATTGCCAGCTGGCGCAACAATGCTTTGGAGCTTGTTGAAGGCGCCAGCTGGCAGCAGTTCTTTCCTATTCGGGATGCCACTCCCTGACGGCCACAAAAAGTATTAATATTCCAACTCCAAACCTGCGCATCAAAACGGCCTGCGAACTTGGGTTTGGCGCATGCATCTCGTCCTTGCATCGAGTTTCTGCCCAAACTTCGTTCCCATGTATCTAGCGCTTGCTGAGAGCCCACCCGCCAAAAGGACACGGCGCAAGGTGGACTTTTCGCCTCTGTCTCTCATTTTGTCGGCCGGCCGCCTTGGACACAGAGAAGCCATGAGCGGCTTCCCCCTTTCTTGAACTTGGGGCGCCTTCCCTATTTGAGCCATGGCGTGGAAAATAAGCCGGTCGGCGCTGTCTTCCCCCCTGAATTTACTTTGCTGGTGTGCGACTGGAGCCGTGTTTGTCTTGCGCTCCGTGCACGGCCCACTTTATCTCCTGTAGGGGCGACGACGATGGTAACGGGCAGGTCCTTGGGCTTGCAGTCCGCTGCTTTAGGGGTTCTTAGGCCCATCTCGTGTCCCTTTCCCAGCTTGTGTAGGCTGTTAGGAGCTCCTTCCCCGATTGCGATCCACGGCAGAGCGCCCCTTCCCCTGGCTGTTCTTGTCAACGGGGGGATTCCCGTATTGTGCAGAGACAACTGCAGGTCGCGCTTGCCCACTGAAATTACCGTGCTGTGTACTGCCCCTGATTTTCTGGACCGTCCTTTCGTTATTTCTTTTGCTGGGTTGCGACCTTGAGACGACTCCCCACTCCCCTCGTTGGTCCCCCCTTCTTTCCTGCTTCGACGGCCACCGCCTCCTTAAAATTAAAATCTACGTATCCCAATCCGTACCTCCTGAACTTTCTTGCGTCCCCCCTTCTCGAAGTTGCACGCAAAACAAAACACAAAGCATCCCACAACAAACTCTCGCCCACTTTCTGCTCCCCACCGTGCACTCGAGGTCGAAACGAAACACTTCGTTCGGTCGAAACATCGAGCAATTGCCCGCCTGCTCCGTGAAGCTCCCCCTGTACACCGAGACCATACCAAACAAGCGTCCTCAGCCCATATTACACCGGCATCATGTCGTCGCCTGCCGTACGTCCGCACTTTTGTGATGCCTCGCTGGTCATTGATTCGGCGTCTTTTTCTGCTACTTTGCTGCCCTTTCCAAGCTGCTAGGTCGCAGGGAGACCATGCATCGCGATCACATCTGCCCGGCCGACTTTACCCCTGAATAGTCTCGTTTTGCTAACACCAGCTGTTTCCTCTATCACAGAAGATGATCCGTCGCAAGAAGAATGTCAAGAAGGGCATTCAGTTCTGCCTGATGGTCTGCGGTGCCTCGGGTACTGGTACGTTGAGGCCAGCGCATTCCACGAAGCTAGATGTCCTCAGATCAGGCTTCGAGCTCCCCAGACACCTTTAAAGTGCTAACCTTCGTGTGCACTCATATAGGACGGACTACCTTTGTCAACACACTGTGCAGCAAGGGCGTCTTGACGCACAAGGAGTCGGACGACCCGAACACTGCCCATGTCGAGGAGGGTGTAAAGATCAAGCCGGTCACCGTCGGTACGCATGCAACCCATCTGCTTTCCTGGACTGGCTACTGGAAAAAACTGTCCTACTAACAGTGACCACGCAGAGCTCGAGCTTGACGAGGAGGGCACGCGCATCTCTCTCACCATTGTTGACACCCCCGGTTTCGGCGACCAGATTGACAACGAGGCCAGGTATATCCGCCCAACAGGTCCCTGTAGGCGAATGGTCGTTCTCGACTCTTCTGATCCGTGTACTGATGTCTATACCTATACAGCTTCTCCGAGATTGTCGGTTACCTCGAGAGACAGTACGATGACATTCTGGCTGAAGAGTCTCGTATTAAGCGTAACCCTCGCTTCAGAGACAACCGCGTTCACGCGCTCCTCTACTTTATCACCCCCACTGGCCACGGGTAAGTCAGATTTGGAAATGCATGGTTTTGCACTGGTGCGCCCGGGATTTCCTGCTCGTTACCTGAAAACTGACAACATCTCACCTAGCCTCCGCGAGCTCGACATTGAGCTCATGAAGCGACTTGCCCCCCGTGTCAACGTTATCCCAGTCATTGGTCGCGCCGATTCGCTGACTCCCGCTGAGCTGGCTGAGTCGAAGAAGCTGGTTATGGAGGATATCGAGCACTATCGTATTCCCGTCTACAACTTCCCCTACGACATTGAGGAGGATGACGAGGACACCGTTGAGGAGAACGCCGAGCTTCGTGGTTTGATGCCTTTCGCTATTGTCGGCTCTGAGGACATTATCGAGATCGGCGGCCGCAAAGTTCGCGCTCGTCAGTACCCATGGGGTGTTGTCGAGGTCGACAACCCGCGTCACTCCGACTTCCTGGCCATTCGCTCGGCCCTTCTGCACAGTCATCTGGCTGATCTGAAGGAGATCACACATGACTTCCTCTACGAGAACTACCGTACCGAGAAGCTTAGCAAGAGTGTCGAGGGTGGTGCTGGAGCGTACGTTTTCCCCTTTTGTCGCTCTCCATATGCGGTATTCCTGTCTTTTGATGTCATACTAACTCCCGGACAGTGACAGTTCGATGAACCCCGAGGACCTTGCCTCGCAGTCAGTCCGCCTCAAGGAGGAGCAGCTCCGCCGCGAAGAGGAGAAGCTGCGCGAAATTGAGGTCAAGGTGCAGCGCGAAATCAACGAGAAGCGCCAAGAGCTCTTGGCTCGCGAATCTCAGCTCCGCGAAATCGAGGCTCGCATGCAGCGCGAGGCCGCAGCTGTTGCCGCCCAGCAGCAGGCAACCTCTCCCATCGAGGCGAACGGCGACCACGACGGCAACTAGATCCGGCCGGATGTCAAGGATATCATGGTGTAATGCTTTTACTCGCCATGTCTATGACTATCGTCTTTGCGAAGTTCGAACCAAAAGGGGAGATTGGGTGTCGTTGCAAATACCAACACGGGCGTTGAGATCCGACTATTCTGTGCGGCTTGAAAAAGAATTAAAATATCCCGTCTTCGGCGTATTTTATTTTGGGTTTGAATCACTCCGGGGGCAACCAATTACATGAAACTTACGACGAGGCGGGTCTTGAAAAAAGGGAGAGCAGTTCTATGCGAGCTTTTTTTTGTGATGCAACTTGCAGACGACATCACGGGCGTCTGACCGAGATCTAACTGCGGTTGACAAGAGCCTGCGACGATTGGACCATATGGGCAACAACTGTTTTAATTCCCCCGCCCGTCCTCTTGTCTAATTGCTCTTATTTTTATTGTTTTCTTTTTTGTCTTTTCGCCTTTAATCTGCGGTCGGGCATTTGGTTGTTTAACCCTTTACCCCTTTGTTTTTGTTTTGTGTTCTCTATTTCTATGTTTTCTCTATTTCTATGTTTTCTCATCCTTTTTCCTTTGCAGTAGTGCGTGTTGCTATTATTCTTACCTATGAGATTTCTAATGCAGATATCCCCAAATCATACTTATTAGTCTATCCAAGCTTGTCTCTTGTTAATTGCATGACATTGTCTGGAATCAGGGACGCACGACATGTAAACGCACGACTAGTAATAGCTCAGAACATCGGTAAAGATTTGCTTTGATAAAACTAAGCAGGACGGTGTCATGTCAACAAACGAAAAGAAAAATGGAAAACAAACCAGCTATGTACAAATACAAGGAGACAATAAGCAGAGTACGACAAAAAGCCAAGACGTGAAATATTGGACACAAGGAAATAACTGCTGCCAAAACAAGCACCAGAGTAGAGAAATGTAGCAAAGCCCGCAAACTTGGTGTTCTGTAAAACGAAACCAAAGACACTCGACATACCAAATGTCCTCCTCTTGTAATCGTATTAATGTGGTCGACGCACCAACGCACCGCCTTACGCAGTCTCGTCGTGGACACTCCGGTTTCACCTTCATCGGAGACTTTTCCTTCCCTCTGTTCCACTGTTCAAATCTTATGCCACTTCTGCGAGATTTTCCGCCGTCTAGTTGTTCTGCTGGCTGTTGAGGATGCGCAAGATGGCCAGGAACAGGTTGATGATGTCCAGGTACAGGCTGATGGCAGCAGCAATCTCCTCCTCAACGTGGTGCTTGCGCAGGACCATCTGGGTATCGACCAGGATGTAGCCACTGAAGATGAGGGCCGTGATGCCGCCGTAGATGAGCTCGGTGGTGGAGCTGTAGGGGAAGAACATGGCCATGAAGCCGAAGAGGATCAGCGCCCAGAGAGCGCCAAACAGGTAGGGCATCCACGAGGTAAAGTCGTACTTGGTCTGGCAGGCGAAGAGGGTGAGGAAGACAAAGATGCCGGCGGTGAGGACCACGGCGTTGAGGACGATGCTGGCTTCGTAAAACGAGACAATAACCGAGATGCTGTAGGCCTCGAGGACGGTGAAGCCGGCGAGGAAGAGGAGGTTGGCCGGGTACGACTTCCGCTTCCAGTAGGTCAGGCCAAGGAAGCCCATGGCGCCGAAGAGCTACATTCCTGTTAGTTTGCGGAACAACCAACGTACGTCATAGAGTGCATGTATTTTCGTTGGGACGAACGCAAGGCCGTGCTTGTGCTTACCGAAACAAAGACGAGAGCCGGGTGTGTCTGGATCCATGTGCGGTAGCCCTCGCTCAAGAAGCTGACGGCGCCGAGGGCGCTCGTGGCCAGCAGCTGGATGGTCAGGATGGCGTAGACCTTGCGGACAAACTGGTTGCGGATGCTGACGGTGGCCTCAGCGACGGAGCCGCCAAACTTGAAGTCGTCCGGCAGGTCGCTGTCGTCGTCGACACTCGCGCGGGGCGCACCGGAGAACAGCCGCTCGTGATCGTCGTCGGCGGCGGCGCGGGCGCTCGCGCTCGCCTCGGCCTGGTACGAGGGTGGCGCCTGGGTGTAGTCGAGGTGCTCATCGGGGTCGACGGCGGCCGCCGGGCTATACTTGGCCGTGCTTGCCATCGTAGAGGATGAGTGGTGCGGGATGTGTTGATGGTCGAAAAAGAAAATGGCGTGTCGAACAATCTGGGACGAAAACTCGAATACCGAACACCGTTGGCGATGATACGACACAAAGGACACAAAATATGAAAGTACAAGTTGTCTCGAAATTCGTGCGGATGCAAGAAGGCTGATGAAATCAACTAATCACCGGGGGCGTTCTAGTTGCCTAATGACGAGTGGCGCGGGGAGAGGCAGTGTTGGCGCCAAGGTCACCTTGTGTTTGGAATAAAGTCATGTGATTTCCAGCTCTATAAAGTCACGTGCAAAATCACACTTTCTGTAAACAACTTTCTGCGACTGTCAGAATGGCTGCCAATGAAGCGACTGTTCGTCGCTATTGGATCTATGGAAGGCTAGGCCTAGTCGATGGCATTGTACGCTTCTTTCCTATCCAGTTTTTGCTGCATCTTGTGACCATAATATTCGTTGTTCCTTTTCTTTCTTTTTTGTTGGAGGATAAATAGTGAATGCTGCATTTAGAGTACACGCGAGTGAATCTTGCGTGCTGGCGAAACCGATTCTCATTGGAGAAGGGCGACTCCTTCCATACCCAGTTGATCTCGTTATTAGGGTGTGGGGCTCCGAAATGTCGTTGCCTTGGAATAATAAGACCACGGGTCGTGTCTTCACCGCTGTCATTTGGTTTTATGCAAGCTCTAGTGCGCCATTACCGCCAAGACCCTGCAATACCCCCCAAAGAAGCTGGGGGCTGTTTGTATTCGGGGTTCGATAGCGGCTACGAAGAGGAGCGTAGATAAACAAACATCGTACGGAGACGAGGAGACGAGGTAGGTCGACGACAGAGGCAACCGCGGCCGGCGCAGTCGGCGGTTTCGACAATTTGGCTACCGCATTTCATCTCGCTATGAGTATCTCTTTCCTTTTTGAGTACACGCTGGCGGACGCCGAGCGGGGAAGTTACGACGGGGGAACGACGGCCACAAAAACATGGAGCGCGGCAGGGGCGTTGGCCATTCTCTCGCCTGTCTCAATGTAACACGGCGGGGAAGCAGCAATAAATACGAAGTGTTTCTTCCGCCCTAAAGCCCGTAATCGTCGGCAAGACACTTAAGTAGCCGCCCCTGGGAAAGAGCGATGGGGCACTGCGCGGCATACGATGCTGTTGCAAGAACTAGCGTTTAGATAAGCCTGAAAGGGAAGTTGTGACCAGCGGCGCTCCAAGTTCGTTGGAAAGAGGTTCAAAAACGTGTGCAGTTTTGTTTACCCCTTTTTTTTTACTTATTTTTGCCCCTGTTAGCATGAAGCTCCCCCGCCCTAGCGCTCTCCTTCGCGGCTTTTCAGACAGTTAAAAGACAAAGAAAACAACAGCACTGAAATCTGGTCCCGTCGATTCCCATCCAAGCCGCACTCAACAAAAGATACTTGGCCAATCAGGTCATCGCGAAGTCGCACTAGCGTCGCTTTTTTTGTCCAAGCCAGAGCCGGCCTGTGATCCTGGAACGGTGCACCGATTCTCACCGCCTAGGCCGGAAAGAGGACCTAGCTGGGAAGCACCAAAAAGAGAACACGAAAAGACGTGCAAAAAAACCCTTGTGAAAGAGGATACTTGTACAGGCGACCTGGCCCCAGAACCACTTTGTCCAAGAAGCGAAAGGTGATCAGACCCACTGCACCGCCTTGCGACGATTGAAACACTCGCTGTTGGGTCAGGTCTTTGCAGAAAGGCAACACACGAAGCAAGGCAACTGACACAAGACAACATCTTGAAGATCGTGGTCGACAAGACAAACTCCGATTCTGCAATCGTCTCGACAGCCTCCAGACGTCCTCCAAGCTTTCCCGACAATCTGGCAGCACCATTGGACAGACCGCTCTCCTGCCAAACCGTCTTCAGCGACACCGCTCTGCTTTGTCTTTTTGCCCCAAAATAGGAGGCTGGGAGACGGACGACCGACCAGCAGTCTCAGCCGCCGGGGAGTTACGCAGACACGCGAGTGAGCTTGCTTTGGATCTGTTCTGCTCGGGACGTGATTTTGTCTTGCATTTGAATCGACCTGGCGTTGCCAATTCCTCCTGGTTGAGGGACGCCGCCAATTCGCAGCTATCACGACTTTTGCTCGCTTTGACAGCGAGACAGTAGCACGAGGCAGAAAAGCTAGGGCTTCTACGGTCTCTTTTCCCAACCTTTGCTCTCCGACGCGAGATCACCGAACCATCCTCCGAGACCGCCCTGGACTCCCAGTCCGGCAATTGATCTCCCTCCCTCTCTTTCTACCTCTTTTTGTGTGTACACCACACTACACCACATCCAGTACAGACAGACCATGGCCGCCGTTGCCAGCAGCGCCCGGCCGACTGCCGTGCCCCTGCCACCGCATCTGAAGCGGGCTGCGAGCAAACCGACGGCCAGCACCAATGGCAAATCCAACGACGACCTGCCCACGCCGGTGTTCAAGACGCAGACGTCCAGCAGCGCTCTGCCTCTGCGCCGCAAGCGGAAACAGGAGACGCCCGTAATGCAATTTACACGCTGGCTGGTGAACAACCAAACAGGTAGGTCCAAGGGAACCAGAGAGTAACAAGCATGCAAACATGGCGCCGTTCACAAAACGCAGCTGACACAGGACGTCAGGCCTCTCTGCCAACCTCTTTGCCCTCCTTTTCCTCACACACTCGCTGTTCCCCCGCGCGCGCGTTCATACTACCAAGTTCTTCACGCTGTCCTATTTCAACCCGGCCACCGGCAACTACAACCTCGGCAGCGACGACGTGCCCCTTATCCTGTTCCTCGTCGTCTTCTTCACCGGCCTTCGCTCCAGCACCATGGACTATGTTCTGGCCCCCTTTGCCCGCAGCCAGGGTCTCTACAGGAAGAAGCCCATTACCCGCTTCGCCGAGCAGGCCTGGCTCGTCATTGTCTACACCGTTTTCTTCCCCCTCGGCGTCTACCTCTACTACAACTCGCCGTACTTTTTGAACATGAAGAACCTGTGGACGCACTGGCCCGGACGCGAGATGCCCGGGCTCCGCAAAGCCTACATCCTCGTCCAGCTGGCCTTTTGGCTGCAGCAGATCATCGTCATCAACATTGAGGAGCGCCGCAAGGACCACTGGCAGATGCTCACCCACCACTTTGTCACCGTGTCGCTGATTGCAGCATCCTACCGCTACCGCCACACGCCTGTCGCCAACGTGATCCTCATCCTCATGGACATTAGCGATTTCTTCCTTCCGGTAGGTCGTCCTACCCCGCGCCTCCTCCTCTCCTCCTCTCCTCCTGACTCTCTTCACTCGTTAGCCACTGCCTACTGACCTCCTCTTCAGCTCGCCAAGTGCCAAAAGTACCTGGGCTACACCAACATCTGCGACGTCACGTTCGGCGCCTTTATGCTCAGCTGGTTTGTCTGCCGCCACGTCTTCTACTCCATGATCTGCTACTCCGTCTGGGCTCAGACTCCCCAGATTATGCCTGACGGCTGCTTCAAGGGCGTCGCGGCTGGTGCTGGTGCGGCCGGCGCGGTCGGCAGTGGAAGCCCGCTGGGCGTTGCCGTCGGAGCCGACGAAATCTCGTCGCTCACCCCGACCATCTCCAAGCTCGCACCCTTCCTCAGCAACACTACCAGCAACAAGCTCGCCTTCTTGATCGAACCCATGGTCGACTCCGACGGCGCTGTCTGCTACAACTACGCCGTCAAGTGGGGCTTCCTGTCCATGCTCCTGTTCCTGGAGCTTATCATCATCGTCTGGTTCTTCATGATTGTCCAGGTCGCCATCCGCGTCGTGCGCGGCAGCGGCGCCGATGACAGCCGCAGCGACGACGAGAACGGCGATGAGGAGGAGGAGGAGGAGGAAGAAGAAGCGGGAGACGACGACTTTGTGAGCGGCGGTGATGGGAATGGCCACGCACAGCAAGCCCAGCCTCTCGAGGAAGAGGTCGGTGTCGAGGCGCTTGACCTCAAGGGTTGGGAGCGCCGGACAGGTGTCAAGCGCGTCGCGTCGACCTCGACCGGTGTCAGCCTGCCGGGCCACCACAGCGACCGCAAAGAGCTGTTGGGCCGTATTGGCTGCGAGAAGCAGGTCGACTAAGGATGGTTGAGACGAGCGTGTTAGAAGAAAGTGAATACAGGGGTTCAGGAGCACAGTGAGTATGGGGTGCACGGAGGCGTATTTGCACCACAGAGCAACAGAAGATACGCAAGTGGAGGTGGATACCAGAGAGTGCTTTTTTTATGGTGGTGGAAAGTTATGTGACAAACAAAAGACATATCGGGTGCAAAATAGGAAACGGGGAGTTCTCTCGTTTTTTCTTTTCCTTTGCTGTCTGTTTTCCCCTCTCTGCTTTCGTCATCGCTGTTTTCGTCATCTGTGTTTTACTTATCATGTAACGACCCGGCATGGACACCCCAGGGAGGTGTTGAAGTCCTTCGGGCTCTCGGTGAGCCATGGGAGATTTTGCCTTTCAACAGGAGTTTTGCTTGTTAGTGTTTCGTGTTTCTGTCTTGTTTTGTCATTTTGCTCATGTTTTGTTTTTCATCGTCTCGCGCAAACAAAGGGCTTCTCAAAAGAAGCAACGCTACATATCCATCTCAGTTTTTCGAAATTCAAAAAATTCATGACAAACCATAAGCGGCGAATGTGCCCGTTATCATGATAGTATTTCCCCAATGCACAATGTTTCTCTGCATCGCTTCTCAAAATTCCCGGCTTGAAACACCTATACGTCGTATATTGTACACCGTCGGATAATTAATACGTGCTTTAAGGCGCGAGACGGTGAAACGAAACGGGCCGGAATCCTGCCGAGTGGCTGGTGATGATTTATACTTGTATTAATATTAAAAGACAACGACAATAAACCAGCCATGCCTATACTCTGTACACCTTGGTTGTCTTTATACTGTCGAACATGGGCCGACTGGCAAAATGCATCACGACCACGAACAGTGAGCGCAGAACACGACCCGAAAAGATGTGCAATGCAACAGTCACCGTTTAGCATGTCAACGGCCCGTCGGTCACATACGTCATTGAATTGACGATCTCCATACCCGGTGGAAATTTTCACGTCTTGTTGACGGTCAACAATCGTGGGGCGGCAGACAAGGAAGAGGACACGACGGAAAACGGCGTCGGTTGGAATGGAAACGCGTGGCCCAATATCATCAGTCTTGCCCAAAACGACTGCCAGGACTTGACCCGCTTCGCCAATGTCGTGCGGGGACATGCCGTACGGAGTATTCTTCTTGCACGTTTACGTTTCTATGACGATCGTGTCTCGGGGGGGCCATTTATGCTCGTGCCGGTTCTTGGCAGGGTCTACGCAGCATTCCCAACTAGCAGCCAAGAAAAGAAGGGAGACAGGGAGAATGCAATCAAATCATCAAGGGAGGGAAGACTCGTGACAAGAATGGCGCGACGCGATGAGGCGATCAACTGAAAGAACGGACCAGCCCTTGTATCCTCTTCGAACTACAAAGGGACAAATGGCTTAATCACTTGACCATACATGCGACTCGGACAAAGAGACCCTGCAAATAGTCAAAGCCTGCAAAGAAGCTTGTTCACTTTTCTACTCATGGATGGACATACATGGAACATCCATTCTTCTATCGCGTCGAGCATCAGCATCACACACTCACACTGGCATGGTTAATATATTTCACTCTTCACTTTTCACTTTTTTTTATTGAAGTTGTAAATTTGTCCTTGCCATGTCTTCTTGATAGATCGTCAAAGTGTGAATGCCGGCGTTACAAGAAAAACAATGTCCCTCGTTGAATACAAAAAAAAGAAGGTACGCTAGGAGCAAAAAGTGAAAGTGAAAGAAAAGCAAGTGGAATACACCAAGCAACATAAAGGTATGCCAAGGCTACTTGCTCGCCATCTCTTTCTTTTTGCCGCGATCCTGGTCCTATACATACTTTCTGCAGTCTCAGAAAGAGGTTCTTTTCAAAAACCAAAATTGAGAAGAACCCGTCCCAGCGAACCAAGCGCATTGATGAAAAAGAAGAGAAAAAGAAGACGATAGGAAAAAAGTGTGTGAATAAAAAGAACACAAATAGAAAGTAAAAAAGAGGAACAAATGACCCAAGGAAAGAAAAATGAAAAAAAAAAATGAAAAACGCATTCACATTTTAAGAAAAATGGGGGATGCGCCACATTGTGGAAGAAGTAAAGAAGAGAAAAGTAAAAGAAAGGGGCGGGCTTTTCTTGTGTCTGTCAGGTTTAGAACGGTAAAAGTTTTCAGCCACACGTATCCGGGCCAAGAGACAAGGCATTTTCAGTCAAGTTTCGTGAAAAAAAGACATGGGAACCATATCACGTTTAAGCCGTGACGGTGGCCTCGCCCAAGGAAGGCAGCACATTCTTGCCGTAAGCACCGCCCATGTTACCCTCGGCGCGGTAGTCGCAGACGGTGAACCACGAGGCCATGCCGCTGTAGATGGTGCCGGCAGGGCAGTACTGCGAAGCGCAGCCGATCTCGGTGGTCTCGACCCAGACAACCTGGGAGAAGTGACCCCAGGCCTCAAAGTTGGACATGTCGGGGTTGCTTTCACCGTAGCCGTCGGCAGGGAACTGCGAGACCTCACCGTTGTACCACATGTCGGTAATAGCCTGGGCGACGACCTTGGAGGAGTCGATGCTGGAGACATCGCCTGAGGCACCGTAAACAGCAATGTTCTGGCCGTACGAGCCAGTGGAAGAACCGGGGGACCTAAGGCAGCAAGTTAGCACTCATGTTCTCGAATATAAAAAGCTGATGGTGAGGTAGGGCTGGACATACAAGTCATGGGCGAACACGCAAGAAGCGGCAACGGTGGCGGCATAGCTGGCCAGGTCGCTATTCCAGCTCACAGCCGGGGCAGAGTGGTTCGAACGGTGCAGGTTGTGGTGATAGACGGCAGTGCTGCCAAAGTCAGACGGCTGCGAGTTCGAGTTCGAGCCGGAAGCAGCCGGGGTGGAGGCAGCGGCAGGAGACGAGCTCACGACCTCAGCAGGAGCCTGGGCCGCAGCAGGTTGGACAGCCGCAACGCTGGCGGCAGCAGGGCTCGGGCTCGGAGACTCCTGGCCAGGTGTGACGGTGATCGTCAACACCTGGGGCGTGGACGATGTCGTGGGTGGCGGCGGCGGCGGGGGAGGGGTCGACGTCGTGGTAGGCGGGGGCGGAGGAGGGGGAGGAGTCGTCGAAGTCGTCTTGATAGAGGTCGTCTTGACAGAAGTCACCTTCGGCTTAGCGTGGGTGGTGTGGTGCGTAGTCGGCTTGGTGGTCGGCGGGTCGACGGTCACGGTAACGTACACCAGGTCGGTGACGACCTCAGTGTGCAAGACACGCTTGTTGATTGGGCTGGCCACGGCCAGGATGGAGCCGGCAAGAGCAAGGGCGAAAGAGGCCTTCATATTGAATGTTGTGAGGAGGATGATATAAATGTCGGGTTCTTGAGTTATGTTAGCAACGGAACGTTTCGTGCGCGAGTATTTTTGTGCTTTGGCGGGTGGTGTTTTCGTGGGAGATTGTGCAATTGTGAGGTGTGCTGGATATGTTTCGTGATGATCATGGCGAATCTTTGCAGAACAGACTCAAGACAAAACATATCGAGTCCAAACGTGGGAACCAGGCAGCTTTAAGGGGGGAGGATAATGCGGACATGGTCAAGGAAGCGAGGCTCTGTTTCCTTTGCTTCTTTGATAAATGAACAACATCTTAGAAGACTCTATTGGTGAGGGCGTCGCAGATGCTCCTCGACAAGCGAGCCCCTTTGTTGACCGTCCCCAAACAACCGACGGGGCCTGAAAGACTATCCAACAATGGGATTGTAGTGCAGGTGGAAATCCATGTTGCAGTTGTTGAGGCGAACCACAGTGACGGGCCAGGAAAGAGAGGGCGCAACAAAGAAACGCCCAAATTGTTGTCATATTACGGTGGCACATCACCAAACAAAATACATACCTATTGACGTATGCAAGGTCGCAGTGCAATCCAATCCAGGGATGCTGTCTCTTTTTTCTCTTCGAACGGCTGAGAGAAGGCAAGAAGACGTGGGACAGATATATAACCGATAGGTATAAATCTATGTGGATTTGGCGAGATGCGAAAGACGGTGGACAGCGCTGCTGTATGGACCTGGTGACCCGTCAAGGATACTGTTGAGAAACGGTGCTTCGGTTGTAAGGCGAACCGTGAGTGCGTATGAGTCGAACACGATGTTGTTCGAGATATGTTTTTTTTGTTGTTTTGGTTTGCTGTAGCTGTAGCTGTAGACACAGTCTGGGGCGGCCCTGCTGAATGAGGGTGTTGACAAGGAAAGACGAAGTAAAAATTCACAAAAGCAAGAACTGAAAACAAAGGAAGGACAACTCGGCTGTCTGGACGTGTCGTGACGAGAGAAACGTTTTTTTTTTGTCTTGGGCGAGAGACGAGGCGCGAAGAATGCGGAACAAAATCGAGAGCGTGAATGGGAAATGGGGGGATTTGACAAGTTTGTAAGGAGTGGAACGTGTCGAATGAGACACCGACCTGGATTGCGGCCACAAAAAAGGAGTGTGAGGATAAAGAGAAAGAAAAATGGGTGGTGGGAGAAGAGAAAGAGGAAGAGGAGGAAAAGAAAAAGAAGGAAAAGGGAGAGACTCAAAAGAGGGATGCGATGCTAATATGTGAGCGATAGCCAGAGAGGGAAAGAGCGTTGCACACAACAAGCTCCATTTGGGCAGGCACCTAGCCGGGTCGGGCAGTGAGGTAGACCCTAAGGCGAAAGGACATACAAAAGCTACTTTGCGAGGCAAGAGTGGAATGGGAGACATGGTCCCTTGGGGGCTCCAGGCCAGCTAACCCTTCCACTTTCTCTCGTCTCTTTATAACACACACAACATACTCCGTATTTTCCACGGAAGGGCAACTAAGGTGAAGAAAGTGGAGGCACTCACTTCATCCACCTGCACCTTGGGCCAGGTAGGCCTGTCTCTGAAGGGGAATACCAACAACGTAGAAGTACCCATGTACCGTTCCTACTGCGTAAATTACGGGGTTTCGACGCTCAGATAGAGGAATAGGAGGGTATGGAGGGTGAGGACGGACGGACAAATGTGAGTTTGGTTGAGCAATTGTATGTTGGTTGTAATCTTAGATGCCTCGTGGATAGCCGGCGTATTCACTATTTTCAGTTTTTTTTTTGGTACGTTTTACTGTTTGGTCCGTCCGGGCTTTGCTTGGCCTACAAGTCTCGGGCAGCACGAGTCGGCCAGGGGGCATGGGCCGCAGATGGAAGGCACGACCGAATGACAAACGAGGAAATTGGCAGGAGAACAGGGAAGAAGGTGCGGCCCAGGGGTGCAGAAGAGGGCCTGCAGAATGCAGAAGGAACGGCCTGCCTCACGTAGAATACTTCAGGGATTTCTGCACCGGGATCCTGGCCAGGCCTTGTTCGACTTTTTTGTTTAATTGACCACCATGACCTGCAGAAAATCGCAGAGAAAAGATCAGGCCGATAAACATGAAAAAGGTGGCCGGGGGATGCTCGTTTGCTGGTCGTGCAACGACAGGGGGGAATCAGTGTTCCCTGGAGAAAAAGCCGCCGGAGGAAATCACGGACGGCGATCCCTGTCCTGGTCTGTAGGCCGAGGGGCCAAAATGTCCAAGGGAAAGAGCGATGCGCAACTGACGAAATCAAATAGGCCTTTTTTCGCCCATCGCCCTTGCCCTATTGTCGTTCGTGGTACCTTGCAGCTACGATACTTCGTAGGTTGCCACACACAAATCAAGATTGTAATAAACGGCAGGTGCGACGCAGTCAACAAAACGTGAGAGAGGGCAGATTCTGAGAGTGAGAACTGGCTCACAGACTCTCAAGACTCTGTGCAGCGTGCATCAGCCGGGCCCCAGCTTTTGCTCCGTACTCAGTAGTGTTGCAGCTATTTTGTTAGCCAGGGGTAGCGGGCATCCGGCCAGGCACCGCGCTAATTACACACCCCTTTCTTTACCCCCCTTTGTCGTTTAAATTGCACACCCTGGCGACTCTCCCACTCGCTTTTGCGGAAAGCCGTATTTTCGCTTGCACTCTCCGATCATACTCCCTTCTCGAACGCTCAGTGGACAAGACCGCACAGATGCTTTACCTGCCCTGGCGGCAAGCGACCAGACGAACATATGAACAGGCGAGTAGTAGGCGAGTCAGCACACAGATGTTGACCTGGTGAGTATCTTAAATGAATGCAATTCAAAGCATCAAATGACGACGGTTAGGGTACGACGGCAGCATCAGCTCTTTGTTTGCATGGCTTTTGCCTCTCAATTTCCTCATCTGGACAGTCTATTTTTCAATGAGCGGCCAGCCCTTGGACGTATACGAACGCTCCGTACATCGTATGTTGTCTTGGTATGAGAGATCCGTCCAACCCGTTTTGCAAATACGGCACTATGAGTGGAATGGGAAAGGAAGCCGCGTACCACGCACAAAGGAACATAGGGGTACGAAAATGGGGCCAAGAGGCGGCCAAGCAGCCAAGGCCTCATAACAAAAAGGCATGTGAGCACAAGTACGCGGCACGACGGTTTTGATTACTGAGGAACAGCGAGTCAAACCAGGTGTGCTGTGAAAGCTCATTTTTGTCCCTGTATTTTGTTCCATCCTTATACCGTCTCGTTTCTGACCATCGTGGGATCGTGTTCTGATGATCGTACCACACCCCTTTGGAGGATTACTCTTTACCGCATATGTGGTCATTTTCAATTTCAATTAAATGTCCTGCTGGCTTATCGAGCATCCGGTTCAATTTGGCTTCAGTTGGTGTTGGTATATCACGCTAGAAATGCCGTCTGCCGTCTAGCAGTGAGACATCATCCCATGCTGGCTTGCTTGTTGGTTTTTGCAACGTGCGCGTATTTCTTGCCGTACGAATGGGTTCATCTTGAATGTTCGAAACGCACCGTTGCTCGAGGATGATACTACGACATGACGACCAATGTGCCGAAGAACGAGAAGTGACAAAGAAGAATGAGGGTCATGGTTGACGGGGATTGGAACAGGACCATTGGGAGGACCGCTGAATAGGGGCTTCCCGCTCGTTCCTGGTCTCCAGAGTATTGCATGCGTCCTCCCAACACTTCAATGCGTCGTACGACGTCCTTCATACAGCGTCTGGACCGCGGGACTGAACGATTATTGCAGGGCCATCCGCAGAAGCCAAGAGGCGTAGTCCTAGCATTACCCATCGTCTTTCGGGAACAGAGCATTATCCATAACGCTATATCTTCTCGGGGCTACGAGACGACATGGACTGCGGAGTATGACATATTCCGTATGCTTTACAGCTACGGAGTACACATTATAGCTTGCTTGTGGGGATTGTAGAGGATGTAGTGGCGGGTTTAAAGGGGCCATGCGGCTCAGGATATGAGGGGATAGAGAGGTATTACGTCGTCATGAGAGGGAAGTTGGAAGATGCATGTGGACATGCCCATTTAGTACGCCATCAATTGTCTTACACCGTCGTTACAGTGGCAGAGTGGCTCCATGGCCCAGGCGCTCCTTGCCAACTTTTCGGTGTCACAGTATTTCCATCTGTTGGCTCCAGGACTCCAGTTTTCGCTGCTCGGAGTACGGGACAGCTTGAGTTGTCTCTGTGCTCAAGGGCGGACACATATGGAGAAGCGATGTCCCCACAAAATGTGTTCAGTGGATCTGCGGGTGGCGCTTTTGGCCAAACAAAACGATGGACCCCTGGCTAGTTGTCCTGAAACAACGTTAATTTCGTCCCAAGCAACCACGAAAACCGCACCACGAAAAAGAGCAAAGAGTGTGAACAACACCAGTCACAGTGCAAACCCAAAAGACTGCATTACTCGCCAGCTTCATCGTGAGAAGTCTACTGTCCAAAATGCGGCCAGTGTTGGGTACTGATGACGAGGGTGGAAATACGGTAACCGCCCTCAATCTTGTATGGGAATAACAGGTACCCTGAAACAACCTTTTTCATTTCATTTCCGCACAACGCAAAGTAACTTTGATGTTTGATATCAGTAGTGTGTTCCCACCTTGCAAGGTCAACGTGGCAAGGGAAAAACAACCAAACAGCCCGTGTGTATGTGTATGTTGTACAGGACAGTTCAGTTCGTTCTGATCTGACGTCGCCATGTGGTGTTTTTTTGTTTTGTTTTTTGTGTGTGTGTGTGTGTGCCTCCTTTTGTTAGTCACGTTGCTCTTTTTTCGTCAGTCCTTGTCGTCGAGCCTGGTTGTTTCAAGATTCGGCGAGGGACCCGGCCAGGCGACGTGGCCTGGGCCTCTCTGCGGCCAAGGCCAAGAAAAAAAGCGTGGTGAACAGAAACAGACGACGGGAAACTGGAAACAAGCTAAAAGGGAGAAAAGTCTTGCCAAGGCGAGAAACGGGACGACATACAGAATACTTCGTACACACAGGTATCCGTGTTAACTTGCGGCGTACGGCGTACAAGTCCATGAGACTACCTGACAAATAAAGCGGGTATTCATGACAAAAAGAAACGAGGCTACGTGCATGAGTTGCCAATGGGGAATATAAGGGGCAAATGGAATTTGTGCTGCTCAGGGAAAGGCAAAGATGAAAAAAAAGCTCGCGAAAAGAACAGGGGCTTCCTTCTCGAAGTAGAGAGGCCAGACCCAAAAGGATCCCGCTGGCCAGGCCAGCCAGGCTTTTTTGCCAGGTTCCTGGATATCCACCGTCCAGAACAATACAAAGTACGACATACCTGCTGATCAAATCTTGGCTTTTTCCGACGGAAACTCGAGCAGGGCCAGAGGACGGCAACTTGGCCAGGGCTTTTGCTCCGTCCGTAACCAAGACGGGTCGATCTCCAATGATAATGATGCAGAATAGTACAGTTTTGTTCCATAAAATCGGGCCTGCCGATCATCTTTCGAGATCGTTATCAACGTCGTGCTCGGTGGTTCGAGGCATAGTGGGGGCGACGCTGTAGTACGAAGAAGACACCCAAAGCTCAACATCAACATCAACATCAAACAAGATGTGTCTGCCGTTCTCTTTGATGAGCTCCGTCCCAATAACTTAATTTCTTGACTCTTCCTGTTATGACGATGCACACAAAGACAAAGCCCTGGTAGGAAATCCTACATCTTCAACAGCCCGTTGTACTTTTATTTGCATAGTTGTTTTCTATTGATTATCCATTTTGAAGGATTTGTGCAAATTAACAGGTTTTCCTCTCTTTTTTGTTATAAAAAAATTAAATATAGAAAAGAAAAAGAAAATTCGGTTATGAAACAGGTGCCATGTAGGGGACCGAGAAACTCCATTGCATGGCCGGTGCTGGCCGAAGATGTCGCCTAAGTCATGTCTCCGACCCATCCACCGGGGCCTAGACGAAAGCTGCCAGGTATGCCTCTCACGATTGAGTGCAACACTTTGATGTCAGCGACATAATCCTTCTGCATCTCTCGGCGAGGAAGATAAACAAACAACCCACGGAGCTCTATAAGATCTCTCTATCTGCGACAACTTTCTCATCCGTATGCTGTGTAAGGTCATGGACTTGTCATACCTGCCGAGGATATTGTGTTTTGAGGCAGATACGTCGCCAGACGGAGCTGATGAACGCTTAATAAAGTACGCACCCGAAGAACCAGTGGCCATTTGTCTGTATTCTCGCAAGATGCCTTACCGCTACCCTGGCTTCGTGGCCTTGTCGATCCCAGCTTGTCACCCGTTTGGCAGAACCAGATGTAGAGCTCGAGAACACCCGCGGGCTTGCTGTCACAGACTGATTGGATGTGCCTGTCACTGACACTGTCAGGCGAGAAACCAGTACCTGCAGAAGCTTTGTGCTTCATCCATTACGTCGTATGCGTCTTTCCGTCCCTGTACTGCAGACGGCGGAATCCAGACGAACGAAAACAACATACGTAGGCGACCCTGTTTTAGCCCGACAGCCACATAGCGCTGTCGTGGTTCGGACCATCGGATGCAGGCAAACGCCATTGCGTTTCAAGAAAAGAGAGCCTTAATGCCTCCGTCGGCTTGGAATTCTACCGTGAACTCCATCTGTACGGACTGCACTCGGTTGCACCATATGCAAGACAAATAAACATAGCCTTTCCCATCCGAGGAGCTTTGAATTTTCCCCTATTCCGTGCGTCCAGGAGCCTCCTGTTCCTGCTTCGACGTCTGTGTGGCCAATGTATTTTGTGTCGCCTTAATATTCATATTCTTATAGTGCTTGGATATTTCTTGATGTTCGTGGAGGTAGACGTCTTCAAAAAGGCGAGTAAACCAGAGTCAGACCAGTGATTCAAAATTTAATGAGAGGCAGCCAGTGTTACGAAATAGAGTGCCTGTCACATTGCAAGGCCACAAGATACACGAGAAATGAATTCGACAGGGGCGTAATCAGGCATCTTCCGTGACTACTTCGGGTACATTAACGTATGTGGTGTTTGAGTCGGGAAATACTGGCAAATGATTTTGTTCCACTGTGTCCACTAAGAGTGCATTATAAGATGGCTACCGTACTTGTCACGATGTTGACTTTCGTGGTCGTACTACAGGTGATATATAGATGATGCAAGGAGCGCTCCTTTACAATTATTGCATACGCCGTGTACCAGTATCATGGAAAAGCTGTGTCAATTAATTATATGAACTTATGACTGAATATTTTTGTTTGGCCCAAAAAGAAGATTTATTTTAGTGAAAATCAACGAAATCAACAATAAAAGAAACGTACAATACAGAGTGATTGTAAAATCCTAAGCCTGTGAATGATGGGTTGTCTGCAAAAGAAAATCCCAGACGTATCTTACAAGAGAAACAGAACAAGATTGGTATGATAAGGAGCAAAACAGTCCCTAGCCGAAAGTCAGGTCACAATAGATACAACACGAGGTACCTGGTAGAACACTCGGCAAGAGGCCAGAGGGCAGGGTGCTTAAAAACAGCCACTCGCCTGTTCATATCGATCCCCAGTCTGAGATTCAATGTGCCCGGTACGCGACATCTTCTCCAAGTTAAGGGATCGGCGGCACCTGCCATCTCGATTCGCTCTGGGTCAGATGGGCTCAGAAACGAGCCCAGTGTCCCAATCCTGTGCTCTCAAAGTACTGTATATACAGAACTATGACTGTCTGTAGTGGCCAATGTGATTTTCCACGTTGTTTCTCTCGAGACAACCGTGTAAGGCATTAGCGAGACTGTCTCGGTTTCCATCCACCGTACGAGAATATCGGGCGCCGCCGTTCCGTGCTTGCAGGTCAACCTGGTTCAAGGACGGACGTTTCCGTAGTAATATCGACACTCTGCCAATAGAAATGATCATGTGAGGACATGGAATACATTTCCTGCTGATAATTCCATCGCATGGAGACTGGGAAGTGAAACGTCGACGAGCATCTCAAGTATATCACACGATGACATGCCTTGCGGTCGATTGGAACCTAATGAACACAGACACGTCATCGATTTCTAGTAATGGCACAATATGGTGACGTGCCAGGGACGCGACGTCGGCCAATGAAACATCACGAGGAGGTAATGACGGTGGTTGTCTGGGAGTATGTCGATCTGGACCTTCTTCTCCCCTTCGTAAGACCTCGTGATATTGTATCGACGAAGCTGCGGATCTGTATCTCGTCACATGGCCACGGCACTCGAGACCTTGATGTCCCAAATTCTGTGTCATGGAACCAGGCGGACCTGATACCTTCATACATCAAACACCTTTGTTATCTCTCATTCCTGCCTGAATCGTATGATGTCACGTTGTTTTGTTGGCATTGCTTTTCTTTGGATTAGCCTACATATATACACAAAAAGGGTTTGCTCTCCTCCATGCCGTCGTTGTGACTCCACCTCCTGTGTCCATGCTGCTTTCCCGAGGGTCAATGATGCACGCCAGTCAAATACTGGGAGCACAAGCTTTCCTGTGCCGAGTCTCCATCGATGCGATACATGACGTTGTTCGTACGATGACCGTTCGTATAATTCACGACGACGGCGCCGCAGCCGCGGCCGGTGCGGCCGCGCTCTTCGGTGGCACAAACACCTCGCCAGGCCGGTTGTAGTGTGCGTAGATTTGGGTTTTGCGGAGATGGATGGGCGTGCCCTTCGCGGCGTCTGGGATGGTCTTTTCGAGGTTCTGTCAAAGGGTTAGCGGTGGGACACACACACACAAAATACGACGCAAGGCAGACGAAGACGCACCAGCTTCTCAAAGACGCACTTGTTGAGCGTCCACTCCTCTGGTCTGCACTGCCACAGCTGCTGGTTGTTGTTCTCGAGGCACTGCCAGTGCTGGCGGAACGACTCGAGGCAGTTCTTGTTGATGTCATCGAGCACGCTCCGCGCGCACCGCGTCACCCGCCGGCCCTCCTTCAGGCACTCGAACTCGCCCTTGCCCGGGTTGTCGTTCTTGCATTGCATGTAGTCGTCGTTGTACGGCCGGCAGCGGGCGCCGATGAAGAAGGAGGCAGACAGCAACGGCGCCGAGCTGGCGCCAATCTCCTGCACCTTGGGGATCGACTCGGGCAGCGCGGTGGTGTCGTACAGCACCTGCTGGTTGAAGCTGGACAACTGTTAGCACGATGTGGAATGCATGGACGCAGAGGACCATGGCCGGGGCCCCGGAGCCGTGATGGATGATGGATGGAATGACAAAAGGTCGCCAAAACGTACGAGGGTTTACGGCCCGACATTGTGGCGGCTGCACCGTGGATTGGCCGTTAACCAAAATCAGAATCAATCAAAAGGACGACAGATGTTGTCGTAAGAAGCGTGGAGACGTCGGTGTTCGTCGAGGGTGGGCGTGAGGCTTGAGCCGGTTTTGTGCGTGTCGTCCTGTGTTGCGCGCAAAAGCTCCGGCTTTTTTGGCCCGCCTTTCTTGCACGGTGAGCCACTCGAGCCACCAAAGCCCGGTTCCGGGTCAGCACCCAATTACGTGCGCTCATTGGCTGTCTCCACACCGAGCCAGCCTGACGGTCAACAGCCAATCAGAAGTCACCAGGCTGGTAGCAGAGGACCAGAGCTTAGGTGAAAAGCGTGCCTGGCCGCGCCTGGCGGCCCTAAATTTATTTTTGCAGCGAGTTACTTCGAAACGACCGCCCCCCAAGCTCCCCCAGGCGCGTCCATTTCGCACTCGCATTCGGCCACTTGATACCTTCGGACAGGCATCACGATCTATACTGCATCTGTATTGACGCACCGGCGATTAATTTGACGAAACCGAGTTTCTCGAGCCGCCCCCTTTGCAACGGAGCGCGAGCAAAGCAGCGATTGTTTTGTTGACGCGACGACACGACACTTCGTTTTCTTTGAATTGTCAATCATCTCACAACCTTCAAGGCGGACACTCGCAAAAAGCGGACACTCATAAAAACACAAACAACGAAACCGCCTCAACAGTCTCCGACATGTCGCTGTTCGGGGCCAAGCCCGCCACCGGTGGCTTGTTTGGCAGCAGCGCGACTACTGCGGCGTCCCCCTTTGGCCAACCGGCGGCGACGACCCAGCCGCAAACAGGCGGTGTCTTTGGAGCTTCGACACAGACGGCACAGCAGCCACCAGGCGGGCTGTTTGGCGGAGGAGCACAGCAGCAGCAGCAGCAGCAGCCAGCGGCGACTGGGGTACTGTTTGGTGCATCGACACAGCAACAGCAACAGCCACAGCTCGGATCGAGCTTGTTTGGCGGCTCCGCGTTCAACACAGCCCAGCAGCAGCAGCAGCAGCAGCAGCAACAACAACAACAACAACAACAACAGCAGCAGCAGCAGCAGCAACAGCAACAGCAACAGCAGCTACAGCAGTCTGTCAACCAGTCGAGTCTCTGGGGCACATCTGTATGGCAGCCCGGCCAGCCAGTCGCTCCTCGTAAGTCGCAAACGCCCTGTTCCCTGTTCCTATCTTCACCCCTTTGCTATGTACTAATATGCCCCGGTACAGTCGAAAAGCCCATTCCCGACCAGATTGATACGCTCATTGGCAAATGGAAGCCCGACAACCCAAACACCGTCTTCAAAGAATACTTTTACAACAAAGTCGACGAGAACCGCGTCCCGTTCTTCCAACCCCAGGCCCACGAGAACCCCCGCGAGTGGGAGGAGGCCCTCCAGAACAAACCCGCGCCGGGATACCTCCCTGTTCTGTGCACGGGCTTTGACGGCCTGGCCACCCGTCTCCAGCTGCAGCGCCGCACCGTCGCCACCTTCAACGCCGGCCTGCACGAGATCAACACCAAGCTCGACGTCATCCTGTCGCAGCACGACCTGCAGACGAGCGTGCGCGCCCTGGCGGCACGCCGGCGCCACAACGAGCTGAGCAAGCGGTGCCTGGCGCTCGCGGCCAAGACGCAGGTGCTGCGCAACCGCGGGTACGCGCTGTCGGGCGACGAGGACGACCTCAAGCAGAAGCTGGCGGCGCTCGAGAAGACGATGCAGGACCCGGCGCTGAGCGCGCGCATAGAGGAGCTGTGGAGCCGGCTCATTGTGCTGCGCAACTATGCCGACGCGCTGCGCGTGGAGGTGAACAAGCGAGGCATCAAGGAGGAGGAGGGTCTCGGCGAGGAGATTGAGGCCAAGGCCAAGAAGGTGAGTCCTGCACATCCAGTGCACTTTTGTCTTGTTTGCCTGTGGAGCCTTCTGATGCTAACTAGTTTGCAGATTGTCGAAGACTACGAGAAGCAGCTCCAGCACCTGAAGAAGGAGGTGGACCAGATCAACACCGACTTTGACGTGTGGCAGAAAGAGCAGAAGTAGGCGAGCGGCATGCTTGCCAGCTACGAGTTACGACGCTGCTTGATGAAGGATAAAATAGGGGCACTGCAGCAGAAGAAGCATTTGGACGGAAGACACAGCCTATGATGTGCGTGTCTTTCCGCTTTTGCAATTTTGTAATCTTTTCTTTTCATGTTTCTGTTCGGGCTCACATCTGTATGACACTTGAAGGAATGTACAAGTTTTTTGTTCTGCTTTTGCTGGCTTAAACGAGCTCGCAAATGTGGCTTTGGTGACGGGCGTCGAGACACTAAAGAGAGGACCTTTTGATATTGCGTTGGTATTCCTACCATATATGGGATTGTCTATGTATATCAAGCATCACTATGGACCATACCTGGATGCCCAAGTCTGCAGACCCACCCCAGTTCTAACTGTTCCCATTCCGTATTTTCATACATGGTGCATGCGTTATGGCAATTCTCCGAACATAACGTGTGTATATCGTACATGGCGTCGGCGAAGTGTCGGAGAGCACGCGGCGAGGATGGCTTCATTTACAAAATGCTATGCCACTGGTCGACCCCCGGTTGCTTGGGAGATCTCGCCGCCTTTTCTCCCAAGGAACCGCCGGCATCATAGTCGTCTTGGTATCGCGGTTGTCGATTCGAGCTCAGCTGTTCGTTTACAGCAGCTTCCAGACTGTCTCCACGGCAAAGGGGGCTACAAAGGGACGAACGGTCAGCAAGGGTGCCACTGTGGCCAGTGGGGGACACCACAAGGAGATGCTACATACACAAGTACAGAATGATTGAGGCCACGACGAACTGGCGCATCGTGCCAGTGGCCTCGTTCTCGCCGCGGCGGATGTCCTCCTCGGAATACTTGGGGGCTGTGGATGGACAACATTCGTCAGCACGGTTGGCGGTGGTCTAGCGCATGGCAGGTGCAGTAGAGAATTGATACGTACGTGCTGCAAACATCTTGATCGATTGAGGGAGGCGGTTGTTGCGGGCGTGACGGGTGGTTCGGGTTCGTTGAGGTGGTCGTCAATGGTGTCGTCGGTGTCGTCAGTGTTGCGCCGATGCGATTTTCCAGATTTTTCGTTGGCGCACGAGTCCCGCGGCATCCCGCTGAATTTATTGTGGGTCTTGCCTCTCTGTGGCAGCCGCGCAACTGTGGACCACCCAAAGGCTCGTCAGAGGTGCCGTTGCAAATAATTCAGAGCATTCACTCAGATTTCAGAAATCCACGACGACGAGCCCCTGTGATATTCAATTCATATGAGTGTTTAGGATATGCTCAGCCATATGTACTGTCTTCTGCAGTCTTGTTTTCTGTTGCTCGCACTCATTGTCGTTTTTGCCCATCCTCTGCGAGCATATTCGTTATTTGTAACTGCTTTTTCTTTCTCAAATCACGTCGCTTGCTACAGTTCATGTACACCTTTTCTTTGGAATTCTTCATTTCGAGTACTGGAGAGCACGGTTCTTGATCAAAGGCGTTGCGTTTGAGGCTCAGCGCACTGTACCTCAGTTCCTGCTATCTACCAAAGGCTGCCTACTCAATTGCACCTTCTGCAGTAACGGCGCTATGCCTGAATGCACTACCACGTATCACACAGGTCGTATGTTGCTCTTCTAAGATGTACCTACAGCCTCAGCCTCGCGATCGATTCTTCCATGACTGTTCTATCGCCACAAACGTAACGATGGTGTGGCGTAAAGGAGTCGGCCTCTGATTGGACAGCGCATTGCTTGGTGTGCCAATTGCTCAGTGCACGGCCCAGCAAAACCGACGACCAGAAAGAACAGCGACTGCCGCTAAGCCGTCCGAGAATAACCGGGGCGCACTTGAACCACTTGCTGCTTGGAGTAAAAATGCCCAATTGGGAAATAACTACTGATGGGGAAGAAAACCTATGGTCTGGCCCGTGTCGACCCATTTTGCTGGAGATATGTGGAGCGTAGGAATTAGAGGCCGAACACAGAAACAAAAGCAGCAGAGGAAGATAGTAAAAAAGGCGAGGGACAAGTTTTTGCGAGCGCTCGACAAAGGCCTCTGAAACAAAGTGAGTAAAGGTGAATGAACGAGGGGCTACAGCAGTTGCCATGCCGTAAGGAGTACAATTACTGGAATCGGTGAGAATGTGAACCAATGTGAACCAATGTGGAAGGAGCCAGCGAGAAGGGCCCGCTGCTCCCCGCAACTCACACTTTCGTATCATGGACGGGCGGGCGGCTTCTTATCTCACGGAGCACTGCGTTGAAAGTGACACACCGTCCCAGAAGCCCCTTTCCCCGATGTTTTTGTGCGTTGACCTGTCTCGCTACGGCGGAAGAAACGTGTCTATGCCAGTTCTTGCGCTTGTACTCATGCGCGGTCGCTGGTGCGGAGTCTTGTCTGTCGCCTGCTCCTGCTGTTTGCGGAATGCGACGCATCGCACACTGCCCGTTCTCGCAGCTGTGTTCTTGCCGTTTTCTGCACCTTCCGATTTCTATTGCTAATGTATTCGTCGTAGTTGGATCGAAATGGGCGAGTGGTAGTGCCTATCTGATCGCGTGGCCGCGCCTTCTCTCACCGTCTCCTCATGTCGCTGCCTCCTTCCCTCTCCGGCATCGTCGACGCGGTCAGGCTCGAATGCAGTGCTGTCCTCTATATTTACCGTCTATGTTTTGTTGTGAGCCAGCAGCCGCCGGTCCTCGGTCAACTGTATCTGACCAATCTGTCATACGCAACCCTACAAGAGGGACACGGCGGCCTCGTCAAGAAGTGGCGAATTGGTGCTGGCACATGTCTTACAGACCGGTCCCTTATGTACTTTACCCCTTCCTTAGCTTCTCCAATCTTTAGTCCTTGGCCGATTCTTTCCGCCTCCACAATAACACTACTCATTGATAATAATTTTTTTTATCTTTTATCTCGGTGGTTCCTGCTGTGTTGGCAGGCGCGTCCCTCTTTTTGCTCTGCTCCTTCCCTTTCCCCTCCATCCTTCTTGCATTTCTTTCCTTTCTCGTGTCCTCTTGCAATTTCTCTTCTGGTGATCTCTTTTGAGCGTCATCTTCCTCTCCTTTCCCCCTGGCAGCGTGCCTACTCCAATTTTTTGCCCCTCCCCTTACGACAGCCTCCCACCTGCATACAACGACGACAATGCTGAGCCGGGGACTTACCGCTTCGCGGCACTTACACCCCAGCCGCTTAGCACGGGCAGGCTCCAGACTGGCTGCACCGGCACCGACATTCTCCGCGCCGCGATGGACATGCCAGCAGTGTGTCCGGGGCGTGTCGAGCTCGTCGTCGAGCGCGGCTGCCGTCTCTTGGGCCACTTCCAGCGCTTTTGCCAAGAAGTATCAGGCCCTCGACACCTTCCAGCGTCGCCACATTGGCCCGGACCAGACCGAGACCGACGCCATGCTCAAGGCCCTCTCGCCGCCTGCTAAGAGCCTGGACGACTTCATTGCACAGGTTGTCCCGCCTGATATTCTGACGGAGCATCCCCTGTTCCCCAAGGCCCAGTCTGCTCGCGACGACCCGGTCACGCGCGCCGTCAACGAGCCGCTGGCCGAGCACACCGTCAAGTCTTATGCCGAGGCTGTCTCCTCCGAGAACGACACGAAGACCAAGAGCTTCATTGGCGCCGGTTACTACGATACGCTCGTCCCTGAGGTCATCAAGGTCAACGTGCTGGAGAACCCCGCCTGGTACACCAGCTACACTCCCTACCAGCCCGAGATCAGCCAGGGCCGCCTCGAGTCCCTCCTCAACTTCCAGACCGTCGTCACCGACCTGACGGCGCTGCCTGTCGCCAACGCGAGTCTGCTCGACGAGGGCACCGCTGCCGCCGAGGCTATGACCCTCTCCATGAACATGCTGTCTGCCTCGCGCGCGCGCCGCCCAGGAAAGACGTTTGTCGTCTCCCACCTCGTCCACCCCCAGACCCTCGCGGTGCTGCGTGGCCGGGCCGACGGCTTCGGCATTTCGGTCGTCACCGGGGACGTCACGTCGGCTGGTTTCGCCGAGACGCTCGAGACGCTCGGCGAGGACCTGGTCGGTGTGCTCGTCCAGTACCCCAACACGGAGGGTGGTGTGGAGAACTTCCGCGGCCTGGCCGACCAGGTGCACAAACATGGGGCCCTGCTGAGCTGTGCGACTGACCTGCTGGCTTTGACTGTCCTGACGCCGCCCGGCGAGTGGGGTGCCGACATTGCCTTTGGCAGCGCCCAGCGCCTTGGTGTGCCCATGGGCTTTGGAGGCCCGCACGCGGCCTTTTTCGCTGTCGCCGACAAGTACAAGCGCAAGATGCCGGGCCGTCTGATTGGTGTATCCAAGGACCGGCTTGGCAACCACGCTCTTCGCCTGTCCCTGCAGACCCGTGAGCAGCACATTCGTCGTGAGAAGGCTACGAGCAACGTCTGCACGGCCCAGGCCCTGCTGGCCAACATGTCGGCTCTGTACTCCATCTACCACGGCCCCGAGGGTCTGCGCGCTATTGCCGAGCGCATCATGACCGGCACCCGCATTCTCGAGCGCGCTGCATCACAACTCGGCCTCGAGCTCAAGCCCACCAACTCTCTCTTCGATACCTTTGTGGTCAAGACACCTGGCGGCAAGGCCGATGTCCTGCTGCAGGCTGCTCTTGACCGTGGCTGCAACCTTCGCAAGCTGAACGACAACGAGGTCGGTGTCAGCAACGACGAGGCCAAGACGCACGAGGACCTTCTGGCTGTCATTGGCGCCTTCTATGAGGCGGCCCCTGCCATCAGCGGCGCATCATCTGCCGACAGCCTCGAGTCGTTCCTGCAGAACCTCCTGAAGGAGGTCGAGGCCGGCTCCATCACGCAGACTACGATCCCCGAGGAGTTCCGCCGCACGTCCAAGTACCTTACACATCCTGTTTTCAACACCCACCACTCGGAGACCGAGATGCTTCGCTACATCTACCACCTGCAGTCCAAGGATCTGTCGCTGGTCCACTCCATGATCCCGCTCGGCTCTTGCACCATGAAGCTGAACGGCTCCGTGGAGATGGCAACGTTGCGCATGCCTGGCTTCAACCAGCTGCACCCCTACGTGCCACGCGACCAGGCCACTGGCTACCAGCGCATTTTGGCCAGTCTGACGGACCAGCTGCGTGACATCACTGGCATGGATGCCGTGTCTCTGCAGCCCAACTCGGGCGCACAGGGCGAGTTCGCTGGCCTGCGCGCGATTCGCCGCTACCACGAGCTCCGCGGCGACACCAAGCGCGACATTTGCTTGATCCCGGTGTCGGCCCACGGTACCAACCCCGCGTCTGCTGCCATGGCCGGCATGTCTGTCGTCCCCATCCGTTGCGACGCCAAGACAGGCAACCTGGACCTCGCGGATCTGGAGGAGAAGTGCAAGAAGTACGCCGATCGTCTGTCCGCCTTTATGGTTACCTACCCCAGCACCTTTGGTGTCTTTGAGCCCGGTGTTCGCCGCGCGTGCCAGCTCGTGCACGAGCACGGCGGCCAAGTCTACATGGATGGTGCCAACATGAACGCCCAGATTGGCCTGTGCTCGCCTGGTGAGATCGGCGCCGACGTGTGCCACCTGAACCTCCACAAGACCTTCTGCATTCCTCACGGCGGCGGTGGCCCGGGCATGGGCCCAATCTGCGTCAAGGAGCACCTTGAGAAGACCCTGCCTCCCGAGTCCGAGTACTTTGCAGCCGACGGTGACCGCCAGGTCTTCCCGCCTGTCAGCAGTGCGCCGTTTGGCAGCGCCAGCATCCTGCCTATTAGCTGGGCCTACAACCTGCTCATGGGCGCCGACGGTCTCAAGGAGGCCACCAAAATCACGATGCTCAACGCCAACTACCTGCTGAGCCGCCTCAGCCCCCACTACCAGATTCTGTACACAAACGAGAACGGCCGCTGCGCGCACGAGTTCATTCTCGACGTGCGTCCTTTCCGTGAGTCTGCCGGTGTCGAGGCGATTGACATTGCCAAGCGTCTGCAAGACTACGGCTTCCACGCGCCGACCATGAGCTGGCCTGTCGCCAACACGCTCATGATTGAGCCCACCGAGAGTGAGAGCCAGGCCGAGCTGGACCGCTTTGTGGATGCGCTGGTCAGTATCCGCAAGGAGATCCGCGCCATCGAAGAGGGCCGTGTGCCCCGCGAGGGCAACGTGCTCAAGATGGCGCCGCACCCCGTCCACGATGTCATTGGCGACAGTGCCGACAAGACCTGGGACCGGCCGTACACTCGCGAGCAGGCCGCCTACCCGCTGCCTTGGCTCCGCGAGAAGAAGTTCTGGCCAGCCGTTGCCCGTGTCGACGACAGTACGTGACGTCCAATCCTTTTTTTTTTTTGTATCTTTCTTTTGTTTTGCTAACAGAATTGCAGCGTATGGTGACCTGAACCTCTTCTGTACGTGCCCTCCGGTCGAGGATACCACCGGCGAGCGGTAAAAAGGCCTCGTGCCTTTCGTTTTGGTTTTTGACCATCTTTTCATTTGCACATATATTGGCTATTGCGGCTTTTTGATTTACGGCGTTCAACCGGCTTGAATTTTTTAATGGATTAGCGAGGGTTTCAACAACATGATACTTTGCTCTTGACTAGAACACAGCGAGTATGATATTTTACTTGTCTCTGTTCTCTGGAGGCTTACTTTGATTTTTTTCAACACATATCCCCTTCCCATCGAAGGAGGAGGACCATCGATCTATAGAAAACCACACCTCAAAAGGGGGGCGTTCTCAACTTAACGTCTGCATAGCAAAAGAGAACTTTTGTCTTTCGGAAAGATTTTGTCTTTGTGTTTATGATTTATGCTTTCAGACGAGTTCCATTATTCCAAGATGTCACGGCTGGAATAAAAAATTTACAATGTATTTTATATCCCTCACCCAAGCGCGACTGCAGTACCATTTCCTTCCAGTGAAACTCATGAAGTCACAGGTACTTTTTTTTTTGACATATTTCGTATTTTGATGTTGTACATAGATGCTGACGTAAAAGTGTAGGGTATGGGTGTTTTAATATATACAATCGAAGTGCCCCCTTTCGCCGCCATTGTATGATTCGTCGGCGTGTCTTCTCTGATGCGGTTGAAAATTTTGCTCCTGTTTCTCTATGTATGCATTTTGTTGCCCGTCTGGACCGAGAACTGTGTGGCCTTTGTCAGACGGAACCGTGCTATCCGGGGTCTCGAATATCCCAAGCGTAAGCTTGCAAAAATCGTTCATTTATGGACCCAAGCTCTCTATTTCTTCGGAACGAAAGCTGGTACTGCCTGTTCCGGCACAGGCCCCAGCGGTCGCGGGGGGTCTGGCCGCTTCTTTTTCTCCAGGATGCCCACCTGTTGTCGGTTAGACCATGCTCCATACGCGAGGATGGGAGGAGGCACATCGACGACTTACCATTGACAATATCCGCCATGCCGTCTTCGTCGGCTGCGCCCCGACACCAATCCAGTACTTGGCCCGCGTAATGTCCAGCTTGATGTCCTTGTGTGCTTTCGGCGGCGGCGCGCCGGGACGCTGGTTCATCGCCTCGTAGGGGTCGCGCCGTGGTATCGGGTCGTATGTGCCGAGCACCTCCATGGGTCGGCTCCTGAGTGCTGTCCGTGCCTGCGACACAACAATGTTGTAGATGGGCTGGTTGGTGCGGCCGAAGCGCGCAAGGCGGATTTTGATGACCATTTTGTGCGTCTGCGTGTGAGGAGTGAGCGTTCGAGTCGAGCTGGATAGGGAGGTGAGTCAATTGGCGAGAGAGCCTAAGCCCTGGACAGATATCGTCGCGTCTATCGCGGTTGCGGTCGTGGTGTTGTCAATGTCGCCGTTAACGTTTGTGTGTCTCGTGGTCGTGCGAGCATCGAAAACTCCCGATGCCCACGAAAAATGCAGCGATTGGCTTTCGCGCTAAAACAACGATTAGTCACCTTTTGCTTAGTCATTTAACGGGGCACCATTGGGAAGCCTGGAAATCTGCAGGGCCCTGCCAAAGGGACTTGTTTTAGGGGCCTGCATGCTCGCTAGCGTCCCATTCCCCAGCAATGATGTCAGGCCCCCGTCTCACAAGCCATCATCCATTCATACTCTCTAGTCCAAGGCGTGTAGACAACGCAACCTTGTAGCCTCTTTCAAAACGGTTAAAATGTGCAGATTCACTCTGCAGTAAGTGCTGAGCTGCTTGAACCGGACTTTTCGCCTGCCACACCTGTAGCACCTGTAGCGAGCCTAATGGTCGCACTTACCAGTAACCGCTCGTTACACGTCATATGACTTAACGGATTACAGCGGCCACCCACCTAAGGAAACTGCAAGGGACAAAAAAGTGTACTATTACGTCGTTGAAGAGGGAAACAAAGACTGACGGAGCTCCTTCCATTCTTCCACTCGTCATCTTGCCCGCCTTCCCCCTCCTTCTTCTACCGTTGAACTTCTCTTGTCTTGCTTTTCCGTTTCTTACCTTCACCTTTTCCTACTTTGCCACTTTTCTAGCTTCACGGCAACTTCGTTATTCATTGCCACAATCCGCCGTCGATGCCGCGGACACGATACCAATGGCATTAAAGGTATGTGTGAACGACCCATGACGCTGTCTGCCCTCGACATCTATGACAGCCGAGAGGTGCCTGTTTACAGGAACGTTGATGATACAGATTTAGACTCGTGGTCCTTGCCCCACCTCGCCACGAGTTCTCCCGTTTTTGCTTATTTGCAAGTCTATGTATATTTGGACATATTCCATGTGCTTGTCGATAATCTGGCCTTACAGCTAACTCTCTTGTCCCTTTTTAGACGATCTCCGCTAAGGCGGCTGCAGCCTTGGACAAGGAGTTGATGAGCAGCGGTGCCTTCAGCATTGACCAGCTCATGGAATTGGCCGGTTTGTCGGTCTCCCAAGCCGGTGCGTGAAATCAAATAACCTCGATCTTCGCACATTGCATGGCCTTGGCTGTGATACCGCCGTGCAATTGTCGCCGAACTCCCATGAACCAGCCTCCTTAAAGAAGCAACAAAGCATGGCGTTTTTGTTCATGGAATTTGCTTCTCAAACGGGATACCTCAGCTTGCATTGGAACCATCAATTTAACTAGAATGGCACATGCAGTTTACCGCGTTCACCCTCCGTCCAACGGTCGCCGTGTCCTCCTTGCGTGCGGCCCCGGAAACAATGGTAAGCTTGCACCATCATTGCGTATGCTTGCGGAACTGGGAAGATGGTTTAACGGGTAAACCTTAGGTGGTGACGGCCTCGTTGCCGCAAGGCACCTTAGCCATTACGGGTACCAGCCGACGGTGTATTATCCAAAGCGAAGCTCAAACGAGCTTTACCACGTAAGTGAACGGTTTATATTTTCTTTTGTCTGACGATGTCCTCTTCCAACCGTACTTGTCCTGTGCCACATTCCCACACCCTTGTTGGATTATCTGTCCTGAATATGACCCGCACTGAATTCCGTTATGGGTATACATATTTGTCGATTGTCTATCCGTGTTTGTGATATGACACTGTTGAGTTCAAAGACAGGCGCTAAGTGTTGGATGTTGATATCGTTATCACCCCTTCGGGGCCTTCCAGTACCCCCCCCCGCGCCCCCTCCACTTTACCGTCGTTGTTCTTGATTTTTCCGGCCATGTTGTTGTGTAGCCTCGCCACTGTCGCTCCAATTCGTTCTTGCCTCCATCTTTGATTGTCATCGTACTGACTGGCCGGTGCATAGCGTCTGGCGAAGCAGCTCGAAGACTTGAATGTCCCTTTTACCGATGACTTCACAGCCGCCCTCAGTGCGACCGACCATGTCGTCGATGCGATCTTTGGTTAGGTCGAAACCTCCTTCCTTGGTGAAGCTCGGCTATGATGATGTTGATACAGACTTGCTGATTTCGGTTCAAACTTTATATGACCAGGCTTCAGTTTCTCCGGAGAGGTCAGGGAGCCCTTCCCGGCAGTCATAAAGGCCTTGGAGGACACAAAGATCCCCGTGACATCGGTTGATGCTCCGTCGTCGTGGAGTATTGAGGACGGCCCGCCGGAGTCAGGAGTTGGGAGCAAATTCCACCCTGCAGTTCTCGTCAGCCTTACTGCCCCCAAGCCCCTCGTCAAGCACTTCAAGGGCCGTCACTTCATCGGAGGAAGGTACGATTCACTCACACTCATCCTTTGTTGTATGGTTGTTCTTCGTGTCCCTTTGGAGATCGGACCTGAGGTGCTGCTAGGCACGGCGGCACTGTCCGGAGCCGTATGATTGAAGAGCCTGACCCATTTTCCTTCTAGGTTCGTTGCGCCGTCCATCTCCTCGAAGTACGACTTCGATGTCCCCCAGTACGAAGGCATCGATCAAGTCGTCGAGGTGGGTAATAGTTTCTCTGCCGACAAGAAACTGTAGGGCTTGGGGCCGGAACGAAGCCAAGTGTACCCAACGACGATTGTGGCTCCACTGATCATATAACCTGACAGCCCCCGGTTTGGCTGTTCGGACAGACGGGACTTGGACAATTTCCTTCCGGCATCTCAGTCACATCCATCCTCGTACCGACAGGACACTTCACCAGTGGAGGATGGTACTCATGGCAGAAAGCGATATAAGTCAGGTAGATTTTCCCGCAGGCTGGGCAGTCAGCGATGTGCTCAGTGCACATTAAAACTGTCTTGGACCCCGCAGAGAATCCGAACAAGGGGAAAGATTGAGAAGACGTTGCTGGCAACTGAAAGTTGGTTGTCACCCTTGACTGGTGCTTCCCCCTTCCCTTTTGTTGTCTGTCGTCGCCGGCCCTGGTTTGGTTGCTTTCGGTTCCTTTTGTCGTCTCCTGAATCGACGTTGTTTTCGATGTCCTCTTCCCTTTGTCGCTGTGGTTCGTTGGAATGGCTGATGTGACGATGTTTTGTTGTTGACGAACCGACGGTGTCGACTGGTCGGCGTGCTGTGCGTGCTATGGTGACTGCCGCGGTGTGTTTTCGAATGTGCTGATTTCCAACCCGGTAGAAATCCACACACCGTCCTGGCGGGTGTGCTTATTTCCCTCTCGACTCGGCACCTATTCGACTTTGTTGTCCGCTCTCCGTCGTGGGCGGGGCATCCGCGTCCCCCTTGTTTGTTGCTGATGGACACGACTGAATTGAAGAAAAAAATCAAATCAAATCAAAGTGCAAGATACAACTTGGGTGTCGGATGCTGAGGAGCGATGGGCATCAACGGACGATTCTCTCCGGCCAAGGCGTGGCTCGTCAGAGAGATGAATGTGGCTCCTCCCCGGTTTTTCATCCGGCACGATTTGCTTCCCGCGTCTGGCTGTGGTTCTCCTTTCTTGTCCCTCACACTCCCGCCCTACCTTTCAGCGTGCCCCTGCTGTTTTGCCTCCACAGAGGTAACCCCCCTTTCCCTCGATGCACGTCTTCCTGGAACTAGCAACGGTCGTGTGGCTCTTGCAGTGCAAAGGACACGTGATGCAGAGATAACGTTATGGGTTGTGCTGTAAGGTGTTCTAGGTGCCAATGCTTACCAGCCGTCGTTTGTTGTGTTGCTGCTAGTTGTTGTGGCATTCCGGATATGTGCTCGCTTCTCGGTCGGCTGTGTCTATTCTTTTGCAGGATGGATGGCTATGTATGACGGCCTTCTGCCAGGTGTGTTAACCTGCTACCTGTCTTGTGTCTCGGTAACGAGGCCTGTGTGCAAGCCGTTAGCCTGCTGCTTGTTACCTCCCTTCCCTCTCTCTGATGCTGTTGATCCTGCTTTGCCCAGTGCGGTTGGTTGATCGGTGCTTTGGTTTTCACCCAACCAAGATCACCTGCCGGCCCGGCGGAGACGTGTGGCGAGAGGAGGCATACTCTAGCGGTGGCATAAAGAGGTATCGAGGAATCTTACAGGTGGTACATGGGGCGAAATTATGGTTCAAGAGTGAGTGGTCCGAGAATGGACAGGGCTGAAGAGGGAAACTAAAGTGCCCTTCAAAGTTGAAGTCTTGAACGTCATATTCGGAGGCGAGGGGCAAAGGCGTTGGAAGACACCAGGAACACCCACCGGGTACGCCCACCATAAACACACACCAGGGTCACCAGGAACACGAGTGTGCTTTGCCACATTGTCTACAAAGACCCCTTCCTCTCCCACGCCCCTCTCCCTCCCGCTGATCTATTACTACGAGAACGGCCTACCTGGAGGCGGCGGTAAGATTATGTCCTTGCATCGTCCGCCAGCAGCCGAAATGCCTTCTCTCTCAACTCGCTACTTTTATTTTTATGGCCCCTATGCTGCATACTAAGACCTTGTACACAGGCCCCAAATGGAAGCGGAATCGAAGGACGCCCTTCACCCACACTTGAACAGCACAAGACAACACGCCGGAGCAAATGCTCCTTCTCGTGTCTGATAGGCCAGGCGCAACTGGGGACGCTGACGGGCGGGCTTGTTGCGGGCCGGAGAGCAGAACGTTTGCGCATTCTACTTTACGTTTCTTTGTCGTAGATTGGCATACCGATCGGGATGGCATTGTCTGCTTTTCGGTTTTCTTTTTTTGTGTGCATTTTTGTGGATATCGTTTTTCCCTTCTCGTCCAAATCGTCTCTTTTGTCTGCAGTGATCCACAAATACCGAAACGCATTTTATGTATTGTGCGGGACAGAGGCGATTCCGCCATACGAACGGGATGGAACTGCATTCGCTTGAACATATTCGTAGATACACAGTTCACGGAGCCTCTTGCAAAAGTCATCACGTCGTATGGCCATACTCGTCGACTCCACTAAGTGGTGTTGGAAGGCGCTTACGACGAAAAACCCGTATTTTTTGTCAGTAATTGCTGTGCTTTGTACGACGCGCGCAAAGTAACACGCTTGCAAGGTTTGCGGAGGTTTTTCTTCGTCTTCTTTTTTTTCTCTTTTTTTTTCTCTTTTTTTTTCTCTTCTTTTTTGGCGTGTGTGTATAATACCTGCTTTCATGGCGTTTTGTTCTGGCTCGGCGCTTTTTTGTTCGTTATTCAGTGCCGGTTTGCGTCGCTTCCGCTTTTGCATGTGGATGTGGTGCAGCTTAAACTCTGAAGGGCAGGCGGCATCCTTTAACTCTGCGCCAGTGGAACTCTCTCCACTAAACTCACTAAACTCACTAAACTCACTAAACTCACTAAACTCACTAAACTACACCCACCCTTAGCCACCCCCATCTACTCGTAGCCCGTATGGAACACCAGAGGAAAAGCGTCAGAATAACGAAAATCGGCAACGGTCATGAAATCCCAGTTTTCGTCATAGCCTTTATCATCTGCTGTGGCGGCAGGCTCCACCCCTTACGGATGCCCCTGGAGAGCAATATTGGCGCGCCACAGGCCTTCAAAGGCATTATTTTCCTAGCGCACTCCGCAGGCCCTGGTTCATATTTTTCATCCATGTGTCCAATGCTGCGGTGCTTTTTTTCTTTCCTTTTTTCTTTCCTTTTTTCTTTCTTCAGTGTTGTCGTTAGTTTTGTAAGTTATCACTGCTTTATCCCCCCAACTCTGCGAGCGTCTCCATATTTTTGGATCTTCCCTTCCCCTACGACAAGCACTCCATTTTCTTCACCATTTATATGTCCAACAGCCATCTCCCCTCCCTGTCGCCTGTTTCCCCGACGTGTCCTTCACGCTTGTCCACCAAGAGGGCGCCGTGATTTTGTGTCCGGCTGCCGCAACAGTCTGTTGATGGGCACGATATTTCCATCGAGATTCTGCAGGACACTCGGGAACCCACCCTGCAGCTGAAGCTGATCAATCAGATTGAACCGAAACTGCACCAACTCCCGCGTTTCAGAACGGGATTCAACATATCCATGCTTATGTCTACTTTTCGTCTGAACTCACCGGATGGAAGGTCCATAAAGGAAAGATACCATGAACTTGGGATCCTGGCACCTCGACAACACAGAATGCATAACCCCCACCTTCATGGTGCGGCAGTGATAGCATGCATATCTACACCGTCGTTATCAAAGGATGGGCTCGACGTCGTACATCTGTAGCACCATGTCGTTTCGGCCGGGAACGACGTCCATTGTGTCTGTCATTGCTACTCTGCCTGTGAAAACGCGGCTCTTTGCGGCTCTCGGTATTGGCCACAGGTTGGCAGTTGGGTCGTACGGTTCTCATTTCGTTTTAATTTCTTTTCAAAAATATTCTGTTTTGATGGTAGATCCCAGGCCAAGGTTCCCGAGGCGTTGGAACTGTCACAGCGTGACAGATGACAGATACGAGACAAACAAGCAAGGCTGCCAATTTCGCGTCATTCTCTGACAGCCAACGGCGTCTAAGCTGGCAACGGTCATTGGCTAGCTAGAGAACGAAACGTCAAAAATCCTGGCCAAAAGGCTCCCGCTAATATCATTTTTTCAACCGGTGGCCAGCACGCCACCACTGCCCCACGTTGCTAAGAAACTGGAAAATCTCGAAAGTGCATCGAGAAGTGTACTCTTTGAGGCTGTTCGAGACCAAAATAACAAGTCGCCTCGGTCGCCATGGTCGCCTTAAGAAAGCTAGAGGCCGGATGTTGACAAAACAACCAAACAAAAAAAAACAAAAAAAAAAAACAAAGAAACGAACAAACAACCCCATACTACTGTAAAGTGGTTCGACTCCAATACTTTGAAAATTGTCCGAACAAAACTTAAAATCAAGGAAGAGGCGAGCACAAGAAAGAATGGAAACCAGGCTCCAGGATACAACAAAGGGACGCCACCTCGGGTGATTGAAATGAATTGCAATGAGTCCCATTTCCAGCTTTCAGAATCCAATAGACGGAACTGAGACTGACAGGAAGTCCTGGCAGTCCACGTGTCCCCGGAAAGTGAAATAAGGTCAGCAGCCACACATCAACGACAGCTCGACGGCGTATTATTTTGTTTTTACATGGTTTGTAGTTGTCCCGTGTTGGATGAAACGGGCTCTAAAATGGACTAGTTCTCGGGATTCCAAACGAGCAATGCCGGCGCCGCAGCGCGGGGAAAGACATCAGGTTTCCGTTTGACGTTCTTTTTATTTCCCATGTTTATTTACGACGGACTCTACCTTTTGGCAGACGTCCTGGTGGTTACCAGGAAACGTTGTCTCGGTTGTGCCACCGAGAAATCATGACGAAACTGGCCTAGAACAAAAGCTTGCATATGCTTCTCTCCACCCTGGTCACATTGCCACATTGCCACAAGAGCCCACACTGTGGCCAAATAATGCCTTGGCTGGCCTGTTGACGTATCTTATACTCTTGTCGATCTAGTTTTTGGGGAGGGCCGCACGGCCGTCTCAAGATTCAACATTCCTTAATGTCGCCGTTGTAAATCCATAAAAAAGTTGCTTGGCAAAACCCACCAAGGCCAGGTAAAGGGGCAGATAATCCATTACTCAACAGAAATACGGACTTGCCAGCTTTTTTCAACTGGTCAAATATGGCAGCCTTGACGGCGAGGTTCTAGATCCCTGCCACGAGCATCTAGAGCCTCCAAGTCAAAGATTGATGCTTTGCCAACAACAGCCTTTCTTAGGAGATTGAGTGCTTGCTCGTATTCTGATAACGGCCGTGGCGAAATACTTGACGATCGAGAACGGACCAAGGCATTCGTTGGCTGTGACCAGAAAGAAAATTATACATGTTTGAAGTCTTTGTTTCTTCATATGTTTAACAAGCTTCACATGAGCTGAGTCTGTAGCGGACCCTGAAGACACTTTTGTCTTATTTATTCATAATTTCCTCGTGAAAATGGACTTTACAACCAAGCTGAAAGAGGTCATTTCGTGTTTTACGTACCAAAGACAAAAAAAAGGACAAAAACAGACATCTATATATGGATATCTTGCGAGGAGCTTGAAGACAAAGTAAAATGAAACCGCCCAAAATTGATTCGCTCTGGCTTACTCTACAGTACATTCTCGACCTTGCCCCTATTTGAGCCCGTCTTCCACTTTTCATGACTTTCTTGTCTGGCTTGGCCGGTTCATGAGGTCGGCGAAAAAGGCCGTCATCTTCTCCGTGTCGACGTTCTCCGGCGCCAGGGATGCACCGTCGACGCCGGTTCCTGCACCCGCACCGGCGGCGGCACCACCTGCTACACCGGCACTGATGGCAGACCCGTCGGGGCTGCCCGGTTCTGGGGATGCCGAACCATATCCATGGCGGTTCTACACGAGTGCAGAGTTAGCATGCATTTTGTGAATTCTTGCGTAGCAGAGTAGAGGCAGAAGTGTGGTTACCTTGATCCGCTCCAGCATGTCGTCGGCGTCGACTTGGATGCCGCCGAGGTTAAACTGCACAGGGCCAATGTGGCTGCTGATGACCTCGGCGGGATCGTCCGCGCTCGCCAGCGCATTGGAGCCGCTGCCGCTGCCCATGGAGCCGTCCCGGCGCTTCGACTCTTTGGCCTCCTTGTCGCGCTTGGCCTCGTCCTTTTGGCGGAACTGCTCGAGCAGCTTGAGCTGGTCGCCAAGGAAGAGCTGCACGTCTTCGGTCTCGACCTCGAGCTGCTGGCGCCGACGGCGGCGGCGGCGCTTTTGTGTGCCGGTCTCGTTGCCGTCTGCATCGTCCTCGTCCGCGTCGAGATCCCCGCCTGCCAGTGCCAACACATCCATGCCCGGGTCGCGGATGGCACGCTCGTACTGTGACACAGCCGAGTCTGGGTCCTCGTCGTCCTCTTCGTAGTCGTCGTCGTCGTCGCCGCCGCCGCCAACGGGTTCCGGGCGATCGCCGCTTCTGCTGCCGTTGGCAAACCCGTTCTCGCCTTGGCCCTGGCCCTGGCCCTGGCCCTGGCCCTCGAGCGTGTATTCGTCCCGCTCTGGAAGCGCGCCGTCGAGTGGTGGTGATCTTGTCCGCGTGCCGGGTTGCTGTGATGCGTCGTTCTTGGCGTTGGCGCCGTTGGCATGGCCTGCCGCCTGGGCCTGCACGACGGGGTAGGGCCGCTGCAGGTCGATGGACCAGCCCGCGCTGACCTTGTCGACCTCGAAGCCCTCGCGCACCACCAAGATCTTGGTCCACGAGTCCCAGTTGGACGGCACGACCACCTCGGTGCGCTTGATGACCTCGGGCTTGAGCGGCGGGCGCTTGAGCAGCGACGTCACGCCCAGGCAGGCGTGGATGAGCGTCGGCAGCTGCGAGGGCATGCTGGGCGTGGTGTAGATGAGCGAGGCGCCGTGCTTCACCAGGACGGTGCGCAGGTACTGCAGCACCAGGTCAAACTCGTCGTCTTTCCAGCCCTGTGTCTTTTCCAGCACGTCCGTCTTCTCGGCGTTCTGGCACACCACGCACAGCGGCAGGCCCAGTGCGTCCTCCCACTCGCCCGGCCCCGGCGGCAGCGCGTCGCCGCCGTCGCCACTGCCCCCAACACCATTCCACTGCTGCTGCCGCCGCCGCCGCTGCCGCCGCCGCTGCCGCTGCCGCTCGACCCTGTGGCAGACGCGGTTGTCGTGCCGTCCAGGTTGCGCGAGCCGCCGCGGCCGCGCTCGCGCCACTGCTCCATGACCTCCTCCAGCGCCTCCTTGGCGGCCGGGCTCAGCGACACCAGCACGGTGCGCAGCAGCAGGATCCACTCGCGCAGCTGGCGCAGCCACCGCCACGGCTGGGCCCAGTCGAGCAGAATGACAATCAGCGTGTTGGGAATGGTCTCGGGCGTCAGCAGCGGCTGCAGCAGCGCGCTGAACGCGGGCGACGGTTTCGACAGCAGGTACAAGGAAATGCGGGCGAGGATGTCGCCGTCCTGGTCGGCGTCGAGCACGTCGTAGTACGTGTAGCCGAGGGCGAAGTTGTTGGCGACGGGCGCGCCGCCGGGCAGCGTCGGGTCGCCGCCGCCGCCGCCGAGGCTCGTAGACGACCGGCGGTCACCCAGCGACGTGAGAAACTCGCGCTGCGAGTCGACGGTGCCGCCCAGCACGAGCAGGTTGCGCTCGGGCAGCTTGCGGCCGCTGGCGACGGAGTCCAGCATGGAGTTCCACAGGTCCTTCTTCGGCTTGCCACCGCTCCCACTGGTGCCGTCAGGCCCCGCCGCAGACGCAGACACGCTTGCATTGTTGCCGGAGCCGGCCGACACGGAGGTGTAGGTGGAAAAGCGGTTTGTGTTGGCCATGTTGCGTTGTCGGTGTGGGAGACGAGGAATGTCGAAGTAAGATGGTTCGTTGTGCCGGTGCGATGGAGAGCAAGTCGTGGCGTGCGTGCTAGCGTGCAAGTAAAAAAAGTATAGCGACGGAGAGCTGTCGTCGGGGACGGGCTGAACGACTGAACAACGTGTATCGTCAACAGACAAAAATGGTGTCGAAAATGGATCAGGGGAGAGCTAAGTCAGGAGAAGTGCCGTCTAGCGTGTCGCGGCCAGTGGAGATCGGCAAGATTGAAAAAGTCAACAGTCGACGGCCGACGTCGTGCAAATGCGCTGGGGTATCGTCGGGTATCGTGGGGAGTGGCGCTCGTTCGCCTCGGGGCCGCCGGTGCTGGTCGTCTGTCACCAAAAACCGGCAAAAGTGAAGCTTTCCAGAAGACGGGTGGATGTTTCTGATTTTGGCGTCACTGCACCCATTTGCGGTCGCGTTATTGGTGCAAAGGGGGCCACCAGCCAACGGCTCTGGACGGGGAAGGCACGGCTGTGGGTAGCCTCGCTCCTCGGTAGCCCCTGCAGCTCGAGTGGGCCCCTGACCTTGAGGCCCACTTTTCAAATCACAGGTGCATCGAACTCACACAACGGCATCCAACATACGATCATTCTTTGGAGAGAACGTGATGCGTACGTGATATGTCAGACAGTTTTCAAAGTCGCAGAATTCAGTGCTCACTGCAATCCTTTTGTTGCTGGCATTATCATCGTGGTATTCTGTGGCCATACCTAATCTCATGCAGCAACCTTGCCATGGTCGAAATTGCCAACTCGACTTAATTCGGCTTATCCCTGGAGCGCTTTTCGTATTGATGGCCGCTCAAAGATGGGAGAGACGGATTTATTCTCACTCTACACTTGCACGGATTGGGGCCGTCTCTCGCCGCTGTGGTAGCCGTGTGAATGACCACCAAGATGGTTGATCTAACGGCACAATCCGAGCAGATGCTGTTTGATGCAATGCCACAGAATGTCCTGAGCTTTGCCAAGCACCTGTTCATATAGTCGACGAGCCGATCGAGAACGGTATCGCTGCGTGCCGCTTGTGCTAGGATCCAGTACTGGAGAGATGCATGCGACTGGAGGACCTTGTCCAAGACCGCCGGGTGTGGATGCCAGCTACGCTGTCCTTCTAGGCCAGGTCGTGAATGCCGTACGACAGGCAGCCTTCGACTAATGGTCCTGGGTGGCCGATCAGCCTGAGCGAAACGCGCTATCGGTTCCGCGTGGAAGCTCTCTCACCTAAATGACCCGGTGCTCGGATTCGGCCGGCAAAACTGGCAGAGTAACATCCGCGGCCTAGTAGCCAGCCACCTGGCGTACACGGACCTCCAACACTGGGTCGGGCAAGAGACGACAGACATCACATTCATTGACGTCGACGGTCTGCGCACGGCGATGCCGATCGACAAGGGATATCTCGCGTCTGCCGTCTGGGCTGGAACGGAGCCGCATTACTTCATCGAGGTCAAGACGACAGTGAGCTCCGCTATTGGAACGCCGCTTTTCATGAGCAACCACCAATCCACCAATATGACAGGGTCGGTAACACCCGGATGCCCTGGTTTCCAGGCGTGCCGTGAAGAAAATGACGCAACTAACACTTTGATAGATCCAGAACTTGGCCTACCACTCGGCCACGAGCCATACAGACATTGAGCCAGAAAACGAGAAAATCTACATCGTTGATCCATATTTTACCTCCTACCACGCCTTGAGCTCGGACCAACCTCATCACGGGCCACGGATATTCCCTGTCCGGATGTTATTGCCACGCCGAATAGAAAATGGATTCATAGAGCACCCAGATTTACGGTTTCCTCTCTGGACTGGCCATTCCTTGCTTGTCTTTTGTAAGTCTCCCCAGATTGTTTTTGTCATTTTCACTCCCTAAGGCGTTCTTCTGTGCAACGCGTGATGAAGTTCCCATGGCTTTGCTCCTGTTGGAACCCGTACAGGTCATCTTTTTTTTTTTTTTTTTTTTTTAACACCGACTCCTACCAATGCTTTTACTCTTTTACGTATCCTTAACACTGCATAGCCGTCTCCTCGCCTTCTCCACTTGCCGGCCCGGCCCCGATCCGAAACTTGTATCCCCAACCCCGCGTTTCTTGAGGCTGGTTTCCCAGAAAACGTCTGGGGTCTACTTGTTTCAGTACTCCGGAAAATGATACGCAGACATCACTTGGCGTTAGCGAGGATGAACAAACGGCTTCATCACTGCCTTTCTTGTATTCTTTTATTCTTGTTACGGCATGCTCAAACCAGCTGAATGGATTGGTGTTTTCCTCTATTGCAATACCCGCAGTTCCCTACAAAGACAAGGACACCACGATATGTCTCATGAGCCGTCCGTCCGTTATGCCGGAGAATAGAATATGTGCACACCTGTAAATCCCAGTCGAGTAACATGAACGTCGACAAACATACGCGGAGGCCTTTGACCTAGCCATATGCGTGTGGTCGTCCAATGTAGGGTGCTCCTGTCCCAGTATCTCCTCTTATGTGTAGAAGTCGAGCCCACTTTGCACACGGCCATGGCTTACCGTCCCTATAGAAGAGGATGATCCCTTTGTCCTTTTTGTCCTTTTTGTCCTTGGCAACAGAAATGACCTGGCCTGCTATCGGCGTATCTGCAAATTCTATATCATGCTAGACCATTTCTACTGCTGTTCCTCATCCCTGACAGTCGACCCTGACATAAAAAGCAATGCACATCCCCGTTTCTTGCTGATCTTTTCAATTCCTCTTCAACCAGTATCTCTTGTCTTGATCTCGTTCATTTCTTCCTTCTCTTGTATTCTTATGCCCCTGTACCATCGCCCTTCCAATCCTTCTCCTTATCCTCGTCTACCCTGTTGCCATCGATCCCTTTATCATGGCAGACATCTCCGGGAGGTCTGGCAGCAAGTCGGAGACCGACGTGGTGACGCACGTCGAGCATGACAGCGGCCTAGACCAGAGCCGTGACCAGATCCAAACACAGCAGCATGGTCACGACGGTGACAACAGCAACAACAACGATGTGCCGGCCTTTGAAAAGACGGCGCTCGGCCGTACGGAAGACGACAATGTGGTTGGTGCCGACTTTGCCGTGGCCGACGACCAGCTGCCCGCCGGCTACTTCCGCAGCCTAAATTTCGTGGGTTCCATGCTGGCCATCGGGCTGTCCTTTTGCTGCGGTGTCGGCGGCTTCTCGCTGATTGCTCCGGTGCTGGGCATTGTCAACGCGGACATTGGGCCCGACCCGAACCTGACGTGGGTGTCCATGTCGTACCTCCTGACCAGCTCGATTGGCCTGATTGTCGTCGGCCGCGTCACGGACATCTTTGGCCGCCGCTGGTGGTTTGTCGGCGGCAACGCGATGGGCACGCTGGGCGCGATTGTCTGCGCGGCGGCGCCCACCATCCCGGCGCTGATTGCGGGCGAGACGCTGATCGGCGTGGGCGCATCGGTGCAGCTGTGGGCGAGATTGTGCCGCTCCAGTGACGGTTCCTGGCGCAGGCGTACGTCTTTGTCTGGAGCATTCCCGGCAGCGGCCTGGCGCCGGCGATTTCGTATGCATTCATCTACCAGACCAAGGCCGGGTGGCGCGGCATCTTTTACTTTTTGATTGCGCTAAATGCCATCACGACCGTCCTCTTCTACGTGTTCTACCACCCACCGACCTTCCATATGAAGCACGCGTCGGCCAACAAACAGGCGTTCATCAAGCACTTTGACTACCTGGGCATCGTTTTGGTGACGCTCGGCCTGCTGCTGTTCCTCATGGGCATCTCGTGGGGCGGCACGCTGCACCCATGGAAGAGCGCGGCGGTCGTTGTGACGATTGTGCTGGGGCTCCTGACCATCGTGGCGTTTGTGCTCTGGGAGACGTACGGCAACCCCAAGGAGCCCATGATGCCGATCCACGTCTTCCGGCACCGCGGCTGGAACATCACCATTGTCCTGTGGTCGCTGGGCGCCGCCGCCATCTACTACGCCAACGCCATCCTGTGGCCCAGCATGGTCGCCGCGCTGTACTCGGAGGGCCACAGCCGCATGTGGGCCGGCTGGATGTCGTGCATTCCCGGCTGTGGTATTCTGGCGGGCGAGTTTTGTGCGGCTGCGTTCAGGCGCAAGACGAACTGGCAGATTATGGCCGTGTTCCCGGTGGGGGGCGTGCTGCTGGGCGTCATGGCCACGAGCACGCCCGACACGGTCGTGCGCTCGTCGGCGCTCATCTTTTTTGCGTCCTTTTTCATCGGGTGGAACGAGCTGCTCAACTCGACCGTCGCCACCATTTCCATCCAAGACCAGCGCGAGATTGGCACCTATGCCGGCACCGGCGGCTCGTCGCGCTCGCTCATCTCGACCGTTTGCTCCACCATCTACACGACCGTCCTGTCCAACCGCCTGGCGCACACCATCCCCGCCAAAGTACCTGCTGCCGTTGTGGCTGCCGGCCTGCCCGAGCGCTCCGTGGCCGCGTTCCTTGCCGCCATCCAAGCCGGTACTGCCACTGCCTGGGACGCCGTCGCTGGGCTGACGCCCGAGATCCGGACAGCCGGCATCCGCGCCTACCAAGACGCCAGCGCCTCGGCGTACAGCACCGTCTTCCTGACGACGATTGCGTTTTCCGGTCTCGGCAGCATCCTCGCCATCTTTGCGCCCAACGTCGACCACCTGCTGACCAAGAGCGTCAACATTACCGTCAATGTGGGCGACCTGGATGCAGCCGTGGGAGTGGCGCAGGAGCAAGAGAAGGGCGTCAACCAGTCGGCCGTGTAGGGTTCTCGGTGACATGTGACGGACGTAAGCAGAATTATGTGTGTGATGCTCGTGGACGGGTACCAGTTGACAAATGTACATGCTACGACATAATCCATCGGACAGTGACAGCTGAATGAAGCAAACAAAAGATCAATGTTCCTCGTTGACAATATGCTCAATCATCACGACCTCTTAGAGATACTATATTTTTACGTCTCCACAATTCGGGGAAACTCCATTGTTCTCGCTCCTCGGCCGTCCTCTCGGTTGCTCTTTCCCGCAAACAGCACCGTGGCCTACTCGATCCCACTAACACGCGCTGTGCCTAGTCCGTCCGGGTCTCAACACCCTCTTGAACTCATCAGGAGTGTTAGGAGTTCCCGACTCCGCGCCGCCGCGAGGTAGTCTTCCCACGATCTCATGAGTTTCCGTTAGTAGACTATCCGTAGTCGTGCGGGGACTGTGTGTGCCCAGGAAGCTGGAGTAGGCAATGTTAGTTGTAAGCCATCGGGTATCGATGGACAATTCCGCTACGGGCAACAATAAAACAATAAAACAGAGCAGGGCCTCCTCTTCGTTCTATTCTTTTTGCTATTCTTTTGCTTCTTGTTTGCAGTACGATAAATTCTCTCTCCTTTTTAAAGCACTTTATCATGGCCGAAACACGAGTTGCAATCATCACCGGCGGTGGTAAGTCGATCTCCCTAATCTCCCTGATCTCTGCTTCTGATAATCCCCTAACCCGCACAGCCAGCGGCATCGGCCTGGCCACGGCAACGGCCCTCGGCGCGCGCAAGGCCGGCTGGGAGATCCACATCCTCGACTACAACCCGGCGGCTGTCAAGGCCGTCGACGGCGTCGTCGGCGGCGTTTTCCACCAGGTCGATGTGACGGACTACAAGGCTCTGGGCATTGTTTTCCGCGACATCTTTCGACTGCACATGCGTATCGACTTTGTCTATGCCAATGCCGGCGTGGGCGAGCGCGCCGACGCGTTCTACGACCGCTCCGAGGCGTCTAACCGCGACGAGCCGCCGCCGCTGCCCAAAGGCACGCAGACGATCATCGACGTCTGCCTGACGGCGGCCACGACGACGGCCTACCTCGCGCAGCACTATTTCCGGCTGTCGCCCGAGTCGACGCGGGGCGAGCGCGTCCTCACGTTCACGGCCAGCTGCGGCGCGCTGTACCCGTCCTTTAGCAGCCCCGTCTACACGGCCACAAAGCACGGCGTGCTGGGCCTCATGCGCTGCCTCGACCGCGTCATGTGGCGGCGCGACGCCGTCCGCGTCAACGCCGTGCTGCCCGGCACCGTCAAGACGAACCTGCTGACGGCCGAGCTGTGGCAGCAGTTCCCGGAGGAGTACTTTACGCCCGTCGCGCAGATCGCCAAGGCCGTCCTCGTCTTCCTCGACAACAAGGACCCGGCGCGGCCCGACCTCGACGTGATCAAGGGCCAGGCCATAGAGTGCTCGGGCCAGAACATGCACTACCGCGACCCGTATCCGTTCTGCGACCCAGGCATGGAGCGCGTCATGGCGGCGACAGACACGGGGAAGTAGGCCGGCATACGGAAGCGGGGGGACAGGGTGGAATCGAAAATTGGTATATAGGATGGAAATACATTATAGTCTACTGGCATGACACCTTTGTCTGCCTGCTACCTAGACCCGGAAATAGGGCTTGCACGCCGCCTTGACCACGTTCCACGCGTCGTCAAACGCCTGCACCACCTCGTCCGGCAGAGGGCCCTTCTCCAGGCTCGCCAGATTGTCCTCGAGCTGCGCCGCACTGCTGGCGCCGATAATCACTGCGTCGCCGTGCTCTTTCCGCAGCACACTGTGGTGGCTGACCCAGCGCAGCGCCGCCTCGGCCGTCGGAATACCGTGCGCCTTGGCGACGGGCCGCACCACGTCCAGCGCGTCAAAGTAGGCGTCGTTCCAGTACCGCGTGCGGTAGTTGGTGCCCTGCGTCCTGGCCGGGTCGAAGCGGCTGCCGGGCTCGACGTCGGCGGCCGTGTCGGCGCGCGTGTAGCGGTCGGTCAGCAGGCCGCCGGCCAGCGGGTTGTACTCGTAAAAGGCGATGCCGTAGTGCCGCAGGCACGGGAACAGCTCCGGCTCGGCCGCGCGGTGCAGCGCGTTGTACACGCCCTGGTACACGTCAATGGCCTTCCAGCCGTGCCGCCGCGCCGTCTCGGCCATCTGCGCCACCTCCCATGCCGCGTAGTTGCTGATGCCAAACCGCCGGAAATACCCCTGCTCGTACAGCCGGTTCACCTCGCGCAGCGTGTCCTCGTACGGCACACTGCGGTCCGGCGAATGCAGGTACCACATGTCCACCTTGTCCGTCTGCAGCGCCGCCAGGCTTTCGCGGAGCGCCGGCTCCAGGTCGCTGGGGCGGTGCGTGTACGTGTGCGCCTGCGCGACGCCCCCGCCCCCCCGGCCTGGCGCCAGCTTCGTGTCCAGCACGATGCCTCGCTTGGGCAGATCCAGCTGGCCCAGGTACGTCTCCGACGACCCGCCGCCGTATGTGCGCGCCGTGTCGATTTCGTTGTGCCCGTGCTTCTGGAAGACGTCCAGGATCGTCGCGCAGTCCGACAGCTGGTGCACGCGTGCCTGTTCAGCGCCCGCCGTGCCAAACGTCATCGCCCCGAAGACGACCTTTTGTGCCGACGTAGCCATGGTGGGGAAGGGATCGTTCAATTGCTTTGCAACGGTCTGGTTTGTTTGGACGTAAAAGTGAAAATTGTGAGGTTTGTTTTGTTGTTTGCCATGTTCTTGTCCTGGCAGGAACGGATGGGCGCCTTCCCTTTTATATTCAATCTTCCCCGCGCGTCATCACGTCCCGCATCGGCTAGCCGGCAGCGGGCCAGCAACCGCTTCCTTCCCTTTTTGGGCGGGCTTTAGCGGAACTTAACTGGTTCATATCGCCGGTCGAGGAGCACGCCAAAAATTGTGTGCTTTTTAACCACGCTGGCGTGCATACAGATTGGCCCGCGAGCCTGTATTCTCCTATCTCGCGTAGCCGCGAGATTCGAGACAGGGACCGAACTGTCGTCTGCAAGTGGAACCAGACACGAAAGAGAGGACCGCGGGACACGACCAAGGAAAGCACTTGACGGTGGGATTCCATCAATCCATTCCGGATTCGTCAGCGCAAGGTGCCTGCCGTTTAGAATCCATCCCGCCCGGCAGTGGCCGGTTAGGCTGTCAGACGGGAAGGCCGTGACTGACGAATAAAGTATGCCGTACGCCTAGTAAACTTAGAGAACGAGATGCATAAAACAAATCGCTTAGAATGCAAAATGCAACTAAAGTTTGCGCAGTAGTGGAGGGTGCACTCCTTTGAACGGTGCAGTGCTGTAATGGACTGAAAGCCGAACTTGGCTATTGCCTGTCACCTGATGCATTTTCCAAAGGAAATTCCAAAGGAAAGACAATGCCTAAATTATGTGCTCGCCCGTACGTGCCGTCCATACTAGCCAAAGTTGCATTTCCAATTCGTCCGGCACTACGGACGTGCAAGACTGACAAATGGGGGAACGGTGCGCCATCGCGCCATCGAGCTTGTTGGCGCGGTTGAAAGAGTGTGGTGCGTGCCCTTGCGATTGACCAAGATATAAAATAAAGAGCATGGACAGTGACGATGAATTCCAAACTCAAAGTGCTTTGCGATCTTCATGAACCACTGCTGAATGGTCCGGGAGGTTAAACATCAACAAACTGAATCAGAACGTCTCACGTCAACCATTCACTTACACGACCATCAAATATGACGACAACAACAGTAAGCTCACCCCAACCCCGATCCAACTACTGTTAACCCAGTGCTAACCCACCGCGTAGTCGTACCAAGCCGCCGACGGAAGCTTTGTGCGCCCGGACAGCGAGTTCCGCCAGACCATCTCGAGCGAACCCGGTGCTCGCTACCCGCCGGAGAAGGGCCGCTACGCTCTATACTTTGCGCCGGGATGTCCATGGGTATGACTTTCTTCTTTCGTTTGTCGCTTCCCTCATTTCTTTTTTTCTCGTCTCTTTTTTCCTTCCTCCCTTCGTTCCTGACCATCCTTACAGGCCCATCGCACACTCATTGTCCGCAAACTCAAGGGCCTCGACGACATTGTCGACCTCTACCAGCTGCACAGTTTCATGGGCCCTGAAGGATGGTACTTTAGCGGCGAGGGTGGCTCGCTGCCCAAAGATCCGCTGTACGGCTTCACCAAGCTCAAGGAGCTGTACTTCAAAGCGAACCCAAACTACACGGGCCGCTACACCGTGCCTGTGCTCTGGGACAAGAAGACCGGCACGCTCGTCAACAACGAGTCGAGCGAGATCATCCGCATCTTGGCATCGGCCTTTGACAGCCTCCTGCCCGAGGCGCGCCGCGAAGCCAACCAGCCCGGCGGCGGTCTCTATCCGGCGGCCCAGCGCGCCGAAATCGACGCCCTCAACGACTGGGTCTACGCGACGGTCAACAACGGCGTCTACAAGATCGGCTTCGCCACCGCGCAGGCCGCCTATGACGAACACGTGCCGGCGCTCTTCGCGTCGCTCGACCGGCTGGAGGCGCAGCTAGCCGCCCACGGCAAACCCTTTCTCTTGGGCGACGCCCTCACCGAGGCCGACGTCCGCCTGTACACAACGCTCGTGCGCTTTGACTCCGCCTATGCCGCCGTCTTCCAGTGCACCCTCCGCTCGATCCGCCACGACTACCCGCACCTCCACCTGTGGCTGCGGTGCCTCTACTGGGACGGCGCCGCCGTGCGCGACCAGACCCGCGGCGCTTTCCACGCCACGACGGCGCCCTACATTGGCCACTACATCGAGGGCTATGCGCGGTCGCGGCACAAGGTGGTCTTCAAAGAACAGGGCCCACTGATCATTCCGACAGGGCCAGCCCAGCTGATTGAGCCCTTGCCGAAGGGAGAGGATTAACAAGTCCGGAATGCAATGTCCTAGAGATTGGATTACGTGGGGTCGGTGCCACTTGACAATCATCTTCGTGGCGCCATGCTTCGTTTGTTCTAGTTGCGCTCTTTTCAAAGTTGGCGACGAAAGTATGACTATATTATTTTAACTCGAAATGTATTGTTTTTATATATGAGGCGCACACATTATGTTCAAGGACTCAAAAGTCAAATCGCGTGTGCGTATCTCATAACGGAGCACATGGTTTCCACAATAGCTTACAAAAAGCTGGGGACCACGCCTCCTTTCTTTTGCCTGTCTCGCCAGAATACCACCTTCACCTCGTCCCTCGCCTTCTTTCCCATCCCTCGCGTCTCGCCTACGCACACCCCTTACTCGGGTCCGTGCTGATAATGGAAAATGCCGACGCCGTTAGATCCAGGGTCGTCTTCACCGAGCTGCTGCACGTGACTGTCGACGAGGTGCCACCCGCCAAGAAATCGAGCAGCACAGGATAGTCGCCGGGCTGCAGTGCCTGGGACGTGGTGGACGCGCTGTTTGTGACGGTGCAGATCAGCGGGAGGGAGGGATCGGCAGCAACGATACGGACATATGTGTAGAAGGCGTAGTAGGTGCCGGGGACGGTGGGGACGGTAACGCTGAAGGAAAAACCGCCGACATGGCTATTCGTGTCGAGAAAACGGACACAGGTGTTGCCACCACCAATAGGGCAGGCGACAGGATACGACTTGGCAATGTTGCTGCTGGATGCGACGTCGGTCGGTTGGTAGTTGGGTCCGAGCAGGTTGGTGTAGCAGGGAGGGAGTTGCGGCGGCGAGGAGGACGACGCGGCGGCCGAGGAGGACGAGACGGAGGACGGGATGATGGAGGAAGACGACGGTGTGTGGGACGGTTTGCACCGGGATGCTGCGACGGCGCCTGCCCATAAGAGGCTGCCGAGGACGACGATGGACGGAAATCTCATTGCGGGAGATGGAAGACGGGGTGCTGTCATGTGAAGTTGCTATGCAGGGAGATGGAGTCGTCGTTGATGCTGTTAAGAAGAAGACCTTGAATTCAAACAAGGACGAAGTGAGGAGTGGGAATTGATATTTTTTGTTTGTTCTGGGAGCAGGAGTCTGTTGTCCAGAGTAAGGTTACTAAATCGACTCCAACCCAACACTACGGTTCAGCTCCAGACCTTGTCCGCTTTTGTACACGAACATACCCTTGGGCACTTCATATCCTTTGCGAAGCGTTGTTTGGTGACATACACGAGGCCTTCCATTGGAAGTGTGGCGTATTCAACAGCTGGATTGGGATTATTTATTGGCTTGGCAGTGGACGAGGTCGAGTTAACGCGACCGAGCAGATGCGACCGTCCAGTAAAACCGCTGGCTTCGTAAATGGATATTATTTATTTATTATTTATTATTATCCGCTTTTCTCAATCAATCCTGTCTATTAACGTCTAGCTGGACAGACCCTCTAGGGAATAAACTGTCACAGAACTATATGGCGTGGTTGACTATGTAGTGCTTAGTACAAGGATACGTGGTGGACGATATTGAAATAAGGTGAGACGCCTTGCCCAGCCACCTCAACACTCACCAGCTGAATGGCGAAGCGTATCCATGACTATGGCAAGAGCATCCCGCCATTTCTGCAGGATGCTATCACTACCTAGTCGGTTGATTCGATGGCTGCCGACTGGAGTACCGAACAGAAGCTCCTGTCAACCTTCCTCTTCTTTTCCCTGAATTCTGGATGCCTTTGGCTAAAAGTATTAGTCATCCACAATTGTCAAATACAGTTGGCCAAAAACGTATGCATTATTGTGTATATGTGTAGAATCTCCGCCTGAATCCATAATTGCCTCAATTCTGGGATTTACCTTCCTAATCCCTGAATTGCGTCACGTGTGCTAGTCACATGTTGTGTCCCGTGACCTTCACTCCTCCTGGCACCACCAGCCCAGAAGGTCACGTGTCCTTAGATAGGTGGTCCTGCCCCTGAGAGTGCCATTCCTGTAGAATGGCATGCACATCATCCTACACAATCAAACTCAAAAAATAAGCGGTCAGCAAAGATATTTTGTTTCCATTAAGAACAGACATCATCAGTCGTTATTGTGACTTACACGACCGTTTATGGAAAAGACTAGCCCGCCATGGTGGAAAAGACATTCGAATTGGACGGGAAGATCATTGGATACGAGGAGGCCATTGATTGGGAAGACGACTTTCTTCAGAAAAAGACAAAGCACGACAAGAACCTTGCTTTTCTTCGTGACCTGTACCCCAAAGCTGCGTCGCTGGAGCAGCTTGTTGCCTTCTACCTCAAACTGGACTCGCGACGCATCGAGTGCAACGTGTCTGATTCTCTTCAGGGCGGATTTAATACGGTACTTGCCGTCCAGGTCCACGATACGCCAGAAAACAAATATACCAAGCAGCGCGATGTACGAGAACACGACTGGCCACAAGAGGGCCATAATGTGATTTTACGGTTTCCCACACCGGCGAGCTGTGGCGAGGACGTACACCCGGGTTCTATCCTGGAAAAGATGCGTTGTGAGGTGGCCATGTACGTGTGGATCCAACTGTACTGCCCGGACATTCGGATCCCGTTCCTTTACGGTTTTGGGTATCCCAACGGAAGACATGTAGGTTTCTTTTCTTTTCTCCCCCTCTGTCTCTGCACTCTTTGAGCAAGCTATGTTAATAACTAAAGTTTATCCATGCTCGCAGTGTTTCTTTCCTTCGCAGAGCTTGGCTTCGTATTCGCCAAACTATTGCCGGCGTCTGCGGTCGCCCCGTACCGTCGGACTACCTTCCGGTCACTCTCCCTTCATCTGTCAAGCTCCCACCCAACACCGGTTATTTGCTTCTCGAGTTCTTTGGTCCGTCTATGGGCACGCTGCTGAATGTGGCAGCAGATTCTCGGATTCGGCCACCGAGCGAGATTGATCCGGCAAAGAAGCAAAACCTCTACCGCTCCTTTTCACGAATCATGTTGTCTCTGGCCCGCGTTCCGCAGCCGCGTATTGGTGCCTTCCGCTTCAACGACGACGGCACCATTACACTGGACAACCGGCCGCTCGTTAGCACTATCACGATCCATGAGAGTGAGGGTGCCCCGCGGACGATACCCCCGAATCAGACATTCAGCCGCGTAGACGATTACATTGACAGTATGATCAGCTTCCACGAGCATCGGTTTCTGGCCGCGCCCCATGCCGTGGTGAGCAGGTTTGATGGTCAGCTCCAGATGGCCGCGTGGGTTTTTATTCGCTCCCTGCTGCCACACTTTGTCAACAAACGACGAAATACAGGGCCCTTTGTGTTGCAGTTGAGTGACAAGAACCCTTGCAACTTTATCGTGGACGACGACTGGAACGTGACGGCCATGTATGATCTCGAGTTCATTATCGCGGCCCCCGTCGAAAGCATGGACGCCCCGAGTTGGCTCGGCTGGACCTCTCTTGACGAAAACGCATCGACGGGGTATTCTGCATATGATGCGGAGCGCAGCGAGTTCATGGACCAATTTCAAGAGGAAGAGTTGCGCATGATCGGAACAGCCACTCCCCTTGGCGCACGACTAAGCGACGTCATGAATGAAAGTTGGCGGTCGGAGCGGCTCTGGCTGTTTGCGACCGTCCTCGGCCTCAATGGGGTCACGCAGCTCGCAGAACATCGTTTTGAGCCCCTCTTTGGCTCCAACGGGTTCCCACGAGCTTCTTCTTTGTACCGCATCTGGCGAATGGACGCCGAGGATGTGCTGGCAAAGAAAGAAGCCGACAACGACAGGTACTTAGCCCAGGTGGCCGCGCTATTTGGACGAGGCAATGCAGCGGGAAACAGCAAAGCAGCCGATGTAGTTCTCGCCGAAGAGGCACGATAGGCACCAGACCATTCAGCAAGGACAAGGGATAGATGCATCTTTGTGGTATGTTTAAGAGGAGGCGGTGAAGAAATTATTTAGAGAGTGCAATAGAGCCAGACAACTAAGAGTCATCATCGGCGTGCTCATCCTTCTCCGCCTGTCGGCGTCGTTCTTTATAACTCTCTCAGGAAAGCAACTATTTATGCCACATTCCTGCACCGGGCCACCAAAATATTGTAATTGGTTGATACTCGGCGGCAGATGCGGCAGAAGCAGGCACAAGGAGGCAGACGCAAGAGTGGTCCACTTGGGCAATTTGGAACCAGTGCTGACTGGCGGGTGCGCTACACGGAGTCTACTGCAGTAGATTTCAAAAGTGTTGTTTACTAATTGACAGACAAAATCACCATGGCCTCACTATCTGTTTGTTCATTGCCCGAGCTATACCAAACAATATAAGAAGAAAACTGTATCGACGCGCAGTACGAGTACATACTATATCTATGCACTTGGCATGCGCAGCCAAACGTTGAGGGATGAGAAGTCCGTTGTGGAACTGGCTTCCCGCGCGGATCGACCCGCCGCGTAGTGCCGCTATCATCGGCTCCCAAGACCAAGACACAGCTGTTCTGCAGCCACTGCCCAGCTAGTAAATAGCAAGAAGAACACAGAGGCAACACGAGCAAGCTACGGACAGCTATCTTCTTGTATCTTTCTTGTGGCTCATACCTTACCCTTGTAAAGCCGCACTCCGCAGGTGTGATTCAACCTAGAGGGGCATCCTGACGAGCTGTGATTGATGGGCGAAAACCTTGCCCACTCCCATAAAAGTACGGGTGGGCAGCCTGGCAGGATCCAAATATGTACACACTTGCCCGTACCTCGGGGCGCCGAAGAGGTCGAAAAAAGGACAGTTGGCACATCACAGTTGGAGGGCGGCATGCCTTAAGAAGCATACTCGTAGTTTCTTTTTTTCTTTTCTTTTCTTTTTCTTCTTTCTCGTTTACATTGCCCTTTTCAATTACCTATTACCGTTGTGCCACGCCCCTACTCTCCTAGTAAGTGCTGGCCACAGCACCCACTTAACCGTCCGTAATACCGCGCGGAGCTCGTCTACCGGCGGCCCGCGGAGTTCGTCTCCTCTCGTCGTCGATGCTTATCGTCAATAAACCGTTTCGCCTAAAAATCAATCTCTTGACTTAACCTTTCGTTGTGGGACGTCCATAATCGTCCTAAAAAAACTCGCATCATGTGAAAGAATCCGACGAAAATAGGTCATGTGACAGTTGTTATAAGAGTACACGTATATTTAGAGCTATCGAGTTTGTCGGGCACGATGCATCTTTCTTATACGGGGCCATATCTTTTGACACTCTGTGACGGCCGATCGCTGTTCCGGATGATCCTACCCGGCTCGACACCAATATTCTCCTCCGGTGTAATGAGCATGACGAGCACTCTGTAGTCTGACGCGTTTATGATGTACCCCCGAGAGAAATTTAGTAATAGCATTTCAATGGTCCCTTTCCTAGGAATCGACGGCAGACCATCTCCGGCTACGTAACGGGGCCAAAATCTCTGCAGAGCATTCCCTCAGTCCCCGCAGAGCGTCCCTGTACAGAGTTCGGAGTAATTCGTACAGTTTTCCCGTTGCATGGACCGGCCTTTGTGTCGGTTAAATAGAGGAAGACTCAAGGAGACGACGAAGATGGTTAGACGAATTAGGAAAAGAGAACAAACTTCACCGGGAAAGCCGTCCTTCAACCCGGATTTTGTGGAAAGTGGAGTAGAGGGACTAGCCGAAGTGTTCCATTGTGCATTGCATTTAACCTGCATTAGTTGATGACGAGTGCCGGGGTTCTGATGCCAAGTTGTCTGGGGAAAGGAAGCCATGTCGGCCAAGTCTGGTGCGACCTGAACAAGCTTGGGAATAAGCGTGCTCCCCAACTACGTCGACTAACCTCAGCAACCACGACACCATGTCACCTTTTGCTATAGTCACGGCCGCGGGCGCGTCGTAACTGGTGGAAAATCAAAATCGATGCCCATCCGTCCCTGGCTTGCATTCGGTTTTTCTCTCCCGGCGTGGTGACCTTGCCTACTTGTTTGTCGATCCACGGAGACGAAATCACCAGCCAATGCATGCCAATATAAGAAATCGCGGCGCCGGTGATAGACGGCCGCGTGCTTTTGTGCTTCTCGACCGCCACGTCCCCCTTCGCTCTCCACCAGTCTTATTCACCTTGCCACAATGTCTGCATCCGCTCTGGCTCGCCTGCTTGTCCTGGCCGCCGCCGCGCGGGCGTGTTCTGCGTCTGCCCTGGGCCACCGTCCGTCGGTGCGCATCGTGGTCGACACGTCCGTCCAGTACCAGGAAGTCGACGGTCTCGGCGCGTCCCAGGCGTTCCAGCGCGCCGAAGACGTCTTTGGTAAGTACGGCCTCTCGCCGGCGCACCAGGCCGACGTGCTGGACCTGCTGTACAGCCTGGACAGGGGCGGCGCCGGGTTTGCGATTCTGCGCAACGGCATCGGGTCGAGCAACTCGTCGACCAGCGACCTCATGAATTCGATTGAGCCCGTGAGTCCCGGGTCGCCGCACGCCGCGCCCCGCTACACGTGGGACGGCTACGACAGCGCGCAGTTCCCCTTGGCGCAGCAGGCACGGGCGCGCGGGCTGCGGACGCTCTACGGCAACGCCTGGTCGGCGCCCGGGTTCATGAAGACCAACGACGACGAGAACAACGGCGGCTACCTCTGCGGCGTGACGGGCGCGGCCTGTGCGTCGGGCGACTGGAAGCAGGCGTATGCCGACTACCTGGTGCAGTGGGTCCGGTTCTACGAAGAACACGGCGTGAAAGTGAACAAGCTGGGCTTTCTCAACGAGCCTCAGCTTGCGGGTAGGCCACGATGTTCTTTATTTTTTCTTGTCATGTCAAAGCTAACATACAGTTTTCTAGCCCCCTATGCTGGTATGCTGTCCAACGGAACGCAGGCGGCCGACTTTATCCGCGTGCTGGCCAAGACCATCCGACGGGCGCGCCTCGACGTGGGCATCACCTGCTGCGACGGCATCGGCTGGGACGACCAGGAAGCCATGATGGCGGGCCTGCAGGCCGGCCCGGACCCCGCGGAGCAGTACCTCGACGTCGTCACGGGCCACGGCTACGACGCAGCGCCGACGTACCCGCTCTCGACGACCAAGAAGACGTGGCTCAGCGAGTGGGCCGACCTCGCGGGCGGCTTTACGCCGACCGTCTTCTACGATGTCGACGGGCCGGGCGAGGGCCTGCGGTGGGCGCGCTACGTGCAGACGGCGTTCGTGGACGCCAACGTCAGCGGGTTCCTGTACTGGATCGGCGCCGAGAACTCGACGACCAACAGCGGCCTCATCAACCTCCTCAACGACACGATTGTGCCGTCCAAGCGGTTCTGGTCCATGGCGCAGTTCAGCCGCTTTGCGCGTCCCGGCGCGCGCCGCGTCGAGGCGACGTCGTCGGCCCGCCTGCTCTACACCAGCGCGTTCCGCAACACGGACGGCAAGATCGCGACGCAGGTGATCAACAACGACACCACGGCGTACGACGTCACGCTCTCCCTCACGGGCGCCAAGCGGCACGCGAAGAAAATGGTGCCCTACCTGACCGACAACGCCAACGATCTGACGGCACGCAAAGCGGTCGCCGCAGCGCACGACGGCACATTCAGGACGACTGTTCCTGCTCGGTCGTTGGTCACGTTCCTCGTATAAGAGTGGGCGAGCGTATCAGAGAGGGAAAACGAGGAGGCAAGGAACCGGCATCGATTAGGATATTAGCGTAGTAGCATATTATGAAGCAGGGACTGTTGAGATATACAGAGCAGTCATGCTGTCTGAGATGCAGTGTCCAGTCCCGTGTAGAGACAAGTTGTCCGACAGCGTCGCGAGCACTGCACCACCGCACTCTGGCACCACATGAAATGCACCCTCATGGACCGGTCATTCTCTCACGAGACAGGCAGTGAACCCCCGTCTCCGCAACTCCGTCCCAATCCGATGCTCCATGACGCGGCTCCGCTCGCGCGCCCACCACGCCTCCTCCGTTGCCGACAGCACGATGCGCGCCGCCCGGTAAAAGTGGAAGAGCAGAAGCAAGGCGCGCGCGTCGCCCTGGACGACGGGCTGCAAAAAGGGGCCGCTGCAGAGGAGCGGAATGGTGAAGAAGAGGCGCCGGCCGTCGGCGGTGCACCACCACGCGTCGTCACCGTTTGCGGAGGAGGACAATGCTGACGCCGACAATGCTGCGCAGCACAAGAGCGGCGAGAGGCAGCAGGCCACACGCTCGTAGCCTGTGCGTGCGGCGGTCAGCTGCGGGTCGACGAGCTCCATGGGCGCGACGGGCACAGGTTCAGGTTCGGGGTCCGCCGGCATCGCGAACAGCGTCTTGAGCTTTTGGAGGGGGCATTGACCCAGGCTCTTTGTGTTGGAGCTGGCCGTGGCTGCTTCTGGCTGGGTGTCATCTGCCGTCGAGGATGCCGTCAGCAGTTTGGCAATCCTGCCCCAGGCCAACTCGTATTCAAACTCGGTAAAGAGCAGCCATGACGCTGACGTGCGCGATGGACGCAAGGCAGGCGATGGAGTCGATGACGTCGATGACGTCGATGACGTCGATGAAGTTGATGAAGTTGATGAGCTCGACAGCGTGCTGGCCACTCCGTCGGGTCCCCGAAACTGCTGAAACTCTGGGCCGTCCCAGCAGCGCATAAAAGGTTCGACAAATCGAGTGGGATCGTGGCCGTGCCGAGCGAGGGCTGCTTCGATGTTGCGGCGCGGATGTTCAAAGGCAATGGACAAAAACACGCTCTGCTCAGCTATGAAGACGGGCATGGCCTGCGTGTAGACGTGGCGGACGCCTGGGCTGAGGAGGAAGAGGGGGTCGTGCGACAGGTCCAGCCCGCCAGAGGCATTGCCGTCACCGTCGAGGAACGTCAGGCTGGTCCACGCAATGTAATTCATGAGAATGGCGCAGCCCATCAGCGCGTCCGCGTTGGCCTTGGTGAAGGGCCGGGCGAGGTTCTGGCGGAACAGGCCGAGCGCCTTGGGCAAAAACGGCAGAGACGCCGGCGACGGTCCCGCGTACCGGGGATCCTGCGGCGCGAGGGCGGCCAGATGGCAGCTGGCCGTGCACAAGATGGCCCACATGATGCACTCGTCCTAGGGCGTTGTCAGTCGCGCGTAGTGTCGTGATGCAAGAACAGGCAAGAACCAGGCGCCGCCTCACGCACATGAAAACTCTGCTGCAGCAGCGTGGGCCACACATCTGGGAAAGAAAGCGTCGCCACCGTCCGCTGCGCAAAGTGATGGAACAGCTCGAGGTGCCACAGATTGACGTGCGGGTCCGCGTCATTCTCGAGGCGTGGGCTGGACAGGCTGCGGGCAATGTCGAGTCGGGCGTCTTGGGCCGCGTGGTCATCGTGTGTTTTTGTTTTCGTGTCCTTGGCCGACAGCCGCCGACACTGCTCTTTGCGCCGGACGCAGTGAGCGCACGGCTCGTTCTCGTCGCACTGAGCGGAGCGTGTCAGTAGTGGCCGTCCGAGGGCGCCGGTGGCATAAAACAAAAGAAAGGACCCTCAGAGGAAGTACCTTGACGCGTCGCCGCCGGCATGCGGCACAGCCTTGCTTGCTCTTTCGATGCGCTCGCTTCCGCCGAGGCTGCTCGCGGCCCGCAGCCGCCTGCAAGTCCTGCAAGCCCTGCAGGACCACAAACGTGCCAGCCAGGCTATCAGTATCGGCGGTGTCGCTTTCGGTCGACATTTGGAACAGCTGCGGACGAGTAGGAGATCTACGTTCGTTTAGAGAGAAACGAGGACGAAGAATTGAAGGAAATTGAATTGATTGAGAAACGAGATGGAACGAGAAGGAATGAGACTGAACGAAGTTGAACGAAGTTGGACGAAGTTGAACGAAGTGGAACGAGATGGATGTGCGTTGCGACCGTGTTGGTGTTGCTTTGTACCTCTGACAATTGGACATCTCGCCGACAATGACAAGGGTCACTTTGCCCGATGCGGGGACAGGCGGATTGGACGACGTTGTCCCTGGCCTCGTTCCCCTTTCGATAAACGAGGCTGAAAGTAAGACGCGGACGAATCAGATGGCCGCATTTCAGCCGTTCTCAACGAATGGAGCCAGACATCTACACACCACAATTTGCAATACCCTGGTCTTAATAGGGGTAACGGGCAACGGACTTGGATTATAAGTTCGTATTACACGGGTCCAGTCTGTCAAGCCATGGACATTGGCACCGTGCGTAGCCGACTTAGAGTCCTAGTCCATCCGGCAGCTGACGAGAGACGCCGACGAGGACACGCCAGCTTCGTTTCTCTTAACGTAAACGAGCCTCCGGATCTGAAAATCCATGTCCCTCTTCACGACTATATGCTCTCATGCTACCGCCGTCAAACTGCTATAATAAGAACGGTCTCAGTCGACCACGTCCATAAATTCGTAGATTCCCTCGCCAGTCCAGTCCATCAGTCCATCGCGTCACTCTATTTATGCTGTCGCTATATCCAGACAATTCGCAATCACAACATCCTCTGCCTCCAACATGTCTCTCCACGAGAAAACAGACAGTGACGACCCCAGCCCCAGCCCCAGCGCCGATCCCAACCCCAACCCCAACCTCAACCCACTGGGCCTGGACGAGGCCGAGCTCGCGTGCCTCGCCCGCCAGATCGATCTCCCCGCGAGCACGGCCGGCTACGGAGCCATCTATCGCTATGCGGACCGGGTGGACCGCCTCGTGATGCTTGTCAGCGGTGTCGCGGCGTGCGGCGCTGGTTCTTCGATGCCACTGATGACGGTGAGACAGGCAAACGCACGACATTCCGTTTGCATTTTCCAGGCGTGCTAACCGGGCATCGGTCAGATTGTGTTGGGATCGTTGATTGGGAAATTCTCGGACCACGCCGACGCCGACGCCTCGCAGCAGCTGTCCTCCTTTTCCAGCGACGTCAGCAGCCTGTGCCTCTACTTTGTCTACGTTGGTAAGAATTCTGCTCTGCGACGACATCCGATGGAGGCAAACGTAAAGACATACAACATCATCCGTTCCCCATCATCACACTAACACTCTGTCCCATCGCAAGGCGTTGGCGGTCTCGTCTGCTACAGCCTGTTCCTCGCCGGCTTCACGTGGACCGGCCAGCGGATTGCGCAGCGGATGCGCGCGGCGTACCTCGAGGCGCTGCTGCGGCAGAACGCGGCCTTTCTGGACGCCCTGGGCACGGGCGCGGTCACGACGCAGATCACGGCCGACATGAACGCGGTGCAGGAGGGCGTCTCGCAAAAGGTCGGGCTGATTGTTCAGGGCGCGGCCACGTTTGTCAGCGCCCTCGTCGTGTCGTTCCTGCGCAGCTGGCGCCTGGCCCTCGTCCTGCTCAGCCTGCCGGTGGCCGTCACCGCCTTCATGGTCGTCGTCGGCGTGCGCATGAAGGGCGCGCAGGGCGCGGCCCTCGCGCGGTTTGCGGACGCGGCGTCGTTTGCCGAAGAGGCCATCGCGTCGATGCGCACGGTGGCCGCGTACGGCGCGCAGCGGCGGTTTGCGCGGCGCTACGACGCGGCCCTCGCGCCGGCCCTGGACGCCGACGCCCGGGCCAAGCGCTGGCTGGGCGTCTTGATCGGCGGCATGATGTGCATGATGCTGTCGTCGTTTGCGCTGGCCTGCTGGGCGGGCCACCTGTTCCTGGCGGCCGGCCGCATCACGACGGCGCAGATTGTCACCGTGCAGTTTGCCATGATGACCGGCGCCGTGCTCTTTGGCAACATCGCGCCGCATCTGCAGGCCCTGGGACTCGCCGCCACCGCCGCCAACCGCGTCTTTGCCGTCATCGACCGCGCGCCCACCGTCGACGCCGACGCCCCCGACGCCGTCACGCCCGACCGCCTCGACGGCCACATCGAGTTCCGCGCCGTCCAGCTCGTCTACCCGGCGCGCATCGGCCATCTCATCCTGGACGGCATCTCGCTCGACGTGCCCGCGGGGTCGACCGTGGCGGTGGTCGGGCCCTCGGGGTCCGGCAAGTCCAGCCTCGTGCATCTTCTGCAGCGGTTCTACGCGCCGCTGCGCGGCCAGGTCCTGGTCGACGGCCGCGCCATCGAGGACGTGCGTCTGCGGTGGCTGCGGTCCAAGATGCGCATGGTCAGCCAGGAGCCGTTCCTCTTTGACGCGACCGTCTTCGACAACATTGCCTTTGGCCTCGTCGGCACGGAGCACGAACACGCCGGCCACGCGGCCAAGCAGAAACTGGTCGAGGACGCGGCCAAGGCGGCCGACGCGCACGATTTCATCCTGCAGCTGCCCGCGGGCTACCAGGCGCGCGTCGGCGCGGTCGGCGGGCGCCTGAGCGGCGGCCAGCGCCAGCGCATTGCCGTGGCCCGCGCCGTCGTGAGCCGCCCCCAGATCCTCCTGCTCGACGAGGCCACCGCCGCGCTCGACACCAAATCCGAGGCGCGGCTGCAGGCGGCGCTCGCGCGCAGCGGCCGCGCCACGCGTCGCACCACCATTGTGATTGCCCACCGCCTGTCGACCGTCCGGCACGCCGACACCATCGTCGTCATGGAGCACGGCGTCATCACAGAGCAGGGCACGCACGCCGACTTGCTCGCCAAGGCGGGGACGTATGCCTCGCTCGCCGCCGCCCAGGACCTCCTCGACGATGCCGCTGCTCGGCAAGGCACAGACGTGGGAAATGGAAGGGGAAGCGGACGCGCTGTGGCCGGTGGTGAGACGGTCCAAGCAGCTGCGGCCGCGGCTGCCGTGCTCCCGCAAGACACTGCCAAGACGTCGTCGACCGGCGATCCGGACAAGGAGACGGAGACCCAGGCCCTGGCGCAGCAAGTCGAGGCTGGTTCCGGCGGGGCCGCCCGCCTCGGGTCGATCGGCTTCCTCTGGGCGCTCAACCGGCCCGAACAGACCGTCATGGCCGTCGGGCTCGTCGGCAGCGCCGTCACGGGCCTCGCCTACCCCCTGACGGCCATCTTCTTCGGCAACATGGTCCTCGGCTTCACGGATCCCCGCTCGACGCTGGGCGGCCACGGCGTCGGCTTCTGGGCCGGCATGCAGCTGCTGCTCGCCGCCGTCATCCTCGCCGCCTTTTTGGTCCAGAACCTCGCGTTTGCCTATGCGTCGTCGCGCCTCGTCGTGCGCGCCCGCAGCGTCGCCTTTGCCGCCGTCCTGCGCCAGGACATGGCCTTTTTTGCGCAGCCGGGCAACAGCGCCGGCGCCCTCGCCGCCTTTTTGTCTGTCCAGGCCAACCGCCTCAACGGCCTCAGCGGCGCCATCCTCGGCCACGTGCTCGGCAGCGTCTTTGCCGTCGTCGCCGGCCTCGTCGTCGCCGTGGCCTTTGGCTGGAAGCTGGGCCTCGTCGCCGCGAGCCTGATGCCGCTCGTCTTTGCCACGGGCTTCGCGCGCTACCGCGTCCTGGCCGCCCTCGAGGCCGAGACCACGCGCGACACCGCCGCCGCCGCCGTCGTCGCCGAGGCCGTGCGCGGCGCCCGCACCGTCGCGCAGTGGTACCGCGCGCAGCTGGGCGGCGAGGCGCGCGCCGGCCGTGCGCGCGCCGTGCTGCTGGCCGTCCTGTACGGCGCCAGCCAGTCCGTCGTCGTCTTCGGC